GCATTGCAGCATTGATCGAATAAATGTCTTTGCATTTATGATTGTAAGAATGTCCTAAAGGACTAATCCCTAACCCTATTTGGGATCGATATATATATATATATATATATTTTTGTTCTTTAAATTTTGAATATGTTTACTTGGGATAGTTATGGCATAAAAGATTGACTAATCTAGTCAAGGTAAATATGGTTTCGATTTATTAATAGAAAATTGGGTAAACTGTTTTTTTAGTCCCGTAACTGGACCCCTTTATCATTTTATAGTCTCGTAAGTGGAGCATGTTGCAAACTAGTCCTATAAGTAAAAAAATTTCGCTGTTTTAGTCCTCCGGCGCCAGAGACGCTCGCGTGGCTCGCCGGAGGTGACGTGTCCGCTAGGTCAGCGACACCTGGCGCTGACCTGGCGGACACATGTATTTTTTATTTTTTTTTTAAAAAAAAAAATTTTAAACTTATTTTTAATTTTATTTATATTTTTTAAATTTTTTAATTTGATTTAATTTAAAGAAAAAAAATTGAAAAAAAATAATAATAAATCCACGTGTCCGCCAAGTGTCGCTGACCTGGCGGACACGTCACCTCCGGCGAGCCACGCGGGCATCTCCGGCGCCGGAGGACTAAAACAGCGAAAATTTTTCACTTATGGTACTAGTTTACGACAGGCTCCACTTACGGGACTAAAATGATAAGAGGGTCCAGTTACGGGACTAAAAAAACGGTTACCCTACAAAATTTTGTTGGCCTGTTTTATGGATGCTATTCTTTTATTTTTCAATTCCTTTAATTTGTAACTACAAATCTCTATAAAAATATATTCCTTTTTGTTAATAAAATATTATGCTTAACTTAGTTTTAAATACAAAAACAAATACAAATCACTACAAGAAAAAATCATTTTTGTAACAAAACTTTTTTATCTCTAAATCTACTTTTTCCGTTACTAATGACATTAGAGATGAAAATAAGAATGAAATTACGTTAGTTACGTGAACTTTAGGAACGGAATTTCGTTACAAATATATATATATTTTTTTAGTGAATATAAATCAAACATACCCTAATAATGATTTTGTTAATTGTGTATGTGGTCTCAATTAAAAGGGATTGGTTCTCTTTCTTTTTTTTCCTTTTTTTTTTCCCCTAAGGATAGTTTTAAATTGGGGTCATTTGTTTAGTTGTTATAGAAATTTATTAGATATTTAATATAATAAATTTTGTTAAATGGATTTTAAGGCAGCTACAATTATCGCAATGTAATAATAATAATATACAAATTTGTAATAATTTTGGTTACACACATTACACGAAATGTGTTGAATCATGTCAAATGTAAAATCTATTGGAAAAATGTAAAAATAAAATATTTTACGAGGCTACATTGCAAGTTGGAAGGTGCAATTATTCGATTTTACTATTGAATAATAAATAATCTTTTATTATAAATTAAATTATAATGTAATAAATTTTTAATTAAAAATTAATATAAAATGTGTTTTGAATGTTTAAAATAATATTTATATTGAATATAATTTAGGGTAAACTGTTTTTTTAAATCCCGTAACTGGACCCCCTTATCATTTTAGTCCCGTAAGTGGAGCCTATCGCAAACTAGTCCCATAAGTGAAAATTTTTTGTTGTTTTAGTCCTTCGGCGCCGGAGACGCCCGCGTGTCTCGCCGGAGGTGACGTGTCCGCAGTGGATTTTTTATTTTTTATTTTATTTATTTTTTAAATTTTTTTAAAATTTATTTTTAATTTTATTTGTATTTTTTTATTTTTTTTATTTGGTCCAATTAAAAAAATTTAAAAAAGAGAAAAAAAAAGAAAAAAAAATAAATCCATGTGTCTGCCAGTGTCGCTGACCTAGCAGGACACCTAGCGGACACGTCACCTCCAGCGAGCCACATGGGCGTCTTGGGCGCCGGAGGACTAAAACAGCGAAAAATTTTCACTTATGGGACTAGTTTGCGACAGGCTCCATTTAAGTGATTAAAATGATAAGGGGTCCAGTTACGGGACTAAAAAACAGTTTACCCTATAATTTAATATATACATAATAAAATTTTATATAATACACAAATATATATATATATATAATTAGCATAAATTACTTTATACATGAGAAAGATAGAAATAAGATATTTGTAGAAAATAATGAATTTAATTTGTCATATATATAAACATACATCGCCCTGTATAAGTTGTGTTGTAAATAAATATTGTATATAAAAATTAAATATTTAATTTAAATTTTTTTTTTCTTAAATGAACAATTAAAATCAAAACATATATATATGGAAACAATAATATTTCAGTGTCTTAAATGGCAAATAAGAGATAAGCAACCAACAAATTCAATATACATAGTAAACATTTACTGACTATATATCTGGTCTCTTAAATTCCTAATTTATTCAAATTGTAATTTATGGATTAAGGGACGTGGAAATTAGATATTACTATTAATTAGTTTATAAACTTCTTCTTCTTCTTCTTCTTCATTGTTAGAAGAAGACAAGATGTCCAACACTACTTGTCAAATAATTTTTTCATATCAAATGGTTGTCGTCGCGATTCTGAGTTTCGTAATACTACCAGGTTCATTTCCCAAACTGATCTACACTATATAGTCTTTTTCTTTTTATTGATGGTTGTAAAAAGTTAATTCATTCTTAATCTTAATTTATTGCAAGAATAAAATTATTTTATTCGGTCTTGCCGGTATCTCGTTATTTATTTATAGGGGCATTAAAGGTGGGCGAAGGAGGTACGACATTTCAATGCACGAGGAACGTAAAATTCCCGAGTAATTGTGGGAATTCTGGAATCAGTGTATGCCACAGCTGTTGGGAGCATTCCAGTTTTGGCATGCCCGTTGCTGTTTATTGCCAAGATCAACTATGTGTTTGTGTCTACGCCTGCTAATCTTTAAACAAATAACTCTTGATGATCAAAATAAAGATATTGTAACAATTCATCGAGTTTTATTTCAGTTTTTTTTTTTTTTTTTTATAAAAAAAGTGTGATTCACAGAAAAAAAATATAATTATTTTTTGGGTAAACTGTTTTTTTAGTCTGTAACTGGACTCCCTTGTCATTTAGTCCCGTAAGTGGAGCCTGTCGCAAAGTAGTCTCATAAGTGAAAAATTTTCGTTGTTTTAGTCCTCCGGCGCTGGAGATGCCTGCGTGGCTCGCCGGAGGTGACGTGTCCACCAGGTCAGCGACACTTGGCGGACACTTGGATTTTTATTTTTTTTTCATTTTTTAAAATTTTTTGTAAAACTTATTTTTAATTTTATTTGTATTTTTTTATTTTTTTTATTTGGTCCAATTAAAAAAATTTAAAAAAATAATAAATCCACGTGTCCGCCAGGTGTCGCTGACCTGGCGGACACGTCACCTCCGGCGAGCCACACGGGCGTCTCCGGCGCCGAAGGACTAAAACAACGAAAATTTTTCACTTATGGGACTAATTTGTGACAGGCTCCACTTATGGGACTAAAATGATAAAGAGGTCCAGTTACGGGACTAAAAAAACAGTTTATCCTTATTTTTTATATAAGATAAATATATTTGAAATGTATATAAATATATCTTATTAAATGTTTAAATGAAAATTAACGGTGTATGTTGTCTTTTATTTTTGTTTATTAATTATATTATCTATAAAAAATTATAAATTTAATATTAACACAAAAAAAAAAAAAAAAACTGTTTTAATAAAAGAAATACTATTTGAAGTTGAAGAGCATCTATAAATAATAGTGAATTAAACACAATAGTGAAAAGACTGGTTTATTTTCTTTATCTTCTTCATCAACAATTTCCCATGAAAGGTTGATGAAAAAACTTGTTTAAGATATTCTTAGATTTTCCCTAATTATTTATGTTTTTTAATCTTTCTTTATCTTACTTAATGTAGTTAATAATTCTTTATATTGGGTCTTGCTAATGTGCTAATTAAGAATAATCAATTATAAACTGTTGAATTAATATTTAATTTAAAGACTATAATAAATTATTCAATTATCATGCCAGAATGATTTTGCACTAGTTGATATATAAATTTCTGCTTATATATACATAATGATAATAAAATAAATGAAAACTATTACTAATAGTTCCACAAAAAAATTTAAAATACATCTGTCACCAGCAATGACTATCATTATATATTTTTCTCTGTCAACGTTTTCCCTTTCATATATCTTTTAATTTCTTCCAATATCTACTATGATAGTAATTGATTCCTTTAAAAACTTTAAATATATATCCATGTTGATATAATAGATCTCTAATTTAGCAACAAGATTTCAACAACTACCTAATTCATTTCCTTATATGACTCCAATATTAATCAATGGCAAATGGGACATAATTTGTTTCCATTTTAAGTGGTAATAATAATAATAATAATAATGTAGTCTCAACTGCAATGAGTACTCTTTGTGTTTTGTCTCAAATAATTGGCTATATTTGCTACAAAATATATTATCATGATTAGCTTTCAAGATCATTCAGTAACCCAACTTTTAAATTAAATAATGCCACATAATTAATGATATACATAATCCAATTCCAAATTTGATTTGACTTTGAAGTTTGATTTAAATTGTATTTTGATATAATATTTTTTTAAAAAAAATTATTAGAAATCATATACAATAAATAATTTCAGTCTCATATATATATATATATACATTATTTTATAAATTTGTACTGTCATAATTTAATTATGCAAGTTGGATTAGTTCATAGTTTTATCCTATCATATTTGCTATAATTTTTATTTTGAAATGTTCCAAAATAGTTGCAACATTTTTTTTACATTATACTCAATTTTATTTTTCCCATTTTACTTTATCAATGCCATTTATATAATTATCATACACAAAAAAAAAAAAGTAAGGTAAAATCATATTTAAAAAAAAAAAACTATCAACATTAACAATCTAAAAAATTCAGAAGAAATTTTACAAACAAATTGGGAGGAGTGTAATAAAATAATACAACAGGATAATTAAAATTACATGATAAAATCAATAATTAATTAAACACACACACACACACACACACACATACATACACTATATATATAAGATTACATTTTTTCCTTAAGATGAACCTCAACCACTAAACTTTAATTTACCACATTTGCCAACCTCTGCTGCAGATCAGACAGATTAACATATGTGGGATCACAAACCTGCAAATATTAATCAAATGAATCTCCATCGATGTAATAATCACACACAATTAGTTGATCATTAAAAAATAAAAATAAAAAAATGTTGAAAAAATTTAAAACCCTAATCTTACATCCGATTGAATTTTGTAGAGCATCCTGTCGTCGGATTTACTCGAAACAAAGCTGACAACATTTGTTCCTGTTTTGAGCAATTCCATCAGCACTTTGGAAATTGGAAACCCTAATTTCTCTTCAATGGCACAGCTGATTAGAATCTCCACACCATCTCTGCAACAATTAATCGAAACAAGATTCTGGGAATTATTGAATGTGGTTGAGTTTGATCGGGAGCTGCCTGAGCTTGATGACGCCGTCATCTTCTTCAGCCGATCCCTTTCGAGCCGGAGCTGTTTGATGCTCGTTTCCATGTGTTTTATGTAATTCACAGCCTCGTGCATGTGATCGGAGACCGATCGCTTGCCCTAATTGATTAACATACAAGATCGATGAAGAATCAGAAATAGAAAATCGAAGTCCTTATTGTAAGTTAATAAGTAAAATGTAAGAAAATAATCCTTTAGGGTGTGTTTCTTTCTTTTTTTGTTTACAGAATATCATACTATTATTTAAACTAAAATTCACACCTCCAAAATCAAGACGAAAGAGACTTTGTTACTAGAAATTGTAGCATTGTTTTCTTGTTAGGTTACGATAGTTTCTTTAATGCCTATAAGAAAAGAAAGAAAATAAAAATCTATAATCTCAAATAAAATGATACTCTTTCCGTCCCAAACACCGTGCAGCATTTTCTTTTTGGTATGTCCCAAACACCATGCAAGATTTCTAAATTAGAAATAATTAATTATATTTAATATATATCCTCACACTTTATTTTATCACATCACCCTAATAAAAAAATAAAATATACATTCTCTTTCTATCACATCACCTAATTACTCAATTATCCTACCTAATACTTCTCACCTAAAATCTCATGTTCAACTTAAATGTAGCACTTTGTTTGAGGGAGTATTATATAAGAACATCCAAGTTGAGAGAAATTTTGAGAAGAGTTTATTAAATATATATATATTTAATTTAAAAAATAAAAAAACTATTGATCAATAATCGAAAACAAAATTGAAATAATAAATAAAGAATTTCGTAGGATTATTTTGCATTATTTTCACATTTACACACATGCATATAATGATTATGTTGCATTTAAAGAAGTTGTGTGATATGCCAAATTTCACAATAAATTTTATCTTAAAAAAAAAAAAAAAATTGGACAAGTGATTAAGATGGGAGATCCCTCAAATTAAATTAGTTTTTTAAAAAAATAATAAAAAAAAAACAAATTAATATATTACATGTATTTATTATTTTTATATCTCATATCAAAAAATAATTTTCAAACTATTTCAAAAAAAAAAAAAAATTCAAACATATTAATCTAGAAAGTGTCTAAAACCATATTTTCCCTTATATTTATCAAACATAAAAATAAAAAAAGAATGAAATTGTTGTGTTTACATAGGCATTTTTTAAAAGTTTAACATTATTTATCAATATTAACATTTAAAAAAAAAAACTACGATCCATAAAATGATAATCCAACAAAATATATTATCAAATAGTCAATTTTTTATTATTATGAAAATTTTCCAAAACTTCAATTACAGATCTGAATTAAGAAAAGTTTTTCAGATGTATTAAATAAGTAAGTAAGTAGTTGTTAGTTACCTTGATGTAGTGAAGAGGGAGAAGAGATCGAAGTGAAGCATAAAGAGCAGACATTTCTTGTCTCCTTTGCCTCTCTGTCTCTCTGTGCATCATTTTCTTCACATTACTATTATTTGAATTTGGATTTGATTTCGATTTCGATTTTGATTTTGATGATGACATCATCACCGCCACGGATCTCCTCTTCTCATCATCGTCATTAATCTTGTCCAACATTTCTTCTTCTAATGTTGGTGGTGTTATTGTTTCCCTAATCTTTCTCTTCTTCGTATGGCGATATTCGTTGATCAGGAACTGATCTTGTTCCTGATGATGATGATCAAGAATGAGAGATTGTTGTTGTTTTTGGACCATCATCAGATCTTCCAAAGGAAACATTATACCTCAAGATTTGCAACACCCACTCTTATCTAATTTCCTTAATTTCTTCCAACTTATCTCACACACACACACACACATATATATATATATATATATAGATATGGATATAGATAGACACAGAGTGTGTATTTGTTATTTCCTATTATGGAATGATTTGAGGAGGAAATCAACTTCTAAATCTTTATACAGTTTTTTTACTATTGACTCGTTATATTTAATTTTTTCTGCTAAACAAAAAATATTTATTTATTTTTTTAGTTTGAATGATTCAATTACATATTACAATACTTTCACATTAATATTTTATATAGGAAAATAAATTTTACATATAAAAATTATTATCAACTATCATTAAGTATTTTTCAAATGATCGGATGCAGCTTTTTCTTTTGGGTTTTTTTTTTTTCCCTGTTAATTTGACTATAATCAAGTGATGGTATTTTTATACAAATTAGAAGATAATAATATTATATTGTATTAAACAATAGTTAAATAAAAATAATAAAACATGGACGGTATGCAAAGAAAGGTGAAAAAAAAGTGAAGGAAGATAAGACACAGTGGAATCACTGATTTGCTACTGTCGTAGACATGACTTTATTAGTGTGGCCCTATTCGTTTTTTTCATTTGTGCTAATAAAGCTTTTTGGATATGCATTAATAATACAAAAAATATACTAATATTCAAATGATACGCATATCTTATTTATTTATAAAAATTTACTAATAATTTAATATAAAATATTATTTTATATATCATCCATATATTCTTTTTATCTAATATAAATGTGCTTACATTCAAAAACACATGATTTTTATTCACCTAACAAAAGTATTTTGACACGTTAAGTTCCCAATCACTACCTAAAAACAAAAAAAAAAAAAAAAAATTGTCAATTTGCAGCCGAAACTAACACGTGGTTACTATTGCTAGTTACGAAGGAATTTGTGAGGGACAAAATGACAGTACGAATATGTAGGTTTGTACATAATAATGCATGTATTAATGGAAAAATTAAATTATTGTAGTTGTTAAAAATTTTGGGGAAAAATAATGAGATTGTTTTATTAATCATCAAAATAAGAAACCTATATATATAGGCAATACAAAATAGACTCGATAGACTCAAATCTAAGTAATATAATCTATGAATAAGATCAAATCTAAATCTACTAAGAGTGTGTTTGTTTGGGGGATTTTGTGGGATTTCTACTATTCCCACAAAATTTTCCCTCCAAAAATATCAAATCAAACATTTATTTTTCATTTTTTATATTATACTAAAAATCAATTTTACATTCAAAACATCACATCAATTCTTATTTATATCACATCGTACAACTATTCAAATTCAAAATTTTTACTATTCAAATCCCAACCCAAAATCCAAACCCTCAAACAAACACACCCTAAATTTAAAACTAAATATCTAAAATATCTCAACATCCCCTCAAACTCAAGTGGTATAACAAAAACCAACTTGAGTTTGATAAGAAATTTGAATATAAATGCAAAAAGAAAACATAAATAAAATTAGTAGTTGACTCTTCACCCACCGGAGCAAAAAATGAGATAACTCTCCACCGGAGCAGAAAATCACATAATTCCACCGGAGGAGAAAACGAGATGACTCTCCACCGGAACCGAAAATGAGATGACCCCACCGGAGCCTAAAACGACATGACTCCCCCGGAGCTAAAAACGAGATGACTCTCCACCGGAGCCGAAAACAACATGACTCCACCGAATCCGAAAACCACATGACTCCATCGGAGCCATCGAAAACGAGATGACTCTCCACCGGAGCCGAAAACAACATGACTCCACCGAATCCGAAAACCACATGACTCCATCGGAGCCATCGAAAACGAGATGACTCTCCACCGGAGCCGAAAACAACATGACTCCACCGAATCCGAAAACCACACGACTCTATCGGAGCCGTCGAAAACGAGATGACTCCACCGGAGCAGAAAACGAGATGACTCTACTTGAGCCGAAAACGAGATGACTCTACTTGAGCCGAAAACCACATGACTCCACCGGAGTAAAAAACCACATAACTCTACCGGAGGCGAAAACGAGATGACTCCACCGGAACCGAAAACGAGATAACTCCACCGGAGCCGAAAAACGAAATGACGCCTAAAACTTTAGACATGACTCCACTGAAGCTGAAAACGACATATGGCAGATCGCACGCAACGACAGACAATAGACATATGGTAGATCGTTTCAAATCGCTCGCAGACAACAGACAAGCAGCGAAGATTTCAGATTGCACACATGCAATAGACATTTCAAATTGCACACAGGCAACAGACAAGCAGTGGACAGATGGCAAATCAGAGATGAGACGAGACATATTTGCAAAAAGACAACTTGCAAAGGCATGATCTCAAAATCACAAGACCTTCTCAAAATTACAAGACTTCCGGGTACAATCCAGGTTGAATATACCCGGAGAAACACGGGTTGGTAAGCTATATCTACCGCATGAGAAAGATAGGCTCTGATACCATGTAATAAATTTTGGGGAAAAATAATGAGATTGTCTTATTGATCATCAAAATAAAAAGTCTATATATAGGCAATACAAAATAGACTCGATAGACTCAAATTTAAGTAATTTAATCTATGAATAAGATCAAATCTAGATATAACTCTACTAAATTTAAAACTGAATATCTAAAATATGTCATATTTGAATTGGAAAGGGGTTTATTTTTCAATTGAAATTCTTCTAGTGCATATCATTTTCAGGTATTTGTATATTGTAATAACATACGTTGATTGATAAGTATTAATTATCGAACAACCTTGGATGTATAATAGAATGAAAAACAAAATTTTCATATGTATCAAGACTTAGTGGTTGAAATGTGTAGAAAAGAATCCGTCATTAATGGAAAACATATCAAGTTGGCATCAATAGATTCGTATAACACTACAATTATCGGATCATTAATTATGATATGGATGAAGAAGTCTTTCTTGAAATATCTAATTCCGATCAAAATCAATTTTACTTCTCAGATACAGATAATGATGACCCTTAAGTTAATATTTGTTAGTAATCTGCAATTTCCTGTCCTATCGTTATCAATTTTTTATTATTGGATTTTTCTAATTAATTTCCTAAATATCTTGATCTGATTATACGTATCTTTTATATTTGAATATTATTTCTACAATTATTTGATGGGACTTCTCAAAGGGGCTCACACTTATTTATTTATAATTAAACAATCGACAAGATTAATTTCTTCTTGATGGAAGCTTTTATAGTAATTGTCTTCTTGCACTTAACACCTGTAACGGCCTCCTTTCACATTTTCTTACAGAATTTAATTGCTTGTCTCAAAATTGTGTGCAATAATAATTACACATTTAAAACCATTTTTTTTAATTTAAAAAAAAAAATCAAAATTCGAAAAAATCTATTTAAATGGAACCTAAATCTATTTAAATCTATGTGGCCAATACATATTATATATATATATATATATATATATTAAATATATCCATTGCCAACTAAACTCATCATCATGAATCTTCTTCCCTCAATTATTCTCAGGCATATCCACATGAAAGTTCCTCCATTATTCATCAACTTCATCTTCCTTACTACCACCATGCATATATATATATATATATATATATATTGATTATTGAAACACACATACACACGCATACTATATATACAATCTCACTTTAATAATAATATCATCAACCTACTTTCTACTCAACAACTTACAACATGGAATTAAATAAATGCATATTCAAGATCTTCAATACTTAAAATCAATATTTCATATAATTGTAGGTAGTCAATATATCCTATAATATCATCATATAGTACATGCATAAATGGATCTTTTGAAGGTAAATTAATTTATGAAACAACAATATACTTATATTATGCAAAGAAAATAGTTTATGTACCTATATCATATGCAATAGTACAACACATAAACAAAAAAATTCAATAAGCATGTATGTATATATGTATATATATATATATCACATACATGCATAACATAATACAACACATGAACAATAATTCAATAAGCACTTATGTATGTATATATATATATTATTGAACAACTATATTACTACTACTCACCACCTTGTATTTGTTTTTTAAGTCAGCATCTTGAACATACACATTAAGCATAATTACAATGAGCAAATATATATACACAAATAGAAACTTAAGTTTTTTTACCTCCCAATTCTTAAAATAACTCACTTTTAGCAAAACAAAAACCCTCATATATGAATTTAGCATAATAAATTACAGCATACTTTACTTCAAAAATAATACAAAAAAATTAAAAAGACACAATTTGAGATAAAAAGTCAGCAATAATCCCACTAGCCCTAGCCTATGGGAAATTAAACCAATTGAAAATCAACATAATAATAATAATCATGAATTATTATATATGTGCCAACAGTTCTAAGCACAGAACCAGCTCATCATCTCAATTATTTAGCAAGTTCCTCAACAGCTCTAAGCATACAAACAGTTGTAGATAATCCTGCATGGCTGTTAGGAGACCCCAAATTGCACATGCAACTCACATGGACACACACACACACACATATATATATATATATACAGACATACAGTCATATATCTAATCTGCAGTGTCTGAAAATATTCAATAAAAAGGAATACATGTGTTGATATGGCACCAACGATGGACTAACCACGTGAAATTTATAGCACCAAATGCTGACATTAATATATATATATATATAAGTAAATATATCAATTTCAACATTTGGTGAAAATTGTTAAGTGGCTAGTCACATGTTATACTTTTTCAGGGACTGAAAGATTAGATATAAGACTATTTTTATACAGGTATCAAGACCAAAACAATAATGGTGCCAGTTTTAAAACATAAAAAACATTCATTCGTGTATATATACTATTCCAATATTTTAGAAAAAACTGTAAATGAGTATTTAAAAATTTATATGTACATTTTGTTTTTTAAGAACCCCATAAATAAGAATCATAAATGTGGAGTCCACACCCGAGTTGCTGTAATAAGATATATATATATATATATATACACACATGTACACAATGTCGTCAACTCTAACAACTTCTTACACACACCTGTATATGTATGTGTATATGTATATGTATATATGCAAATCGCAAGCTCTGAACTCATATGAACATATCAATGCATCGTTAATTGTCTAACATAGCACATTATTTATGTATGTATATATGTATATACATTAACCACACCCAAATCATTCAATGCATCAGAGAAATAACCTTACAAGTTTCCATATTATCCAATATTAATGACCTGTCTAAGTCTTTCTTGCAGCGCCGCGGCATCGAGATCGATCGCCTGCAGGTTGAAGATCAGTGGAGTACGTACTCAATACATATATATATCCATCGATCGATCAATTAATAAAATCAAAAAGATCAGAAACATTTTTATAAAAATAATAATAGAATTGCAAAAACCCTAGTTCTTACAAAGCTGTCAATAAGTTTTTACCTCGGCCAGGATTTTGTGGAGATGAATTCCATTTGTCTTAGTCGAGACATAACTGATCACATTCACTTCTCTCTCGACCAATTTGGCGAGTACACGAGATATCCCGAAATCGGATCTGCTTCGGATTAGAACCTCGACTCCATTCTCCACGGCGTTTACCGAGACAATGTTAGGCAAATCATGGCCTTTTAATGAATGGGATAATTTCTTCAGCTTGTCTTTACGAATTTGTAGCTCCTCGATGTTCTTCTCCACGTGTTTTATGTAATTCACAGCCTCTTGCATGTGATTGGATATCGATCTTGTTCCCTTCGGACATCAAATCCAACCGTTAAGACCACGAATAATCCATGGGACTATATGTTTAATTTTCTCACAAGATAGTTTTTTTGTGAGAGATTAATTCCACTCTATATGATTAACAATAAAAATTATTTCTTTCGAAGCTTTCGACGCCTATGGTATGAATATCCATTTGAATAAGATCTAATTAGACCATAAATCACACGCATATATAGAAAAATTAAATTAAATAAAATTACTATACATCCCCCAATCAATATATCCCCAAAAAATTAGGGTTTGGATGGTTTCAGTGAATCAAACCCCCAATTGCAGAAAGTGTAAATAATAAGAATAAAAATACGATTAACCTTGATGTACTCAAGAGGGAGGAGATTTCGAAGAGAGGCATAAAGACCGGACATCTCTTGCCTCCTTTTTCGTTCGATATCTCTATGCCAAACCTTCCTGTTGCTAATATTATTATTAGTAGTAGTACAAGCGTCTTTGCCCCTCGTACTTTGTCTTTGTCCGATCCTAAGTTGCTGCTGCTGTTGTTGTTGATGTTGCTGGTTTTCCCCCAATCGAGGCTCGTTCTTGAATTTGGTAGTGCTGGTGGAGAAAGTGATTAAATTGCTTTCCATGGGAGCTGCATAATCGACGATCAGATCGTCCCAGATGGAGGCTTTATCCATTTGAAATAAATTAGGGTTTTTTTCAAATCCCAGCTCATCATCATCACTCGGCTGTAAAGCGAACATCTTTAAGGATACGAAGATCTTGAGGATCAAATTTTCAATTGGATTGTGATCTGGAAGGGGATATGGTTGGTTGGGGGTGTTGAGATCTGCAAATATTGGGTTGGATGATGCCCAGGATTCTTAATTTCCCATGGTTGTAATAAAAGACGAGCTTAGGATGGAAAACTCGATCGACCACACGGCCCTACACTACACTCATTATTCAATATATATATTGTAAGGATAGTAGACGGAAGTTCCAGACGAATCTACACCGTCGAATGTTTTGGCAGCTAGCGGATCGGGCGGTGTGGATTGCTTCCAGAGTAGAGGTCACTGAAGATTGCTTCGAAAATTTTCAATAATGGGGACAGAGGTAGAGCTTCCTAAAATAGCCCCAATACTAAAAGAAATAAATAAAATAAATGGAGAAACCCTACCTCATCCTTGTTTTCCTCATATTAATTATATGACCACTCACACCTATATCATTATTGAAACAATCTAAATTAATTCTATTTATCATATTTCATATAAAAAAAAAAATTAGATATATTATAATGTCATGTCAAAATTGTTTATAATCCATTTGCCATTTACAACTATTCTCCTCTATAATTTATAAACTATATATGTGAGATGACTTTTCTTGTATTTTTGAAAATATCGTAAAAAAAAAGTAAATAAATAAAGAATTTTATACAATAATTTTTTTAAACAAAAAATAATTCTATGCAATTTTTAAAAGATTTGATGCAGTGTTTTATAATCATAAAAATAATAATATCGACTTTTCAAATCATAAATAATTATAAATAATTTTGTCTTAGTATTATTAATTAGTGGTTATATACTAGCTCGGTCCTATAAAAAGAATATTATTTGTTTTTTTTTCACATAAATTTTTAATATCAGTATTAATGTATTATATTAATTTACAATAAAAAAAAAGTAAAAATTATTTTTTTAATATTGTGCAATATAAAAACAATAATATTTATTATGTTAGATAAATAATACAAAAATTAAATTAAAATGTGCATAAAAATGGAAAACAATACCCTCATTGTGACAGGGATGGAGTATCATAGAAGTACCTTCTTATTTTAGAAAAAAAAACATTTGAAAGAGCGTGTTACATACATAATTTTGATATTATTTAAAGCCATTTCAAAATTGGTGTTTTAGCTGTATACAAGTTAAAAGATTTTTAAAAATCAGAGAAGGATGAAAAATAGGATAAAATTATATCAATAATATATATGTGTGTCAAAGTATATGTCCCTAACGTAAAAGATTCCCACTGTATTTATGGTTTTATTGCCACTGGAACCATAATTTTGTTTAGTTACCCTCAAATTCATAAGAAACTAGTGAGTTCTGGTAGGTCAAAATGTATAATGTATCTTATGCTGTTCACTTGTTTTGTTACTAATTAATTATCAATCTACCTGTGAAGTTCGAAGATCAATTGCACAATTTTTAGAAAAATAAATCAATGATTAGAAAGTGGGTTGTGACCAAACTAACAAATCTGAAACTATTGGCATTGATGTGTTCATATATCAATCTCTCTGTTTTTTTACATAAATTCATCCCAAATAAAAAAAAAAAAAAAAAAAAAAAAAAAATCCCCAATTTCTAACAAGTAAACTAAACTCACCTGACCTTCTTCTGAGACTTGAACGGAAACCGCGACGGCGGCGACGGCGAAAACTCGACAGGCAGCGGCGGAGACGCGATGTCGCCCGACAACATCCCGACGACCTCCTTCATCATCGGTCGACTTGAAGGTGACTTCTGCAGGCAGAGCAGCGCCACCGTAATGCAGAGCAACGCCTGCTCTTTATTCAACGAATGCACGCTCTGATCGACCAAATCGAGAAGCTTCCCGGCGCGGGCGAGATGCCGAGCCCACGACAACAGATTCGCTTTCTGGAACTCCGACATCGGCGATCCCGTAACCTGGAGAGGCCGCCGCCCGGCAATCAGAACCAGCAGCAGAACGCCGAAGCTGTAGACGTCGCATTTCTCCGACACATCGCCTCCGCCGCCGTACTCGGGGGCAATGTAGCAAACGGTCCCTCTCATGCTCGGCGTGCTGCTAATCCCGCTCCTCGGAATCTCGCCGCTGATCGAATCGTAGCTATTTTTCCTCGCCTTCCAAAGCTCGCCGCTGAAGCCATCCAACCACCAGTCCATGCTGCCTTTACTCCCCCGACTCTTGCTCCGGTTAGTCCGCGAATGCTTCGCGTACATCTCATCGTCCCTTGAATACCAACTTTCACTATAACAATCGTCGCTCATCGATCCTTTCCCCTGCTTCTTCTTCTTCCGTTTCTTCTTCTTCTCGAGCTCTTCGCAGTACTCCTCCTTCCACCACTCCCTCGCGGGTCTCCTCCGATTCTTCTTCACATCCTTTTCGTCGTCCAAAGAAACCCACCAATCCAGCTGCCGTCTCTTCTTCTTCTTCTTGTCGACTTTCCCCACCGGCTGCACGCTCGACGAAGACCCCATCCAATCGCTCCTCGGCCTCTCCTTCTTAATCTCACTCCCAATCCATTCCATCACATAATCCTTAACCTTCCCCGACTCGCCATCGGCCACTGCCGGATCTTGTTTCCACCACCAATCTTTCCCCGAAACACTCTTCGTCTTCTTCTTCTTCTTGCGTGCACTCCTTTCTTCACTCCCCACGCTCGCCCTATCGAAACTCCCCTCCACCACACTAGCCTGACTCTTCTCTAATCCTTCCGAAGGAGAGGCGATCGACGCCATCATCCTCGGCGACACCACAGGTTCTGTCTCCGGCGACAAATAAACACCGCCTACAGCCTCCGGCGAAGTCTCCACCCTAAGAACCACACTCTCCGGCGAACCATCAACAACTCCATGATTAAGAACATTACTAACTTCCTCAAATCCGCTCGTCGTAATCACACTCTCCGTCTCCGCCACCGAACCACTGTCCTCCAACACATTCCCCAAACTTCCATCCTTCTTATTATCATCTCCTTCAACAACATTATTATTCTCATCAGCCTTAAACCTAGCCAGCCCAAAATCCCCAATTTTAGCATTGAAATTTGCATCCAACAGTATGTTGCTAGGTTTAATATCGCCATGGATGATTGGGGGATCGCAATAATGGTGCAAATACTCCAATCCTTTGGCTATACTAACAGCAATCAGAAATCTCTTGTCCCAATTTTTCAATTCCTCACTTTTCTTATGAAACAGACAATCTTGTAAGCTACCGTTCTCCATTAACTCGTAAATCAAAAGCATCCTACGCTTACGGGGATTCGAGGAAAAACCTACAACGGAGAGGACATACTTACAGTCGATCTTCGACGAGAACAGCAGCTCGTTCTGAAACTCCCGCTCGCCCTGCAGAGATCCAGCATCCATAACCTTAACCGCCAGATTGGAGGCGGTTAACATCGAGTCCTTGGAAACGTGGAGCCCGATGCCCTGCCCTTGCTTGAGGTCGGCGCGGTACACCGAGCCGAAGCCACCTTGTCCGATTCTCAGCGCCGGGGAGAAATTCGAGGTCGCGCGGCGGAGGAGGGAGTAGGAGACCTGGTGAGGGGGTTTCTTCGAATCGGTATCGGAGGCCGAAGGGGCGGTGCGTTTCTTCGTGATTCGACGGTAGCAGTAAATCAGAAGGAGGAGACACGAAAAGGCTGCGGTTAACCCCCCAGCGAGGGGGGGGAGGAGGCGGGTGGAGTGGGGGCCCGGCGGCGGCGAGGAGAGGAGGCGGCGGGAGGGCATATTGGTAATTTTGAGAAGGGGGGAAGAGCAGGAAAAGGGTGAGATGATGGGGAAAGAGACGGGTGATCGATTGTGTGAACGAATTAAAGATTAAAGCGCTGTTGTCGTCATCATCATCTTCTTCTTCGGAGAGATTCAATCAATGTGAGGAGGCCTTTTTTGTGGATTTCTGCATCTGTTCTTGTTTCCACTCTGCCTCTGCAACTGTTCTCGCAGTATATTTTGTCTCTCTACTTCTTCCAGTCAAAAGTCAGAGCCTTTCCATTTTTTTAGTTTTATATATATTCACTATATTGATTTTTTAAACGTATTTCGTCTATATCTTTGTTTTATTATTTAATTGATTTTTTAATAGTATTTTTTTACTTAAAATAATACATCATTTAATTATACTACTATCATAAAATATAAATAAACAAAAACACAAGCAAAATATTTTTATCTATTTTTTTAATAATATATCAAATAATTACATTATTTCGACATTATACTTTTTTCCTTTTCAAATATCATTTAGATGTTTATAAAAATTAAAAAAATAATAATATTTTATTAATTAATATAAATATATAAGATATTTTTATGTATAATGTTATGTTTATTTTGTATTATAATGATATATTTTAATTTTAATATAAAATTAAGAATATTATAAATATTAATGTGTTATTACTTTTAAATGTATTTGGTACATAAAATAGAATTGTAAAAGAATGATAATAGAGAATTAAACTTGATATAAAAAAAATTAATATTCAATATAAAATACTCCCTCTGTCCAAGCAATAAGTATACATTTATTTTTGGCGCGAAATTTAAGAAATAATAGTATTTTAATTATAGTGGTTAGGTAAAAGTAGCATAATGACATTTTTGCTCTTTACTTTTTGGTATAAAAGTAATGGTATGATGTAAAGTAAAGGTATTTGTGAAAAAAGTATAGTATTTAATGAAATAGTTATTTAGTAATTGTACGTTTTAAAATAGCAATATGTACACTTGGATGGAGGGAGTATTATTTTTTATTACTAATACGTTTCTCATGTATTTTATCAAAAAACTGCTACAAACTAAGGGTGTGTTTGTCCTCCAAACTGCAAACTGCCCAGGTTTGGGCATTTTTACTGTGCAAACACATAGGCATTTTTATTGTGCAAACGTGTTTGCACAATAAAAATGCCCAAATATAGACTAAAGAAACAAATCCTAAATTCTATGTTATTTTTAGTTTGAAAAATTTTGGTTAGATTCTAGCATTAAAATAATATTTAATGGGATATTTTATGAAAAAAAAAATAAAAATACAAAATTCAAATAATAAAATTTGAAAAAATTTGATTAAGGAAACAATACTCTTAATTTTACAACTAAGAAAAATTATAAGAAAAAGAGCACACCCCTAATAACGAACATATTTTCTTTAATATGACATTCGAAAAATTTTAAATTTTTTTTTAATTACTCACAAATTTTTCATTTTATCATTTTTAATATAATTTAAAATTAAAAAAATAGAGGGCAAAAAGGGAAATTAGTAGATGATCTTACAATAGAAATGAATAAAGAAGTGGACTAGGGAGGTAAAGTAAATATATTATTTCTAATCAAATATGAATCTTACAAAGTCTAGTTGACACATTCTATTTTGCAAACTTAAGAAACGGAAAAAATATACCAAGTGGTTGTTAGTGTACATGGTAAATTTTCATATATATATATATATATATTGTCCATTATTACTATTTTTGTTTGTTCTATTTTATTTTATTTTATTTTTTTTTAAAATATAATTATACAATACATTTTAAATTTAAAATATAATTAAAAATATATAATTATATTTCAAAAAAAAAACACATCATATGGAACATATGTAAATAAAAAATAAGACGAAAGTATATGGGACTGAAAAAAGTATATATTAGTTGTAATAGATAATTTAGTAGTGCGGGTGTGTAACTTTTGATGCTTTCATCGAACCCCCCATAATATTATATATTGTCCTCTTCTTCTACAATTGCTATAAAATTCCTTACCCAAGCAAATCATTAAAAGAGAGATGATTTCAATATATTTTTTTTTTTTTTTTAAAAAAAAAAGAAGTATATATAAACAGAAGATCAATAAATTAAGAAATGAATTGCTGGATTCACATCAACCAAGTTGAAGAAGCACTAAAACTTTTATCATAGTGGATTTTTTTCTTTCATACTTTCTACTTTTGTAAAGCGTAAAAAAAGGCAGCAATTCCTACGTAAATGTCACAGCCCATATTAATATTACCGATCAACAAAATCATCACACACGAAAAATAAAAATTATGACAAAATAAAAAAGTTACAAAAGGGTTGAAAATTTCCACTTCTTCTGAATTCAGTGCCAAGAAATTGGTAACAGCCCCTGAGTCCATGATAAATAAAATTCCAAAAAAAAGACTTTTTAATGAACTGGTAAATTAACATCAAATCCAACTAACACCCAACAAAATTTATTTCTTTAAAAAATACTATATACTATTTTTTATTATTGTAAGTTTCTCAATCAATACAGATTTTAAGAAGAGGACAGAGAAGAGGAATAACAAAATGGTCCGAAAATGCAACGTGTCGAATTTTAAAACAAAACAAAATAAAATATATATTAATTAATTTAATTATCTGTATTTGTTTTTGAAAACAGTAAGGAAGAAGCCATGTGGGGTTTCTTGGACCATTTTTGTGCTTTGGTTACACCATCCCCCAGGTCCCTTGGATTTGCGCAAAGATTAGGTCAAAATCACACATGGTGTGCTTCAGTTTAGTTTGGATTAGAATCAAACCCACGTGGGGTCGCGCAGTCACACTCCCCTTGCTTTTGTCTCTTCTGCGTACAAATAATCTGTTTGTGTTTGATTGTTCCTTGCCCGATTGAAAAATCAAAGCCCTAGATAGATTATCTCAATTATTTGATGTTGTAGACTGTGGGCTTTGGTTTGCTTTGGCCATCGGGCTTTGGTTTTGAAATGGTTGGATCGATTGATTAATGGACGCCTCTTGCCATTTTCCGGAGACCGTTTCGAAGGAAGTTCTCGACGTCGGCGGAAGGCGGCCATGGGAAAGCGGTGCTTGGAGTCATCGACCTTAACTCAAATCAACTCAATCTGGTTTGTAATCGAAACTTCTGAGCATATTTTCAGTAGCCTTATTTCTTTCGAGAGATGAGAAATTGCGTTGGATTCGGCGTTGTGCTGAAATTGTGAAGCAATCGATGTGTGGGGTGTTGTAGAAATTTCCTGCAATTCGTAGGTTGAATTCTGATTAAGATAAACCCTAGCTAGAACAGGAACATGAACAGCATTGTTTTCATTCAACAAAAAAGTACAAAGCCACGAAGATCTTCAAGAAACATCTCCTTATTGAGCCATAACTTGCATTCACGTTCCTCGTCGGAAGAATTCAACAAAAACACATGATTATAATGATCTTAGCCATGTGATTGCGATCGGACTTCTTACTCTATGCACCCCATCTTTCCAGATTATAGCCCCAAATTCTGGAGCACTCTGCTTAGATTTCACCGTGAACGATATCTTATATGTTATCTTCTTAACTCTGCTGTTGAAGTTCAACCTTGCAGGCTCTACCTTCACCGATACGCCTCTGAAGGGCGATATTGCCGCGTGGTAACTTGAAACAGGCGGGCCGACATTGGTGGCCGTCCTGTGGAGTGTCAAAACTGTGGTGGCATTTGCACTCTCTGGGAAAACAGCTGAGATTGCTGGATAGTTCAAGTCGCCGGGACTGGTCAGATAATGCCGGCAAGTTCTGTGAGCGAATTTTGTGAAGGCTGCAAGCTCGGAGGATGTAAGGCCCTGAGCACACAGAAACTCGAAGTAATCCTGTGGTGTGATGTCGTAAACCATTCCAGGGTCGAGGGCTTGCACAGGATGAATGTGTCCTGCTCCGTGGTCGTAAGGAGTGGAAGGCAAAGCTGATGAGGCATCTTTGAGAGGATTCTTGGTGTTGTCGTGTATGTAAGCTGTTGTCATCAGCGCAGATTTTATTGCCGCCGGGCTCCAATCCGGATGCCTGGATTTGATCAATGCTGCAATGCCGCTGACATGTGGGCAGGACATTGAGGTTCCGGACAGGATGTTGAACTTGGTTCTTCGATGATCGGTTGGCAAACTGGAGGGTCCCAATTCCCCTGTCCAGGCGGCAAGAATGTTCACTCCCGGTGCGATCACATCGGGCTTTAGAATCTCCAGGGACAGGATGTTCGGTCCCCTGGAGGAAAACGCCGCCACTACAGGCGATGGCCGGATTCTTAACTTGGTTCCGAGGAATGCTAAAGTTGCGGTAGCATTTCTGCTTGATGCGGCGTAGCGCTTTATCATTTTCCCTGTCCTCTCCCCGACAGCAACAGCCGGGAGAAGATGACAATCCGCCACCAATTCCTCTCCGTTAGTCGCCGTGTTGGCTAAAATCATGCCAATGCCGCCTGCATCTTTAACCACCTGACCCTTCTGGACTCGAGGGCTGATGCCTCTGTCGCAAATTACTATCTTTCCTGCCACGGAATGCCTGTCGAGTGTTCCTTCGAGGCACATTGAGCTCGGCGTTATATTGCTCGAGTTTCCGCCGAGGTAGACTAATGGATACTGACTAACTACGGAGAGTTTCCTCTGCCCTTTGTAAAGTGAAGCTCCGGTCACCGATTTACCATTTCCGAGCTTAATTGTAGCCGGAAAATCTCTATCCATTGTGCTGGCTCCGACGGTGGTCACCCAAGGTGAGACATTGGTGAGGCTAATTGGATCAGGGCCGCCATTCCCAGCGGAGCAGGACACGAAAACTCCCTTCTCCATCGCCCCGAATGCGCCGACAGATAAACTGTCTCGAAAATAGGACGAGACTCCTCCTCCTAAGGAGATGGAGAGGACATTGACTCCATCAGCCACAGCTTGATCGACTGCCGACAGGATGTCGGAGCTGAAACAGCCTCCCGTCCAGCACACCTTGTAGGCAGCAACTCTCGCCCCCGGAGCCATTCCCCGAGCGGTGCCGTAGGCATAGCCGAGCAGATTTGCACCGGGAACAGGTGTGCCGGCAACAGTTGCTGCTGTGTGCGTGCCATGGCCATCTTGATCCCTCGGAGACTTGAATTCTTCTTCCTCATTGATCTTCCCTGAAGCTGCCTCATACCCTCGGTAGAACATTCTTGCACCGACAATCTTCCTGTTGCAGTGATGTCTGGCGAATCCGCGGCCGATTTCGCAGGCCCCTTTCCAGCGCCCTGGAACTGGACGCATGCCTGAGTCATTGAAGCTGGGGCTCTCCGGCCAGATTCCGGTGTCCAGGACGCCGACGACCACATCGTGGTTGGATAATTCATTCGACAGGGCGCTCGTGCTGTCTTCGTGTTCCAGGCCGAGGAACAAAGGGCTTCTGGTGGTGTGGAGCTGGTACACGGTTTCAGGGAATACCGCCGTGACACCGTCTTGTTCTTGCAGCCTTTGCAATTCTTCCTCCGTTAGCTGAGCAGCGACGCCGTGAAATGCCGTCTGGTAATTGTAGATTATTCTATCCTCTTCCTCTTCCTCTTCGTGGCTGTCTTCCGCCGCCTCAATTCCTGCTGCTGCTGCTGATTTTATCATCGAGGAATACCATTGCTTGTGGTCGGTGAATTCGTCAGGTTTTGCCTCGTTATTCATGTATATTATGTATGTCTTTTTTGTTGCTTTGCTGTTTGTTTCAGATGATGCTAAAATGGTGGAAGAAGCATGGAGCAGTGAGAAGACAAGAAGCAAGCACCACCATTTTACTGGTAAGTCTGCCATTCTTTTTGGCCAAAGATAAATTGAAGGAGCAAACCGCTGGTAAGCTAAAACTTGACGGTTTGCAAAAGGGTTGTTGATGAATCTATCCTGCAAAATTGATTTTCAGGCATGGATTTGAAATATCAGGGTAGGGGAAAGGAGGGATCTTTGGCTCAGCCTGGATTGCTGGGAGGGTAATAAAGGGGGTGGTTGCTTCATGAATGCTGGCTGTCTGATTTGAATTGGGTAAAAATTTGAGTAATTCAAGGTGTGTCGTGTCAATCATGGTCCCCCTTTATGTGGTGGGCTTTAAGAATTTTTAAATAAATCCGTCACCTCCTCCTCTTCCTCCTCCTCCTCCATTCTTCACAACTTTATGCTTGCTGCTATAGGTTGAAATGTGGTGGTGCCACATTGCCATTAAAGCTGGATGGTACTGCTGCCAAAGCACAAGGTACGACTAGACAATGCACTGCAAATACATTTCGCTTAAATGCTCCATGTGTGTGTCTCATGTGATCGTTGCAAGGTGGTGGGGTGGGGCCCTTTTGCCTCTCGATCACGAGGTGCTGCTTGGTGTGAAAAAAAAAATCATATGGAGTTTGGGGGGGTGGGTATCCATCCATGATATCTTCTTGGTTTTATGTTTGTTTACTTTGGACATGGTTTTATTGGAGAGGCTTTAGTAAGTGGCCTACGTAGGTGTATAGCATAATATTGATATGATTCTAATTCTAAAGTTGTACTTATATATTTATTATATATCCATGTTGTCAATGATTAACACTGAGACAAAGATTAGTAGTGATTTAGACAGTCATGATATTGTTGTCCTGTGATTCTTGGGGGGCACCCGGGAGCTCAACTCCCAGCTGCATCAACACTTAAAAAATCGCGTTTGCAGCTTCGTTCATGGTATCCTTCTATTAAAATCGTGTTTATGCCGTCAGCGACTTTATACTGTGCAATAATAATAAATGAGAGATATCTCTATAGTATAGTAGAGGAAACTGTTGGGAGCCCCCATCTGCTTTATCTCTATCTCTATCTCAATCTCTATCTGCCATCACGATTTATTATTTATTGCCCCAACGGTCTTTAATTCATTAATTACTTATTGACTGTTGTGTTGAGAGCAGAGCGGTTCCACCTCCCGCCATAATTGCTAGCTGCTGCAATTACGATATCGCCATAAATCGTGTTTTTATTATCTACCAATAATGGGCTGGCTGAATACACATTTGGGCCCACTGCCCAGGCCCAATTGGCATATTACCACTGCACCGCCTAGGTTAGGTTTGTTTGCATATACATATTTTCACATAATTTGCTATTAAGAATAACAAGAACCAAATGAGTTGTTATTATTTTCATTTTTATTTTTATTTCATAAAAAGTTTCCATCTAATTTTAAATTGAAATTAACGTTTCGTCCCTGCGTGGCATTGAGTCAGAGTTGTACCCATACCCATAGGTAAAATTGAGCAACAAATTAATTAATTAATTAATTACTAGTATATAGATAACACATTTTAATTACTGCCATGTAATGTGTGCACTACTATTACTCTTTGTTATAAATTAGGTCAATTAGATGTACATATAAACATGATCCATGCATTCCTTTCAAATTTTGTATACGTAAGTTTCAGTAACATGTATAGCCCAGCCCAAAGAAAATAGATAAGTACATCACAGCCCAGCCCAATGTCAACAAATACTTTGGGCCAATGTAATAAGCGAGCCCAGATCATATGTGTTGGAATGAAACAAAAGGCCCAATATTAAATAGCTAATTAAACAATTTGTTTGATAGTGTGTGGACAAAAGTGATTGGAATATGTGATTGTGACCATTTTTTTGTTGCATTTATGCACTAACTCATAAGAAAAAGGCATCGCCCTTGCAATTATTACAACTTTTAATAAAAAAAAATATAATTATTGATTTTTTCATAAAATATTAAATTAAAATAAGTATTTAAAAAGATCAAAATCAAACTAACAAAAACACACAACATTTTGTTCAAACAAAAGAAAATGCCAAAATCTCGACCGGCTAATGTTCACAACATTATTTGTGAATGAATAATCTCAAATACATAGGACGATATCAATATAAAGAAAGAGCCTTGTCATCAAGAAATCGCGAATTTGATATTTGTATCGACTAAAAAAATTTAATTTTTTTGTCTTTTAAATATATTTTTTTAAATTTTCTTATTTAGTAAGACGGTATTAGAATTTAGAGCATATTCAATAGAATCAATGCAGAATTCCTTCTGAAAATCCTAGTACAATCTTTAAGCATAATTCATTCTCAACTCTAAGATTAATTATAATTTACCGTAACAATAAAATAAAATAAAATCTTATATTTAATTTTAAGTTCCAAAACTCATCTAAATTTGACTATTTATTTATTATTGCACCGAATCATATATATATATATAATATTGTATTTTTTTGTATTAATTGAATCGCACGTTATTTCATTTCTTGAAATTTGTAATAATTAAATAAAAAAATTCCAAAATAAAAAGTTACTAGAAAAAGTTTGGTGACTCGTGAAGCAATCGGACAAAGAATCCCCATTATCGTATTATGGATGGATCGATCAGTCCCTATTATTTATAATTTTGGACACCTCATCATGTCATGCCTTCTTCCGAAAGCGATCTCGGAGTCAGGTTTACATTCAAAATATGTAATCAATACCTATTTATTTCGATTTTGCAAAATAAAAATACTTAATAATGTAGAATAAATATGTGACAGCAAAATAATGAATTCAAATTATGATACCAAATCAATAAATTTTTAAAAAATGGACATAAAATTAATCCACGGAAGAAATATTATTTATTTTTATGAAATTTTATATTAAAATAGTATCAAAATAAAAACTTCAATTTTTAATCCCCTAGACGAAGATTCATTCCATCACTGATAATAAATATCTGATTCTTATTATGAACCAACAAATTACCAACCTACGAACCAAAATAATTCGTTATGCAATAATGTCCCAAACTCACATGCCTACCAAAACCTCCTCCATCTTCTTCCTCTTCTTCTTCTTCTTCTTCCTCACCAATGCCGGCGGCGGAATCCACACCCCCACTCCACCACTCCCCATTCTCCCTCTACCAGCATTCTCACAGCTCAAATGGCAGCAGCGTGAGATCATCATGTTCCTCCACTTCGGCGTCAACACCTTCACCGACTCCGAGTGGGGCTCCGGCCACGAGCCCCCCTCCATCTTCAACCCCACCGCCCTCAACGCCGCCCAGTGGGCCGACGCCGCCGCTCAGGCCGGTATCTCCCTCATGATCCTCACCGCCAAGCACCACGACGGCTTCTGCCTCTGGCCCTCCAAATACACCGACCACTCCGTCGCCGGAAGCCCCTGGAAGAGCGGCGCCGGAGACGTCGTCAAGGAATTCACCGCCGCCGCCGCCGCCCGCGGCATCGACGCCGGCCTCTACCTCTCCCCCTGGGACCGACACGACCCTCGATACGGCCGTGTTGACCTCTACAATCAGTACTATTTAGCTCAACTCCAAGAACTCCTCGCCGAGTACGTACATTACAATTTTACATAAGTACTAAAATCTTCCCTGTCACAATTCATAGACTAATTTCTTGTCCAAAAACGTATGAAAATCTCAATCAGATATGGTGGGAACGTAAGAGAAATTTGGTTCGACGGGGCAAAGGGGTCCAATACCCCAAACATGACCTATTATTTCCAAGACTGGTTTTTTATGGTGAAGGAACTTCAGAGCTCCATAAACATATTTTCCGACGCCGGACCCGACGTCCGGTGGGTCGGCGACGAGCAGGGCTTCGCCGGCAAGACCTGCTGGTCGACAATCAATTCCACGTCGCTCTCAATTGGGAATGCCTCCATTGTCTCGTATGATCATCAAAAATTCACATCAATCAATCGAACCATAATTTTTTATATCTTAACTAACAATCGATTTCTTCCACATTATGCTTCCTATAGTTATCTGAACACCGGCGATCCAAAAGGGACTAATTGGATGCCGCCGGAGTGTGACGTGTCGATCCGAAAGGGATGGTTTTGGCACAAATCCGAGTCGCCGAAGAAACTGTCGGAGCTTCTCGACATCTACTACAAGTCCGTCGGAAGAAACTGTCTTCTTCTACTCAATGTCCCGCCAAACACCGCCGGTCTGATCTCCGACTCCGATGTTCAAAGATTAAAGCAGCTTCGACAAGCCATCGACACCATTTTCAGCGCAAATTTAGCTCGAAACTGCATAGTTCGATCGAGCAGCCAACGAGGGGGTGCGAATGGACCTTTCGGGCCTAACAATGTGCTCGACGACGATCACTTGTGGACATACTGGGCGCCGAGTGAGTCGGAGAAAAAAGACTATTGGATTGAGGTGAAAGCAGGGGATGGACAGAGGATTGGAACATTCAATGTTGTAAGAATTCAAGAAGCCATCGGATTAGGCCAGAGGGTAATGAAACACGAAGTGTACGCCGACGGGGTTTGCGTCGCGAGGGGGAGCACCGTAGGGTACAAGAAGCTTCATAGATTGGGAATCCATGGAGGTGTGACTGCAGCAACATCTGTGAAGATCAAGATTCTTAAGTCTAAAGGGATCCCTTTGATTTCTTCTCTAGGGCTGCATTTTGATCCGTTTTGGAAGCCTAAGGTTGCTCTAACTTGATTCATTTGCAAGAAAGAAACTTATAGATATGTCGAAATGTTCGATACATGTCTTTAGAGTGTAAGGAAGTGTTCTTCTTTGTTGTGTGATCCATTCTCTGTTAATTAACAAGCTTCAGGACAGGACATCCTCGGATTCGCGCGAAGATGGAGGCCGCCGCCGATCTGCAGAGTTAGCATAGTTCGATACTTGACAGGTTTGGTTTCGTCGTTCAGCTGGAACGAGAAGGCGGTCAGCAGCACAGCTGCAAAGACTTTCATCTGCCGGTAGGCGAACTCTTTGCCTAGACAGATCCTCGGGCCGGCCTGCATTGCGTTCGTCGGTTTCTTACAACCTCGGTTGTTATGTCATCAATGGTGTACAGCAAGAATGTTACCTGAAATGCTGTGAACTTGAAGGCGCTTTCTTGCTGGAACACGCCGTTGTCATTGATCCACCTCTCGGGTCGAAACTCCTCTGCGTCTTCGCCCCACAACGACTTCATCCTCCCCATCGCGTAAGGCACGTAGGTTACCATGTACCCCTTCTTCACGCTGAATCCATCCGGCAACGTGTCGTCGGAGAAGCACATCTTTCCATCCTACAACACAATCGAAGACAATGCGACAAGCTTACGATGTTGTAAGAGATCGATGTTCTTAGAACATCGATGATTGTTCGATCACCTGAGGGACTGCAGGGTATAGCCTGAGAGTCTCGCTCAAAGCAGCATGTAGGAACTGCATTTCGCCCAATGCTTCTTCGGTGATCCCCTCCGCTATCTCATCGATGCTCGAATTCGCTTCAATTCTTACACAGCGCCGCACTTCGCTCACGATCCGTTCTTGATAAGACGGGTGTCTGCACATCATGTAGAAGAACCAAGAAAGCGCGCTCGCCGTCGTGTCCTTGCCCGCGATTATGAAGCTTAGGATTATGTCCTTTAAGTACTTCGGATCCGTCTCGTCCATTTCCAAGAATCTTGACAAAATGTCCCCTTTATCGACCCCCTGTCGTAAAAATATTGAAATGATTGTTTCACTTAAAAACTTAAACTCGTAAGAAAGATGCAACTTACAGATACACTTCCATTCGATTCTCTTATCCGTTCGAGCTTGCTTCGAATGACATTGTACACGAACTCATCGACTACTTTCACTTGCCTACGCAGCTCAGCCTCTGATCCGATGCTGAGAACCCTTTTGAGTCTCCAAAACACGTCGATGTATCGATAGCACGTCAATTCACTCGCCCTGTCGAACGCGACGGAGAATCGCGCACCGGCTGCATTCGTTCCACCCATGCTGTCAAGGTCGACGCCGAGCACGACCTTAAAGACAGAGTCGAGTGCAGACTTCATAAGCATGTCCTGAATTTCGGCAGCCTCATCCGATGCAACAGCTGCAGCCACCATTCGAGCGAGCTTGGCGGCGTTGCGCTTGAACACGCCGCCGCTGAATTCTTTCAGGTTTCGTGTGGAGAATTCGAAGCTCGACATCTTCCTCTGGTGTCGCCATTTCTCGCCGTCAACTGTGAAGATTCCTTCCCCGAGAAGATCTCTCAGCAAGTCATGGTGCAAGTGCCCCTGCAAGGACTCAGATATTATTGTCTTCGTCATAAAAACTTATAACACAGCATCAAAGAGACATAAATCTACCTTGCCGTAGTTGTCGAAATTGGTCTTGAGGATGTACTCGACGTTGGCAGGATCTGAAGTGTAGACATCGCTGTTGTTCGGGTAGAGGATTCTGAAAGTTGCGTCCTCTTGAGCCAGATCGGAGATGAAGTCGTGCAACCGATCGAAGTTAATCAGGGAGTGGATCACCGTGCCTCTCACCGGATGATATCGCTTCTTCTTCGATCTCGACAGGCGCAAAATTATCCATGCTCTTGCAAATGCAACAGCTACACAAGCTGTCAAGAACAACGTAGGAATAAACATGGCCATGGCTAGCTGTCCTGTTTCTTAATTTTGTCGAAGATATACGATCGCACAGAGGTCAACTGCCACAAGTTCAACTTTTTTTTGGGCTCTTTTACGAAAAAAAAGGTCTAAACCAACCACTGGTTCGAACTGGCAATTCACGGCCGAAGCACCTTGAAACTAAAACTAAAACCGAACCTTAAAAACATCGGATCATTAAACGACTCCGCCCTATTGATTGTCTTTGTCTCAATCAGAAAAAACCGAAAAAAGGATGTAGCCTGCTCTAAATAAATGATCGAAAAGTACATAAACTAGCAGCCAAAATAAAAATATTTTGATAAAATACAGTAAAACATAAATGATCAACTACGTATTCTAAATTCTCTCATGCAAACATCAAACTAATGCTGAAAGAGTTTCACCATTTCCGGTAGTTGTTATTACCACCCCGGCCTCTTGCGCCGCCGCCATGGCCTCGAGAGAATCTATCGGCCTGCTGAATAGAAGAAGCAAAGCCACCCCTCCCGCCGCCATCGCCTCTGCTGCCTCCGCCACGATACATTTTATCATTTCTTCGATCAGAGGGAGGATATCCCCCTCGTCCACTCAAGAACCTACCATCTCTCCTGTCGTGAAAGCCGCCCCGGCCTTCGCCACCGCGCGTCCGCGACTGTCCCCTTCTTGCATGGTCACGTTCTTGCAAGCGCGGCAACGATTGCACGACCTCTAGGCTTACACCGGGAGCATTTTTCTGGCCTACACACACAACAGGAATCGCTCAGAAAGGTTGTTTGCTGATCAAACTTGTCAAAAACACTAACCAACGAGGAAGTTGTCAAGATCTGCTGCAGGCACATCGAACACAGCTCCATTCCCATCGGCTGTCAAGCCAAGTCCTTTGATCAACTTCACCTTCTCCTCCAGCAAGAATCTTCGAAGAACACCGTATGCAAATCTGGCATAACACAATAACTTTAAGTAAGGTCATATGGAAATAAAGTATGGATGGAAGGTAGTCGAAAGGACTCACGATGCAGTGTATATCGGCCGTCCACATTGGAGGAGGACAGTGACATAATTCTCCATTGAAGTGAGAAGAGATCGGCTCTTGATCTCGGTGTAGCCCTTGATCATCGACGAAGTTAGAAAACAGAAACGTCGAAAAACCATGGAATTAAATCAAATTATGGATATTTGGTTAGAAGACCTACAGCAGCCTTTGCCAGGGCCTTTGCAAGCAGTTCCGATGGCGATAGAGCAGATGAAGTGAGCAGCTCTTCAGCGACAGATTTAAACACCGGCACAACACTAAAATGTTTCCGAATGCATTATCAATATCCGGTAATCGAACATTCATAAATCTTGCACAGAAAGACTTACCTATCAGAGATCTCCATGATTTTCTTTGCAGCTTCTGTGCCAGCAGCCTTTGCTATATCGGCTGGCTGAGGAGCGGATTTGTGCTCGAATTTAACTCCCGACTCTCTTTCTATCTTGGAGAAATTCGACTTCTTTGGATCATAAAGCATTACAGCTACGCCACTCTTCCCTGAAGAAATCAAGAAATTCATCTAAACTCTTCAGTTTTAGAAAAGTAGAAATTTTTACAGAGGATGGATGATGGGTACTCACCTGCCCTGCCTGTCCTTCCAGATCGATGAATGTATGCTTCGACATCTCGAGGCGGTTCACACTGGAGCACATCGAAACAAATCATTAAATCACAGGGCAAGAACCATCATAATCATCAATACTACTACAATCAGCTCCAAATGAAATCAAGTAGCAAAACCTAAAGGCAAACCTGAATAATTAACTGAACATCGTCGATATCCAATCCTCGTGCAGCCACATTTGTAGCAACAAGTGTCGAAAATTTCCCTGACCTGAATCCAGAAAGAGTGACCTGAAAGTATATCCAGTGAAATTAATTTAGTTTCATGGCAACTCTAACAAGATTTTCAAAAATCCAAGAAAGAATTTTCAAGTTATATAACTAGCCGCAAGGAATCTCACCTCGCGTGTAGCCTGTTGTATATCTCCATGCAATGCACGAGCGCCGCATAGCAATCCAGCCAGTGTCGAAGCAGAATCCTTTGTCTCTGTAAAAATAATAGTACGCCCTCCGCTGCAACAACACACGAGCAATAGAGAATGTTTGTTTTCATAATATCTAAAGATCATCACACGGATTGACTAGCACAGACAGAAGAAAACCGACCTACTATAACAACGGATGATATCAGGAATAAGTTGGGATCTGGCAGAGGTCGCGCAAGGAAGAACAATATGCCTCACATTGGTGCTGGCCTTCATTTTCTCATTCCCAACAAGATCTGCCGTCTGCTTATCTCGTTTCAAGAATTTCGTGGCAATCTAGCATAAAAAAATGCTGCTCATGCTCGGAAGAAAACGATACTAAATAAAAACACAAGAACAGAAGATACCGTTGCAAGCGAAGCGATACAGAATTCAACTTAATAAGAATCAAACCGTCGTATGCAGAAGTAATAGGCTTACATGCTTGACCCAATCCGGTAAGGTAGCACTGAAAAGAAGCGTTTGAACTTCGCTAGCATCCTTTACCTTGCCTTCAAAATTCAATAAAAAATGTTTATCATGATCACTTAAACAGAGACAAAGGTGTTTGTTTGTTCATACATCACATATTTCTCTCACACTTACCTAGAATAAGTTCGACATCTTCTACAAATCCCATTCTCAGCATCTCATCAGCCTCATCAAGTACTCGAAACTTTAGCGCGCTCAAGTCTATATTCCCTCTCTCTATGTGATCCTACAGATCAAGTATCTCGATACATAAGCACATCATAGGTTAGCGCAGCTTGTATCAAAGCATACATACCTTTATGCGACCAGGTGTGCCGACAACAATGTCTACACCTTTCCTCAATTGAATGTGTTGTGGCTGGTAGGGAGAACCTCCATACAAACAACATGATTTCAAGCTTAATACACCACCATACATCTCAAAGTCAGCAAACACCTGCAATCAATCATATATCATTACATTAATGATTGATTTCTAGCAAGAAGATAAGAATTCAAGCAACAATGGATGGAATTAATTCAATTGCCTGTGTGGCCAATTCTCTTGTGGGTAAGAGCACAAGAACGCTCGGTGATCTTCCATACCCTGTTCTTCTCATCGTCTTTGCTGGACCATTTGTCAATGACTCCAATATGGGTAGCACAAACGCCAATGTTTTGCCCTAATTCGAGATTCATACGGTTAGGTAGCTAATAATCGATCTAATACCAATTGAATCGAGAATATACGAACACCAAAGGATGAATCAACAAGCAACGTAATGTTAATGATACATTTAGAAGATCCAGGATGCGTATTGCCCTAGCAATCAGTGATCTAACGCTTGAAACAACCAATTTGGGGAATTAAGGGGAAGATTCGTTGTGAATAAATTGTAAGGATAACTGACCTGACCAGTGCGAGCTCTTCCAACCAAATCAGAGCCATCGAGAATGGCGTTAAACGTCATGGACTGAATCGGAAACAGCGATTCTATGCCTTTCTCCTTCAGCATCTCCCTCAGCGGCTCCGAAATCCGGAAATTGGACACGGCGTTAGGGTTTTGGTCCTCCTCCTCCGCCGCCTCATTGTATAATTCGAATTTCATCTTCTTTTTCTTACTCATCGGCGCCTCGATCTCTGTACGGAACTCATGAATCTCCTCCTCCGCAGAATCATCGCCGACGATCCGCGAAGTTCTTCGCTCTGATTTCTCCTTCTCCTATTTTTTTTAATAATGTTTTCTGTGGATGGCACTCGAAATAGATCGGTTAGTTTTTGTACATCTGTTCGACTTTTTCTCATTTTTGATCATTTTTCACAGCAGTCAGAGTCCTCCCAAATTTCCGGAGCCTCTGCCCTCTTCATTTTCCCTCCATTTTCAAATCGATAATTGAGATTCTCCTACAATGAATGGCGATTAACAGAAATTGTCTGCAACCTCATGGTCATACGTACATCCACACACATGCATGCACGTACATATATATGGCTATGGTGTTTTGTCTAGCTCTGATGCTGCCGGAGAGCAGAGAAGCAAAGTGGAAACGGCCAACGAGCTTGGGTATAGCGAGTTTATCGGCCATGGCGGTTGAGACATTCGTGGCCGTTGGATTGGGGATCGTGAAGATTTCTGTGCACCTATTTTACACGATAATTTTTTTTAAAAAAAGACCACTATATGTATATGAAATTTAATGCTATTTATTTATTATTTACAATATTATTGTTAGGGTGGGTTTGTTCGGGGATTTAATTAGATTTCTACTATTTATTCCATTTTTTTTTTAAAATAATCAAATCAAACACCTATTTTTTATTTTTTATATTATACTGAAAATCAATTTTATATTCAAAACATAACATCAACACCTATTTATGTCACATCGTACAATTATTTAAATTCAAAATTTTTACTATTCAAATTCCAACTCAAAATCCAAAATCCAAACCACCGAACAAACACACCCTTAGTGTATAACAATTATTTTTATTTAAAAAAATGTATTCCGAGTCCGAAAGTTCTAATTTTTTTCTTACAAAAATATTACACTTAATATTCATTTTTTATAAAATATTAAATTATCGCCTCAAATATTTTTTAAACAAAATTACTTTTTTTTTTATTACGTAACAACTTGGACCTGTCTTGTAGATTACGTGGCATAAAGAAATCCAGCCGGGGGAGTATAAATTGTTAATGTCTCTCTTTTTTTTTTCTTTTTTCTTTTTTTTTTAATTGTATTTTCCATATAATTAAAAACTATATCTAAATAGAATCTTAATTTTTGTTACTTTTTTATGTAAAATAGTTTTTAGATACATTTTGTGTAAATAAAATAATATTGTATTCCTGTACATTCTGGTTCAAAACTACTAACAGAGAATGACAAAATTAAAAATGTATGTATGTGTGGTTGCGATTTAAGGAACTGTTTGGCAATATACTGAAAGCATTTTCGTAATATAAGATGTATATATTATATTTATTAAGATAATATTTTAATAATAATAATAAAATCAAACTCTAGGTATCAATCTGATAATACAAGCACACCTACCTTAATTATGAAAAGAAAGGGACATTAATATTTTTAATAGAAAAACTACATGTTGATTACTCCAAGAATGGTAGCAACAATGGTCTATTTATAATATTTTATAGGCTCTGGTAGGTACATGCATATTTTTTTAAGTTTTAATACTGCATTATCTATTATTAATAATTTTTATTATATCAGTATTTATTTTATCTGATATTTAATTTTTTATTATTTTAAAAAAATTTAAAACTTCAAAAATACCTATAGATATTATTCCCTGGCGACTGCAAATTATTATGGGCCATACGTTCTCTTTTGGCTGTCACCTATGCTACTTTTTAGCGCGTTTTATTTACATGATAGGGACCTTTTCGTTTTTTTATCCAATATCCCTTGCCATGCCCATTATTACTTTAAATATATTATTACTACTACTATTTAATAATTAACCAAGTAAAGTAGTAAAGTGACCATTAGGATTGTATCCCTTGCTTCCCACTTCAACTTTGTCTTATTTTCTAGCCTCAAGTTTTTATCATTATTTCAAAATCAATTTTTTGGTAGGAATGGAACATCATGGTCTCAATTTATTTCTTCTAACAACATCAAATTAAATTCATATATTAAATTTTGTATATTACACTCAAAATAATATAATTAGCACTTATTTATATTAAAATCTATTCAAAATTCAATATAAAGTATACCTACAAACAAACACACCCTGTACTACATTACATTACATTAGATATGGTGTGCAAGTGCAAAGTGCAATGCATCATCATATGTATTTGTGCCCCTCCATGGAACAACCTAAATGGCATGTCCTAATGCAACAAGTACACCAATTAAAGCCACAAAAGAAAAAAATACCCACATCAACTATGGCTTCAATCAAACCTCAACTTATGTGTGTATGTAATAATTCGATTCATTTATGATAAGAATTATTATTATGTAATAGAGAAATAGGAACCTTTATATATTTACTTACCGGGATGAAAAAAGAACCAAAGAAGAAATCAATGAATGAATCTTGATTCTCTGAATTCTTTGATCTTTCTCTTCATTTCCATTTATACCCCTTTTCTTGAAACTTGATTCTCTTCAAAACTCCCTCCACAGCTAAATCGAATGCATCTTTGATGCCCCCCTCCAATCCTTTATCAGAATTTGCATAAATTATGTTAGGGATATGTTCAATCACTTTTTCCCTCATTCTTTTCACCTTTTCTCTGCTAATCTTCTCCAACACGGCTTTTACCGAAGATGTCCCATTCTTCACGGCCTCCCGGTCTATGAAAACCGAATAGCTCCCCGGTTCGGCCGGGAGGAACCACTCGTACTGCAAGTAAGCCGTCCTGTGCCAGAAGAAAACCGGGATCGAACCGGCCAGCATGCAGTCGAAAACCGAGCGGCGAGTGAAGCTGTCCCCCCGCGGCTGCAAGCAGAAATCCGAGTGGAGGAAAGTGTCGAGAATAACCGAGCTGCCGTTGGCGCACTTTGAACCGCCGCAGTCGACGACCCGGCACGAACCGGGTTCAGAGTAGCAGTGGTTCAGCAGGATTCCCCTGAAATCGTTTTTGATAAAGCCGCGAGTCGCGCCGGCGAAGCAGAAGAGCGTGCGGCGGCGGCGGCTTCCGACGAACTCTTGCCAGATTTTGACGTCGGAGACTGATTTCGGGTGGAATCCGGTGGGGTAAGGGACGCCGACGTCGAAATAGTCCCAAGGATTCTTCTCGATTAGCAACCGTGTGATGTTGCGCATCTTCGGCTTGTAGATACAGCTGGACCCCCAATCGGAGCCCTTCGACCGACGGAAGTCCCACGAGATCCTGCCCATGGTGATGAAATGATCCCAACCGTACGATTTTTTGAAGGAAGGCTGATCGCTCACCCAATCTAGCATCAAGCTGCAGTGGCGATCGCGCTCCTCCGCCGTGGAATTTTGGGCGAAAAGTGGCCGTTCGAGTGCGAGTCCGGTGTAGAGGGGGATGTAGAACGCCGCCGCGGAGGCCGATTCTAGGGTACGGCAACGGTAATTGAGCATTCGGCGGTGGTAAATGGGCTCGAGGGAAAATTGATCGGTCCAAAACCACGCGGAGCTCACATTCGTCGGCACAATTCTAGAAATTTCCAAAGCGGCGGTTCTCCCGAACCCTGCGTTCGAAAGCGCGTCGCACCGGGAAGACCAGGGGTTGATGTTGTGGCAATTTTTCACAATTTCGGAGTTGAACTGCGGCGGAAGCTCGTAAACGTACACTTCCCCATATGGACAATTCCGATTGATTGCGTGAGCCTTCGAATTTCCATCAATTGAACTTTCCTCACTCGTAATCGGATCGTTGCGTAAGGCAGGGGCGGGGCGGGAACTCTGAGAAGCGGCGGAGTAGAGCGAGAACGGGAGCGACGGCGCGGAGAGGATGAGGAGTAGCTGAAGCAGCACGACGCCGAGGAAGAACCACGACCGCCGGTGGTGGAGGGAGATGTAGGGTTTGAACGAGGCGAAGTAGGAATGCCTACGGTCTAAAATATCGACTGCTTTCGGTTTGGAGATAGGCGGCGGCTCGGAAACAGGAAGCATTAGGAAGTGATTCCCGGCGAGCGCGCCGGCGGAGAAATAGCGACGGCGGCAGAGGCAGCGTCCGTGGCGGTGATGATTGGTGGAATCTAGAATGGAAGGTGAGGATTGAATTAAATGAGGAGTGGCTAATGATCTGTGGGCGCGTGCTCTTGTGGGTTTATCGCCATAAACCGACAGCTATTTAGCCGGCCAGGTTAAGGCTGCGTTTGCCATAACCATATATTGTTATAAACTTTTGTAGACTTTTACCATTTATAAAAAAATTCCAAAAAATCATTAAACTAAATTTTTATTTTTTATTATTTCTTAAACAACAAAAAATATTTTAAATATAAAATACTTAGAATTCTTTATTAATATTTTATACTATTGATTTATTTATATCATATTAAATTAGCATTATGCACCGTATAAGTAACATTTTTATTTATATATAAAAACCGGTTATCTTTCCTTTTCCTACCTATCTATCTCCCATTGTCTAATATTTCTATATTAATACCCATAGGTTACTTTCGTTAATTGAATATTCAGGTAATATCAATTTTTTTATGTAGATAGTATTGTGCCATGTAAAAATTAAAGCTACGTGTTCTCTGTCTATTATTTAAACTAGTGTTTTATAAAAATATTCGATATTATATGTAGTATATATTATATTTTATACTCCCTCCGTCCCATAACAAAGTATTCAATTTTTTTTAGTAACTGTACTATCTACCCAACATTACAAATACTCTTACAACTTACAATATATTACACAAATGTCATTACTTTTATATCACACGTACTAATAAGGTTATTTTGGTCATTTCTACTATATCTCAATATAATACTAATATTTCTAAAATTACGTGAAAAACAAATAGATACTTATTTCTGGGACGGATGAAGTATTATAATTAATTCAAGAGTTTATAAAGTACTAATTAAAAATTCAGAAAATACAAGATCAAATTTTTTTGAAACGCATTTTAAATATAGTACATGATATCTGAATTTTTTATTGATGATACATCAACTTTTTAATAATATTATCAGAAGACTTGAACGATTCTATCTAAAATAATAAGTACTATTTTTCTCAATTAATTCAAAAATAACAAACTTTATTTATTTATTTATTTTATGACGTAGGAACCCGCAGCCGGTATTCGAAAGTGCGCACTGGATAAACCTCCTATCCAACCTAATACCCTGCAAATTAGGTCCGACAAAAAAAAAAAAAGAAACACACTTTTAAATGATATAACTTTCATCTTCTCTATAGACTGTTGATGGAAAATTCAATGATATGAAAATTTAATATTTTAATTGTGAAGAAAAAAAAAACTCAAATATCACAAAACACTTTTTTTTCTATATATAAAATAATTCTTAGACCTAAATTTTATATCAAACATAAAAGTTGAATATAACATAATTTAAAAATAGTAAATAATTTATTATGTACACAATAGTAAAATAAAATCAAAAATTAAGTAACGTTTAACTTATGAACTATGAATATGTTAAAAGACTTTTCAATGACAATAATTCAAACTAAACTAAAGCCAATGGGAGCTGCCATTTGCGACTTTTAAATCAAAGCATAGCTGTTAACTATGCGACGTCGTTTTAGATTTCCCTTCACTTATTGTTTCTTTTTTCCCACGCTTAGGTCACATGTTATACACTATTTGTCTAGCGTAACTTTTTCGTTGGGCCTAATTTGCAGGATATGAAATTTGATCGGAGATTTACCCAATACGCACTTTCGAGTAGCAGCTGCAAATTCTCACGTCATTAAAAAAAAAATTGTTAGATTATAAAAAAACTAAATAATAGTCCAGTATTTTTATAAATTAAGTAGTGAAGTATTCCCGCTTGAGGGCTATAATTCAAGTTCGACTTTGGATGCATGTATTCTTTAGAGAAAAGAATTGTTCATTAAACACATTCATTATATTCAAATAATTATTCAAATTTATTTTTAGTATTGAAATGCAAACTTAAATTATACACTGAAAAAATTAAAAGAATAATCCACACTTTATAGATATCACATATAACTCATATATTTTTTTTGTTTAAAATAAAAAAAAATCATATATTTTTATTATTTTGAATTGAATTGACGGTTAAATATATATATTTGAACATATTCAATTAATATAAAAATATTAACTTTATAATTATAATTGATCGAATATGAATAGACAGATGTCTGTATAATCAACAATATTATCAACCTAACGACTGCGGCTCACTAGAGACGATGGAATGACGTTTTGGATCCACCTCATAAAATGTTGAAAAAGTGGAAATATCGCCTAAATTTCATTCACTGGGTTGCAAATAATATTATTATAGACCTTTTTTTTTCTAGCTTATGGTTTTTTATTGAATTTCTTTACGAAATTTTTATTATTTTATAATTTTATAATTAAAAAAATATCCATCCAAACATAGAGTTTTATTTACATAATACACTCTCACTTATTTAATACTATTTAATTTTTTTTTAAAATCATATAAATACTTGGTATCAATAAATTTACACGCTAGCAGAAAGATATTGTAACAAAGAGTATTATATATTCATTGTAGGCCCAACTGATAATATTTTAGGCACGTGGCGAAATCGTTGGTGGCCACCTGTACCTAATCGGATCTGTATTCTCCGAGCAGCCGGTCGAGAATCTCGTATGGCAAAAATGGTTTCTAATAATAAATTCTAAACAAAATAAATATAAATAAATAAATTATCTGCTCCATCAATGCTGGAAAAGGAAAAAAAAAAAAAAATCGCTAGAAACTAGCCTATTGACTAATATTCCCAATTGCGACCAGAGAGACGTATCTCCCTCAAATCGCAAGTTTCTGCTGATAATTTGTTGGTCGGGCAATGGGGGCGAGGAAGGATTTCGGGGTTTCAGTGTGTATTTGTGCGATTGTTTTGGTTTTTTGTCCAATTGCCGGCAATTCCGCGAGATCGGAGGACGATATTAGGGAAAAATTCTACGGGAATCTGATCAATACCTCAACCACCGACAATGACGAGGGGAGCATCGCCAAGATGTTCGATCGCGTGTTGGAGAAAGAGTTCTCCGAAAATGATCAGTCCGAAGGTTTTACCGTTTCTAAATTTTTCGCCATATTCCTGTTGTTGGCTAATTTTGTGTTGCTCCAAGCTGCTGTTTATGGAAAAAGATTTTTTTTTTTTCCTCTCCTTTCTTTTTTTTTTCAATTGGTTGGATTTGGTTTATGAAAGTTCTTCATTTGCATTTGATACTTCCGTTTCTGCTGTAGAAAATGTTAGCAACGATGAGATAAGTCGCTGTTCTTAAGATTTAGGAGTGATTCTGTGATTTTGACATTTGGGTTTCGTTTTATTATCGTGTAACCCGATCAATGGAGTTGGTCTAGGCATTCAACTATTGACAGTAGATGGTAATTTAATTTTCCATTCTGTGTAATATAATACTATAGGATCTTTGGAGGTGGGATCCATATGTGTGCTACATGTTAAAATAGTTGGTTTTCATATGATATAATAGAAATGTGGTCCAACTGTTAAAATATTGACTCATTTTGGTCATCTTTCTAAAGGCTCCGATGGAAGCAGCTTCAACAGCAGTGTGGCTGATCAACAGGTACGTATGTGTATCCCTTAGGTGCATTGAAGGTTGATCTATATTTCAGTCACCAGCTTGAATATTATGTAGATTCAAAGATGTTTTGACATTAATGTTATATCTTGTTATCATTGCGCTGGAGAAAGATGTGCTGCAAAATCTGGATATAGGTTTTGTTTCTATGTATTTTGTAATGCTTCTGGAAGTTTGCTTTATGTTATGATCACACATGGTTTGATTGCTCTTGGTAATTCGAAGATACTTATGATGAAAACACAAGATAGCATATTGTGCAGGAAACATTGGTGAGTTTTTAGGAGAGAATATATACACTTTGAGGAGGCTGTTTTTTGATGTGTAATTTTTCTGAGGACTTCAGGAGAAATCGTCTATAGTAACATTTATCTGTTTACATTGAGAGAAAAGTGTCCATCTATAGAAAATTTGCAGAAAGTAATTCAAAGTCCACAACAGTTATGACAACCTGTGTTTCATGTGTGATTGAAACATGAGATAGTTGTGTTTCAGTGTTATTGGTCGAAGATGGTTTTGCTCTGTTTTCAGCATGGAACTATGACTTTGCTGCTTTGTTCCATCTTACAAAATTGAAGGCAAATGTTTCCGATACATTTAGCATGATGTTATTTGCCGTATTTTGTATCTAGTGGTTTGTGTACAACGTGCAATGTAAACTCTTGGTAAATAGACTCATGCTCCCCAGTTTAAGACATGTTGCCAAACTGGTAAACATTTTTATTTTTTGCAAACCATATACTTATGTTTTGTATTATGTGTTAATTCATATTATGTGAACATATATAAACCATAAAGAACAAAATTAGATTGTTATCACATGGCGTAGACAGTTCCAACTTATTCTGTTTTATGTTGTTTTTACAGGCTGAACTAGAGACTGTTGCGAAAATCTCACATGACAAGATGAAGAAGAATGATACTAAAGAGGCTAAGTAAGGAGATGATAATAAGTTGCTCTTTGCCTCTTCCTACTCAAATAAGCATTAAGTTCTTGTATTTTTAATCAATTTTTTTGTAATCTTACCTGTTTGTACTCTTGTAACAGTAATACAAAACACTTCCAGTTACAAGATGTGTTTGCTCTTGAAAACGATGATTCAGAAGACATAGAGACTCTAATAGATAAAAAGGTATGGCCTAATGTTTTTAAGGAAATCAGAATGTAGATTTCTGGAATTAAAATCCTGCACATTTATCATGTTAATTACAGGACAATGTATTCGTAATGTCAAAGAAGAAATCAAAATATCCAGTGCTTCAGGTGGATTTTAGGTAATTCTTTCTATTTCCTTTTTAGTTGATTCTAACATGAAGCCCTATTTTCATTATCTAAAAATCCTTCTTTTGCATGCTTCTTCTGAAATTGATGTCATTCATCTTGACACAACAACAATGATTTTGATATTGAATTCATGCATCAAAATTTTGTAGGCTAATTTCAGACTTGGTAGTTCTGATAGTTTCTGCTGCCATTGCTGGAATCATCTTTTCCTGTTTAGGGCAACCGGTTTGTACCTGTTGGTCGCTGTATTCTTCTTATCTATACTTTTATTTACTTTTCCATTTAGTATGTTATGTGCATTCATAAACCATAATTTTCTGATTTATTTGGTTTTTCTTTAAGGTTATCGTTGGGTATCTCCTTGCCGGTTCACTTATTGGACCAGGCGGTTTAAAATTTATCAATGAGATGGTACAGGTAGGTCTGCTCTGGGTGTCTGATTCCTTTTAGTGCTGAATCATTTCTTAATTTTGGAAAGATTGATGTAATCCTTTAAGCATGGAATGTTTTGTAACTATCTTTGCATTCTCTGTGCCCATATGACAGCGCATGTACATTAAACGCCCATGAAAATTATGTCCTTCATTCTTTTCCACAATTATAATTTAGAGTAATCGCTCCTAACTCATGTTGCAGGTTGAGACTGTTGCTCAGTTTGGTGTTGTTTTTCTTCTATTTGCTTTGGGTCTGGAATTCTCTTTATCAAAGGTGCAGTTACTGTTACTTTATTTTTCTCTCCTCAGTTATAATCTTTGGCCAATTTTTCATCTTTCCTTCTATAATGAATCCTAATATGCGGTTCTAATGCAGCTTAAAGCTGTGGGCCCTGTTGCTATTCTTGGTGGATTGCTTCAAATATTCATTCTTATTTTCTTGTGTGGCATAGTTGCCGGGGTACTACTCTACTAGTTTTCTGTTTTCCTTTGCTCCGGATGCTTTTTATTAGTATAATATTGTAGGTTTTCACTTGATGCAGTTATGTGGAGCAAAGTTGTCAGAAGGCGTTTTCGTTGGTTGCTTTCTCTCAATGTCATCAACTGCAATTGTATGTATCCAGTTAATTCTTTCATTTTAAAAAAAAATTTAAAAAAAAAAAAAGAAAAGAAAGAAAAGACTTTGTTTTGATTTGTGGAGGTTAAATAAAAGCACTATCATGATACCAAATTGTTGTGTTTTTCCACATAGGTAGTGAAATTTTTGGTTGAGCAGAACATAAACAATTCTCTTCATGGTCAAGTAACTATTGGAACGCTAATTTTTCAGGTTTTCTTTCTTTTTTTCAATTTTTAGTAATACTTTGCTAGCCTAAAATACTGAACTTAATCTTTTATCTTTTCTTTTTGTCCCCATTGGATGAATTTCATTCTTTCTAGGATTGTGCTGTGGGCTTGTTATTTGCTCTGCTTCCTGTCCTTGGAGGTAACAGTGGCTTTTTGCAAGGAATTTCCTCCATGGGAAAATTGTAAGCCACAAAGATACACACTTATATTTTACTTTAATCTTTATTATGCATCCGTACATGCTTATCGTTTTTGGTCACCTGATTTAATTGTTGATTTCAGATTGTTCACTCTATCCGTCTACCTTGGAATGGTTTCTGCGCTGACTTGGTCTTTTGTTCCCTGGTTTTTAAAGTTGATGATGCAATTATCATCCCAAGTTAGTCAATCGCAATCTCATTGCGTGTATATGTTTGTTTATTACTTTATTCATCGAGAAACTGTGGTTACCTGCCTGTGAAAACCTATTGTGAACATGCTTTCAAGTTTTATTCTGCCGTTCACTAGTGTTCATTTATGGAGGTTGAATGTGTTTTTTTAGACGAATGAGCTTTATCAACTGGCTGCAGTGGCATTCTGTCTGTTGTCAGCTTGGGTAAGGACAACATATTGATCATATATTCCTTCATTCGCATTTTTTATATTTGAATCGAACGGTTACAATCAAGCTCGCGAAAAGTGTCATGATCCAAATAGCTTATTAATTTCCATGTTTCAGTGCAGTGATAAACTAGGCCTAAGTCTCGAATTGGGTTCCTTTGTTGCTGGGCTCATGATCTCCACCACCGAGTTTGCTCAGCATACCTTAAAAGAGGTATGTTTCGACAGCTTTAATTTCCCTGACGCTATGATTCACCCAAATAATAATGATCTGTATTGCTTGCTATATTTCTTGTAGGTTGAACCAATCCGCAACTTCTTTGCTGCCCTATTCCTGTCCAGTATTGGAATGCTCATTAACGTTCAGTTTCTCTGGACTCACGTGGATATATTGCTCGCCTCGGTAATTCTGGTTGTTGTTGTGAAGACAGCAATCGCTGCCGGTATTACCAAGGCCTTTGGATACAGCCTCAGGACATCGACTATTGTAAGATACCACGATCTTTTTCCTTATTTTCTCCTAATCTAACACCTACCCGTATCCATCCATACATCCAATCTTTTCACAATCCCAGGTTGGAATATCATTGGCGCAAATTGGAGAATTCGCCTTTGTTCTTTTGAGCCGAGCAACAAATTTGCATCTTATTGAGGTGGATCCCTTCTTCCAGTCAACTTCCTAGACACTGCTTCCCTTATTTTTCCTTTTTTACGTCGACTGAGGATTCTGTTGAATAATTTGCAGGGCAAGATGTATCTCCTCCTCCTCGGAACAACAGCATTTAGTCTTGTAAGCTCTTTCCATAACCACGCGAATCTCCACAATCAATCCCCTTATTACATTCGACTGACACCTTCTCTGCAGGTCACAACTCCGGTCGTGTTCAAATTAATACCTGCTATACTACACCTCGGCGTTCTCATGCACTGGTTGCCCTCCGAGAATGGAAACAACTCTACAGTAATACTTTCGACCTGGTCTTATTATTCCTCATACATATTCAATACATACATTCCAACCCTTTACAAGTAAACAATGATCTGGAAACGCACATTTCTTGTTGCAGGAGAAAGTTCCCATGGTTCAGATCACATGACAGAAGATGAAAGACAAACATTTCCCACTCGCTCGGCTCTAAATTTTGCTGAAGCAGACACAAATACGGTAAGTAAATTGTTGGTTACTTAGAACATAGATTCCATAGCTTTATTATGTGGTTAGAAGGAGCCTGCCAATACATCATATACAAAGAACCTCACTCCACACAACAAAGGGCACAATTTACATTCATTTTGTACATAATTCTTGTTCTTCAATTACTACAAAGGTCATGTTTCCTTGTGTTTTTAGTTCCATTTGGATTTTATGTTATTTTATTGAAAACTTAAGATCCGGAATGTGATTTTAGTTGTTGAAACTACTTGTTTGGATATAAGATTGCATAGAGGATAATGTAGGGTGTATTTTGTAATTGTTTTAGATATTTAGATAGTTTTGGAAGTTTGAATAAAAGATGTGAATTTGATATGATTAAATGAGTGTTGGTTTTGGGCTACCCACCCCACCCCCCCCTAATGCCTATTGCAATTCGCAAATCCACCTACATATAGAAAGCCCCCAATTTTAAGCCTAGTACATATTTAGTGGCAAGGTATTTTAGAGTTTTTAAAAAAATTAAAAATAAATGGAAAAATTGAATACTTAATGTGATATAAATAGTAAATAGGCATAAGATATAATGTTTTATATGATAAATAAGTTTTAAATAATAATAAAAAAATGTATTTGAAATGATATTTATTGAAAAACTACGTGAATAATAACTTCCAATGTAAACCCTAGACTAGTGAATAAATACAGATAACAGAATACAGCTAGTGTGTTGCTAAATTTGATCCAAGCTGCGCATTGTGCCCTTTTTCTGAAAGAATCTTTTTATGCAGTATGTAAAATTAAATTATAAATAGAAGAAAAAGAAAAAACAATAGACAGGTGCCCGAATTTCCAGATTCAAATAAGCTAAGCAGAAACAGACATAGGTGTATGTATTTATAACAATACACAAGGGTTAAATAAATAAATAGATAGCCTCTTCTAATTCTTGAAAGTTATGAAGAAAGGGAATTTCTGTTGGAGGAAAGAATGTCAGGTTGGCCTTTGAAAGAGAACATCACAATATATATAGTAGTAGTATTCTTTTATTGCTATTATTATTATTATTATTTTATGAAATGTAGTCAGAACATGCATGCATACCTGGTTAAAAATTATTGAATCAAACAGTCAAAGATACATACATATATATATATATATAGAGTCATCACTCACGGGTCCTATGATGTCCATCATCAATCCCCTCCTTCAATCAAAGAGAGTATAGCTTATATTTATATATATTTTTTTTTATTGAAAATAGTATTAATATAAAATATACTCAATAATATTAATTCGATGCATTTGGTATGTGGTGTATTTAATTATTTTTCATGTTTTGAATTTGATGTATTTGAGAAATTTTATTAGCGGCTATTTTTTTTTATGCATTTGATAAATTTGTCACATTGTTATATATTTATCTATTTCCTTATTAAATTTTATAAAATAGAAAAACAATTATTTGTACTTCAAAATAAAATCGAGCACAACCCTATAGCCCAATTCCATTTATTTATTTATCAAAGCATTCTGCAAATAAATAAATACTACAAAAATGTGAGTGGGTCGACGTGGCAGTAAATCCAAACCAAGAATCTCACTCAATCATTTCGCATCCCAACAAACTCATACATCCATCCGTACCAAAACCCTAATCCCCAAATTACTTCCCCTCACAAACCCTAATCCCCGAATTACATTCACACAATCAATCATCAGCAACCTCAATCACCAAATTAATCCCCCTCCCTCCGCCATGGGACATCAATTGGAAAGCGATTCGCTCTCATCTGTCTCTATTGAAAAATACAGGCGCAATTTCCTTTTCCTGAAATTGTGTTTTATGGTCGAACAAAATACAATTGCATTGAAGAAATTATTTATTGCGAGTAATGTAAAACTGGTAAGAAAGCGACGCAACGTCGATGAGAGGCAGAGGAGGAGGAGATATGCATACAGAGACAGACTCAGACTCAGACAGAGACAGGTATGCGTTCATATGTATTCATGTATGTATAAATCTGGATTGATGGATTTCATTACTCCGTATCGATGAGCTAGCGTCGTCGAGTGGACTGGAGTGGAGTGGAGTGCAGCTATAGCTTCGTAGCGTGGGCCCCGGTCGGGCGATATGGTATACAGTCCAGCCACGCCTATTACTGACGGCGGCCTGCCGGCGGATGCGCCGCTGCAGCCATGCCGTCGTATCAGACTTTTATCAGTCATTTAGCCTTTTCTTTATACAGTCGGATAGCCGATACCCCTACTCCCTTAGCCTGTCATCTTCCGCCACGTGGCAGATCTCCCTCAAAAAGCACAATCTCTCTCGTACTCTTCGTTCTTTCCAATACAGTGAATGAGAGTTTTTTTAGAGTGTGTGGGTTGCCTGATTTTGAAAGATTTCGATGATAAATTATATGAAAAGGATTAAAATAAAAACTATAGGATAAATTATATTCCAAGAAGATAATACAATTTTTTTTACAAAAGTTTAAAATTCTTGAAATAACAATTTTCTGAAAAAAAAAATAAAAAAATGCACACCATTCAATGTCAAATTATATACTCCATATATCAATTTTTTCATATATAATAAATAATAATAAACAATTTATTTATAAGTTGATTTTTTATTTGTATTTTCAAATCTTGTTGTATTTAAAATCAAAATTATTATTTAGATTTGATATAAAATGGTGTTTAATTTTTATTTAAATTTAAATTTAAATATAATGTAAATATAATATTTTATTATAAAAAATTGTATTTTTTAAGAATCGTGAAATCAAATAATATTGAAATAAGTCTGATATATATATATATATATAAACTTATAGATGTATAATTCATTTTGCAGTAACGTATATATATATATATTTTTAATAACTGTGAATTTCATTTTTTTTTACATATTCGGTTTAGAATTTTTAAGTTTTGAAAAATAATAAAAATATTTTATAAATAAAAAAATATATTTAATACTACCTCCGTCTCACATATCGTGTCTAGCTACACACTGTATTTTAAGAGGGGTATAATTAGAAGATAATTAAGAATATAATTATCTTATAATATAAATAATTATAAATTAAGATTAACATAACTAAATAGTTTAATTAAAATTTTAAAAATAAATTAAAAAGTTTAAAATGAGATTAAAGTGTGTAATTATTTTTCAAAAAAAGAAAATTACATAGTATATGGGACGGACAAAAACGACAACGTGAACATGGTATATGGACGGAGAGAGTATAATAGTTTTAAAAAATTTAAGTGTATCCCAAATTTCAAATTTTGGAAAGGGCTTGTGTAATCAAAGGCTAAATTAAAATATTACTTGCATAGTACTAAAATGTAACGGCCATAACGAATTTTTTGAAAAGCAAAATAATATAAACACATTAATGTACAATTAATAGCTATAATAATTATTATTGACATAAAAGTGCACAACGAAATGGTTAATTTAAAACCAACATATGCCTGCCTAAATTAAATACTACCATTGGATTGATTGTTTGAATTTAATTATTTGTTCTTCAACTAATTTACAATTATTTCCAATTATCTGGGCCGTACACTAGTACTTAGAAGCAACATTATATTGCAAATAATTAACCTATGAAAATAATAATAATAATAATAATAATAATAATAATAATAATAATAATAATTCTTCCACCGAACAATATAATATTTTGTTATTTTTATCTATTCAAATGGAAATGGAGTATAATGTATACAAATTACACCTTAGTAAATATGGACTTGAATGCACATTACATACCCTAAAATTTATATTTTTTTCACATCAATATTATTGGATTAATTAAAATATATAGATCATTTTTATTTTTATTTATATATATAAATTATTATTTTAATGCCATATAAATACAGTGGGTTTGTTTGCTTACTACTTTATTTTTTTTTATATAATTTTTAATATATATTTATTTTTATATTTTTTACCAACTTGATTTTCTATAGTTCACATAAAACAAATTATTTCAGATTAAAAAACACTAAATAAACAAAATCAATATATGTTAAATTTGATGCTAAAAACAAATATATATATATATATTTATATATTTAGAAATGTATATATTTAAGATACACGGAAAATGTAGGTACTAAATAATAAAATGCGAAATAATCAATATTCATAATTTTAAATGAAAAGTATATAAAATAATTATTTTGATGTATATATTTCAGAATGTATATATATGTAAAGTCATTATACATATTTTGTTGAACTTTCTTGATATAAAATAAATTCTTATAAAAAAAGTAATGATTATTTTATCTTGTAAATATCAAGTCAAAATTAACATTTTAAATAAAAAAAAATACAACAATAAACATAGCCTAAAAACACAGGAGATTTGTAGGAAGATAATTATATGAGTCAATGCAAATAATAATGTTCGTCAATGAGGAACCCTTTTTATTTATGCAGCTTCACCTATCCATGTGACATTATGTGACACTAATTATTGCCCCATTTAATTTTGGACACGTGGCCTATTTTCAAGTACTATTATTATTAGATAAATAGTATATAATACAATGAAATAAATGAGGCCATAATAAATTTCCATTTCTCATAAGAACAAATTCATTAAAATTTTGTACCTTCTGCCATGATTCCATGCACAATTTTTGGATTTGGATTTTTCCTTGTATATCAAGAAATTGGATTTTATTTTTGGACAGACTCAACTTTGAGGTAAATCATTTTTCAAATTTAAAATAAAAATAATAAATAAATAAAATTGGTGTAATAAAAGATTTTGCAGTAAACAGGGTGAGTTTGTTTTCGTTTGCTTCTTTGTGTCAGTTTTGTGTTTTAATTTTTGGGTGAAACCATTTTTGGATTTGATTTTTTTATATGGAAACAAACAAAAAATGAAACCTCACATGTTAAAAGTAATACTCCCTTCATTCTAAAATATAGTCTTATTCTGTTGGACACGAAATTTAAAAAATATTCATATTCTATTGGTAGTTGTGAAAAGTAAGGATAAATAACTTTTTTGTCCTTTTGAGTATTTTAGTGTAAAAAATAGTGATAATTGTGTAATAATAATAAAAAAGTATGGACAATTTTACGGTGCTATGGTCATTTATAAAAATAAACTATTATTTTAAAATAGATAAAAATATAAATAATATTATTGTAATGAGACGAGGGAGAATATATATATATATTAAACTTTTTGTGAAAAGTTGATTGGATATATTTGTCTTGAAATAATTGTGATATGTCATGATAAATAAACTGGAAAAAAAAACATCAAAAAAAAATAAAATATAAAAATATTAGATAACTCAAAACTGAAGCTTAATTATTTATTACAAAATGTGTTTATCACTTGTAATTATGTTAAAAAGAAAAATATCACAGTATCATATTCATAGCACAGTTTATCATCACTTGTACTAGCTTTTTTTATTTTGAGTTGTAATTTGAATAGTAAAAATATTAAATTGATATGATTATATGACGTAATATAAATAAATATTGATACGATGTAAATTTTTTTAATATAATATAAAAATAAAAAATAAATATTTTATTTGATATTTAATATAAATTAATTTTATAAAAAATAATTTTTTTTAAAATATAACTTAAAATATTTACTTATTGACAAAAGAAAAAAAAGTTAATGTTCCACAAATAAAAGATTTAGAATTTTTTTAAATTAATTTATATTTATTAAATATATTTAAAATTATAAATTTATAAACATAGAAAATAGTCTTATTAGAGTATAAAAGAATATTATTTCTACTTTGCCGTTTCTTTTACTAATATGTTATTTTTTATTTTTAAAAAATAATTATATATTTTAATTTTATTTTAAATTTTTAAATTTATTTTTTAAATTTTAATTAAATTAATTAATTATTTTAATTTAAATTTATATTATTTATATTATAAATAATTATTTTCACTTAAATATTTTATCTACATTTTACAGTGCAGAGGGAGGAAGTAATAATTTATTCCAATTCCTATAGAAGTTTTTCCTTCATTGCACCGGAACACCAGAATTTATAAACTCGCAAAACAGGCGCCTGTGTGACACGCGCTAGTTTTCACGAATAAACAATTTATCAGTGAATAATAATTTAAATAAAAAATACACGAAAATTTTTATTTTTATAATAATAAAATAGTAAAAGCTCAAAAACATGTTAATAGAAAAAAAATAACTATACTAAAAAAATAGCCGCAAGAAACTTGGAGTGACTTCGGGAAACGGCGGTACGGCCGACGGCCGCTGCTCAATCCTTTTCTGTCATATTCTACCGTCACTTTTTAACGTCGTTTCACCGCCGTTTAAATGCTTCTTCTTCCTCTTCCATACTCTTCTCTGTCGCTCTGTACCTTCACATACATACATCCATGTGTACGTAGAGGTGGGGAGAGAGAGAGAGAGAGGCATTTTCTCACTCTTCATAACGCAAAAGTTGCAAATGGCGGAGCAGCTGCAGCATTTGTGCACAGTACAGTGTGTGTGTGTGGCAGTGTTGTTGGCTAACATTTAACGCACTCTCCTTTTACTTTTATTCAATTTCGCTCTCTCTCTCTCTCTCTCTCTGCATTCATTCTGATTCATATTCTCTCTCTATCTCTATCTGTGTCTGTCTCTCTCTGTCTCTAGCTCTCTTAATGGTTTGTGCTGCTGCTCTGCCTTACAGTTCACGCCAAACGCCTGTTTCTCTGTAACTATATGCACTGCTTTCTTGCTATCTCTCTCTCTCTACGGTTGCATACGAAGGCACGATTCCTTATGGTGTTTTTTGGTCTCATTTGAACTATGAGGAGTGATAGGGATAGGATGCTGTAGAAAAACTGGAATCCGGATCGAGAACTTCCATTTTTATCATGTTCGTTCGCTCCTTCGTTTTGTTCGTATATCTACTATCTATTCAGTGACGATAATTCAAAGAGCGGTGATGGAACAAGAGACGAAGATGGATTCAGAATTTTGGTTGCTGTTATGCATTTTGTTGGTTTCCTTTCTGCAATTTCCTGATGCCTCTGCTCTCAGCGATGAAGGTAACCAACGCGATATGTGTATATTTGGTTTTTTTGAAGCTGTTTGCTGTATACTTGTTGGTTTGTTTTCATGAGGATTTGGTGGATGGTGCGTAGTGTGATACCTTCTCCTTGTAGTTTTGACTTGAGAGATTCTCATGCTTTAGAGAATGTGACTTATAGTGGTTAAACTTTTGTCCTTTCTAGGAAGTAGAGATTCTTGGCTTGAAAGGTGAATATGATTGAGCCCTATTGAATGATTTTTAAAATTTTACTTTACCTTGTTCATTGGGTAAATTCTACTTCTGCCTTTCCGTATTCTGGATTTGCATATTGAATATCCAAAGCTAATCTAACAGTGAGAAGATGAGTTTTATAATCCAAGACGCTTCCATGCTTTGTAGGAGCTGTAATATCTTGCATATTTTTTTAGTACTTTTATGCTTTTCCACTGAGTTGTGTGTAAATGTTATTATATTAATACATGGTATATTTGTTTCTATTTTTTAAATTTTTTAATATCTGATGCACCGTTCTCTTCTGTTGATGATGATTCTTTGTGAATGTTGGCAACAGGCAAGGCTTTAATGTCCATTAAATCCTCATTCAGCAACGTCGCAAATGTGCTGCTGGACTGGGACGAGATTCAAAATAATGATTTCTGTTCTTGGCGAGGTGTGTCTTGTGGCAACATCACCATGTCCGTTGTTGCTCTGTATGTCTCCTTCCTCTTTGTTGTTCAGTTTCTTTCCATTCTGGACATATATGTTTCTACAGCTTATGAAGTTGTGTTGATTGGGTGAAGGAATCTTTCAAATCTGAACTTGGGAGGTGAAATTTCCCCAGCAATTGGAGATCTCAGGAGTCTTCAGTCTGTGTAAGTACTCAATGGAAGGAATCACCATTTTTGTGGACGCACAACTCTGAATTGTATTCATTGTGATCTTCATTTGGCAGAGACCTTCAGGGAAACAAATTAACTGGTCAAATCCCTGATGAAATTGGGAACTGTGTCTGTCTTGTGCTGCTGTAAGTTTGAATGTGTTAAAGATCTTTTGAAACCTGTATTGTAGATGAGTCTGTAATGAGGTTGTCGTTGGTATATTTCAGTGACTTGTCGGATAACCTGCTGGAAGGGGACATACCATTTTCCATCTCCAAGCTGAAGCAACTTGAGCTACTGTAAGTCATGTGTAATCTTTCTATTGAAGAAACATATTGATTCAGAAATAATTCTATTCCTTTTTCCAGGAACTTGAAGAACAACCAGCTCACTGGTCCAATCCCTTCGACTCTAACACAGATACCAAACCTAAAGACACTGTAGTAATTTAGGCTTGTTTTGTAAATCTTTATATTGTTAATGATGTGTGTTGACTATTTGATGATCTTGCTTTTGGTGTGTTGATCAAGCGATCTGGCCCGAAACCTGCTTATCGGAGAGATACCACGACTCCTATACTGGAATGAAGTGCTGCAGTATTTGTGAGAGGCTAAATTTAACATTCATCGATGCAATCATGTTTGGTTCAAAGATTCTTGTCTATATTCTATATAGTAAATTAAACTGCCTTTAAAATTCATGTAGGGGTCTTCGTGGAAACATGTTAACTGGAATGTTGTCGCCGGATATGTGCCAACTGACGGGGCTTTGGTACTTGTAAGTGCTCGTAAATACAATACATTCTGTTGTTGAATCCCTTGTTTATATGCTGTAAGTAATATTTGGGTTCTCACTGTTTTCCGGTGGCTGCAGTGACGTTAGAGGCAACAATCTTACCGGAACTATACCGGACAACATTGGCAATTGCACGAGCTTTGAGATACTGTAAGTTCCTTATGATAATAAAACTATGCCCGAGACTCAGGTGACTTAAAATTAGAAGCATTTCTTGGTGCAGGGATATCTCTTACAATCAGATTGAAGGAGAGATTCCCTACAATATAGGGTTTCTACAAGTAGCCACTCTGTAAGTATATTCATGGTCTAGTTTTCCAGCATTGAACAAGGAAATCTTCTAATACCCGATCTTTCTTGCGCAAGATCTTTACAAGGGAATTTGCTGACTGGAAAAATTCCTGAGGTGGTGGGTTTGATGCAAGCCCTTGCTGTCCTGTAAGTTAGTTTTTTGGTTCTTGTTTGACATCAACATTTAGGATTGAGTTGCAGTGCATTTCTTGACAAGATGTAAATTTCATTTCAGGGATTTGAGTGAGAATAAATTGGTTGGACCAATTCCACCCATTCTTGGAAATCTTTCTTACACTGGGAAGCTGTTAGTATTCGTTGTTATCGAACCTAGGGATGTCACTGCTTCCTTGTTTTATTGTGTCCTTTCTGTAATGTAGATATCTACATGGAAATAAGCTTACCGGTCCCATTCCTCCCGAGCTGGGCAACATGACGAAGCTGAGCTATTTGTAAGATTCATCCTCGTGTCATTAATCTTATTTTCGACACTTATATTCTGCTCCTAAAAAACCTTCTATTTTGAAGGCAATTGAATGACAATAAACTGAGTGGTGTTATCCCTGCCGAACTTGGCCATCTCGAGCAGCTTTTTGAATTGTGAGTCGAGTTCTTTGGCTTCCTTCAACTCTCTGTGCCTTTACATGTTTTGAATGCATGTTGCTTTTCCATTCGACAGAAATTTAGCCAACAATGATCTTGAAGGACCTATACCAGAAAACATCAGCTCCTGCACTGCACTGAATCAGCTGTAAGATACAGCTTCATGGAAGCTTCTGATTCACCCTGATCCCATCTTTATCGTAAAATTTCATCGTTAGCATCTCTTTACTCTCCCCAGCAACATACATGGCAACCATTTGAATGGATCCATTCCCTCTGGTTTAAAACATTTGGAGAGCCTTACGTATCTGTAAGTTACTATTTTTCAGCATTTGCTATTGTCAAGCTTTGTTTGCAATGAAAAGATTTTGTTCCTTTTGATCCACAGTAATCTTTCCTCGAATCAATTCAAAGGGAGCATTCCTGTCGAACTGGGGCACATCATCAACCTTGACACATTGTGAGATTCCAACATTTCTGAGGATTTTCTCTGCTTTCACTGACTCTTAACCTGCTTTCTTGTTTTCTTAGGGATCTTTCGAGCAATGATTTTTCTGGATCCATTCCTTCATCTGTAGGAGACTTAGAGCATCTTCTCATTCTGTAAGGCTCAGTAACACAAATACTCCATGTGCTTGTGTCGCCTTCATACTACTCTTACTATTTGCCTCGACTTTAGGAATTTAAGTCACAACCACTTTACTGGACACATCCCAGCTGAATTCGGGAACCTGAGGAGTGTACAAACAATGTGAGCAAAAATACCTCTCCGGATCATACTTTAAGTCAACACAATATTGCTAAGAGTTCCAAGTTTTTTGCAGAGATATGTCATTCAACAAGCTCTCCCGCGGCATTCCTGAAGAATTGGGACAGCTGCAGAATGTAGCCTCTCTGTAAGTTTACAATTTAACCAGCGTTCGGGACTTCTTGTGTATTCTGGATAATGCTCGAACCCTTGTACCTTAATCGCTTTTCAGGATTCTCAACAACAATGATTTGAGTGGAAGAATACCCGAACAATTAAGCAACTGCTTAAGTCTTGAAAAACTGTAAGCAGTCCCCTGGGAAGATATTTAATCTTACATGAAGCTCTTGTTTCAAGTGGCTTATGATCGATTTCTGCTCAGGAATGTTTCGTACAACAACTTCACTGGGCTTGTTCCCATTAGCAGAAATTTTACTCGGTTCTCGCCCGACAGGTAACACAAGGAAGCAAAACCATTGCTTCCATTAATTTCCATGGATGTGTTCTTACCTGTTTTCATTGTTTCCTGTTATTAGCTTCATTGGGAATCCATTGATCTGTGGGCACTGGTTAGGCTCAATATGTGAACCTTATCCTCCGAAATCACGAGGTATTTGATGGTTTAGGTGCTGCAGCTAATTTTTACTTGCTCGATGCGATACTGATCTGCTTTTGCATTTTATGCAGCCATGTTTTCGAGAACAACGATTGTCTGCATGACCTTAGGCTTCACTGCATTGCTGTCCATGATAATCGTAGCGCTGTACAAATCAAACCCTCCGAAACAGTTCATAAAGGGCTCTAACAAGAACTCGGCGCAAGGTTGTCCGTCTCTTAGTTTTTCCACTCTGATCGAGCATTTATGTATCCAGGTTTCATGTCGACAGGTTCTTCCAAGATGGTTGCTCTCCGAATGGACATGGCGATCCACACGTACGAGGACATAATGAGGCTCACCGAGGATCTTAGCGAGAAATACATCATCGGATATGGAGCTTCAAGCACCGTCTACAAATGCGTGTTGAAGAATTCCCGACCCATTGCAATTAAGCGGCTCTACACTCAGTATCGCCACGACTCCTCCGAGTTTGAAACCGAGCTGGAGACGATTGGCAGCATCCGCCACAGAAACCTTGTCGGCTTGCACGGCTACTCCCTTTCGACGCAGGGAAATCTCCTCTTCTACGACTATATGGAAAATGGATCCCTATGGGATCTTCTTCATGGTTGGTCATTTCTTGACACTCGAGTTTCTTTCATGGGTAGATCATTTAACCTTAACGGCGGTATATGTAACTACGCAGGCCCCTCGAAGGTGAAACTCGACTGGGAAGCGCGTCTGAAAATAGCAGTCGGCGCGGCTCAAGGGCTAGCTTACCTTCACCATGACTGCAGCCCGAGGATCATACACAGGGACGTGAAATCCTCGAACATTCTACTAGATGAGAATTTCGAAGCCCATCTTTCTGATTTTGGGATTGCGAAATGCCTCCCGACTGCAAACACGCATGCGTCGACTTATGTGCTTGGAACCATAGGATACATAGATCCCGAGTACGCGAGGACTTCTTGGCTGACCGAGAAGTCTGATGTCTATAGCTTCGGCATCGTGCTTCTGGAGCTCTTGACGGGGAAGAAGGCCGTAGACAACGACCTGAACTTGCATCAGCTGGTGAGTACATGACGAAACAGTCGATTCTTCTTCTTCTTCGTGTATTTGTTTAAATCCATCTTATCTTTGATTAAACTATAGGTGCTATCGAAGGCGGACGACAACACGCTAATGGAGACGGTGGATCCTGAGGTGTCGGTTACGTGCGTGAATTCGTCGCACATAAGGAAGATGTTTCAGCTGGCATTGCTGTGCACGAAACGGCAGTCGACGGAGCGGCCATCGATGCATGAGGTTTCTAGAGTTCTGGTTTCACTGATGCCGCCTCCGCCGGAGAAGCCTTGCTGGACGACTCCGGGGAAGAATTTCGACTATGCGCAGTTTGTGGCGGTGGCGTCGCCGCAGCAGAAGCAGAAGCTGCAAGAGAACAAGAGCAGCAGCAGCAGCACATCAGATGGTGAATGGTACGTGAGATTTGGAGAGGTCATATCGAAGAACAGCATTTAAAATGGTATGTGGGGATTGATTTTTGGGTAAGTCCTTAATTTTGTGATATTTGATTCTGAAAAATGGATGATATTTAAGAAGTGGGCGCAGCGCGGTTTAGTGTTTTTTCACTACAAACTCAGAACAGACAGACAGATTGGTTTGTGCTTTGTCTGTATTGTATGGGCATGGGTATGGGAATGCGTATGTGTGTATATGCTGTTATGTTTAGTATTTGCACTTCACGTGAAATTCGCTTAGGTGCTCATCTACTTTCGAGTCAAATCCTGTCCGATGATACTCTTTCGTGACAGTGGGGCTGGGGGATCTCTGTGTGGCCTTTTTTGTCTCTACTTCAATGGGTATGCCATATCATATTTAAAAACAATACATACGTTATGGTGAAAGGAGGAAGTAACAATAATATACATAATAAGATAATAGTTGTTACATGTACCATGACAATTTATATATAATAATAATTTCTTTTTAAAAAAAAACACGTTCTAATTGGGAGCCATATGTATGTTGCTTATTGTTAATCAAACAGAGTAACAGTTCCAGAGAGCTAAAACTCTTTATTTATTAATCTAGTCTAGTGTAAAGAAAAACTCACTCACTCACTCTAATCATAAATTCCAAATTTTGAAAGGAAAATGGAAAGAAGTTGAGAGAGAGAGAGAAGTTGAACATCATTTGCTACAACAGGCAGAGGCAGAGGCAGAGGCAGTACTTACACAGCCAGAGGTAGTAGTGGATATTAAAACAGGTAATACGCCACCACAACACACCACATCACATAATAACGAAACAAAACATGTTGGGTCTCTGCTAAATCCTCAGGAGAAGTAGTCCGACACATTCCGCTACGTAATTTATGTAAACAAGAGCTGTAGAAATCACTTACTACCCACTGTAATCACCTTCACCAAACTTGTTCTCTGGATAGAACACTGCCACCACTTCGTTTCCTCCAAATTTCCTTCCATTCAGCCCTTGTCGAGCTTTTACTGCACTTTCGGTGTCAATGTACTCCAAGAACACCTGCCACCCACCAAAAATGTTCATTTCTCTATCAATAATAATACCATAAGAAGATAGACCAGAATTGAATCTTTCACAACCACCATGGAAGAGCTATTATAACTAACCTTTCCAACACCTGGCGCCATTTCTCCGCTGGGAAGCGGTCGAGGTATAACAATATTTGCCAAAGAACCTGGAAGAAGATCAATGATGAATGATGAAATTAGTGCAAAGAGACAGAGTAAAAAATTAAAAGTTAAATCCATGGAAAGTGAAACTGTAGTATTACCAAACTTTCCACATTCCATTCTCATGTCTTCCAATATATCTTCATAGTCATCATCGTCCTTGAGTTCATCCGGAGTAACCACTTGTGTCAAGCATACAACCTTTGTGGCGGGTGTCACATTAGGGGCTAACATGAGCCTCTGAAAACATTAAAACAAAAAAAATTCAATTCTGGGTTACAGAAAATAGTCACAGGAGTCGAACCCTAGAAAGAATGATGTACACATAAGATGTCATAGCTATCACAAGGCAGCAGCTTGTCGAAGGTGAAAATATAATTTTATCAAATGAGAAAAGACAAGGGAATCATACTTGTAGAGCTATCTGTTGCTGTGCATGCAATAGCACACTCTCTTGCTCGGGTTTAGGTTGTGTTGCCCCCTGGTTGGCTCGTCTGACAGTAAGTGTCTTATCCCCCATTTTAATTCCATTAAGAGCTGCGCAAGCAATATCTGTAACTGATAAATCTTGGTAAACACAAAATGCATAGCCTTTGGAGTTCCCAGTTTCTCTATCTTTAACCAGATCAAAGCCTCGAAGTGGCCCAAAGGATTCCAGCAGCTCCCTGATCTGTGATTCTGTGAAGTAATACGGCAATCCACCGACAAATATACGGTCAGGACCTTCAAGCCCACCAGCAGATCCTGGTGTCAATCCCACTGCGGCAAGATTGAGATTAGGATTGGGTTGGCTAGGGCCAAGAGTGGCAGCTAGAGAAGGATTGTAATCACTTGGTCTTCTCACTTTCACAGGTGCACCCTGAACAACAATAATAAATATTAATAGAGGCTTCAGGTAAATTAGGGTAGAAAGCAGGAATATTGCATTTGTTACTTGTGTTGTCACTATATTTTCGTATTATTTATAAAAAATTTACACCAAAATAACATCAAATCCAATACCTATTACATAAAAAAACCTATTCTTTATATAAAATATCACATCCAACGCCTTATTTTCATTCCCCAAAAAATCCAAAACACCATAATACTTACAAAACAGAACTAAACAGACCATAAAAGTCTGGGCAGTACCTCAAATATAATTCCGTCCAATGCCATTGCATTACTAGCCTCTTCAACAGATCTCATCTCCACAAAAGCAAATTTCTTCTCATGGTTAATATAAACATTCACCACAGCATCTCCTGAAAATTGAAGAAACAGCATCAACATTTGTCATGCATCTCATAGTAAGTGTACACATGGCTTATCTCATCCTGACTAACCTGGACCAGCAGTGTTTCCTCCAATTGCTGACATGACATGACTGAAGAAAGTTGCTACAGACTGCCATCAGAAAATAAGCTGATGAGCTACTAGAGGATACTCGATAGTCCACATCATTTACAAATAAAATACTTACTACCAAATACCAATACTATTGGATCAAATGACATTATAGTGCACACGGGTTCATATTTGACTGATGCATAAAAGAAAATAGTATGAAAAACAGAGGGAGAGAGAGAGAGAGAGAAAGAGAGATCCTAACAACAGCCAATGTTGCACATAACTTGATTAACTCAACATGCAGTGCTACATGTAGCACAGAAAATATAAAGCACGAAAGGCAAAAAACAGAAAGAGTTAAAGAAGGATGGATGTGTAGTTTATTACCTGTTCGTTAGCAGTTGGGGGGAGTCCACCAACATATACCCGCCTAGCATGTCTCGTAGCCTGATCAAACAACATTAAGAAATATCTGACAACAGAAATTAATAGGACTGGATGAAGACAGAAAGTCAACCTGCTGTGTCATTGCCTGCACAGGCATTACAGGGAGTGCTCCAAACTGCCATCAACCAAAAACAATTTTTAGTCACAGACACGGATTGAAGTCATTGGGGGGAAGAATGGTAGAAACCTGTCCTGCCAGGGGTAACATATTAGGAAACATTCCAGGTATGGCGGGGGCTGTCCCAGGTAGCTGACCTGTGATGGTTGAACATTGTTACATCTCCAGTTAAAATTGGAAAGTCGTATTATTTTTCAATAAAATGGGTAAGAGATAACAATATGCTTCTATGTGATTTCCTTGATCAGAGTACTGATTGCTGGGATGACATCAGCATCAATTATTATTAAATTCATTTTATTTTTATGAACCAAACATGCAATCCTGGTTAAAGATGGACAAGACCTGTTTCTCATTCCTCCTTGTACATAAAAGCTACAGAGGTCGGCTCACGCCCATTGTCAGCACATTGGGGCTAGTAGCCCAACATTGCCTTCTTAGAACATAACATAGGACATACAAAACAAAAACCAAACACCAAACACAACAAGAAACCAAAATCCCTCAGTTTCACGGTAAATAATTAGATAACAAAACTAAATAACTAATCCAGTAGTACTTCAAACTGTGATATGCAAATTGAATAACCAAGCATGCTTACCAAACTGAAACCAATGTATTTGATACGGACTTTCCACACTATATCACAGGGGAAAAAAAAGGAAACAGTTATTATAACCACTGATCAGCAGACAAATTATTTGACTGTACCTGCAACAGCAGTTGCAGCTGTAGGAAGCAGTGAAGGAGGTGCCATGTCAAAACCACTTGTCCTTTTGCTGAAAATCCACATATTTTATGAATGATAAGGATCAGTAAAATAATGCTAAATGTGAAAATTTTGCCACATAATATGCAAGTGGAATCACATTATAGAAACAAAAGGATATAATGAACTACTCCATAGAACGAAAATAATGTGTTTATTAGTCCTTTCACCATGAGATGAACATAGCTTGTGAAAATTAAAAGAATGTATCTAATAATTGATATATAGACTACTTATAAAGAGAATAAAGCTTGTCTTGTAATCATCAAAGCAATCAATTATAGGGAAAATATCATAAAAGAATACACGAGCAATTAAATGTCATTGGAAAAATTAACAAGCTCATATAAATCAGAACATCGCTTTTGGATAAGTACAAAGGAACAAACAAAATTCCATTTCAAGAAGTTTAATAGCACTACAATGATAAAAAAAAAACATAACGGAATGATTGGTACAAGCTACCTTTTGGAGCGGGAACGAGATCGTGACCTTGATCGGTGCTCAGACCTCGGCCTAGAACGGGATCTTGACTTGTGACTGTGTCTTTCCTCCCTATCTCTATCCTGATCTCTCCGCCTGCAGATAATAATCATCCGCTATTCAGAACATAAAGCCAAACAACAAATAGTTGAGAAAGCAATTGCATTCATAGATAATTGTTGCAAAAATCAAGTAGAATGTAGATATAGATTGCTAACAAACCATCCATATTAAAAATACACTGCTTATCATCCATATAAGCTACACTTTTTACTTACGGAGAACTGTGGCAGCAAAAATAATTGCACTAAATTTTGCAAAGTAAAAGGGCATAAGATTACACTGGAAAAATAAATACAGCTCTGCAAGATATATAACATATTATGATTTTTTTACCTGTCATAATCTCGACTTCTATGATAGTCATCATCATCATCTCTATCCCTGGTCCTTTCTTTTCTATCACCTCGATCCCTGTGGCGGTCTCGGTGACGACGATCCCGATCCTTGTCACGATCCCTCTCTCTATCCTTATCCCTATCTCTATCTCTTTCCTTGTCTCTGTCTCTATCTCTCTCCCTGTCCCTATCCCTTTCTCGTTCTCGTTCTCGTTCTCGGTCCTTATCTTTGTCCCTGTCCCGTTCTCGATCTCTGTCTCGACCCCTCTCCCTTTCTTTGTCTCTGCTTTTAGAAGATTCCCTCTCCTTGTCTTTCACATAATCACGTGAACCATGCTGCAGAAATGTAGAGGGTATAAGAGAAGCATGCAAAAGTCCTTAGAGAAGTACAATACTACACAGCCTAGAATGAGTGAGATAGTTTCCAAACAGCTCGTTGTCAAGAAGTAGAATTATAAGAGAAACAAATAGATCTTCAAAAGCTGGGATTTCAACACTCTGTATGATCTCTCAAATAAAGTGCGTGGTTTCATATACAGTTAAGTTTTAGTGGCTGCCACTGTTACAAACACGAAAACCTCTTCAATAGGATATGCAGTATCATATGGAACACAATTTCTTGTTGACAGCTGGAGCATAACTTAAGAAGCTTTTGCTGTCACCAAAACCAAGTATAATCTATCACTATGAAAACAAACTTATTACAGTTTTAACAGACCTTGGAGCCACCACTTGATGATCCTTTTAGAGCCTCCTGCTGTGTGTCTTGTAAGTCCACATGTGATGGAGAAAGAGAGTTCCCATCAATTTCTTGACTTGGCATCTGAAGACATGCCACAAAGTGTACACTGTGAGAGTTAACTATAGAGGTACGATAATACATTAGAAATCAAATAGAGAGTATAGATACTCAATTGTCTATACTCTTAATTATTTCCAAAGCTCCAATTTCTTTAATATCAATCGCTACGAAAATAGCACGCATTCAGGAAATTATACCCCAAATTATTCACACGATTGCATGAGTAGAAAGTTTAATTAAAAATTAAAAATATAAAAAGAAAAGAAAATAACGTTACTGGCGTCGCTAAACCAAAAAGTTCAGCAAAACAAGGAGGACGAGGATAACCATCAATTCAGCAACATATCACTAGCTAATTACGTAAGCAACAGTATTCAATCAAGAAAACAGGTACAAATAACTGTTTAACCGACAAAATTAGGGTTTCATATTATTCACACCAGCATAAGGGCGTCTTTCGAAGCAGCAGTAAAACAGCGAACGCATGCGCGCTCGCTAATATAACGAATTCAGTTACATATATGTATATATATAGAGAGAGAGAGATATCCAGATAAAACAACAGACAATCAGCACTTAAAAACCATGGATCCGCAAATTCATCGAGCAACAAGGATGCGAATATAGAAAATTACCGTATCCGCTTAAGATCCGGTAGCTGGATGGAATTTCAAAACACTCTTCCTAAACCCTAATCGTCACTTCTTACTAATCCGCCCCGCGAGGGTTTACGCTACCTTCAGATCGGCTTTATGTACGCACTCAGGCAGAAACCACTACATATACATATAGCGCAAGCTCGCAAGATGAGTTTCAATTGAACCCCGTGAATTTACCATTTGACCCTTCAGTGGTCCGAATTTTATGTCCGTGCCATTATTATTATTACTATTATTATGTTTAACAATTTTTTTTTTTATTCTATATATATAATATCTATATTTTATATTCATTTCTAAAAATTAATAATATCAGTTTCAATTCAAAATACATTTTGATCCGTTTGACTTATATATATATTATAAATTTTTATATATTTTCATTACCTAATAAAATAATATTTATTAATTTATTAATTTATTGCATAATTTTAAAAATTCTTTTTTAATGAGATGAAAATAGTTTAACATATTTTAAATTTATTTTATTATTATAATTGAAAAAAAAAAAAATATTTAATTATTACTTTTTATTAGCATTTATTTACAACAAATATTATTAACTTAATTATATTCTTTTTCATTTTCTTTGGATATGAACGGAGAGAGTATGTTTTTATTTATTTATTTATATAAAATAATATTTATATTATATATATTTTATTAAAATAATTAAATATATATTTTAATTTTATACTCATAATATCATAAATTAAGGTGTGTTTGTTTGGGGTTTAAATTTTGAGTTAGAATTTGAATAGTAAAAAATTTAAATTTGAATAATTGTATAATGTGATACAAATGTGTTGATGATAATTTGAATGTAAAATTAATTTTCAGTATAATATAAAAAATGAAAAATAAATGTTTGATTTGATATTTTTTGGAGAAAACAATATGAATAGTATATTTAAAATCCAATCTCCAAACAAACACACCCTAAATATATTACTTCTAATAACTTTCAACTAAAAATACAATGGAGACCAAACACACCCTTGCTTATTTAAACCTTTTGAGAATAACTATAAATAAACATTACATAAAAATATTAATTTTTTCATATCTTAAAAATCCTCCAAAAGTTGCAAGAAGCCCATGAACATTGCATGAAATTTTATAATTACTGAGTTTATTACAACAACAAATGCTGTGCTGATTGAATTGGCTTCTAAGCACTTCCTTCTACTGTAAAGTATCTAATGTGTTCCCTCACTTCAGAGACCTAAATCAGCTCCATAAGCAAGCACTTCGCAAGAAATTCAGCTGGATTTAGCAGTCTTCAAATCCTCGTCCAAACCCCAGTTTTCTTTACCTCCCAAGGAGAGCTGAAAAAGTGTGCGAATACCATATTTAGATCAGAAACAGAAATGGAGAGACTGATATCAATCACGATCGTTTCCATGCCTAAACAGTCGGGCAAGAATGCATCAGTTCGTATATAAGATACTTACTACACAGAAATGCTCTGTAGGGGGACTATCCAGCCACATATCATCAGTCCAGTCTTTGTCCTCAGCAGTTTGAATCGATTCCATGTAAACTACACTCTGTGAATTCACGATCGAATAGTGCATTTTTTCAGACAAACTAGAAACAGTGTTAGATGATGTTTTGAAATAAGTTTATACTAAAAACAAGTAGTTATGGAAGAAGGGTGGAGCTCTTTACTTGGAACTCTGCCTGTTTGAAGGTGGTCTGTTTAGGCTGGGATACAGAAAGAGCCTGGAGTAGGTGCAAGACACGTGACAAAAAAATGGACATCAATTCTTTAGGACCATGTTATGGTTTGGGTATCATAGGAAGCACAAAGTTTACATGGGTTCTGAATTGTAACACCGACTTTTTGGTTCAATGGGAGAGGATTGAAGCTAAAGGCCTTCTGTTTTTGTTTCTTGCTTTTGCTTGATGTGGAGCTACACTTGGACCTGAAGCTCGAGAGTTGAGTGCATAATCGAAAGTTAGTGTCCATATGGAGTTACTATTTAGATAAATGAAATATGAGTTAGAAAGTTGATCACCGTCGATTTAGTGCTCTTAGGTGAGTTTCCAATTCAGGTTGCTTTGGAATGGTAACCTTTCAATGAAAATTTAGATAAATCATAATCGAACATGTAAGGCATGCATATTTCTGTCTGCATAGGTGATTAGTGTGTTCATCATTGTACATAAAGCATGTTCATATATTCAATCAATTGCGAGAAAATAAAAAAAGAAAAGAGTACCTTCTTTGATGATTTATGCATCAACAAAACTTGATGCTCCAAATGGGAAGCCTGGACATCAAAAGACTAACAAATTCATGAGCTTGGCAACAATATATATATATATATATATATATCATGGGAGCCTAACACATTAAATCTGGATGATCAAATCATCAAGAAAACGATATACAGCAATTAACTGAGGGAGTAATCAGGCCTGTTAGTGTTTATGCAAGTTAATGTGGGAAGTCCGGTTCATCGAAGCAATTTTATGAAACAAACCTTTTTTAAGTAGCCAATCTCAAGCTTTTCTCATTTTGATGCAAGGTTGTCACATCTAGTTGGGCTCTGCAAGCCTTTTTTATCAAGCTTGGCAGATGTTTTCTGAAACCTGGTGAAGAAGAAACAAGAAACTACCCCCTAAATACAGCACATACCCACAAGTTGGATATCAAGCTCTAATTAGCAAGACCATATGAAATCATTGGTCCCTCACAATTCCTGAGCCTTTTTAGATTGTATGGGCAGTCAAAGAAGACGAGAACCACCCCGGCAACAACCTGACCGAAACTACTACTTAAAATGGAAGCTAGACCTTTTAGAAAAGTTGCTGGAATTATTGTCGAGAACTTTTTTTTGTTTCGCCAAGTGGCTAACGGTCGGTTTCATAAAGCTTGAGCTTTTCGCCTGTAATAATTTATCATCTGCCTTTGGTTTTGCATTGTCTTGTGTGGGTTGGATCTTTCCTGAAGACAAACCTAAAGCCCCATTCGAAATATAAGAACAGTAATGATAATCCAGTACATTGTAAACTAACAAATGCAGGATTAAGCTAAGGGCAAAATATGAATCGCCATTAAAAGTATATGTAATATGGTATGATGAAAACCAACAGAATTGCTTCTTTCTTACCTTTGGCATCCTTTTTCGAAGTCGAAAGGCGGTTACTTCTACCAGTATTTGAACTGGTGCTGCTGGTTGATTTAGCCCTGTTGTTGCTGCATTTTGCTTCTGATGAGTTGGCCGCGCCTTCCACTGGATGAAATTTTTCATTCAACGCAAGAATGAAAGCTGGATAGCCACAAATAGGCATGATTATGAACACAAAATCATGAAGGTATAATCATCAAATAACAGACATTGCCAGGATGAACAATCACCAACAAATTAAAGATAAAAATAATCAACAATTCCGAAACAAATCAGAATGTTGATTGGTGCAACTTCCTACATCATTTTGAAACTAAAGGAATCATTCATGAACAATGAGCTCACGTTCGAAAGAATATGAACCAATTTATCATGAATCATTATTAATATCTTCCACATTCAAAAATCAACATAAGAAGGATCAATTTGTGCTTTACAACAGTATCTAATTAATTAATAATACTCACGAGAAGGGGGATAATCTCCGGAAACTTCAAACCAGCGCTCCAACTCCTGAACGTCGGAATCGAATTCTCCCCTGGTGAAATTATAGAACTGAGGGGCGTCAAACTCGTAATCCTCATCGATTCCGGAACAATACCCCACACAATCCTCCTTCAATTCCTCCATTTCTCCCTCCGCCCCACCCTAGCTACCACATCCTCCGTCCACCAGAGGAACCGCTTTGAAAATTAAAGAAAATCCAGAAAGCAAAAACAAGAGAATTGCAAGTTCCTCTGAATGGTGAGGGAGGGTGTGGGTGTGGGGCGAGAAGGAATGAGAGAAGGAGAGCAGAGCAGGCATGGATCTTGTACAGATTGTGGCGGTGAATATCCGAAATTGTCGTGCAAATTTAGCGCCAGCCAGCATTTGGCACAAACGTCGGATTTAAATACTTGAAAATGGGAACGTCTCTGTTCCTCGTGATATGGATATATAGACGATGTTTGACGGGGCGTTTGCATTGCATGTTTATATTTTATGAATAGTAAATACGCTTGCTTATATCAATACACACTATTTGTTAATAAATATTAATAAAAAATAGTAATAAAACTTGTGTATACGATACTAACAATAATTGTATTACAAAGAAAAAATAAATATTTTAAATAATACAAAATGGGTGTGTTCCTTTGAGTCCAAAGTTACTGTAGCGGCACTGTTCAACCAAATTTGCCAGCGAAATCGCCTTACGCCTGATGGTCGATGTCTGCTGTCAACAAATTTTCTTTCTTTTTCTTTTTATTTTTTTTGAATTTAAAATATAATTTAATATTTATTATAATTACAGACTTAAAAAAATATATACAATATATATATTATTTTGTAGGGAGTAAATTTTGTTATAATACAAATAAATAAAACTTTAAATATATATATTAAGTATAATATAAATTCATAATAAAATTATAAAATATAAATTTTATCAATTAAATTTAATATACATTTATATTATTTTATTCATTATCTATTAAATCAATACACATTAAAATTCCCAAAACCACAACTAAACCTAAACACAAAAAAAACATCAAAATTCAAATCCATCCCAAAATTCAAATAAAAACCAAACTCCTAATTTCCGCAAACCGAAACACACCCGTAGTTAATTATTTCATGTTTTGTAAATAATATGAGGGACAAATCAAAATTGCAATGTATGTGAGATACACATAGTATTACTCCACCATGCTTGAGTTCGTAGTTTTAAAATAAAAATTTATATATAATTTAAAAACAAAATATGTATTTAAATATTTTCAAAAAATACACACAAAAATAGGGAAAAAAAAAAAAAAGGATAGAATGAGAAAAACTTTGAAAAAAAACCTTTGAAAAAAACTTGTTATGGCAACAAAGGATTTATAATTAAGATTAAAGGCAAAAAAATTTTGACATGCAGCAAACAGATACAAAAACAATGGCAGCAAGTCATGAACATATTTTTAGCATCGGAATAGTATAAACAAGTTTGGTATATAATATAAGGATCTCAAAATCCCTAACTTAGGGAGGGAGGGAGAAATAACTGAAGGGAATGAATGCAGACGTGTATAAATAAATAGCATTACAGGCGATGTTGTATGGCTAGGAGTCATTCTCTTGAAGAAGCCGAATAAAGGTTAAAGATCATCGGACCCATTGAAGAGAGATTATTTGAAGCTCAAGATTATGTCCTTATCCATCTGCAATAAGAAAACCAAAAGTATTGTGCTCGAGTCAAGGAAATGATTTCATGTGATCGATTTACTGAGTAATCGATAATAGCAATTCAAGGCTTACATTTTTGGCCAATTCTTTGGCTTTCTCATCATCAAAGCCGAGTGAAGCCAAAATCTTGTGCCCTGCGTACTCCTTTTCCGACCAGATTCCGAGCAGTATATGTGTGACTGTTACCTCACCATCTTCACCTACATGTCAACACAGGCAGGAAGAAAACAAATAATTGGCGACAATATTTGCAAAAGGGATAGTAGCAACAATACAAACATGCTCTCCAATCAAACAGCAAAATGGAACTCTAAGAAACCAAGAAGTAACAGATATCCAAACACTTGAGCTAAATATGTTATTAGGTCTCATGGGGGCACAATTCTCAGCCCCAAAACACCGTCTCAATTCAGCCCCCGCTCACTCAGACAGCATATGTATACAGTATATATAATCTATACATACAATTTAGCGTTTTTATATATATTTATGTGAGATGGGGCTGTGTTGGGGAAGAGTGTTTTGGGGTAGAGGATCTCACTCCAGTTTTACGGGCACCATGGCTAGTTAATCCAATGGAAAAAATTTACCATATCTTCAAATCAAATTTATTTAAGTAAAACCCAGTAGGATGCAATCGATAAATACTTCAGTATACGTGTCACTTGTAAACCATCCCTGCCTTTTCATTCATGGAATCATCAAATTATATATGCATAGGATACGTCCGTCGTACCTGACTTGAGCTTCTCTTCAACTGCCCAGTTGAGAGCCCTTTGAGCAGGCCCAGTCAAGGGAGGATGCTCAGGACTGAAAATATACATGTCAGACTTCCCGAGCAACTTCACAGTTTCATCTCTGACCTTAAAAAGTGTAATACCATTTTCCCTTAAAAATTTGGCTGCCAAACTAGTTCCTGCAAGAAAAGGGACCTTCAGATATCTACTAGTCCATATTAAAACTAAATTTTTTTCCCATCATTTTCATAATTTCAAGAGAAATAGTAAAAGCAGGGTTCTGAAGATGCTCATAAACTCATTGAATTATTAAAAGTGCTAAAAGGGCTAGCTATGTGACAGATTCATAGATCTTCATGCACTACTGTGGTGAACTCAACAAGAGAATATCAAACTATATCACACCAATGGCATTAAATTTTTGCAAATATAATAAGTTCGTGAACTTAACATGATTGGAAGTATGCTTATACTATCCTATGCCATTACAGACCTTCAACCAATATGCCCATAAGCAGAGCCTCTGTCCCTGTGTTCGTATACTTGAGCTTCCGGGCCTCCAATTCAGCCATAGCAAAGGATTTTATCGACCTTGCTGACCATCTATAAACATAATAGTTCAATAACTATCAATAACAATTATCTGAACTTCCGAGAAAAAGAGAACGAAAAGCTTCAAAATCTATCACAAAATTAAAATAAGAGGACCTAAAAAATCCTTACTTTGGTGCCTTATCAGAAGCAACGCCCTCTTTAATCCTGCAAAACAAAAACCAACGTACAAAATAAGTTACCCGCACAGGAACGGCAGCCAGAATTTCCATAAATAAGCAGATAATTACGTGTTCGGGAGACTGAAGGATACTGTGGCGACAGTGAAACCCCGTCGTTTCGAAGCAATCAAACAGAAACTTGATGGCTGCGCCAATAACTTAACTCCTACAAAAGGATTCGATACACTGAAGATTAGGCATTGCTCGAAGGGTCTCCTGGAAGCCGGATTCGCGGCAGACGAAGCGTTCGAAAACGGAAGCACTGACAACCCTTGGGCGGCCATTCAATGACACAAATTTCTGAAAATCTCCACCTCTGATTGCAACACTACACAAATACCCCAAAACCGAACTGCGACGAATCTTTGGAGCTTCCAATTGAAAATTTCCCGTAAAGTCAGAAACGGATAAAAATCTGCACGGAATTTCTTTCGCCGTCTGTTGAGGGAGGAGCTCTCTGGTGTGTTCTGTGTCCGTAATTAAAAGAGAAAGCAAATCAACTGCAAATACGACTTTCAAATCGGAAACATACGACTTTTATTATTATTATTATTTTGAAACACGACTTTAGGAGTACGGAACGACGCCAAATTACATTGGGTCGGGTCAAGGACAAAAGAGCCCATGAAGAAGCCCAATTGTTAAAGGTGGCTGTCGTTTAGTATTGTCACAGCCGGTGACGTTAGACACTCGAGCATAGATCTGTTTTGTCTTTTTTTTAAGATTTGAAATTTGCGATATTGCGCCCAATGCGTGAGCGAGCATTAAAAACCCTCACCTGTTACCATACGAATCAACGGTCGAATTTTTTCTACAAGCTCGTGCCCGCAGTTTTCGCTCTCTAGCTCTTGGTGCTCTGCTCCCGCAGCACTTGTGGATCCATTGCATTTTTGTGTGGAAGTCAAGCCCTCAGGGTGCGGCATTCTGGCTAAGGAAGAAATCCTGTTGAGATTGATTTTTTACTTTCAGGTACACTATCTGGTGTTAATTTCTGTTGTTTGCTTTGTGAATGTGTCTAGTGCTCGAGTTGGTGTAGTCCATGCGGTGTTTTAACGAGTTTGTTTTGAAGTAAAATTGGTGATTTTGGTTCATCGACTGCGTATTTATGTTAAATCTAACAATTTCGTCTTGGGACATATTATTGAGTTGAGTTGCCAAATCAGCATTTTCAGTTTTTTTAGGGTTGAGTTTGCGGATATGAAGATTTTTGTGCAATCCTATTGATTTTCCTGTATGCAGATTGTATAGGTGGCAGCATATTATGTTGTGATATAAGATTTATGTTTATGGTCAACTTGTCTACACCGTTTACTCTTTGTGAAGAAATAGGCTGAATGACCGTAATTGAAGTTGTTTGGTGATAATGAAAACAGTTCTACTGTATGTTACCCGCATATCATATGACCTGAACATTGAAGTGTCAGTGAAATTTGCAAAGCTGCTGAAATTTATGGATGTGTAGCCCTGTTAGATTTGTTTATTCTCCTTTTGTGTTGGTGGATTTGGAGAAGTTGATAAGTTAACCTTTAGGGGGTCTATTGTGCCTGTGATTAATTATTTTTGCTTCTATCTGCAGGTATACTTAACTTGAAAGACCCAAAGGAAAACAATCTCTTCTTACAAATGGACACAGCATGTGGGTCTCTTCTCTCCGAATTGCAGGTATTAACATCTTTAACATACACTGTTTAGAAATTGTGCTTTTCCTTTGATTTCCATTTAAAATTTGCTGATGAATCTATTAGATTATATGGGATGAAGTTGGTGAATCTGATGCTGAGAAGGATAGAATGTTGCTTGAACTTGAACAAGAGTGTTTAGAGGTCTACAGAAAGAAAGTTGATCAGGCAAACAGATCTAGAGCGCAGCTTAGGCAGGCAATTGCTGATGCAGAGGCTGAGCTTGCCGCCATCTGCTCTGCAATGGGAGAGCGACCAGTACACATTAGGCAGGTATGGATGAAGAATAACTTCCTGCCTGGTTAATTGATAAATGTATTTTTGACAATAGCCAATTTGCCATTAGTACTCCATTCCATATTCCAACAGAGCAACTTGCATTTGAAAGCAAGCCTATTCACACTTCGATTTTGTTTTTCTTAATGCTGTATATAAATCCATAATTCATGTTGAAGTCCTAGGCAATGAAACAATTTTACAGTAAGATGATGAAAACCTTTAAGATGGTGGCATCTAGATCATTGTGGATGCAAATCTGTTGCAAATAATATTATATGAACTGATTGACTATTGAATTTGTGTGCATGTGTGCTTGTGAATATATATTTTGCTGTGATTATCTATCGTGGTTAATGGTTTCCTTTGTTTAGTCTGATCAATGTACTGGGAGCTTGAAAGCTGAACTCAGGGCCATCCTACCAGAGATAGAAGAAATGCGAAAAAGGAAATCTGATAGGAAAAATCAATTTATTGAGGTGCTAAAGGAGATAGAACAGATAAAGCATGAAATCTATGGGGCAGGGGTGTGTGTTCCTCATGACATTTCAGTGGAGGAAACAGATTTGACTCTAAAGAAGCTTGATGAGTTGCAGAGAGAACTGCATGCACTTCAAGCGGAAAAGGTTACCTCGTGAAACTATTCTCTGGCTGGTTATAGGTGTAATTCAACTCTAACTTGTTTCCCTGGAATGTGCAACTATATGCAGAGTGAACGTCTGAATAAGGTCTCGGATCACCTTAACTGTTTGTACTCGTGCTGCTCCGTACTCGGATTGGATTTTAAGCAAACTGTCAGTGAGATACATCCAAGCTTGGGAGAAACGGATATTTCTAAAAACATCAGCAATGATACCATTGAACGGTTGGGAACTGCAATTCAAAGACTGCATGAGATTAAAGTACAGAGAATGCAGCAGGTATGAAAATGTTTGAATAGGTTTTAACTCTCAAATTTTGCTCATATATTTGAAAAAGCTTTTGAGACTTTTGAATGTTGGCCAGTTACAAGATCTTGCAACCTCATTACTGGAGCTTTGGAACTTGATGGACACACCAGTTGAAGAACAACAGGCATTTCAGAAAGTTACCTGCAATATAGCCGCTTCAGCTGATGAAATCACGGAACCTGACATGCTTTCTATTGACTGCATCAATTGTGTGAGTCAATGGGTCACTGATGGGCTTATGCTCCATACTACTAATTCCTTTTGGCCGCACCTTGCTTCATTTAAATTTATTTTTCTAGTTCTAGGTTCAAAAATAAGCTGATTTCCTTCATTTACCTTTCAGGTCAAGGCTGAAGTTTCCCGATTAGAGGAGCTGAAGGCAAGCAAAATGAAAGAGCTTGTTTTGAAAAAGAAGGTGGAGCTAGAAGATATCTGTAGGAAGACACATCTAATTCCAGAATCACTTGGTTCAATTGACTTGGCCATAGATGCTGTTGAGTCAGGTATCTAACTATATTCTGAAATATAGTAATATATTATTTCTGTCAATTGATGAATTCTCATGGTTGGTTTTTGATAACTTAAAGGAGCTGTTGATGCCTCCTGTGTTCTTGAACAAATTGAGATCCAAATATCTAGAGTCAAAGATGAGGCTTTTAGCAGGAAAGAAATCCTTGAAAAAGTTGAGAAGTGGATGGCTGCACGTGAGGAGGAGAGTTGGCTTGAGGAGTACAACAGGGTTGGAATTTCATTGCAAAAACTCTAGTTAGTTCTAGATCTACATATACTCGATTAAAATCAATTTATTTGTAGGATGAAAACCGCTATAATGCCGGGAGAGGTGCTCATCTCACTCTAAAGCGTGCTGAAAAAGCTCGCGCATTGGTCAACAAACTTCCCAGTATGATTTGAATTTCTCTTCGAGCTCTTCTATTTTCTTTCTTAGTGAGGATCATGTAGTAATCAAAATATCCATTCATATGTTTTGCAATGGCCTTGTTCTCTGAAACAGCAATGGTGGACACGTTGGCTGCAAAAACTAAAGCATGGGAAAATGAAAAGGGAATCCATTTCACCTATGATGGAGTAAGTGTTCATTGTACAACACATATATTGTTTGGTAATTTCACCTGCCACAAAAATAATATTGTATTTCCATGCACATTATGTCTAGATCCGTCTCCTTTCCATGCTCGAAGATTACATTGCTTTCCGGCAAGAAAAAGAACTCGAGCGCAAAAGGCAGCGGGTATCTTCTTGTAGTTCATGCTAAACAATCTAAATATGGATTCTTTCTTAAACTCAAAAAGATTGTGTATATATTGTTAAACTAAAAACAGGATCAAAAGAAACTTCAGGAGCAACTATTGACAGAGCAGGAGGCTCTTTATGGTTCAAAGCCGAGCCCTATGAAGAACCAGAGTGCAAAGAAAGGTTCCAGGCTGTCCTATGGAGGTGGCCTGAGCAATCGAAGACTTTCTCTTGGCGGATCAACACTACATACCCCTAAGCACGACACAATTCCTTCATCAAGAGCTACACCTAACACACGCAACGCCAAAAAACTCGACACAAACCAGGATTGTTTTCGAGATGATGGACTTGCATCATCCCTCTCCTCAGGTAAAAAAATCGAGCAATCTATCCTTGTGGTGAAACTGAAGAGAAATAATAAATTTCAATCTCTTGTCTTTTTCAGGGAGGAGAGGTTTGGATTTGGCTGGTTTCCCTGTCAAGCAGCATTCTTTCAACCTCGAAAGCAGCCGCGAAATTGACCCCCCCTTCACAAGAAAGCCATTCTCCCCTATTTCATCCGTGGACTCGTCGAAGTCGAATGCAGCAAACATTCTGGAAGACATAAACAAGAAGCAAAATGACATGCTGCAGAAGACACTGTTAACACAACCATTCTCCACTCCCTCCAAGCCATCGACATTCCCTACACTCGATCCCGAGAACAGAACTCCTCAAGCAATGGCTGCCATCCCCATCCCCTCCACGCCGTCCACCGTATCCCACCCAATGCAGATGGTCCTAACGCCGGCCAAACCGCCTGCACCGGGCATCCCCATCCATGATGAGATCGAATACTCATTCGAAGAGAGACGAGCTGGATTCGTCGTCGTGCCGCCTGCCAGGTCACATCTCCTTGCATAATTGCAACTATAAAATGTCGATTGATTCGAATTCATTCAGTGTGATCGTTTTATGATTTGGATGTGTCAACATGATCAGTCAAATTCTGTTGTCTTCATCATGTGTTCTTGTTGTTCTTCTTCCATCACTCAACCAATTGTGAGCTCATCTTTCATTTTTTAAGTCAGTTCCAGTCCTCTTACCTAAATATAAATTTTAATTGAGTGTAATATAGCATGTCACAGTACACAGTTAAGAAATCACTTCAATATTGGACGAAGGCAAAGTGGCATGAACAGTAAAATTGCACTGAAATGAAGGGTAGTAATTTCTAAAGTGTAGTCAACTTTTATTTACCTAAAAAGACAAATAACAGGTCAGAGACTGAAATTAGGGTTGGCTCCAATGTTAACTTTACAGCTTTTAAAATATTTATAAAAACCCACAATTTTGAATATATATTTAAAAAAAAATAAAAATGATGTCTTTTTCCATAATGTTTTCTTTTATTTTTTAAATATTCCAATTCCAATTTTTAAATCCCATATATGAAATTTCCAAGACGGACCTGAAACCATTTTCTCAACCATAATTAATAACTCTTTTGAATTTTGCAATTTAAAATTTGCTAGCTACCTAATTAATTTCTCAATATTTAATTAAATAATTAATTTATATTTATTCGTCTTAATTTCCCCCTGCCTCTACTGTTATTTATTTATTTTTCCTCATTGCAAAACCCTAATTTTACAACCCCTCAAAATTATTATTGTTATTTATTTTTTCACATCTGCCATTTTTTTTTGAATTTTTGCAAAATCAATTTCCGCAGTTTCTGTTTCCGCGCAGTAAGTTGCAGAAATTGAAACTTGGCGGTGTTGGAGAAATCATGGCAGAGAGATTCTTGTAGATGTACTTTGTTTGTACTTTGATGACCTTCCCGAACTCAAAGCCTGCTCTGATTTCTAGATTTACGAAGTTTCCGTAGCAAGTTTGAGCTGGCTTGTCTGGATTGCTCTGGAATCTATGCTGTTGTGAAATTAGAAATTATAGTTGAGAGTTGTTGTGCGTATTTAAGTTTTTCGAAGCTTGAGCGTGAATAGATTTGAGCTCATTAGTTAGGGTTTAAGAATCTGGGGAGGGTTTTAGGTATTTTACAGACATCTGTTTGGGTTAGTGTATGAATGGAGGAAAAGGAAGGCATAAACGGCGCCGGAATCACAGTTAAAGGCGAAGAAGCTCCTCCGAGCTTCAGGGTGGAGCCAAGGGTTGAGAATTCCAGCCAGTTCGGCGGATCAACTGCTCCTCCGGTGACACCTGCGGCTCAGACAAGTGGCGATGTGCGTACTTCGGAGATGAAGAAAAAGAGAGGACGGCCGAGGAAGTACGCGACGGATGGGGCTATTGTGGCATTGTCGCCTATGCCTATATCGGCGTCGATTCCGTTCACAGGTGATTATTCATGGAAGCAAGGCGCCGCTCGGTCTGCTGATTCTTCAAAGAAGAAGCATAAATTGGATTTCGGGAGTGCAGGTATGGTATAATACCGATCGATTTTTCAATTTTTTGAACTTGAAGTATGGCTAGGCATTGAATTTTTAGCTGCTAAGATATAGAAACTAGATCTGATTTTTTTTCGGGGGGTTTATTTATGGATTGCTTTTTTATGTTTGCTTCGTGATCTGGGTCAACCTAATATAACAACATAGTTTCGAATATCCAATTTGATATTTTACTTCTGTTGTAGTTTGATTCTCTGAGCAAATGAGGTTAGTGGCAGAAAATCCTCTGCCAATTGGTGCTGTCCTTTTAGGTGATGTGACAGGACATAATATCTGTCTTGTACTGAATATTCGTGGTATTCATGGACGGGAAAGAAAGAATTAAGAATCTAAAGTGTATAATTATTGGCTGATGATGTAACATATGTGGATCTGACAGAAGGTTGGAAGAAACAGGATACGATTGACACTTGTCCTGCTGAATTGACTATGAAGATATTTCAGCATCTTTTGAGCATTCATTATCTTCACGCTATAATGCTCTTTTCCTTTGTGAATCTGATGAAATGTGGGAGTCCGAGATAATGAATAATGATAGAGCAGCATGGGATAAATTGAATGAATTGTGATGCCACTGGTTTTTTTCTTATTGCCCCAATTCATTAATGACTTTGGTATGAACTGTGATCTGTTTTCCAGAGATTATTTGTCCTGGTTCATTCTTGAATTCATGATGTACAGTGTGTCCTACTTGAATGGTAAGTTTGGAAGGTCAATGGAATTGAATTATATTTGGGGGACCTACCTTCACCATGTTGAAACTGGCAGTCATTATTGAGACAATGAAATAGAAAGCTATGGGAAAATGTAAACTCTATGTGTAATCAGTTTACAATAAGTTTAATTTCATACATGTTTATATACATTTTTTTTTTCTGCTAATTGGTATTCATGTTTAAACTAATTATTGAGTTTGAGTGGTTGAAGTATGCTTTATAGGGTCTCGGATTATTATAATTGGTATTCTGTGGTTGTTTCAGTTGACTATATCGCTGTAATTTCTACCGGAAAGTTTATGTGATGGGAATTCCTGCTGTGCTAGTGTTGACAAGGCCATTGTGTCAATCTCTTGAAAATTACCCTGGCTAGTATCTTGATGTTTTATAATGTTGCAGGACAAATGTCGGCATACCCTACTGGTGGAAATTTTACACCCCATATGATAACTATTAATTCCGGAGAGGTATTTCTTCTATGATGACGTAACTTTTCTGTTATTTCTTTTTCATATTAATAATTTATGGTCAAATTCCACTTATCTCAATTGCTATTGACATTATCTTTTTAATAATAATAAAAAAACTGTATTCAATTTATATTCATGCTGCTACTTTGATGAAACTCTGTTAAACCTGCACTTGGTTTTGTCATTCAGGTTTATAGAAGTTGTTAATTAGATTGAAACAGAGGATTTTGCTTCATGAAATCTGTTTAAAAGTTGTGGCTACGGTTTTCTTTCCCTATATAATAGCTTTTGATTTGTGGTCCTTCTAACGTTCCTAATTTTGTTTTGGCCTTTTTCTGCCAGGATATCATGATGAAGATAATATCCTTTTCTCAACAAGGGTCTAGAGCCATTTGCATTTTAGCTGCAAATGGAACTATCTCAAATGTGACATTGCGTCAACCAAATTCTTCTGGTGGTACTTTAACCTACGAGGTGGGTGCTGTATCATCCATACTGTATTGGTTGATATACAGTAGTTGTTTTTTTTTTTTTTGCTTTAATGAAGAAATTTTCATCTTTAAAACACTTGGTGTAGAATTAAATTTGTGTTTGTGTGGTTCCTACAGGGTCGTTTTGAAATCCTCTCTCTCACTGGATCATTCATGCCAAGTGATAATGGACAGACAAAAAGCAGGTCTGGTGGGATGAGTGTCTCGCTGGCTGGCCCTGATGGACGTGTCTTGGGGGGAGGACTAGCTGGCATGCTAGTTGCAGCTGGCCCTGTTCAGGTTAGTTTGTGTTTCTCTAATGAAAACAAAAACTACGCCCCACACACACCTCAAGTGATGTCCTATTCAAATTTGTCGTTGTTGCCTTAGTGATTGATGATCATGGATTCATGGTATCTTAGGAACTTTGATTGTTAACTATTTAGGTAAAAAAATTGATTTGCATTCAAGATGAATCTATCTTCTGCCTCTGTATTCTAACTCTGTAGACCTCTCTGTACTCATTGAGTCCTTTTAATCGAAAACCTTTCATTTGGGAGGCTTACACACTGTCTGAATCTTTCAAATTTAACAGGTTGTGATTGGAAGCTTTGTTACCAGTCAACAACAGCCGGAGCCAAAGCCTAAGAAACCAAAATACGAGCACACAATAACATTTGCTCCCATCCCCTCAAACCCTCTTTCTGAAGAAAGATACGAACCAACCTCCAGTACACCAAAGCCAAACTTGACCACACCCGCTACTTTTCACGAAGACAACTTGGCTTCTGTAAACACCACACTTGGCCCCAAAATAGCAGATGTTGAAAATAACATTTTGTTGCCGGATGAGGATCCTAGAGACCAGGGCCGCGGATTAACTTGCTGAATTCATTAAGCTTCTCGTGTTTGTATTTTAGCTGTGTTATTTTTCCCTTTTCCTGTTGTAGAAGTTGTAGCCTCACTTCTGACCTGCCCCCTGCTTCAAGTCGCCGGATGCTATCCCACCTTGATGAAGCGGCGCATGACTTGTCCGTTCCATCCAGTTTACTAATTTCCTGCTCAGGTATTTTAGATTAGGATTTGTTGTTAGAATTCCTGGATCTGTCACTCTTATTCCATTTCTCAATTATGTGTAACTTGCTGATGTTTGAAACTCGATGCGACATTTCTAGTCATAGTTTAAAGACTTGAATTTTCCTTGGCATATTCGCGGTAAGTACATTTTTCTTCGTGGTCCCGTAGACTTCCCTTTAAAGCCATGATATTAGAAGCTTCACCTAAGTTCATGCCTATAGTTATATTTATTTGTATGAAATTGAAGTCACCATGTTTGTAGGCTGTGTTTATGAGTCCATTTTGTGGATGGATTGAAGTTTGTAGGATTTGTTGAAGAAGTCTTTTGGGATATGTTTCTCTACCAAATGACTTTGTTGTTTTGAGATTTGGTCAATCTTTTTCAAGATATTTTTACACAAGTAGATGACAAATGCAATCCTTACACAATCAGAATCAGACCCACCATTACAAATGACAGCCACCACTCAATTTTTAGTTACAGACTAATATTGCCAACAAACAAACATCAGTCAGAGGATTCTGTCTTCGTATAAAAACAAATTAAATAAACAAATCTTGGACATAAAATCAAACTGTGGTTAGAGAGAATATTCAAATTTGATGAGAGGTATCTCCTCTCTTTGTCTGCAACATGAAAGGTGCCTGCATGTTTTGGTGACAGTTTTTTTTGTTGTACAACTAATTTTTAAAAAATAATAAGAAGAATGTTCTTATAAAACATTACATTTAATCAAATGAAACATAAAAATTGAATTAATTCTTCATTGTAGATAAATTGCATATTAGAAATATATATATATATATATTAAAGATACAATTAAATAAAACCTAAGGGTAGTTTGATTTGTGTTTTTGTTTCTGTTTGTATGGTGACTTGATATGATATTATATAAAAGTGAATAATATATTTTATATGGAGAGTTTAGGAATTATATAACAATAAAATAGGGGAAGAACTTGTTAAAAGAAAAGTAAAAAATTTGAGCAAATCAGTCAGGCAGCATCCATGATTATATTAATAGCATGCAAGAAAAGCTGGCCGGGATATATAAATGAAAACATGTTAAAATGTGCATAAAACATCAAACAATGCCCTTTTGCCATCACTTTTTATCCTACTTTATCCTCATTCCATGTGAACGGATTCAAGAAAATCAAAGACTTCCATGGATAAGCATCTCTGCATTCATTGAGATTAAAACTTTTTTCACGAATGAGATGCAGTTATTTCTTGGAGGAACACTATTTTCATCCACAGCCATCCAAACTCTTGAACACCGCTAAGTTTTAGCTTATCTTGGCCTGAAGAATTGCACAAGACTCACATTTGAATGCTGAAAGGGGAAATCAAGAAACCCGAAAAATTACAGCAGTATTGGCAAGACTCATGTTACAAGCTTTTCTGCCTTCCAACCGCTGTTGATTTTCTCAATGAATTCTTCGACTCTTTTTCTTAGCTCGTCGTCATCCTGCTCATCTTCTTGATTTGGGAATTCTTCCACATTATCAGCCATGTGCATGCTCCCACTTGGCAAGTTTTCTTCCTTGTCTTGGATTGTAACTTTCGCCTCCTCGCCGGAAGAGTCCCTTGTATCTTTCTCGACAATTTTGGGACTGGTAATGGTGGGAATGGCATTGGGCTTTTTGTCTTGATAAAATTGTCGCTTTGAGGTGCCAACAAGTAGAAAGGCAATGATCAGATTGCAGACACAGAAAACAGCCAGGGAATTTGAAGCCGCCAGGCTGATTAACTCCATTGTTGAATCCAACATCTTTGAATGTACTTTCTTGCCAAAAAATGATCAAAGTGGGAGATGGAAAATGAAGAAGTTGATGATTGAGGTCTAAGAGAAGGTTGTATTGTGATGTTTTGTTAAGCACAAAATGGGAATGGATTAAGCACTTATAAGGGCTTTTGCTTTGGATGGCAAAAGGTAGTGAGGAAGAAGAAGAAGCTGCTTTTATGTCACTATACTTTATTCCAAAGTGGGATTAGTTAATCTTAATCATGATGATTAGTTTTCTCATTCTTGACAAACTTAATCAAAGTTTCTGGTGTAAACCCAAGAGCCCACATGGCCACTTCACAAATATTCTACTAAAGATTCAGAGCTGTGATCTCAACAAAAATGTGAAAAGTTTATCAATCCAGTAGAGAATAGTGATAAGTTTTCATGGCATGATAACACTTTCATACCAAGTCTCCATTGATAAAGAGATTGAAAATTAGCCACCAGATTGATTGCTTCAAGGCTAGGTTGAATTGAATGTCCTATTCTAGTAAAGGAAGGGACAAAAGAGTAAATTCTCAGACTAGCAAAACTATAAGTGTAAGAGAGGCAATATATCCAACCATTTCATCATTTGAAAATCTGAAATCGAAAAAGGAAGAGTACATTTGAAAGATTGGTCTATTTTGAGCATTCAATGCAAGTGTTTTCAAAATTCTTACACTAATGGGATGTACCAAAACTTCAGCAACAAACATACTTTGATTGCCAAAAAGTGTTCTAGATTTACTGTAGCACCTGTCCAATGCTCTAAATTTAACAAAAATAGCCCCGTTACTTTTAGTGTTCAATTAACATCTACCAGCTCGACATCGAAGATCAGCCATGAGTTTGGAGGTATTTTCCCAGCTTTGCTGGAACCATAACTGCATTTGGAATAAGATATGTCATGAACTGTGTTTAGAGGTTATATGATAATCTATGGTTGGCACGATTACTTAGGGATGCATATTAGAGAACAGAAAGGGAAATTTACAATACCCCATAGCCGGAGGGATTGTTAGCCTTCGTTTATCCCCAATACGCATGCCTGCATTCAGAATGAGTTAGTGGAGCAGGATAAAACATTAGGAAACCGGGAAAAGAATTCTGTACAAGTGTGTGGAAGTTCATGTCGGGTATGGTTACCGTTAACACCGACATCCCATCCCTTGATGACTTGGCCAACACCTGCCACAGGGAATATCAGAATTATAAAACAAATATCGTCTTGACTGTTCAACATTTACTTAGAGAATAACGGAATACCTAAACGGAACGTGAAGGGTGTTCTTCCAATGTTTGAGTCAAATATTTTGTTATTCTTTAGCTTTCCAATGTAATGCACGCTGACCTGCAGGCAATAGAATTGGATTATAATTTTTTTGCAATAAGAGCAATTTATGGATCAACTTGTGTACGGTGAAAAACCACGCACATGTAAGTAAATAGGAAGAGTATTCACCTTTTTTCCTGGTGAAGCTCTTTTTCCATCTGGTTTTCCCATCACCAACTCCTCTATCACCAAACCATTCGGAAATGTTCTCACTTGAAATGATTTAGCCTCTTCTTTCTTCTGTTTCTTCGACACAGGAGCCTTTTTATCAGTTAAATTTCCCTCTGCATTAGGAGTTGGCACACTTTCCTGCTCTTTGTTCTGTTTTTTCTTTTTCTTCTTTTCCTTTTTACTGTCATGATTACCATAGAGATACTATCAGTGTGTAATGCAATATATTCATCAGAATTAAGGTTTGGATATAAAATAGAATTAAATCCTAACAGAACAGAAAGCACATTAACAAATAGCATTGTATGCAGGGTAAGGAGCCCAAATGGATCGAGGATGTTTGGCAGGAATGAGAGAAGTGGAGGAGATTGGAAAAAGGTTGCTTGGGTCAATATTGCCTGATTTCATGCTACAAACTAGAACTTTCGTAATATGCAGCAGCTATACTTCAAAGAAATAACTCAATATATATAATTACTATGGAACATTTTTAATTAACCTTTAATAATAACAAAGCAAAACTCACTTTGCAGAAGAGGGATCTGGATCATTCCCATTTGCAGCTACTGGAGACTCTTCCGTAACTTTGGAATTTGGCATTGCATTTTCCTGGGCACCTTCAATATTCTCTGCAGCCTTTCTCTTTTTGTTCTTCTTCTTTTGTTTACCTTCATTTGCAGGAATTGTAGTTGTAGCATCAGGTTGAACTGAACTGTCATGGGGTTCACTATTTTCCCTGAGATGAAACAAGTATGTATAAATTTAAAGCAACAAATACCAAGGCACTTTCTTCAATCCTTAAATTTTAGAAACATTAAATTCAAGAATATCTAACTATTTGGAATTTGAGTACCTTGCAGCTTCCCCATCTTGGTCATTAGCTTTGATCTTCTCTTTCAATTTTTTCTGACCACCAACATCACCTTTTTCATTGTTTTTGTGGGTTCCTACATCCCCTTCCTGATGTTTAATCTCCTCTGTTCTTGCTTCAGATTTTGAGTTACCAGACTTTTCTCCATGTACAGATATGGGAAATCCGTCTTCATCTTCACTCTCCAATATGGAATCATTAGTTTTAGCCTTGAGAACAATCTGGCAATTGGCAGTCTCGTTGTCATCAGGCATAGTCAACTGAGGTTTCTGCCTTTCCACTTGTTTAGAAACATCATTCTCATTGGAAGGTCTTCCATCATCAATTATTTCTACAATTCTCACTACAGTATCAGGTCAGAAGTTATGTTTAATAACTTAGCAATCCAAGGTCACAAGAAGCCTTCATCAAACAGCAGTAAACTGATCAAATATATCAAAAAAATTGCAGATATCATCGTAACATCGTAAAGCATAAACTACACAAGAACAAAATGATTCCATATACAAGTTCAATACATATGTGTATGTGTATTTATAGATATATGGATATGTTTGCATGCACACACAGCAAATGAAATCAGAAATGATAAAAAAATAAAAAAATATCTTGACATGATCATACAAAAACAACAATACCTCCGCTGTTGGGAGCAGGTTCAGTGTAATCATCACTCTCATATTCCTTGGAATCATACTCCATGTAGTCCTCCTCATCTTCAGAATCAGTTCCAACGATACCCTCCTCATAACTATCGCTTAAAACATGAGTTACAGAAACAAATCACAATCTAAAAATTAAGAGGAAAACTATCCAAACTGACATTATCTACTGCAATGAGAAAACACAAAATACTTTCATAAAATGAGCATGCAGACACTGATAATAAATTAATCAAGGATACGATCCATAGTCATAATCATCCTCCGAAGTATCCTGATCTTCATTAACACCATAGAAAAAGCCAGAAAGGTGCACACGGTCAGAGCCTGATATCAAGAAGGTAACTTCATCATCCTCCTCGAACTCAAGGTTCAGCGCACAATTCTCTAGCTTCTTTGGGAACAATGAGCACAGATTAATAGGATTTTTATCCCCGACTATACACTGCAGAACCGTCCTATTACCGGATGAACAGGAGCTTAATGTTGCCTAAAAGCAATCAAACATAAATTACAATCTCAACCTCAAACCAAAAACACAAAAATGTTGTGCAAATTCATTTTAGTTGCAAACAATTACTTGAAGAATCGATTATCACCCAACTAATGTATAACAAATCAGCCTAATGATTTTAGGAAATGATGTTTCATTTGTCCTATTACCTGAGACAAATGAAGCCGTCCCCTTTCATCGGAGCGATGGATGTATGGTTTACCAGGCTTAACTTCAACGCCTGGATTTCCAAAGAAACGAAAATATTACTGAACAAAAATATCGATAATCAGTCTCTAGCAAGAACTTAATCGTTGACAGAATCAAGCTTACCCCAGAAAGCCATTGTAGCAATTCAGCAGCTGCAGCGTCTAAAACCCTAGAGCAGCACAAAACGCTGCGTTCCAGCGACAGCATAAAACCTTTAAAGCCGCTCAAATGAGGTGCCATTTAACATACGACGTCGCTTTCTGCCATTTTCCAATGCGGCTGGAGGGTAATAATTTTCTTTTTTTTTTCTCTGACTTGTGACCTAATTAGCCGCAAACTAAGTAAGAATTGTTTATTTAAAAATATTAATATTATATTAAAATACGATATAAATAAAATTAAATAAAAAAATAAAATCTGATAATATATTATAAATTCTATAAATATTTTTAATGTTAATAAAAAACATTAAAAAATAAATTGACATTTTATTTATTATGAGACGAATTAAAATGAAAAAATTGAATAAATTATAGAGTACTATTATAATATATTATATATATTTATATTACCATATTTAATTACTTTGATATTTCATATGCTTACAATTGAAAATTTTAAAAATATTGTTTCTTTTCGGTTTTATTGGATTTGAATGTTTAGCATTTTTATTTTGAAAATATTGCGGATATATGTAACAAATCAAAGTAAAAAATATTGGAGGATATCTATTTTAGGTACGAGTTGATCGGTATCAGCTTGGCAATATGAACATGAATGAAAGTGGATAATAGATAAACTTCATATACAAAAAGACCAAATATGTTGAAAGAAGGAAGAAGGCGGTGATGAAGCAGTAAGAACATTCCAGAACCTTTTCGAAATACTTTTGTTTGGAAATTGAATTTTAATTTATTATTCATCTAATATTTTTTTTTTAAATATAAAATCAAGACACTTATTTTTTATTTTTTATATTATACTAAAAAATTAATTTTATATATTTAAAACATCACGTCAACACTTATTTATATCACATCATACACCTATTCAAATTCAAAATTTTTAATATTCAAATCTCAACTCAAAAATCAAAGCCGCCGATAAATACAGCCTTAGATTATCCATTTGACCTTGTGAGTATCTATCCTTCAAATTTAGTCTATGTTTATCTATATTTTGTATATACATATAAACGTGGATATGCTGTAATTTAATCAGTGTTTGTTTGGTCTGATCCGTTATAAAATCTATAAGAAGAGAAACCATCATAATGAACATATGCAATTTACAATCGAATCCGTACGATGATCTCAAGAAGATTTTGCATTGTGTAAAAAACATCATCGTCTTCATTCGTTTGTGTGAAAAGGACAGTCATTTTCATGGAAGATACTAAATTTTTATCCTTTTTCACCAACAAACGAATCCAAGCCTGTAAAAGAGTTGCATCAATTCTCCAAAGAGTTGAGCAATTCAAAATTTTCACATACAAACTCAAAACCCTACAGCACCTTCGTTTCCGGCGAAGGGATTCAACCCTAATCTCCAAGAACCTTCCCTACAAGAAACCCAAAATTCAATTCAAAATATTTTATTATAATTTTATCATCGTAGAAAATCTTATGAATTTCCATAACTACAGTATTATTATTATTATTTTTAATTATAAAACTTCTATTGCAGAAAACTAGAGTGTTTTTTCCCAGAAAACTTCGCAGACACGCTCGTCGTTTGAAGATTGTTAGAATTTTCATAACAAAATAACTCCAAAACTTTCTTCTCAATCAGACATATTTGTGACCTGAGCTATGCTACATGTATATATAGATATAGAGATCAATAAATAATCTTAGTACATTATAGCTATGTAATTACATATATAGCATAGTAAGAAAATGGCAGGATGGTCTGCAGAAAAGGCAACAAAAGCCTATCTTGAATCAATGGAGATGGTGAGTTCATCTTAAAACTTACTCCCAGATTTCACATTTTTTTTATTATTTTAAAAATTATTCTAAACTCCAAAACTCTCTGAAGCAAGGACAGGTGTCTAAAGAGCCTGATGCAGCAGAGTTCATCTCAGCCATGGTGGCCGGCGCGAGTGCGCGGCTCATAGTCGTAGCCTGCGCCGATGCAGCCGAGCCGACCGTGTCAGCGCTGGCGGCTGCAGCCCATCACACAGCCGGAAAGGTGGTCTGTATTCTGCATGAGCTCGGCTCCAACAAAACATTGGCGCCCAGCTTAGCAAAAGAAGTCGAGTTCGTTGTAGGGAATGCAGAGTGGCTGATCACAAGTGACTACGTCGAAGCCGACTGCGTAGTCGTAAACTGTCGAATTCGCAACAGCGAACGTATACTCAAAGCTGCGAGAAGCGCCATTGTCTTCGGGTACAATGCCGTTTGGACAGAGCCGTCGAGGTTGCAAGAATTCGATGCACGTTTGTTGCCGATAGGGGAAGGCTTGTTGCTGAATCGAACAGGCGAGACCGCGAAAAGGGCTCGATGGGTTGTAAAAGTTGATCGACTCACCGGGGAAGAGCATATATTTAGGTTGAGGGCGAACCCGGCAAAGACTATTTTTTCCCGATAAGTAAAAATCGATGTTTTACCAAACCTGTACAGCTGAGAAACATTGGAAATCAATACCATCAACATGTGTTATTACAAGTAGCCCAACCATGTCTTGTTTCTTGCATTCTCTGTTTAAGTTAACCATAATGTGGGGCTTGGCAAGAACCTTATCCGGTCCCGAGCCATGTGACGAGATGCACGTGGAACTTCGACTAGTAAGTGTTGAGGGCCATCGAGACCACTTGCAGCTTCGATCGTAAAGTAAACATCAAACTAATATTATCATCAATGCAGGCTCGCGCGCCATGTCAGTACATTCCTCCAAGCGAATACGATCGATCTTTTTCATTACCATTCATTGCATTCGGTTAAAGATAAGGAGTTCATTGTACCCTCATGTCCATTTTGGCAGAGGATAAGTTTTCTTTTTTCTGTGGATATGAGTTCAGACAAATGGGACCTCAGAGAGTGCCGGAAAAGACCAAAAGACAAAAGATTTACGATGTGTTCGCGAAGGGAACAGCTTGATCTGATCTAGATCTATGTTAGCCTGTCCAGAGGCAGTTGATCTTATATCCAACATCATTAAACAATTCTTCTTACAACATCAGTAGAAACTTTTGTCCCTTTCAGCTTCATCTTCTTACCAATTCAAGATTATTTTAGCACTTCAATGGCTTACAAACTTTAGATCAAATTCTTACAACCATCGTAAAACAGCCATTCCTTGTCGAAATTAGCACACAGCTTTGCAATACTAATTACATTGTTAAAACATCTGGTCCCCTCTTAAGCACAACATTACAGCTAAGACATCAGAATATTTAAACATAAGCTGTATTATGACTCTCTCCCAAACGTGCGTTCGATTAAGATAACTATTTCCTGCTGATTAAACTAATATCAGCAAGAAATTCTTGTCGAAGCCTCCCGGAACCTCCCACCGCCCTTTTGTAGTAGACAGCGCTTCTTTATATATGTTATTACAAGTTGTTTGAGTATAACAACAGCAGCCCACAAGCTTTAGATATGGATCTTGTCATTGCTATTCACCCTATCTATCTTGTGATGTTTTTAATCCTCACTCAGTTTGTTTGTTCCATGATCAACCATTTTACTACAACCATGGCCTTGATCCTTATATTTATTACAAGTTGTTGGGATACATAATTGGCTTGCTTGGCCTATTGTGTATTAATTTTTTAGCACATCCAGTTGGATTGGCAGAGTCCCCACATGGAAACAACAGGTCCCGATGCCTGGCCTCTATATATATATGTGTGTGCAGTTCCAAGAGTTGAGTAGAGCCTCAGTTACAGACAACAAAGAACTCATAAGCAAAAACAGAGGTTGTAAGAAAATGGCTTGCTGGTCTGCTGAGAATGCTACCAATGCTTATCTAAGAACTATGAGAATGGTAAGCTTGACAGCCCTTTGATTCTTTGGTTCAAGAAAGCAACTTTATGAACCTTTTTGGTGTTTTCTTGACTCCCATTTGGTATTTTCTTTCAGGGAAAGGATGCCAAGGAACCCAACGGCGCGGAGTTCATATCGGCGCTGGCAGCCGGGAACAACGCGCAGCTGATGGTGGTCGCCTGCAGCGGTGCCGCAGATTCGACAACGGTAGCTCTCGTGGCGGCGGCGCAGCAGACGGGAGGACGGGTCGTCTGTATTATCAGTGGGTTGGAGGAGCTCCAGGCCTCCGAGGCCAGCCTCGCTGCCGACGCTTGCCAGGTGGAGTTCATCGTCGGAGATGCTAATGACCTGCTGATGAACAGCTACAAGGACTCCGATTTCGTCGCCGTCGACTGCAATCTCGACGACCACGAAACGATCATTCGGACCGTGCAGGAGAGAGTTGCGCGACGAGGCAACAACACCGTGGTTTTGGGATACAATGCATTCTGCCGGGGATCGTGGAGGAGCAACCCTTTGTGTACACAGCCGCTGCCGATCGGCGGAGGATTGCTGCTGACGAGAAAAGCCGCGGCAGCAAAGAAATCAAATTGGGTCGTCACGGTCGATAAGTGTACCGGAGAAGAACATGTTTACCGAGTGAGATCTTCTGTAGGAAGAGTCATCAGAGCTTGAATTTCTCGACAGAGCTCTGCTTTCAACTCGAAAAAATCGAATCATTTTGTAAATATAGATTTTGGTGCTTTTGATCATCACAATTGCATAGATTTCATGAAAACAGAAAGTGTTCTTCACATACGAATCGATCGATCATTCGAATACGAGAAAGGTTCGAAGGAGAAAAGAGAACCCTACCCAAGTCCTACAAAGATCATATTACACTACAGATCAAGTGGTTAGCAGCAATCTACGTTACTACAGCTTACAATGTCTTGATTCACTTGCAAAGCTCGCGTACAATCGTCTCCATTGCCGGCCTATCCTCAGGACATTCGTGGGTACACAACAGAGCGATGTTAGCGAGCACAGCAGCTTTGGGCTCACACACCTTCCCTTGCAGATGCACGTCGAGGAAATCGAGGTTGTTTGTCTCAGCCGAAGCGCGCATCGAGCTCGTGTATCGTTTCTTCCCAGAGAGGATCTGGAAAACAAGCACCCCGAACGCGTAGATGTCGCTTTTGTCGGTGAAACGTCCGGTTGTCGTGTACTCAGGCGCGAGGTACCCCATAGCAGCACTCGCTTTTAGAGCTGAAAACACGGTATCATTCGTTAGCAGCTTCAGCAGACATGAGTCCGATAACAAGGGCTGCGATCGGCTGTCGATGAGCACGTTCTTCGCCGATATGTTTTGGTGAACTAAAGACGGCTTATTTGGGTTCGAACCGTGCAGATAAGCAATGCCTGCGTAGAATACAAGTTCGAACATTATATCGAGACGAATGTAGATGTAACGAACATTTTCGATACAAAAAAAACGAACCTTTAGCTACGCCCCGGATAATTGAGACCCTCGTCGACCATTCGAGACTCCGCGTGTCGCCCTCTTTGAGATCGAGATACTGAAACAAATTCCCGTTGGGAACAAAGTCGTAGACGAGGAAACACTCCCCGCGACCTCTCGAGCAGCAGAAGCCACGCAACATAACCAAGTTTTCGTGGCTTAAGGACGAGAGTATATTCAGACCCTTCAAGAACTCGGCTTCCTCCGACTTGCAGCTGCTTTTTGTAATCCTCTTAACAATTACGATCGATCCGTCTCTCAGCTTCCCTTTGTACGCGATTGAATAGTTGCTCTTTCCCAAGATGTTCTTCTCGGCAAAATACTGCGTCGCCGATTCAACCTCCTGAAGATTCAGCCGAAAATTCTGTATAACCTCTTGCGAAACACCGAAACGTCGACCCTCGCCCAATGGATCCCAACCGTTCGAGTACTCGAGGCTCACGAGCGGGGAGCCGTTCTTGCTGTTGTAGAGTTCCTTGGCATGATCAGTGCTGAGACGATTTTCCGGCGCATCGAATCCGCTCCCGAGTTTCTGCTTGCGCCTTCGGTAGATTGAGAACGATAGAATACCTACGACAGACACGACCACTGCAACGACGATTACTGCAACTGCAGCTGACGCCGGCGATCCCTTCGATTTCTTCGAGCAAGAACCTCGGCTGCAGTTCAAATTAAGATCGGCTGTTTCCGGAATGTTCTTAGTCACGGGAACACCGGATGTCGCTCCTGCATAAGGCTCCGGCCTCTCCGAATTCGGTCGATCGAAATTACTACAGAATCGCAGCGACGAGAATCCCGATCCGCATAACCCTGGATTGTTCTCATACCGAAATCCGTCGACCAGTCTCTTCAGCGCTGTGATCATCGATCAATCGAGGTTAATTACAGTCTATTTTCATATAAACGATCGAACAGGACAAGACATGTCAATATGTCATTAGTTATTACCGAGAGGTACATTGCCGGAGAGTGTATTGTTTCGAACATCCAGAACTTGGAGAAGCGGGGCGTCGGCAACTTTCGTCGGGATGGAGCCGAAGAGGCGGTTGAAACTCAGGTCGAGCCGCATTAAGACGGCTAAGTCTCCCAAGCTAGCCGGAATTGCGCCGGTTAAAAGATTTGACTGCAAAGCTAGAACATTGAGCTTCTTCATCGAGCCGAGCTGCGTCGGTATGCTGCCGGTCAGATGATTGTAGCACAGCTGCAGAACTGTACGGGGAATGAACTTTATTATAACATATGGACCGACGTAGATTGTCTTTGTAGACCGTTAAAGATCAGATTTTTATGATGTTTGTTATGAACTAGACCAAACCATGTCAGATTATGAGATCTCATAAGAAATAGAAAATTAGGGTCGAGAATTATAAAGATTCAATTTTTTAACAGAGGGTTTTTTTAATTCAAAGCCGAGTCTTAAGACAAAATATTCGTTTGTCCTCGCGTAGAACACTCCGTACACGTAATAATACCACAATAGGTTAAAATGGAGGAGAAAGAAACAAGAGCAATCAATATTACACAAAAATACATACACCACCAAGGAAATGCCATAAATAAATAGTGTGCTTTATTATTCCTATAAATATTTTTTTTAAAAATTAAGAAGAAGAAAAAAATTCCGACCTTGCAAGTTCTGCATGCCTCCGATTTCCGGCGGAATCTCGCCGGAAAAATTGTTCACATTCAAATACAGATCACTCAGCTCGTCGAGGTTCGCAATCTCCGGCGGTATCTCTCCGTACAGCGAGTTGTAGTGCAGGTAAAGTCCGGTCAAATGCTTCAGCCCACCGACGGCCGGCGAAAGTTTTCCGGCGAGCCCTTTCCCCTGAAGCGAGATGTTGGCCACTTCCCCTTTCTCGTTGCAGGCGACGCCTTCAAACATGCCGCCGCACGGGTCGCCCGACCCGACCCACGAGCCCAAATGCAGGTTATCCGGGTCAAGGCTGGCTTTCAGCTCCAGAAGGGAGGATAGCTCCGAAACGGCGGCGGCGGCGGAGGCGGCGGCGGAGAGCAGGAGAATGAGAAGAAACAACGGAGGCGGAGGAAAAGCCATGGAAGGAGCCAATAATGCTCTGCAAACAGTACTCCTATTATGCTTCCAAGATGTTTGTGGTGTTGTCTTTATGGCTATGGCTGTTTTTGGTTCCTTGATTTTGAAAAATTGGGGATTGGAATCCCCGTGCCGAAGCGTGCAGAGCAGCGCAGAGATAGAGAGAGAGAGAGAGAGAGAGAGAGAGAGAGAGAGAGAGAGAGAGAGAGAGGGTGGAGGGTAGGGAGAGAGTGAGAGTTTCTCGGGCATGTCCTTTTTTCTCTGCTTTATTTATCATATTTTGTCTGAACAGAGCAGTAGCGACAAAGTGAAGAGGACGGAGGCGATCTGCTGAGATTCGGACACGTGTAGGCCGTTAGATGGGGAATTAGCCGATCGAGCATTTCTGAGCGTCGGATGGGTTCTGGGTGCAGTGAGGTGCGTCGTACAGTGTAATTTCCTTCGGGGTTGGGGCCGAAGACGACAAATTGTGCAGTGAGATTTGAATGGGCAGTGGTGCAAGTGAAATTTTAATTTCTGGAAAGGGGACCATTATACAATTATTGATTTTTGTGTGGTAAAATGTTGAATTTGGCATATCTTGGAGGGGTGGGCCGGCGGTCAGTAGTTTTTACTGTGCTGATGAAATTCAAATAATTTCTCTTCATCATTTCGGGATGCTTTAAAAATAATAATTTTGTTCTATAAAAATAAAAAAGATAATAATAATACCAAAAGAAACACCATAATTAGGCATGAGGATGATTAATAGTAAATGAGAGATCATTTTGTTCTTTAGTTTATTTATTTTTTCACACTTTACCATATTCATAATAAAATTAAATAAATAAATAAATAAATAAAAGGAAAATTGAATTAACCAAACATGGGCTTTATCTTATACTGCGGAGACTCCTCAATTCGATGAAAGAATCTGCCAACATGCATATGGACACTATATATAGTTATGAACATACAAAATATATTTGTATCTATCTTCTACATAAATATTTGTAAAGGAAGAGTGAGAAAGAGAGAGAGAGGAAGAAATTGATCGAGGGAATTGAGAATTGATGCTTTCAATGCAGTTTTTCTCTCCCACTTTAATTTTTTTTTTTTTGTTTAATTATTTTGTAATAATAGTAGAGATTAGAGAGACAATGAGAGTATGTATCTATGAGGAGAGCAGTTTCTTGATTTTGAGACATAAAAGCCTCAATCTGTCTGTCTCTTTGCTCTACAGTCGATGAGATATACATACATAAATATATATATATATTGAGACTTGGGTTGATTTTTTATGGGATTTTTACAGTCAAACAATTCGAATGGATTAAACCCTTATGTTTGTTTGCTTTTAAGGCATTTCAGATTCTCTCCCTCTACATCCATGGTGATTAGATTCTGTGATATATAAAGAGAGAGAATCTACCAGTGCTTTAAAATAAATAATAAATAAATAATATGATGTGGGTTTTTTTTTTTTTGGTAAGATTTTTCATAAACAAGTTGATGCATTGTGGAATTCTAACTGGCTTTGACAAATAAAAATGATTACTTTTTGTTGGTGATACTGATAAAGCAACTAAAGCCTAAAGGCCATCTGTCCTGTCCCATTTGCATGTTGTAACACAATTTATGCCTATTTTATTTATTTATTCCTGACCCTTCAGTATTATTCTCATTTTTATTATATATTTATTTCGTTTTTCTCTATATATATATATATTTTTTTTAAAATTATATAAAGTGGTCACAATAACTCACAGACAAGATTCTGCCATGGATAGGGATGCCTAAGCCTAAGTGGGGAAGCCTAAGTGGGGATCACATTTTGCAATTCAACTTTTCCCAACTCTTCTTACAAAAAATTTATAAGCCTTTTCCTCACTTGTAGTAAAGTTTGCACAGTAATGGGCCCAAATTCACTATTCTTTTATTTTATTAAATTTTTAATATTATATACTTATAGTAATACAGCCCAATTAGGGTGTCTACTCTAAAGAATATTTTTAATGCTCTTTGAGAGATAAAAGGAGTTTTTACTCTATATATATATATATATATATTTAATAATTGTGCATTATATAATTTAATTTATAATATATATAGCATTAAACATATATTTTTTATTTAAAATAATATATTCATTGTGGTGCCCACTATCTGGAGACTATGTTTAACTTTAGGTTGTGATATATACCAATAAGTGGAATTGCATCATTTTTTATTTTTATTATTATTGTTTTTTTCATGTAACAATACTCTGAATCAAATCTATTTAAATTTAAATGTTAATAATAATAATAATAATAATAATAAATAAATAAATAAATAAAGATGTAATAATATGCAATTATTACTAGATTTTACTTGCCATGTGGTTTGGTAACATGGCCACAACTCACTTTCAAAATCAGAAAGACTATAAAGAGGGCTGACAAAAATTTATATGGTTAGAATTTTGTAGGGAATAAATTGTGAATTGTCCCTTTTATTACAAGGTGTTCCCACCATGAGTAAATGAATGAATAAATAAATAAATAGCTATATTTAAGTCTAAAAATATCATACATAATGACAAATAAAATATAATTTATATTAATATAATACAAATAAAATATACTGACACCTAATCCGCAAAATACATTGTTACTATTGATCTTCAACTAAAAAAAATATGTTCATAAAATATCATTACAAATATGAACTAAAGACATATTTTCAAATAATACAACAATTATATCTTTGAAAGTATGTCTTAATTGTAGCGCGGGCAATGCGTCAATTTGCGTCTGGTTGAATACTTTAAACGGGTTAAATTACTTAATCATAATCCGACCCGTTTATTATCGTGTCGGGTTCGTGTTTACTCGTTTATTACCGTGTCGGGTTCAAGTTGACTCGTATATATAATTAAGTCGAAATTATCGACTCAAATTAAATAATTTTTTGTTGTATTGTCATGTTATGTTAGTTTTTATTGGTTTGGACGTAAATTAGGTTGAATTATTTAAAATTGAACTTAATTTAAATTAATTTATGAAAAAATTATTAAAGTATGATTATTTTACATATATAATAAATCTATTAATCAATATTAATATATTATAATTGGGTTGTCGTGTCGGGTTCGAGTTGAGAGTCTCAACCATAACCCGATCCGTTTATTATCGTGTCGGGTTCGTGTCAACTCGTATATATAGTTTAGTTGAAATCTTTGACCTAAACCCAATTACTTCGTGTTTGATTGTCGTGTCGGGTCAGTTTTTATCGGCTCTACTTATTTGTCTATTTTTTATATATTGATTTGGACAAATAGTACCAATAAACACTATAACCAACCACGTATGTATGTATATATTTTGAGTTTTTTATTATTATTACTTTTTTAAATATTGACAATGAAATTTTAAATGTAATATAAAAGTTTATTGTTCCAATCTTTCTTCTTTAAGGGGACATCTTTTTGCCCATTCTTGTGCCTTTTCATGACTTGAAAAAGATTGAAAGAACACCATATTATGGATTCAGTGCCCAAATATTATTAAAATTAATAATTTACAAATATTATTTATATGAAATTTAACAATTTTTATGAGATTTAATACTAATATTATTGACATAAAATCATTAGGTTAAAATATAGTTGATCAAAACTTAAAATCGTCTTTTCAACAATCATATAATTACAATTTGTTCGATTAGAAACAAATTAATAAATTAATAAATCAATTGGACATATTTTATACAGTTAAATGTATTTTATGATATAACTAATACTCCCTCCCTCCGTCTATTTTTTAATGTTCTATTTGATATTTACACACATTTTTAGCCAATTAAGGTAATTTTGCCTTTAATCTTGCGTATAGAAAATTAAAGAGTAAATAAAGTAAGAGTAAAAGAGTAAATTTTGTGTATAAAAATAGAAAGAATACAATAATTGTTGAACATTCCAAATAGGAAAATAGAAACGTTAGTTTGTGGACGGAGGGAGTATAATTTTCATCTGATTTAACATATTATACTGTTTAACTGTGTAAGTTTAAAATAAATATCCATCTTTTTAGATTTATAAAGTAGTATAATGTTATTTTCTTTAATTTGGTACATACGCCATATTATTTTTATTTACTATTATTTATTTTTTTTTAAAATACTGGATTTTGTATTATAATGGACGTTTTAATTGGGCCACAATTTTAATCCATTACGAATATAGGCTTATGAAATCCAGCCCAATATACTGATCCAATTGAATTTCCTTGTTAAAATTGATCTATAGTCCTCGAATTAGTATATATTTACAGTCAAACCCCTCCGTTCAATGAAATTCCCGACAGATTTTGTTTTTATTTCAAAAATCGAAATTGCAGTGCTTATTTGGGCCTATAATAACTATATAAAGTTGGGCCCGATAAAGAGCCCAATTTTTATGTAGTAATGGGCCCGGCCCATATTATCTTTGGCCTATGGGCATATTTTGTGTTGCTTCAGCCTTAAGTGACCAGAGCTTCATTCTGCAGCTAGGGTTTGTCGCCGCGTAGAAGACGAACTCAGTCAACCAAGGCAGAGGAGTGCCGCCGCCGCCGTCGCCGTCATGGGTCGTATGCATAGCCGCGGGTATCCTCTTCTATTACATGCTTGCTGTAAAATCAGTTGAATGCATATCTATATGTTTTTGTTTGTTGATTTCTTCTGAAGCGTTAGAGTCATTTTGTTTTCTTCAGGAAGGGTATTTCAGCTTCCGCCCTTCCCTACAAGAGGACTCCACCCAGCTGGCTTAAAATCTCTTCTCAAGATGTAGTAGTTTGTGATTTCAGTAACTCACATCGATTCGTTGCATCTGTGTTAATTGTTACATTGCTCGCTGATTTTATTATTATTTTTTGGTGGTTGTTGAATTTACAAGGTCGATGAGAACATCTGCAAGTTCGCGAAGAAAGGACTGACGCCATCACAAATCGGTGTGATTCTTCGTGATTCGCATGGCATTGCTCAGGTGAAGAGCGTCACCGGAAGCAAAATCCTTCGCATCCTCAAGGCTCATGGTATACTCAATTAATTGACATACGTACAAACACACATATCCTGTGGCAATATGTATCCTGGAGTTGAAACATATGCATTTGTAACTTGTAAATGGTATGATAATAATTTAAACAGGGCTTGCACCTGAGATTCCTGAGGATTTGTATCACTTAATAAAGAAGGCAGTGGCAATCAGGAAGCATTTGGAGAGGAACAGAAAGGATAAGGATTCCAAATTCAGGTTGATTTTGGTTGAGAGCAGGATTCATCGCCTTGCCCGATACTACAAGCAGACCAAGAAGCTCCCTCCCGTGTGGAAATAGTAACTCTCTTATGCTATAAACTAACTTTCGAGTAATCCTTAATTGACTGGAACTTTCAAATGGGCGCTTTTTCAGTGAATTGCCTTATATTTATCTGATTGCTGGAATTCAATCTTACAATTGCTGCCATCTACATTTCCTCATGCCTTATGATTTGTCTTTTGAATTTTTGGCCTCAATAGTATTGGTTGAAGTGCACTGAATACTCTTTTCTAGCATGCTAGTTGAAGTCAAATTGCAAAATTTGAGACTATTAGCAAGAATTTTACATGATATATGTTTTATTTTTTTATATCAAGCTAAATGTCAATTATTTTTCTATCAAACTCCATACTTATCTGAGAACCTGATCCTCCTCATTGCCCTTCACAATCTTGTATCGAACACCATCTGCTCTGAAACTCTAGATAGCCATTTTTGTTGCATTCTCTTTGTTCTTATATTTTTTTAGCATTTCAACTTTGCCAGTTCTTGATGCAAGTTTCCTTTTCTGCAGTGAGTCAACCACTGCCAGCACTCTCGTTGCCTAATCTCAGAATTGCCTGGAGAAGTTTTTGCATGGTGACCAGACTTAGTTGGTTGACATTTAAACAATTCACAGGTTTTTTCAACAAATGTTTATTTAGCGCATTTACTTAATTTATTCGGAAGGGCAGTGACTTGATAAACAAAGAATGGGTTCCTTCTGTTCTGTCAGATTTTGTGAGCCATTATTCAACGTTTTTATCTTTAATTAGTGACGAAGCTTTGGGATTTGAATTTATCTGATCACTTGTGCATGTACTTAGTTATCTCTGTTTGGTCTGACCCCATTTGTTTAGCTACTAGAATTTAGGGCTGGATGTCTCCGGTGTGTTTGTTTCGTGAGATAATTTGAAGGAGTATTTTTTGCTGTGAGGTACGAGGAATTGTATAGGAAATATAGAAATAATAAATGCGCGTGATATATTAATATTTTTTGGAAAATGTATGTATTTCCTTTTTTTTTTTATAAAAGAACACACCCTCATTTCCTCAAGGTTAAAGTGATAAAATACCATAATAGTTGAATAAATAACGTTGTTAAGATTGTAACAAGGATTGCAAGAAACAAGAGAAGAGTGTGGAATTGATGATTGTATAAAGTTGAAAATGGTAATATTAGGGATTTTGTCTTGTTTTGTTTTTTTTTTTGTATTTTTTCTCCTACTATAAATCATTTATTAGGTAAAAGCTTTTTGTATGCATAAGGTTTTTCATGAGTGAATGCATTCATGTATTCGTCCATTGTGTTTTAAATGAAAGTCATATTCATTCTTTTTATTGTATAAAACTCCTTTATATTATGGTGCACAAAGTGTCTGCCAGCAATGATGTTTAGTGTAATTTTAAGTGACAAAGCAAAGAGGAATGAACATAAATTTATAATGCACCTTACCAATAGGTAAATATTTTGTGCCCTATGGTGTTTTGTAATTGAAAATTGTAAAATTTGGTTCTATTGTTAGTAATGAGATCTTTGGTTGTAAAATTGAATTAAAATGTAATATATACACACTTAATTCAAAATTAATTTAAAATATGTTTCCGAATGTGTTAAAATTTATATTTAAAATTTGTTTTATATGGATGTTATTTTATACTACTGTTTTTAATATGAAGGGGTCCATACAGAAATAAGGAAATGGATAGACGGAGGGAATATACCGTAGAATTTTAGATAATATAAATAAATAAGTAAATGTTTATATTAGTTCATATGAAAAAAAAAAATTAATATGTATATATACTGCCGTGCATTCAAAATTTTTACCTAGTGGTCCGATTAAAACGAGAGGATGTATTTAGTTGATTATTTATTTATTTATTTATTTTTAGAGTGTAGGTATGATTATATGAATAATAAATAAATAAATTTATGAAATTTGTATTGTATAAAATATGTAAAAAATGAAAAATTTATTACAATTGAATTTGTAAGAGTGAAATTCATTTCAAGTATGAGAACAACTAGTAGTCCAAATGACAATGGCACCACAGGTGTGTTTTACTTGTGAATTTTATAAATATTTTTCAATACCCAAATTATTGTTTTTACTATTTGGATTTTACGTTTTTTTTTTTAAAAAAATAATATATATTTTTTTCTCACAAAATATTTTATTATATATTATTTTAATATCAAATTCAAATTAAAATTTTTCCAAAACTCAAAACAAACAAACCCTAAATATTATTTGTTTTTTACAGTATGTATAAAAATAGTAATAAAAAATTTGTTTTTATCCATGATATTAGAATAATTTTTAAAATATTTTTATAAATTTTAATAATAGACAATAAAATACTAAAAACACACGTGTTTGTTTTGTGTTTTAAAAAGTTTTGGGGTCTGTTTTTTTTTTAAAAAAATTATATTATATTATTTCAAAAATAATTAATATATTATTATTTATTATTTTTATATTATTTACATTATTTTTATAATTTTTCTTTTGGAATCAAAATACAAAACAAACATTCTTTGTTTTTTAGTATTATTATATTATTATATTATACCTTTTTTTTTCTATGTTGATTACTAAAATGCTTCTAAAAAATTAACAATTTAATATAAAATATATTTCCTCAGTCTCAAACTATAGTTTTAATTGAGTTGGACGAGATAGAATATTGATATTATATGGGTAGTTTGTAAAATGCATGGATAAAATAATTTTTTTTTTTTTGACTATATCAGTGTAAAAAGTAGTGACAATTGGAGGTAGTTTTATAGTGATATAGTTATTTATGAAAATAAGAATATTATTTTGAGACGGACAAAAATAGTAAACAACACTATTGTATTGGAATCGAGGGAATACTAGTTTTTTTTACATTAAAATATTTAATTTAAAAAAATATTTATCCTAAATAAAATGAAAGAAACTAATATCTAAATAAAATGAAAGAAACGAATATATATTTTTTTACTTTTTAAATTATAAATTTAAATTATTTTACTAAATTTTTTAAATATATTATTATTAGTCTATACTTATTTTGAAAAATGTTTAAATTGATAATTTTATTTTATATTTAAAATAAATATAAATAATATTTTAATTGAATTATAAATATATATTTTGACTTAATTTAATGTATTTATTTTATTATTTTAGTCTTTTTTAACTTTATAAAAATATTTATTTCTATTGAAAAACTAAGAGTTTTTTTTTTTTTTTTTTAATATAAAAAAATATTTGTTTAAATAATTTCTAAACAATCACGAACTCAAATGTCAACATCAAAATTGATTCAAAATTTTCAATAAAATCAAAATTAATTATTATAGTTTATATGACCCTAATTTCTTCATTAAAAGGGAAAAAAAAATTATGTAGTGGTGGGGTTGAGTCCGCATACAGTAGAACCCTAGTTTCGAAATTCCCAGAACGATTCAAAACCTTCCTCCGTCTCTATGGCCACCGGACTCCGTAATGTCGCCGAAAGAGCTGGCGACGGCGCTGGACAACCAATTTTGGACGTCGACAATGGAGAGGAATTGATGCACGTGCAGTCAGGCGTAGCTATTGTTCTCGGAAACCGCCCGCCTAAATCTCCCGGCACTCTCTACATCTCCAATAGGTAAAATACAATCTGCGTCTGCTTATTTGCATTTTTTCTATATCTCTTTCGATGTTCGTACTCACTATTTAGAACTTACTGTTTGGAAAGGCAAGTGGTGTGGTTGAGTGACACGGACAGAGCGAAAGGCTATGCAGTGGATTTCTATTCCGTTTCGCTTCACGCGGTGTCCAGAGATCCCGAGTCTTATCCTTCTCCTTGTATTTATGCTCAGGTATACATTTGATTAACCCTTCGCTGTAGATTTTTTAACGCCTGTGAAGTTGTAGGATGTAATCTGTACGTTTGAAATGGAATTGGGAACTTACATGGCTATGGAGGCTTGGTGAATCAGTGCATAATAGTTTTGATTTAGTTAGTTTAGTTCCTAACCTTTTGCTGTGATCTTTCACTCACTACCTGGTTGAAGGATTCATGTTTATAAAATGGATTTTTTTTTCTTTTACTAAAAAAAAAAGAAAAAAGAATTGAGGCCTTTATGGTTCTGCTGTAACATTTTGATGGTGGACTAGCAGCTCAAGTTCATTAATTCTGTGGTAGAAGTAAGTTGGTTGTGTTCGAGCAGTTGGTGTTGTTTTTCCTTTGTGGTGTTATTATTGGTGGGAATGTAATGAGGTAAATGTAATGGTAGGCTAAATGATTGCACTCGAAACGAATCTTGCATTTGGAAATTCCAAAATTAGACAAGGAATCAATTGTTTTTAATTTGAGTACCCCACAAAGAATATTGAAGCAATGTACTATTTCCATTCTTAAACTTGTGCTAAAATTTTCATTCTGATTGTGTTTCTATGTGTGTGAATTAATTTTTTTAAATGGTTCATATGTTGATCATTGCTGTGTACGCAGATCATTTCAGTTTTTAAGCAACTTATTTTAAAGAACACCTTGCTTGCCATCTGCGTGCACTGTCGTTATATAATTAATAAAGTTTATTATTGATTTAATGGTATCTTTTATCACATGTTCGTTTGTATCTTAATAGCAACTTGTTTGCCATCTTGTTTACTCTCACATGTTCATTTGTATCTGAATCTCAAAATTGTCTTGAAGCTGTTTAGAACTTTCTTCTCTTATATGTTTTTTACCCTTTCCTTTTAAGATTGAGGCATCTGGAAATGAGGAAGATGAATTGGAAGATTCAGATTCTGAGAATGATGATGCATTGACCTTGTCGAAAGTAACCGAGATAAGACTTGTGCCTTCAGATCCCAATCAATGTAAACATCACTTGTTGTTTGGTTCATTTGTTATGCTCTAAAACTTATTTTCCAAGGCTTGTACACTATTAATTGAAACTTATTTTCAGTGGACACACTATTTCACATATTTTGTGAATGCGCTGAACTAAATCCCGATCCTCTAGAAGGTAATCAGTCACTGTTGAAACAATTTAAACATATTTGCTTTCATTTTCCTGTACAATTTTTGCACACTTATCTCGGTGCTCATCTCCAGCAGAGGAAGACAGCGATAATGATTGGGTTTTCAGCGGCGACGTAATGGCAGCTAACGCCGAAGGTATATACCTGCTCAACTAGATTTTGTAATTCCAAGTTGCTTAGCATCATATCATTCACTTGATTTATGTTTCTGTCGACTCTTCAGATGATGACAATCCTGAATGGGATGTCCTTCAAAATCGAACCCATTCAATTGGCGCCAATGGGAATCACGACCTAGTTCATTCAGTTGTCCGGGTACCACATTCAACCCCATATTTCTCCAGCTTTGTTTTTTAAGAGTCGCCCCATACTTGTGCTAAACTTACTTAACTAAGGATTTTATTTGTGTGATCTTGCAGCTGCAAATAAATGATCAGCGATTCGAGGATGCAGAGGAAATGGAAAGGAACGAGACAAACGGTCGTCACTAAACTCTGTTATCTTCTTCTCTTACCTTAAATGTTTTCGTCGATGCCGGGACACCTCTGTGTAGTATATAAGCGATGGCTTCCTTGCTTGTGCTTATGGTTAGCAGTAAATGATTCATACATATAATGTCTACATCTTTGAATTCTTTGGTAAAAATTTGGTTTTAGTTTAATGGTTTTATATTTATACATGATTGAATGAGGTTTTTAATCGTGTAATGGATTAGGAACACACACATCCAACAACTAATAGCAGACTATTTGAGTACGTACGGAATAAATTTCGGATCAATAATACTAATAGCTTGTAAACGTACGGAATGGTTTTTTTGATTTGGTGTGGAGATTTTGGTTTGAATTTGCTATTAATATATGATATAATGTTTATGTATTTTTCTTTTAAAATGCAGAATCCAAAATTAGGATTAACACACCATGTCAACATTTTTAATTTGTTTATGTACATTATTCATCGCCTCCAACTATTATTAAAATGCATATATTTTAGTGAGAAAATAGTATATCTTTAATGGCGGTTTGGATTCGCTTAAAATTTTATAATTTATATTTAATAGTTTTAGTATAATTAAAAAATATATATTTCTATTTAAGATAAAAGTACTTTTGCTTATTTTAAGAAGCTATTCTGAAAAAACACTTTTTAGCCTTAAAAATTGTTTCTACTTTTCAACAGAAGTTAATGCAAATATGTAAAAAGACTTGCCTAAGAATTGTTGTTCACTAAGGGCATAATTTATTTATCTATACTTTAATAAATAATAATTAATTTATTATATATATTTTAATTTTATATTAAAATACTATTATTTTCAATTCTTTTATTCGAACATTGTGACAAAATTAGCCCAAGAAGAGTATTTTATTCATTGCCATTATCTGGGCCAAGTTAAAAACGGCCTATATATTAAGTGGAGGCCCAATATACACGGCCCAATTAAAGGAAACCCTATGTATAAATCCCAATATTCTGACCTACCCGTTTCATTCTCCTGCAGATTGTAGACGCGCAGCAGCCGGCAGTTCTCAGCTCTCTCCTACGCCGCCGCGTCCTTCATTCTTTTCCGGTACGAATCTCCTTCCCTATTAAAATAAATCTACTGGTGCGGGAACTTCTTGTACTGATTGTTTCCTTTCTCTGTTTGCTTGGTATTACCTCGTCGGTGGATCGTGTAAAGCAGTTGACAATGGCGTATGCGGCTGTGAAACAGACGAAGCCGGGGTTTGAGGAGCCCCAGGAAGAGGTTCATAAGATCCGCATAACTCTGTCTTCTAAGAACGTCAAGAATTTGGAGAAAGGTGCGATGTGTTCCATATTAATTTATTTTGTGTATTTCGAAGTAGTTTCTGTATACTTGTTTCGGTTGAGTTTTCTGTTGAACCTTGCTAGTTGTAGTCTTCAGAGCAATGCTAGTGACGTGCCTGATTATTTGATTTCAATAAAATTCCCTATTTGATTTCTGCAACATTTGCAAAGAACCCTAAACCCTAAACATCAGTTAATTCAAACTACATAACAAAAAGTCGTTATGTGAACTTATATATGGATGGTGACTTTGCTGTAGTTGTTGTTGATAGCTCATGGGAATTTGAAACTTATTTGCAATGGCTTAGTATTTTGGGTTAATTGTGTCACAGAAATGAACTTATACTGTTTAGCTTGCCAGATCTATTCTTTTGCCGTAGAGACCTTTTACCTTTGGGTGTTGTTTGCAGTATGTACTGACTTGGTGCGGGGTGCCAAGGATAAGAGGCTTAGGGTCAAGGGACCTGTGAGAATTCCCACCAAGGTTCTCCACATCACTACCCGGAAGTCTCCTTGTGGTGAAGGTAAGTTTGTCGTTTCAAATTGGGCTTTCTCATTTCATCCTTTTGCTTGATCTAAATTATGGAGCATTTGTTTGGGGATTTATTGGATCCTTTTGTTAACCCTAGACTATCCTGAATGTGAACTTTGGAAAAAGGCTAATCTTTCATGGTGCCAAATCTATACAGTGATGTCAATTGAAACAATGAACTCCTAATCTTCTCGAATGTCTTTATAGGAACTAATACTTGGGATAGGTTTGAGTTGCGGGTGCACAAGAGGGTGATTGACCTCTACAGCTCTCCTGACGTTGTCAAGCAAATCACTTCGATCACAATAGAACCTGGCGTCGAGGTTGAAGTTACCATAGCTGATAATTAAGAATCATCGCCACTGATTCTTAAGAATCACCATTATCATCATAGTACTTATTTACTCTCTATTTTGTGCAATTTTGGATGTCAAAGACTGCCTCTTCTCTTGGGTGGGCTCAATTTGTTTGTTTTACTCATGAGTTTTGACATATCGACATTGTACCTGATTTCCTTAAGTTAAATTTGATAGCTGATCATGCCTGTCGTACTACCTGCCTCTTGCTGCTACATTCATTTTAGTTGCACATAAAAGTAAAGCTACTATTCTAGACAACTCCTATGATTAGAATAATCCACAAAATTTCTGTCCTAAAGAGTAGGCAAACATGTCATCACTACAAGAAAGCCTCATTATAATATGCAAAGAAATGACAAAGCCATAATTACCACAAAAAGAATGTTTGGTCCCAAAAGTACAAATCAGTGTTCTAAAGTGGCAGGAAGGAAATAAAGCCGATAGAAATGAATTAAAAAGAATTCCCTTTTGGACTTCTTTTCCTCTGAGACAGCTTCCCATCATTGTCCAAGAACTCCCCCCCTCCCTCCCTACCACCCACAAATATTACCAAGAGGGAGAGCAGGGTAGGGGGAATTGCACCCTACTCACAACAACAAACAGTGATAGATTTGATTTTTGCCAAACATATAGATAGATATATCCATCAAGAATTCTTCTTCCCACTTTCAGAATAGTAATCTAGATACCAACTTACAAATTTCTTCAATCCAGCCTGCAAATCTGTTGTGGGCTTGTAATGTAGCTCCTGCATTGCATAACTGATGTTGGCATGGGTGAACAGCACGTCGCCATTTCGCGGCAGCGGCAGCACATTCTTCTTTGCTTTCTGCTGCAGCAACTTCTCCAATATGCTGACGAGCTTCGACACAGGGACAGGCGACGTGTTCCCGAGATTGAACACCCTTAGCTGCGCTGGCCCTTTCTTCTTCCCTCCGCTCCCTGTACTCTTCTGTGCTGTGTCTACTGAAGCCAAACAGCCCTGCACAATGTCGTCGATGTAGGTGAAATCCCTCGCCACTGTGCCGTGATCGGGCGCCTCGTAGATTGTTATCGGCTTTCCTTTGAGGATGTTCTTCGTGAAGAAGTAGTAAGCCATGTCAGGACGGCCCCAGGGGCCGTAGACGGTGAAGAACCTTAAGCCGGTGATGGATAAGCCGTAGATGTGATTGTAGGTGTGGGCAATCTCTTCGCCGGCCTTCTTTGTGGCTGCATACAGACTTGCTGGCCTGTCTGTTTGATCCTTCTCTGAAAACGGTGTCTTGGAGTTGAGACCGTATACAGAGCTGGAAGATGCCCAAATGATTGATGGCTGAGGATTTGCAGCTTTGCAGGCCTCGAAGACGTTGACGAGGCCGGCGATGTTGCTGTGGACGTAGGAGGCAGGATTTTTCATGGCGTAACGGACGCCGGCCTGAGCAGCCAGGTGGACGACGTGCGTGAAGGCGACGAGGTCGAATAGCTTGCGGAGCAAGACGGCGTCGTTTATGTCGCCTTCGACGACGAAGATTCCAGCGTCTTCTAGTAGCTTCTGGCGCGCGCGCTTTAAGGAAGGGTCGTAGTAGTTGTTGAAATTGTCGAGGCCGACGACGCCGTCGCCGCGGCGCTTGAGCGCGGCGGAGACGTGACTGCCGACGAATCCGGCGGCGCCGGTGACGAGGATGGAGAGGTGTCCCGGACCGGCGGCGTAGGAAGGCGAGCCGGAGCTCGAGCGCGCCGAGTCGAGGACTCGGCGCTCCCAGACCGAGCCTCCCCAGGCCTCGACGGCGCGGCGCTCGAGCGCGGTGGCGTCCGGTGGCGGCGAGCGGAAGAGGAGTAGGAGGATGAGTGCGGCGAGGACGGCGGACCAGAAGATGAACTTCGGAGCGGAATAATTAGTCGTCCATCGCCGGTGAGCGTAGGGCGGCCTGTCATTCGCCATTTTGGATGGAAATTGGGAATTCTGATAAAATCATCCACAGATACACACATTTGCGATGATCATCATCATCAGAATCAGAATCAGGACGAGAACGTTAGCAGCAACAATCCTCCGATCGGATCGGAAAAGCAGAATGCCAAAAATGCAATGCAATGGTTGCAGGTGGAGAATGAAAATTGGGAGAAATTGGGAAGAGAAAGGGATGGGTGGAAAAGCGTGGAATTAGTTTTGGTTGGGGAAGAGGAGAGTGGAAGTAACGGAGAATTTTGTGGCTATATAGAGAGAGAGAGAAACAAAGAAAGAAAAATGAGTCTATGCGTATGTAGGTATGTATGTATGTATGTATGTATGTATCTATCTATGTGTTATTGGATTCCTTTTTATTGATAATTATAATTATAGTATTCAACTATATTATTTCATGATAATACTACTATGATTCAAATGAAATGCACTCGCACAATATATGTATTTATATTTTGCCTTAGTAAATCGAAATAATAATTCATAATTTTAGTAGTTGAAATTAGAATTGAATGTGTAGATTGATTTTGTATTAAGAGCAGCGTGAATGGATATTGAAACTCTTGTACTTAAGCTAACCTTTCCTTTTAAAGTGTACCCTCTCTCACATTTCTTCATACGTAATTACTTACTTCTTCATGAAAAGTATATGACTTATGTACTTATAATTTATTTCAATTTCATATTTGATTTCTTTTTAATATTTAATAGTATTGGAAAGAGAAGATCGTCACATGACTCGCACTATTAGAAAAAGGAAGAAAAAACAATCCCCATGCATATAAAATATAAATTCGTAAAATAGAGATATGCATAATAAACGATTTATACTATTTAATTTTCATATATTAAGACGTGCTAGCGTTTTTGCGAACATGGAAGCACGTTTTTGCGTACGTGTCGTGTCTTCCTCTAACAGCCAACACACCATCTTTCCCGCGAAAATCTCCCCTCGCAGAAATCCTCTTCGCCTTCCCCAAAATTCAATTCCAGAAACATCATCATCAGCATCATCGTCTTGTGCTCCTAAGTGTCGAATTGGCATATGTAATTTCGGAAGAGCGATGCAATCGCCGTGGTGAAAACGATATCCGCAATGTCTACTTCCCGCCACATTCCGGAAAAGCCACCGCCACGGGAGGATCATCCGTCGTCGGTTGTGAAGCTGCGGAAGATTCCACCGATTCCGGTGAGGCAGAGATCGAACGTGGAAGGGAATGCGGTTTTTGATTCGGGTAAAAATGATTTGGATGGCTGCGAGAGTATCATCGAGCCTTCGACGTTAGGGCTCAATCAAATCAGGACGCGGTTTGGGAAGGACAATGGCAGTGTGGCTAGCTTCCTCAGCGCGCATCCCAATTTCGAGATGCAAGGATACGATGGGGAAGATATGAGAGGTGATGAAACTGTCTTGGTTTTTCAGTAACCTTCTGCCTGTCGAATCATTCATTCTCTCACTTTATTTATGTATGCATAATGTATGTTCAATGGATGTTGGGATGTGCGCGATGATATTGCTTTTAGGGTTATATCTAGTTAGCTCGTTGTCATTGCTCCTATATCCGGATAAAGGTTTTGGTCTTGAATTATATTCTTGTAATCAACTAATAATGATGGCTCACCTAGTTAACGAGGACATTCGGAAATAATGAACTTCAAGAGCAAGTTTGGAAAGTTTGATAACAGATTTACCCTTCTTCTTCCAGCTCCTGTTGTTTGGCACAACTTCTTTGATTTGATCCTTTGTATGTTCATATTTCTGTTTGCAAGTGTAACGATGTTTAGTTTTGTTTTATTCACCATTAGTAGACTTCACGTGCAAGATTGAGTATATATGTCATTTCTCTTCGAATTTGTAGGTCGAAAATCTCAGTGGAATCATTCGAAATCATTGAAAGTTCTTCCACAAAGTAGGTCTGGGGTGGAGGTAATGATGCTATCTGGTTACATTTTCTTTTTTTTTTTTTTATGTCCATTTCCTTTCAGAAATTTCAAAGGATTTCATGTTGTATATTAGATTAAATGTTTTAGGCATCTCAGATCTATGTGATTGTGCTTCTTGTAGGGTTACCATGCAGCATTTGCGAAGGAAATGCAATCTCCTCGTTTTCAGGCCCTTGCGCGTCTGACCAGTGGCCGTCGAAGAAAGACACCAGAAATTAAGAGCTTTTCTCATGAGCTTGATTCCAAAGGTGTTCGACCATTTCCATTTTGGAAATCGCGTGCAATTGGCCGGACAGAAGTATGTTAAGCCCACATGTTATTTCTTCCCTGTTCTCCTAGTGGAAAACATATAATTTCGTCACATTATTCTTTTGCTAGCTTCCTTCAACAATTTAATCAACTTGCATGGCATTATATTTCCTAGGAAATTATGATGATGGTCCGATCAAAGTTTGATAAGCTGAAAGATGAAGTCAATGCTGACCTAGGCATTTTTGCCGGGGATCTGGTGAGTGTACTCGAGAATGCTTCAGAATCTCATCCAGATTGGAGAGAATGTTTGGAAGACCTGTTGATAATAGCCAGGCAATGTGCAAAGATGTCACCTGATGAGTTTTGGTCCAAGTGTGAAGGAATTGTACAGAATCTTGATGATCGGCGTCAAGATTTACCTATGGGTACACTGAAGCAATTACATACACATCTCTTATTCATACTCACTCGTTGCACTCGGCTTGTTCAGTTTCAAAAGGAAAGTGGTTATGAAGAAGAGCACTTGCTGGCCTCCCACCAGCTCAGTGACCTTGGGGTATATCCTGAAGGTATTATCGAGTCAACTCTTAATGCGATGGAAGGTGTTGAGAGGCAAACCTCTAAAGTTCAAGAACAGTGTCAAAGCAATCTGATTAACAAACAAAACCATGTAACTGAAGAGGCTATCAGTCCAAAGAGTGCTGCATCTACAGGAAGCTTCAAGATGTCATCGTGGAAGAAGTTTCCATCATATGCAGAAAAGAATAGGAAAGGGCAGGATTCGATGGAAACCCCCCATACAGATTTTTCGGAGGATTTACAACCTAAAAAGGAACAATACCACCATGTTGAAAGTATAGAAACTCATGTCATTCAGGGTGAACATATAGCAGATTCCCTGAAAACAGACAAACTGACTTGGGGAATTTGGGATGAACACCATATGGCATATGAGGATTCTCTGATCTGTCGGATATGTGAAGTTGAAATCCCAACTGTCCATGTGGAGCATCATTCCAGAATTTGTACAATTGCTGATAGGTGTGATCTAAAGGGTTTAACTGTGAACGACAGACTTGAAAGAGTTGCTGAGACTCTAGAGAAATTACTTGAATCTTGGACTCCAAAAAACTTAAACAGGGTGGGGATAGGAAGTCCAGAACTTGTGACAGGGTCAGCATCAAATGAACAACGGCACTTGGACGAAGTATCACCAAATGGAGATAATTTGACATTGCCATGTTCTGGTGACATGATGAATAATGGTGTGAATGGGGCTGACAGATCATTGCTGGTGGATGAAATTCGCAGTTCACTGAATGTATCAAGCGAGGCACAAGTTCCAACTCCTTATCAAAGCAATAAAGCATCATCAGTTGGGAGTATGACCCCGCGTTCACCCTTAATAACCCCACGGAAATCCCAGATAGACATTCTGCTGACCGGGCGTAGAACGCTATGTGAATTTGAAAGTTCTGACCAGGTACTGTTTATCATTCCTTCTGCATTATGGAGTTTCTGCAGATGTTCAAAGAACAATATGATATTTCAATACATTCTTGTTACTTCATAATTTTGGAACTTTCATGATAGATACGTAAGTTGCTGGATATTTCCCGATCTGTAGTCGGAGTTAACAAGACTGACTACAGTACATTGGAGCATATGATAGGGAAATTGGAAGAACTGAAATATGTCATTAATGACAGGAAGGTGGATGCTCTTGTTGTTGAGACATTTGGGAGACGCATTGAGAAGCTAATACAGTGAGTGAATATTTCAAATTTTTAATACTTTATTATTATTATTATTATTATTATTATTATTATTATTATTATTATTATTTGCTTCTTCTCTTTGCTCTATATGCATGAGAAATTAGAAAATATAGTCCATCACCATTAAGGTTTTCAAGCTTTTACATTCATATCTACATTAGCCACAAATTATCATCGCACTGCTTGTTTTGGAAAATGAATCAAGCTAGATTGATTATTTCCAAACACCGAGCACCAATGTATCATAAGCTTGACAGATATTAAGACTCTGATCATTAGTGATTAGCAATAGTCTGGCTGTGGAACAAAGAGGATGCCTTCTGAATGCTGAGATGAATTAGCCACCAAACTTCCTAAATTCCTCAGTATTTAGGGGACCTAACCCTGATCCCGATTTATAAAATATTGTCCTTTTCATTTCGAAAATACTGTCCTCACTAAACATTGCAATTTGTTGTTGTTGCGGACTTGCATGGAAACTTTCAGAAAAAGAGGGTAAAATATGGAATGCATACTGCAGGATGAGTATTATTATTGCTTGTAAGTAGTGCCATTATATAGTTCTGCAGATCATTATTTTGACTTCCATTTGGCTCATCTACTCTTCAGGGAAAAATATGTTCTTTTATGCGGTCAGATTGATGATGAGAAGGAAACTGCCCCAAATAGTGTGGCTGACGAAGATAGTTCAACAGAAGAAGATACAGTTCGTAGCTTGCGTGCAAGCCCAATTAATCCTCGTACCAAGGATCGGATATCAATTGAAGATTTTGAAATAATTAAACCTATAAGCAGAGGTGCTTTTGGGCGGGTTTTTCTTGCAAGAAAAAGGCGAACTGGTGACTTGTTTGCCATAAAGGTGAAAGACTCTGTAACATTCATAATTATCAAAGTACCCAGCTTCTATTATTGTTTTAGAGATAGGTTAATAGAAATTATTTACAATGGAAACGAATTATTAACAAATCGATATGCAGGTTTTGAAGAAAGCTGACATGATTCGTAAAAATGCAGTTGAAAGTATCTTAGCTGAGCGTGATATCCTGATATCAGTCCGTAATCCTTTTGTGGTGAGCAGAATTATATGTCGGGCTGTTTTATTGAAGTGAATAGAACAAAAAACTTTGTTAATATACTTTACTAATTTACCATCTAACGATGAACAGGTGCGCTTTTTCTATTCTTTCACATGTAGGGAAAATCTTTACCTGGTTATGGAGTATTTAAATGGAGGAGATCTTTTTTCCTTGCTAAGAAATTTAGGCTGCTTGGACGAAGATATGGCCCACGTATACATCGCAGAAGTTGTAAGGACTTCTGTTATTGTTTTTCTGAATTCAGAGATGTTCTACACTCCCACTTCAAAAGGGTTAATGTCTTTTTTATTTATTTATTGTTATTATTATTTTTTTTATAGGTACTTGCATTAGAATACTTGCACTCCTTAAATGTCATTCATCGAGACTTGAAGCCGGATAACCTTCTCATAGGCCCAGATGGTCATATCAAGGTCAGTATATACAAATGCATATAAATGTGAAATTGAATCATAAGTACGATAAAGTGGTGGTTATCATTAGTTTTTGGTCAAAGCTTTCAAGGAATACATATATCTATGCGTTTAACGATCGTTTTGTCAAAAAGCTTTCAGCAACTGTATCATCACTCTACTATGCCCTTAACTTCAATCTTTAAAAACAATAAAGTTTAGTAAATGATTGATGGTTTTGATTTGGACTTGATAAGTTTTGGATAAGATACTAGATTGAAAGATCACTCATTTAAAGTACATATCAAAAAATTGTGTTACTCAAAATAGTTTATACATGATATGTATCATTAACAAGACCATTGTAGATGATAGGCAGTGTTTTCAATATGAGGAGTCTTTATTTTGAAGTTAACTAAACGGTGTGTGCGAGCAAACAAGAAAGAAATGTTATCTGATTTTCTTAAAGAGTTTTTTTGTGGTTGAGAAAATAACATAATAGGTTTTAAATTCTTTTTCTATTCGACATAGCCACACACACGAGAGTTCCCGAGGTATTTAATTTATCTTTGGAATTTTTAAAGTGAACTTATTGTATTCATATTTGTTGTAGTCCATGTAATTTGTTGTAATAGATGTGTGACAGTACTGATCTGAAAGAATCTCTATATTATGGGCATATTTAAAAGGGGCATGATGCCTGTTATCTAGTAATTTCTAGAATACCATGAAAACAGAATATCTGTATTCCTTAGAATGGAACCATTTGCATCATGTACTGTGGTCTTATTAACCCAGTTTTCATCCATTACAGCTGACCGACTTTGGACTCTCGAAGGTTGGTCTAATAAATAGCACTGATGACTTATCAGGGTCATCTGCACTGCTTGGAGATGATAAACAAAAAGTGACAGTGCACTCATCACAGAAAAAAGAGGAGAGAAACAAACAATCAGTAGTCGGTACCCCTGACTACTTGGCCCCAGAAATACTTCTCGGCATGGGACATGGTTCAAAGTCTATATTGAGTTTTTACATCATAGCAATACACATCATCACTATGAGTAGTTTTCATCCTTGGCTTAAATGGTCTTGCAGGTGCTACAGCTGATTGGTGGTCTGTGGGTGTCATTCTTTATGAACTTCTAGTAGGCATTCCACCCTTTAATGCTGAAAATCCACAGGTGTGCGTATATGCCTCTGGATATAGTTGAATCATAGACAATTTCATTGCTCTCTATTCCTCTTAATACTGTAAATATTCATTAAATCACATAATTAACAAAGATTTTGGTCTTTGGTGATTACTGTATCCTCTATGTGGAGAGTTGGTATTCGTAAATGAATGATTTCTATTTCAATTTGTCAAGGCTTCACAAGATTATCAAATTTTGGATGCATACTCTCTGTGTAGCGAGCTGGTAATGGTAAATGAATAATTTCTATATCAATTTTAGATGCATTAAGGCTTTCCAAGTTTTATTACTACTTTGGGATAATGAGGTTGGGCGTCAGATTCATATGTGTTTCAAAGAAAATTGATATGCTTTAAGGAGTTAAATCTGATTGGTTGATCTCATAAGCGATTCAAAGTGTTGGGTGAAGTTTTCGATGGAAAGGTTTATAAGTTTCAAAAGTAGGAATTTACGCTTCAAACTTGAGTTAACAAGCATGAAGCATGGCATGAATGTCTTTAATTACTTAGTTCGAAGTCTGTAAAATATTTAGTTTATTATGTTTATTCTTTGTTGTCACCATTTCTCTGAAGAATCAAAGTAAACAACAGTTTTTTTCTGTAGGCAATATATGTATGTATAATTAAGTTGAAATTGTAATTCAATTTGTTTTGTATTTCTTATTGCCTGATGCAGAAAATTTTCGACAATATTATAAATAGAAACATAACATGGCCCAAGATTCCAGAAGAAATGAGTTATGAAGCATATGATCTTATTAACAAGTAAGTAAATGCTTTAATTTTCACTAAGTAGGTTTTTTCATGTGACAGGGGATGATGAGAACATTCCATATCTTCATTGTACAAAATATGTTCTTAAAAGCATATATCCATTGCTTTCAGTACTTGCACAACTTGGATCGGTTTTCCACGCTTGTAGTGGTTAAATTGTTTTACATTGCTTTGTAGCACAAAAGATAATCCTTGCTCTGGATCACCCTGATAAAGATTTTATTCTTGTTTCCCAACACAAACTTTTGTTTTTACTTTCTGTAATTTTAATATAAGCCAAGTTGCAATGTATTATTACTTTGTATTTTTGTTGTTGCAAAAGTTATATTAGAGTTCAATAAGCTTAACACTGTGAAAAATTCATTTCTGCTGGCTCCCAGGTTGTTAAATGAGAATCCAGTTCAGAGATTGGGTGCCACTGGCGCTGGAGAGGTAATTTGTAAGCTAAGGCTCACACACACACACACGCGCACACACACACATATATATATATATATATAAGCGATGGGCGTAATAATCTGTTTCTTTGTAATTTCTCAGGTCAAAAGTCATCCATTTTTCAAGGATATTAATTGGGACACCTTAGCAAGGCAGAAGGTCTTAATCTATTCTCAATCCATTGTGCATATACAGAAACAGGCTAAGAAATTTAAAGGATCTTGGTTGTAATTCATGTGTACAGCTTGGGAAACTCATTTATATAGCCATCTCATGCTGCAGGCTGCTTTCATACCCGGAGCGGATGCCCTCGACACAAGTTATTTTATGAGTAGATATATCTGGAATATGGAAGAGGAAAATGCTCACGGAGGCAGTGATTTTGACGACATGACTGACACAGGCAGCGCATCATGCAGCAGCAGTTCATACAGTAACATGCAGGATGAAGATGTAACTTTATATTGGCACACTCACTAGTATTTACTCTTTGAGGGTTGAGAACCTTAGGAGTAATCAACATATATTATTTGCATTTTTGTTTGCAAATTACTGACAAATGTCATGCCCTTGGAAACAGGGAGATGAATGTGGGAACTTGGCAGATTTTTCTGCTCCAACGCTGGAGACAAAATACTCCTTCAGTAACTTCTCGTTTAAGGTGAGAATTATTGTATCCATTTTTAGCAACTGGTAAGCTTGTAATAGATGCATTTAGGAAGGGAGGATCAACAAGATTTTAATACTACTACATTTTAATTTTGCCAACATTTTATTGCATATTTGCTCATCATATCTTAACTGTCTTCCACAGAACTTGTCGCAGTTGGCTTCCATCAACTACGATTTGGTCACGAAGAACAACAAAGAGTCAAGTGCCGACTGAAGAACAAGCAGAGGTGCTTTCCTTCTTACAACCAGAGTCTCCCATTGCAGTGGCAATCACCATGACAATGTTATGAAACATTGTTGCGCGATGATGATTGATCAACAAGGGAAATCAACTGTGTATTTAGAGAGACACAGGATGATGCAAATGCAAACATGAAAGTCCAAGACCTGCACTGAGATCTCCCACTCATTTGTACACAACAGGGTAATCTTTCTGTATGTTTGTCTACAAATATATCTAATGTTTCTTTGCTGCTGCTCTGGGAATTGTCATTATTGTAACATACGCAATTTTGATGAAGGTATTATATAATATAATATATATATATATGATTCAACAAATTTCGATCAAATTAATTTCCAAGATCTCATCCTTATTTATTTAATATATTGATACGTTAGATAAATAGTGTGCCAAATTGGCTGCATTGCAGAAACATGAATTTGTGCTTACAGCAATCTTATGCCTGTCTGCGCCCTAAATGTTCGCCCCACAAAAACCCTAAACCCCGAATCAAGAACCCTAAATCTCCCTTCCGCAAATCCTATCCAACCCCGCTCTTGATCAACCGAAACGACAATGTCCAGTCGAGGCTTCAGGGGCTCGAATCTGTGGTCTCCAATTTGGAATCCTCCATGAAAAATGGCGTCTCCATCAACGATCCCCAAATCTTCGCGTCGCTGCTGGAATCATGCTTCCAATTAGGGGCCACGAATTACGTTTCCAGAATCCACAAATTGATCCCGGCGAAGCTGCTACGCAAGAACGCCGGAATCTCGTCGAAGCTTCTGAGGCTATACGCTTGCAACGGCGAGGTCGAGAATGCACACGAGGTGTTCGACGTTATGCCCGATCGAAATTCCTCAGCCTTCCCGTGGAATTCACTCATTTCCGGGTACGCGGAGGCGCGCCTGTACGAGGACGCGGTGGCGCTGTACTTCCAGATGGTGGAGGACGGCGTGGAGCCCGACGAGTACACCTTCCCGAGGGCGTTGAAAGCCTGCGGCGGAATTGGGATGGTTCAGGTCGGCGAAGAAATCCACCGCCACGTGCTCCGGTACGGATTCGGAAACAACGCCTATGTATTGAACGCACTCGTTGATATGTACTCCAAGTGTGGCGACATTCTTAGAGCCAGGAAGGTTTTCGACTCCATTGATGAAAAGGAATTGGTGTCATGGAATTCCATGATTGTTGGCTATGCCCAACACGGCCGTGTTGGAGAGGCATTGTCCCTGCTGCACAAAATGATGATCACCGGAATCGATCCCGACTCCGTTACACTGTCCACTCTTCTCAGCGTTTTCTCGGCCACGCTGCGGAAACCGGGAGCTCAGATTCACGGATGGATTGTCCGCCGGGGTATGGGCTGGAATCCATCGATCGCCAACGCACTGATTCTTTTCTACTCAAAAGAAATGACGCTTGCAAAAGCAAGATGGTTGTTCGATCAAATGCCGGATAAGGATCGAGTATCGTGGAATTCCATAATCTCGGCTCACTCCAGCGATGCCCTCGCCGTGGAATACTTTGACCGTATGTTGGAGGGGTTTAAAGGCTTGCCCGACGCTATTACATTTATTGGCGTGCTGTCGGCATGCGCGCACTTGGGGGAGGTGAAGAAGGGGGAGAGGATATTTTCGATGATGGAGGAGAGGTTTGGGATCGAGCCGAGAACGGAACATTATGGTTGCATGGTGAATCTTTACGCGAGGGCCGGGTTGATTGACGAGGCGTACGAGTTTGTGGTGAGGAGAATCGACAACGGGGCTGCCGGTGCCGGTGCGGCGGCGTGGGGGGCATTGTTGTATGGCTGTTTTGTCCATGGAAATGCTGAAATTGGAGAGATTGCTGCAGAGCATCTGTTTGAAATGGAGCCCGAATGTGCAGAAAATTTCCAACTTTTGGTTGAGATTTATGAGAAAAATGGAAGATATGAAGATGCAGAGAGGATTAGAGGGATGATGCTGGAAAGAGGCCTGCATGAACTCGGGTAATGATCTATTACATTTTTTATTTTATTTGTCGCTGTAATTTTGAAAAATAATATAATAAAAAAAATATGTAGGATATTTTAGAAAATTATTTAGTGAATATATTTAGTTGATAGTGTATATGTGATATAATTTTTTTTATTAATATTAATTCTAAATATAAAAAACTCATCTATTTTAGTTTTATTATAAATAATTTTAATAAATTTTAGTTTTGTTATTTTCCAACTTTCATGAAAACAGGCACGGAGCTAAAGGGATAAAATATGTAAAAATGTTTATAATAGCATTGTAATTGATTTTATTTATATTTTTAATTATAAATATCTCACATTTTTTTTCATTAAAAATACATTTCACTTCAGAAAATTCAAAACCTCGTGCACCAAAATAATTAAGATAAAAAAGTTACCATCAACCACATCATTTGAAGTTTTGTACTACTATTTATTTGCATGTATGTATATATATATAATAATATATATAATTAAAAAAAAAGGACAGAAAATTGTCTAGCCATTTGCTCTATTATTTAAATATATGTACATAAATAAATATAATATGAAGATATTTTAAAATTTACATACCAACAAATGTTGGCTGCACAAATGACAATTGAATTGTCCTCACCCACCACGTTACATGACAACCCTAAAGATTCAAATTCATCAATGTATATCATATCATATCCTATCCTATCAAATTAACAACTTGTTCATTCCATGGTAGGTACTATGACAAGCTTGACAAAAACTGCATTTCGTATTTTGAATTAATATAAATAAATTTTTGATTTAATCTTTTAAATGCAAAACCAATTTTTAGTATAATATAAAAATAAAAATAAATAATTGATTTTAATTTTTTTTTAAAAAATTAATTAATAATAAAAATCTTGAAAAAAAATACACAAGTTTTATTATTTCATGATTGTATTAATATTCAGCTCTTTATTCATTTTATATTCACTAACTACAGTCCACCCATGCATATACAATAAAATCTTTTTTTTTTTTTTTAAAATTAAATTGTGAAAATATGAAGTAACAACAGTAGTATTAATCTTGTAATGCATTATATAAATTTTTTTAAATTTAAGTTTCTATTTAAATATTTTTATATAATATTTTATTAAATAAAATAATATATTTTAATTAAAAATCATAAAAATCACGTAATAAAAAATAAAAATAAAATAAAGATACGAATCTTCATATTTCCATATGTAGGCCCCAAATTGTATATTGCACATGCGTATGGTTCCACATTCAAATTAATAATAATAATAATAATAATAATTCATTTCCCCTTTCAATAAATAGAACCAACCTAACATTCGTGTCCATAATTTCACAAACAATATGGCAACAACCTCCCTTCTTACACTCACCCTATTCCTCTTTTCATTATTACATAACTTTTCCGGCACCGCCACCGCCGCCACTTCCGCCACCACCTTTATCAAAATTTCTTGCCGCGCCACCGCATACCCGACCGTTTGCATTCAATCATTAGCAACATACGCTTCCGCAATCCAAACAAGTCCTAAACAATTGGTTACGGTCGCATTGTCCGTAAGCATCGACCGTGCTCAATCCACAAAGGCTTTTCTTTCGAACCTCGCTAAAGCCCGCGGGCTCAAGCCCAAGGAGTATGCCGCCGTCCATGATTGCTTGGAGGAGGTGAATGACAGCGTGGATCGACTTGCCAAGTCAGCAATGGAGCTGAAAAGCATGGGCCGGGCTCGGGGCCCGGAATACACGTGGCACATGAGCAACCTTCAAACGTGGGTCAGCGCAGCGTTGACGGATGACAGCACGTGCTTCGACGGGTTTTCGGGCCGGGCCTTGAATGGGGGGATCAAGAATTCGATTAGAGCCCGGATGAGTAATTTGGCTCAGGTGACAAGCAATGCATTGGCACTGTGTAATAAATTTGATTGAGAAGCTGTTTGGTTGGGTTTGTTTTGAATTAAATTAAATTAAATAGTAATTAATATTAATATATGTAGTTCAATTTCGATGCATTTGTATTGTATTGAAGTTTGAATATATTATAATAGTATGAATTTTGTATATGGAACATTATTCCTCGTTGGAAATTAAGTTTTTTAGAAAAATTTATTTTTTGGTTTTATTTATTATTTAAATTTAGACGAAAATCATGTTCAAATATGACCGTAAAACACAACTGCAACTTTGCGTAAAAAGTCAATTGATATTCTTAGAATGGTCGAATATATGTGGATTTATTTTGTATTTTCGAATGAATTTATTTTTTATGTTATGCATAAAAAACCGTATAGATAATATTAAAAAATTAATATTTTGTATTAAAATTTGCATTTTTGCAAATACATGCAAATTTTATATTGTGTAAGAGTACGTATGTATTGTAAATTTAACAATACTCACCGGGAATCATATTAATTGAGTGAAAACACCCCTATTATTTAAAATAATAAAATTATTCCAGAAAATATTCTAAAAATAATGAATTTTGTTACGGAAATTCGCAGGAAATCAAGATGAGACAATAAAGCCAAAAGAACACAAGAATTTGGTAATCCAATTCGATCACGATGATCTACATCTGGGGCGATGCCAAGCCAGGAATTTTACTATAAAGTACGCAGACACATGTTAAAGTGAGAATACATAGATATTTATAGCCTAATCCTTTGACAATAATATCCAAATCATATCTCTAAAATCTAAAATATAATATCCAAATCTATCCCTAGATTTTAGGATATAATCAGGCTTCATATCCCAATAATCTCCCACTTGAAAACTGATTTCATCTTCCACTTCAACATATCTCATCCAATCTCCACTCCCCACCATTCGGTGTTCTGATTCGAATCATCTCTTGAGACCAAAATCCATGACTTTATTGGACTGTTGACGCTCAGGATCAGCGCATCGAATATCTCCTCTGTTGCGTTTGCTGAACCCTGATCCTTCTCCGGCGCCCTGCACTGTCGTTTCAAATGCCCCATGCAGTTCCAACATACCACCTGACTTGCATCTTCTTTGTCCTTATTCTTCGGCTTCAACTTTGACTTGATCTTCACCCTTTCCTTTTGCCTCAAATCTAAATTCAGTCGAGACATTCTCCCAAAGGGTTAGTCGAACCGCACTCATCGTCTTTCCTGTTGATCTTCTTGTATTCGGCTTCATCCATGTCTTCGGATTTCTCCTTCAATACCGCATCTAGATCTTTACCATTCATGTAATCTTCTATATGCATATTTTAGAAACCGAAATTCATACCTTCGAATACCTTGAAACATGACGATCACTCATCTTGACTCCCACAAACAAACCTAAAGTTCACTTGATATGAGTGATATGAGAGCACATCGGAAATCTCCTCCGCGTTTGCCGAAACCCTTATCCTTTCCCACCAACCTTGCACAGCCTATCACAAAGGGACCCGCTACCTGATCTACCAGTCGGGACCAACCCAACACCGCCAGGAGACTTTCGACACAAGGTACCTCCGCAGGTCACAAGGGATTCCCACAACGATCCAACGTCCGATTCTTCTCAATCCACCCTATCAACGAACTAGGCTCTGATACCACTTGATTTTGGAAATTCGCAAGAAATCAAGATGAGACAACAAAGCCAAAAGAACACAAGAATTTAGTAACCCAGTTCGATCACGATGATCTACTGGGGCGCTGCCAAGCCAGGAATTTTACTGTAAAGTACGCATGCACATGTTAAAGTGATATTTACAATAATATCCGAATCATATATCTAAAATTTAAAATATAATATCAAAATCATATCCCTATATTTTAGGATATAACCAGACTTCGTATCCCAACAAATTTAATTCAATAAAAAAAACATGGTGTGTTTATTTTGGGAGATTTTTGGAAAATAATTTTCTTTACGTGGGAATAAAAAATTGTATATAAAATATAAAAGTAATAAATTTGTGTAGTTTATTAATTTTTTTAAAAAAAAATATGAAAAAAAATTAAAAAGAACAAACCAGTAATTTCCTGTTATATTTACAATTTTTAGAAAATAACAGCAAATTAAAATCTTACAAATTTTTATAATTTTAAAAGTATTAGAAGAAAATAATCCTAATGTCACATGCATGGCTGGGCCAAATTAATTTTAGTAGGTGTCGCCACATATATTATAATTTATATCACATGGCTTTGTTGACAAAATCGTATCAAATCGAATCCATCTCTCATTATGTAATTAATTAATTACTATTAATTACCACTTGATTGTTTCTTCCATTGGTTAGCTCAAAATATTTCTTAAATTATGTATACAAATATATATATATATATATATATAGTGGATGGAGTGTATTTTTATTTTTATTTATTTATTTATTTAAATTCATGTCAATTAAGTAATGGAAAATTTTCAAAGCCCAATAATGTGAGTAAGCCCAATAGCTTTGAGAGCTCTAATTTGAATTTAAAAGTCCACATTGGGTACCTCAACAAAATAGAGATAATTAAATAAACAGTAGTCATAAATTATACTCATAGCCATTTTTGACCAAAAAGGAAATTATTAACTAGGATGATGCTGATTTTTTTTGGACTATAATAATTAAAATATATTATAATTTTATATCAATAAAGATGATAGATATATAATATTTTTTTATATTTAAATATGAATTTTATTTCAATTGAAATAATTATATTTATTTTATCTAATTTAATTAAAAAATGTAGTGTGCAGGTCTTAGAATCAGTTCCCCAAATGTAGGTTGCATCTTTGTAGTTCCTTTTTTTTTTTTTTTTTTTTTTTTAATTTTTTCATTATTACGTCTAAATCTATATTTTATGTTACAAATGACACACGGAATTCCTCTAATATTTATTAACTAACATCAGTTGTCCCAAATATTCGTAGCATTTATTTTGTTGACTTAAAATTATAATTACTGTAATTGTCACGTTTCTTCAAGCATGATTTATTACATTGCTGTACATTTATTCGGGGGGTTGACTCTTTTCAAAAGTTCAAAGGGAGCTGTTGGAATCCATTTTCCAACACCCGAAAGACCCTATTAACACCGGGCTAAGTGCCTCCAACTATATATTTCCAATATTATTTTGAATTCTTGGCGATATATGTTTTACAATAAAGATTATTTATTTATTTAGTTTGTGTGGAGGCAAAAATAATTAATGCCCGTAGCCCTTAAAATGTGGTGGCTAATTGTATATTTGTATGTGGACAAAACCTTTCTATTTCTATCCAAAACGAATATATTCCACTTGCTCAACATGTATATGTATGTATGCTTCTAGATCTCCCTTTCTCCCCGTTTATAACTATGTCGACAACTTCCTAAAATTTGTTCAACTACCTTAGTAATTTGAAACGAATGAATAATTGTTAAATTTTATTGTCTTTTGCACATACTTGGATTCTTATCCCAAAATAACTCCGGATAGCTCGCCCCACACTGACACATGAGATATATAAATTTATATATAAAATATAATTATTTTCCCGTAAATAAATAAATAATATATTTATTATTTACACGTTGATAAAAGAATAATAATATTCTATATATTGTAGAGAGTATGTCAAGAATAAAGTACATTAGATTGTAAAGGGGGTTTTGGAAATTCTACATGAAAAAAATACGATATTTAACTAATATTGTGAGGTCTATTATCTGTAACTGCAGTAAATAATAAATATATATTATTGACGAATGAAGTAAGTATATCTATATACTCTTCATCTCAGATCAATTTATTTATTTTATCGTTTTAGGTTGTTCCAAATTGATATATTCATTTTCTAGTGTAATAAGTATTGTGGTCCTCACATTAATAATAAAATATCATAACCTTTAATTCAAAATTGTCATAATGCCACTTTCTTTTTTCTTTTTTTTTTTTCAAATCTATTTAAATAGAGCCTTTTAAATTTATATCTATACCAATATTTGTAACACTTAATAAAATGTATGTATATATATTTGTTAATGGAATTAATTATATTGGGCCACAAAAATATATTTTCCAATATATTCGCGGAACATGCATGTGTCCCTTATTGTTAATTTTATTTTTATTTTTTATCAAAAAATAATAATAATAATAATAATAATAATAATAATCGATTAGCCGCCGATGGGATTTTCCGCTAACAGTCAGCCACTTGGCGGGCCTTATACTTTCCGAAAAGCTCCAAGGACTTCGACACCAGTGCAATCCACGCCACTCGTTACGATGGTCCCTACATCATCAACGGTGTAGATGCGCGGATTCACACAAAAACTGTACGGAACAGCTACAATGGCGGCTGCACTCACACTTTTCCATTCTTGAACAAAAGACACAAAAAGTAACATACCCCAATTAATCCAATACCATTTTTATTGCATACACAATATATAAATAAAATTTGCAAATTCTGTTTGGTAGGACCCCCAAACCCCTATAAATCGAGCCCTTTTTTCCCTCCAACATTCGCACAAATCCAAAAACACATTCAATTCTAAGTTCTAAAATACATTCTACAAAATCAGCCATGGAAGCTTCCAATAATTACACCTTCAAATCCATAGCCACTCTTCTCACAGCAATAATAATTGCAATAACCTCACCCACCAGCGCCGCCAGGCCGGCGGGCGGCGCTGCCAGCACGGAGTTCATCCGGCGGTCCTGCTCCGGGACGGCGTACCCGAGCCTGTGCTTCAGCTCGCTGTCGAGCCACGCGTCGGCCATTCAGCAGAACCCTAAACTCCTGGCGGACATGGCCCTGTCGGTGAGCCTGTCGACGACACGCGCCGCGTCAGCCGACATCGTGCGGGTGGCGCACGGCGCCGGGATGAGCCGGCGGGAGGCGAGCGCGATGCGGGACTGCGTGGAGGAGCTGAGCGACTCGGTGGAGCAGCTGAGGAGATCCATGGCGGAGATGGGTCGGATCGGCGGGGCCCGGCCGTCGGATTTCGGGATGATGATGAGCGACGTTCAGACGTGGGTCAGCGCCGCCCTGACCAACGACGACACCTGCGTCGAGGGGTTCGCCGGAAAAACCAGGGCCGCGGTGCGGGGGAGGATCGTCAATGTCGTGCACACCACCAGTAATGCCTTGGCTCTCATCAATAGCTATGCTGCCCTCCATGGCTAGCTAATTACCTACATATATATTTATATTTATATATATATTTTTTTAATTTCGTCGATTTTCATATTTAGTGATATATGAGTGTGCATGGTGAAATTAATTACTATATATATATATATTTAAAGAATAGAACAAATAGGCACACAAACATAGAGAGATATAGATAAGGATAGAGGAGTGCTTGCTTAATTGCTATGTATATTTGAATGTAGTTTTTTTTAGCTATGTGGGTGAAAATACATATGCATTTTAATTTCGAAATATTTAGCTTTTTTCATTTATGTTTTACGCCTTCATTTTACTATTCAACTCACGGTAGCAATAAACAACTCATATTTATTTAAATATATTATTTTCAAAATATTCTCGAATTACATCAAAATGTGTTTTGTTTATTAAAATAACCAAAGTTAAAACAATTTAATACACCCACATATATATGTATATTCTATTACTCCATATAAATAAACACACCCTTTATTTAATTATTACTATTTTTTTCGAAAAAAAATAAATAAATTGTATCTTAATATATTCTTTTAATCCAAATTAAGGTAAGCGGTATAATATTGTACTTTGATGAAACAAGAAACAGAAAACATTTGGGAAATGATAAAATCATGTGATATTTGTAATTCTATATATCTTGTCACAATTAATTAATGATGATATATATATTGAAATTACTATTCAAAATAAAATATAAAACTAAATAATTAGATGTTACTATATATTTTCACCATCACACAATAATAATGAAATTGGACCCTAGAGAGTCAAAATGTTTGAACTAGCATAAGTGTTTGTTGGTTCAAATATAAGTAATTATTAATGAAAAATATTTTTGTAAAAGTTAATTAGTATGGAGTTTTCTAATTAATTTTAATGATTCATAAATTTACATTTATATATGTATGAAAGATGTTCACAAGGCATTTCAACCCTTCTTTTTATAAAAATAAAATATAAAAAATGCACCAAATCTATATAAAATTAAATAATTATGCTCAATCATAGATAAAGGTATCAATAGTTTACATGTTTTCTTTGTATAATTCGAACACGGAACGTACACCAATTCAAATTAAACTTCTGCACCATGACCTTGATGTTGTGGCATATAAAATGCATGCATGCATGCAAGTTGGTAGGGCCTGCAGGTGTCCAATCGAACCTTAAAAACTGTCCCTACAACTGCCAACTGACAGTCAGATACGGCGTCGTTTCAACTATAGTTTTCTTAGGGTGTTTTTGTTTGTGGGTCTGGATTTTGGATTGAGATTTGAATAGTAAAAATTTTAAATTTGAATAGTTGTATAATGTGATATAAATAGGTATTGATGTGATGTTTTGAATGTAAAATTGATTTTTAGTATAATATAAAAAATAAAAAATAGGTGTTTGATTTGATATTTTTGGAGGAAAAAAATATAACGAACAGTGGATATCCAAACAAATCCAGGCATAATGCATGTCCGTATGTATATCCTCCACGTGGGTCAGGGACAGATACGTCTTTTGGTGGAATAGTGGAAATTTTATTATATCAAAAAATTAAATTTATAATTTAATAAATATGCTACCATTAAAAAATTAAAGTATTTTTGCTTAAAATTCAAATTTGCATCATTATTTCAAAAAATTAGATGAATTATTTAAAATTTAAATTTTAAAATATTATAAATACTTAAATAATTAAAATCCAATCCAATTAAAATAATTAATTTATATTTTTAAATATAAATATATAAAATAATATTATATTATTATTTTTTAATAAACTGAGTCTTATAATTTATTTTGTTTTTAAATTTATATATTATGCAATTAGTAAAAAAAAAATTTGGATCCACCCTAACGTGGACGACAACCCCGTCCGCTAGTCAACTCCCAACGGTTCATTTTTTTTTTTTAACTATATATTAATATTTATTTATATTATGTAAGTACAACTATTTAAAATTCAAATCCTTGTTATCCACCATCTGCCCCAATCTTGTGGTCTTGTGGAGTCAAGCATACTAGTACAATAGAAATGTTTTATTTTGCCTCTTCATTTTGTAGGTTATTATTATTATTATTATTATTATTATTTATTTTATGACATATTTATTTTTCCTTTTCATTTTGTAGGTTATTATTATTATTATTATTATTATTATTATTATTATTATTATTATTATTTTATAACATGGAAATATGTCGTCGTTGCTCAACGAATGGACACTGAATAGATAAGAATATGAACTTTTTCTCTATTTCATTTTATATTTTTTATTTAAATAATAATTTGATATGGTACGTTGTACAATCTATTTTTTTTTTCTTATAAAATATCATAATTTTGTATTATAATAATAAAATTAAATAACAAATAGAAAAAAGCATCTTTCTTTCAAAGGTCCAATTATGCATTCCGCCACACAATGATAAAATATCTTAACAAAATGAAATCTTTATATATATATATATATATATTTAAAATTTATTTTTGGGACATTCGGGAGCAATTTATATTAAGCTTCCAAAAGTATAAAGTTTATGTGAATTCAATGAATTATCAAATCTATAGCATGTAAACAAATTTTAAATAAAAAAATATGTTAGGTGCGATTTTTTTAGGATAATAAATATTTTATCATTGTAAATTATATAGTATAAAAACAAGTACAAACAGACACAATCTTGTCTTTTTAATTTAAAATCTCAATGTCGACCTACAAAGGCATTTTTGTTCGTACTCAATAATTTATTTATAGCAATCGATTTTTTCCCCCTTCACATTAGATATTTTAATTCAAAATAGACCAACTACTAGTACTGTAAGAAAAGACATACACACAACACATGCTAATAATAATAATAATAATAATAATAATAATAATAATAATAATAATAATAATAATAGATAATGTGTAAGTATATAAATTTTAAAATACTTTTTAGATTGTGAGGACTCACAATGAATTTATGGATTAATATGATAGAATAAGAAATAAATATTTAGTACTTTAATGGGAAAATGTTTGAATAATCTATATTTACTAAATAAAAAAATATATATACGCATATTATTTATGGATACTTTAAATATAATATATATATATTAGTAGTGATATATGCAATGCAAGTAGGGGTTGTGATATGTATGTATCAATCTCCCCCACAAGACATTTATGCAAGTGGTGTTTGGATATTGATATTTTATGTAGGATAAATAATAATTTCAAATAGTACTATATTTTTTTATTTAAGAATAATAAATATATAAAAAATACAATATAATATTCCATCCGTTCAGCTACAAAATATACATATTTCTATTTTGTGACGTTTAATTACAAAGTAACTATTTCATTAAATACCTTTTTTTTTTCCCACAAATACACTTACTTTTTTATACCAAAAAGTATATAAAAAAAATAAGAGCAAAAATATCATTACACTACTTTTACTTACCCACTATAATTAAATTATTATTATTTCTTAAACTCCACGTAAAAAGTAAATGTATACTTATTGTTTGGACGGAGGGAGTATATAAACTGTATATTACATACTTCTATATAATACACTATTATATTATGCTATATATGTATATGAATGAACTATTAGCCTTATTGATTTGTATTAATAAAGTAAAATCAGCATGATGCTGATTTGATTGTAATTTATACTATAGAATCTATACTAAATTCTTCTTTTTACTCAAAAATATTATTTATACCATAATTTTTATTTAAAATATCAGTTTCAATACTTATTTTCATTTAAAAAAAATAATATTTCAAAATTAAGAAACAAAAAGATATCCAAAAAGCTATAATAAACATGCCATACATATTAGTTGTAAAGCCCAATAACTAATTACTATTTTACATTGTAACCATATGGACCTTAGTAATGGGCTCAACCAATATTGGGCTGGCCTAAATACGCCCAAAAAAATAAATCCCTCATAATTTAATAATTAATAAATTTATTATTATTATTATTATTATTATTATTATTATTATTATTATTATTGTTGTTGTTATTATTAAATGTAAAGTGTGAACAATGTCAAATATATTGTGAATGAAATAATGAAACAGTATCACGTAAAGTGAATGAAAATACTTGCATATTACTTCACATAATTATATTAATTAATGTATGTCGTATCTTACAAACATATAAAATTAAGATTTAAGTCCATCCAAATCAACCAAAACCTGTACATGACTTCAACCCAATTTATTTATTCAGAAATATATAATCCAGGAATTTTAAATTATAATAGAATGGTTTATGTAATTAATTACCAAGATCGTAATTAAATTAAAACAAACGCCAAGCGCTGCATGCAGGCAAATTAAATGCTTGATTTCGTACACATATGATGATGATCTTGGGTTTAGTTAATTAATTTTAAGCATTCAGAGTACGTAGAATATTTGTCACACCATATGTGTACGAATGAATTAATTAAATTAAATTCAGCTGCTTTGTGACTTTAAGATTAATTAATATTCAGCAGTCAGCAGTCAGCAGTCTTAGCTTCATTAAACTTCACACAATGATTGAGTAAATTAAATTAAATGACGACGGCGCAGCGGCAGAACTTGTACACTTAAATTAATGATAATGCTATCAATTCTAATTCACAATTTACTCGATCGGACTAAATTCATGGAATTAGGGTTTTTTCTTTTATTTTTTATTTTTATCAATTAGATTTATACATACACATATATGGCTACAGTAAGGAAATTAAAGTTATTGAATATGTTATTAGGGTTTTCTTTTTTTTTTTTTTTTTTTTCCTTCGTTCGTGTGTTACCATAGTCATAAATTTATCTTATACCATTATGTCATTTCTTACAGAGACAAATTATATTAATATTTAACATATTGAATGTCAAATGTGTATTATACATAATAGTATCTAATATACATTGAATTACATAATATATATTGAACATTAGTTGCTGCTATTCATCATCTTCATCGATCGTGCAGCCCTAAGGAGTGAAATTGTAGTATTCCTAAAAACATCATGGATCAGGAGGATATCTTCATTTTCAAGATTAAGAAACCTATATAGCACACCACAATAATTCTTGCATCATGTCACATATATATACATACATATACAAACACAAACACAAACAAAAGAAAAAAATAAACCCTATTTTAAATCAGAAACAGCTCAGTTTCAATTAGCTCGATCGAGCTTTAACCAGCCACAGCTATGTCGAAATTAATAAACACACCTTTGTCATCTTTCATCGTCTTCTTGTTTTCTTATTACATATGCTGTAGCAGGCAGGATGCTATGGCTGCCGATGGTGAAATTACCAAAAAGGGCATCCGGGAATGGTGCAGCACTACTCCACACCCGGACACCTGCAACTACTTCGTTACCCACGACCCTGACCCGATTTCTTCCCAGGAGGATTTCCGGACCCGGACCATCCAAGCCGCCATGGACAGAGCCGTCGACGCCCAAAGCCGAGCCGTGAAGCTCGGCTTCCATGGAAGCCAGATTGTGGATAGAGACTGCAGCAGTCTCGTCGACGATACGATTGCTCAATTAAACACCACTCTCCATAGCATTCGGACAAATGCCAGTTACGAGGTTTCGGATTTTCAGACATGGCTCAGCGCAGCCATGACCAACGTCGAAATCTGTAACAGATTAGGGTTTGACTATTCCCCCAAATTCGGGAATTTTAAGTCGCCGGTTTTGTTGGAAAACGTTTCAGAGCTGATCAGAAATAGTCTCGCGGCAAACGGAGCACTCCTCGGCAACGACAGTGATGATAAGCACGTGACTCGGCACGGATTCCCCAAGTGGATGACGTCACGTGACCGGAGGCTGGTGCAGAACGCCGCCGCCATCAAGTCCCAGGCAAACGCCGTCGTTTCACTTGATGGGTCGGGTCAGTTCACATCCATCCAGGCCGCGATTGACTACGCAGTCTCGGAACGGGTCGGGTCCGGGCGGGTTGTCGTCTATGTGAAAACGGGGGTTTACACGGAGAACGTTTTGATCAACAGAACTATGTCTAACGTCACGCTGGTCGGCGACGGCATCCGGCGTACCGTCATCTCCGGCAACCGCAGCTCCTCCGGTGGTTTCACCACCCACAGCTCCGCCACCGTAGGTAATTAATTAATTAATTATCAATCGAATAATTTTCTGTCAGATAATTACAGGTTTAATAATTAATTGACAATTCCCGATTCGATTAGGTATTGACGCCGCTGGATTTATGGCGAGAGGGATCACATTCCGCAACACCGCCGGGGCTGCCGGCGGCCAGGCAGCGGCGCTCCGGTCAGCCTCCGATCTATCGGTGTTCTATGCCTGTGCCTTCGAGGGTTACCAGGACACGCTTTTTGTCCAGGCGCAGCGCCAATTCTTCAAACACTGCGTGGTCTACGGCACCGTCGATTTCATCTTCGGCAACGCCGCCGTCGTCTTCCAGAACTGCGTCATCTACGTGCGGCGGCCGTTGCTCGGCCAGGCGAACACCATTGTCGCGCAGGGCCGTGGCGACCCATTTCAGAACACGGGCGTGTCGATCCAGTACTGTCGGATCCACGCTGCGCCGGATCTGGAGCCCGTTGTCGGATCCGTGAGGACGTATCTGGGCCGTCCGTGGCAGGAGTACTCACGGACGGTGGTGATGCAGAGTTATCTGGATGATTTGGTGGCGCCGGAGGGATGGTCGCGGTGGGGTGACTCCGATTTCGCCTTGACCACTTTGTACTACGGGGAGTATGAGAATTTCGGGCCGGGTGCTTCTACGGCGGGTCGGGTGAACTGGACGGGTTACCATGTGTTGACGAATCCGAAAGAGGTGGCCGGGTTTACGGTGTCGGGTCTGATATCGGGTGGTGCGTGGCTGCCCCGAACTGGAGTGCCATTTACTGCCGGGTTGCTACGATTGTAGCATATATTTTTATGAATTAATTATTCATTTTGTAAAAATGATGTAACATATAAATGCCTATATAATAAACGTATACCCGAAATTCTTGGGCTTTGTTTACATACATTTTAAGAACTTGTAGCACTCTTTATAAAGAATAATTATTTTTTCTTTTAAAAAAATATTTTATTAAGGGTGAGTATGTTTGAGGTTTGGCTTTTAAGTTCGATATTTAAATAGTAAAATTTTAAATTCAAATAATAATATGATATGATATAAATAATTATTGATGTTTTATTTTAATTTAAAATGAATTTTTAATATAATATAAAGTAAAAAATAAATATTTGATATTTTTTTAAGAAATAATTTTTATGAGTAGTAAAATTAAAATCTTACAAAAATATACTCCCTTCGTTGACAAGTAAATATTTATTTTTAGCGTAAAGTTTAAAAAATAATAATACTACCTCTGCTCCGGAAGAAGAACAATATTTATTTTTTGTACATAAATTTTTTAATATTAGTATTATAATGGTTTATAGTGAAAAAGATAAAAATATCCCTATCAGATTGTCTAATATAAAATAATGATATTTGTCTAATATATTTAAAGTTATAAGACTATTAATTATATTAGGTATGTAGTACAATTAATATCTTTCTTATAGAACATGGAATATGTTAATTATAATAGATATTTAAAAATAGTATAAAGACAATTTTATTCTTTTATTTTAATATAAAAATAATGGTATAATGGTAAAAAAGGAATATTGATAAAAAAAAAAAAAGTGAGATATTTAAAAAGAGAATTATTTTATAATAAAAAAATTTAAAATAGAAATATGTATATTTTCCGCATAGTTAAGAGAGATTTGTTTCTAATAAAATGTTACATAAAATAACCACTTTGTTTTAATATTTTCAAAATATTCCCTTAATTTTGGAAAACTTATATATATATATATATAAGTTTACACCATATATTTCAACTTTTTGCAATTCTCGACAATTTTGAACTGCATAATTTGTAATGATATTTACATTATACAGAGGAAGGGAATATTGACCAAAATTGCAAAACGTTGATTGGGTGCACGTCGATCTTGTCTCAATCCACACCCTTGACTGAATCCCATTCCCACGCGGTTACGCTTCTCTAATCAACGGCTGTGCTTTCACTAAGTCAAAACATCCAACGGTCTGTGATTATTATTGACTTCTTATGTTTTTAATTTAATTCCATGCGTAACGAATCTGTTTATATGATTGAAACTCAAATCCTTAGCCCATAATTTAAATTTAAAATATGTGTATGGATGTCTTTTTTTAGAGTTAAAAAAAATAAATTAATTTAATAATTTTTATATAATATATATAACTGTTAATAAAATAATTTTTAATAAAATATAGTATTAAATATAAAGTAAATATACTATATCGTGTTTTTTAAAGAGAGAATATAAATTAATACTGTGTTTTAGAAAATTTTCATTAAGTAAGAAAAATCATGTTGATAATATTATGTTCGTCAAACTGATGTAAAATTCATAATCAATAATTCTATTTTTCATAGTTTAGTAAATAATAATTGATCTGTTACTCTCTCTTTTACTTATCATTACAACATTTTATCAAATTTTAAAAACATATCTATAATATTTATATTTTATTTTTTATTTATCTTATATTTTAATATTAAAATATTATTTATTTTGTCCCATAAGAAGAGTATTAATTTTCATTTAGTTCGGTTCAAAATAAGGGTGTTTGTTTTCTAATTCAATAATTATATTATTTATCTAACGTAATAAACTTTCTAATAATTTATAATATATTAAATAAATATTATTATTTTTATATTACACAGTACTAATAAAAGTACTTGTGTCTATTTCACTACAAATCAATATAATACTAATATTAAAAAATTTACGTGCAAAATACAAATACTATTCCTTTCATGTGAGGAAGAAAGTATTATCCCCCATTTTTGAGGTCATCTCCCTTTGCCTTTGGAAAAAAATATGATGCAAGTACCGAAAAATCGAAGGTGAAATTTTGATTCAATCTCGAAGTGGCCTCGTATAGAGTAGGCAATGTCGATGGATTTTTCATTACCATTACTTCCATTTCTTTGCCTTTTTCCTCTCAACATTGAGACATCATCGGCTACGTCAATCGAATGTGAAATCCAAAGGGTGTTCTACGCAATTATTTTGATGTATTTATTATTATTTTTTTATGACGTGGAAATTCGCAGCTGCTATCCGGCCTTATATATTGTATGAATACCTATACATTGTATTTCTTTCTTTTTTTTTTTTTTTTTTTTTTTTTTTTTTTGCTTTTTGTTTATATTAATAGTGAATCGTGATATAGTCTTAAATAAATAAATTTTCGAGACACGATGGAAGCTATTTTATATACTCCTATACACAAAACCTTCCAGCTTGTTTCTTCTCAAAATTTTCAGTCATGGCCAGCTGGAATCACCTCATACAAAAACCTGAACTCAGCTGGTATTCTTTTATCAAATTTTATCTATTACCTACTGCAATTTGATTTTGACATTTCTATATGTCAACTCTCCCACTTCCCTCTATTTTCTTACGTCTATCTATTCTATATCTATATCTATATCTATATAAACCCTAAATCTCATCGTCTTCCCCAGCCCATCACAATCCATCAAATGGCGCTAAAGCTCCCAACTATCATTTTCACCATCATCCTCTCTCTCACCCCATCTCTCTCCAACCCAGACATCTTCTCCTGGTGCGACAAAACTCCTTTCCCAGAAACCTGCAAGTATTTCTCCTCCCACAATTCCGGCGGCCATTACCACATCCCAAAAACCAAATCCGAGGTCCGTAAAATTGCCGTACAATTGGCCCTGGAACGGGCCGCCGGGGCATTCGCCGCCGTCAAGCCCCTCGGCGCCAAGTGCCGGAGCCGCCGCGAAAAGGCCGCCTGGGCCGACTGCCTGAATCTCTTCGACGCCACGGTCGAGCAGCTGAACCGGACGGCCTACCCGGACCGGAAATGCACCGACTCGGACGCCCAGACGTGGCTCAGCGCTGCCCTGACCAACCTAGAGACCTGCCGGACCGGGTTCGCCGAGCTCGGCGTTCCCAACGTCGTCACTCCGGCGATTTCCCACAACGTGTCCGAATTGATCTGCAATTCGCTGTCCCTCGGTGGCAGCGACACCGGCCACGAGAGCTCCGATTATTATAACTCCGACGGGTTTCCGGCGTGGTTTTCTTCCGGCGATCGTAGGCTGCTGCAGACGTCGTCGTCGGGTGCCCTCACGCCCAACGCCGTAGTGGCACAGGACGGTTCTGGGAACTTCCGGCGGATAAAAGACGCTCTCGACGCGGCGGCGCGGAGGAGCGGCGACGGCAGGTTTGTTATACGTGTCAGGAGAGGAGTTTATAGGGAGAATTTGGAAATTGGGAAGGGATTGAAGAATGTTATGCTCGTCGGCGATGGAATGAGGTATACGTTTATCACCGGAAGCCGCAGCGTCGGCGGCGGCTCCACCACGTTCAATTCCGCCACCGTGGGTAAGGGTACTCTGCCGCCGGCTTTAGTTTATTGATCTTTGGACCGCGTTGGTATTTTTAACTGAAAATTGATTTCAAAGTCTAAAAAATTTTGATTTTTATTTATTTACTTTTCAACGTTAGTTTTTTCTAAAAAAAAAAAAAAAAAAAAAGACATAGATTATCATTTTTAATAAAAAAGTGTAGAAGGTTGGTATAAACATGTAATGAAAAATAGGATATAAAATAAAAAATTATATTAATTTCTATCTTCAACGCACAGCGGTTACCGGCGAGGGATTCATCGCCACGGGCATAACCTTCCGCAACACCGCCGGTCCACAGAACCACCAGGCGGTGGCGCTCCGGTCGAGCGCCGACCTCTCGGTCTTCTACCGTTGCGGCTTCGAGGGGTACCAGGACACGCTCTACGTCCACTCCCAGCGCCAGTTCTACAAGGACTGCTACATCTACGGCACCGTCGACTTCATCTTCGGCAACGCCGCCGCCGTCCTCCAGAACTGCCTCATCTACGGCCGCCGGCCGATGGACAAGCAGAAAATCACCGTCACGGCTCAAGGCCGGACCGACCCCAACCAGAACACGGGAATCTCGATCCACAACTCCCGGTTCATGGCGGCCCCCGATCTGGCTCCGGTTCTCCGGTCCTTCCCGGCCTACCTCGGCCGGCCGTGGAAGGAGTATTCCAGGACGGTTTTTATGCAGTCGTATTTAGACTCGCTGGTTGACCCGGCCGGCTGGCTCGAGTGGGACGGGAATTTCGCGCTCAACACGCTGTACTACGGGGAGTACAGAAATATGGGTCCGGGTTCGGGCACGGGTCGGAGGGTCCGATGGGGAGGATACCGGGTTATAACAAACCCAGCTGAGGCAAGGAGGTTTACCGTTGAGAATTTCATCGCCGGACGGTCATGGCTGCCGGCGGCCGGCGTGCCGTTCACGGCAGGGCTTTGAGTGTAATATTGAATATTGATTGATTTGATTCGTTAAATATATTTATATATCAATTTTTTCAGGTGATTGATGTAAAAAATGATCAAAATTATTAAATTAATTTGCTCCTATGAGTAAAAAGACACTCTTTTAGTTTTTGTACCTTTGAGCAACAGCCTACACACATCTCGGGCCTCTTCGACTTTGCCATCGTCGCACAGTACAGAGATCAGCCACCGGACGTTATACTGGCAAGGATAATACTTATGTCCGATCATGTCTTGGCATATCCTCAGGGCTTGAGAGCTCAATCCCGTCGAACAAAACGAACCCAGAAGCAGCTCGTAAGAAGATTTCGAAGGCAGAAATCCTCTCTTCCGCATCATATGTAGCAGAGACAATGCATCGTCTGTCCGTCCGACCTTACAGAACCCTCGGATTAACGTGTTGAAGAGCATCCGGTCAGGTGCGACGCCGTCACCACTCATTTCGTTAAACAATGCGACAGCACGGTCGACTTCCTCGCGGTGAATGTGTCTGTTGATCAAGATCGTGTACGTCACCTGATTAGGCTGTACCCCTGCTTTTTTCATTTGGTCGAGATGCTGGTTCCCTTCCTGCGCGCTCCTAGCCCAGCTGATCACCGACATTATCCCATTGCAAAGGTACACGTTTGGCGGTGGTAATGCCGCCGTTGGAATCTCCTTGATCAGCTTTAGAGCGAAAGTTTTCAGTTCTTCTTGAGAAGAGATCAAACTCCCCACACTCTTTCGATTCGATACAACGGTCGTCTGACCGAGCAAACGGAACAATGTCTCTTTCGACTTAGCTGATATTTCGTTCGACAGATACCATTTCCCGTCAAAGCAACGGATATTTCGACAAACGCCGCTTACCAAAGTGATATATGCAACAAGATCTTTCTCCACAGCTTTTCTCCCCATCAAATCAACCAACCGGAAAGCGAATTCAACTTCGCGCCTTCTCAAGAACTGCTTAATAAGCGAAGTATATAAAACCACATTCGGGACGAAACCATCTCTAAGCATTCTCTTCAGATATAAGCAGCCTTCCCTGGTCATGTTTCTCTTAACTAATCCCGGTATGAGCGCCGTGTAAGCGTGGGAATTGGGCGCGAGATTGTACTCCATCATTTTCTCGAACAACTCATACGCTTTCCTAGCCCATCCATTCTTCGAATACGCATTTATCATTGTGACAAAGATTGTCTGATCAGGATCGATACCGGACTCGAGCATTCGGTAGAAAAGATCCTCTGCTTCACAGATCATCCTCTGCCTTCCCAAGCAACTGATTACCGAGTTATACATTGCAACGTTCAACTTGATTCCTCGCTCGTCAATTTGATCCATTATGTCAATCGCCGACTCAAAGTCATCCCGTTTACAGAGCTCATCTACTATGATCGAGAAAGTCAGCTGGTTTGGAACCAATCCCTGATCCTGCATAACTTCCAGTAGAGACTCGACGTCCTCAAAATGACCCTTCTGCATAAGCAACTTAATCAAGGAATTAAATGCAGCAATGGACGGTAGGAGATTAAGGCACGCCATATTCTCCATTAACCGCCACGCAGTATCGAGCTTTTTCCCCATACACAAAGCTATCAAGTAAATACTAAAGGCTGTAACAGCTAATTCAGACCTAATTTTCGCAATATCATCCAGAAGATTCTCAATTTCATTCGTCGAATCAACTGCAGACTGCACACTATCACTCCCAGAAGATTTCTTGGCGATAGCTTGTAAAACAGTACGTGCAATGTTCAGCTCATCGCCTTCCAGATGATTCTTGACAAGGACGAAGAAAAGCAAGTGGTCAGGAACGATCCCTCTATCGAGCATTTCATGATACAGCCGGTATACTTCCTCATATCTAAGTTCCCTGCAAAGTGCAGCAATCAAGACAGTGTAGCAGTGCACATTGGGAGCAATACCGTGCCGGGGCATGTCATCCAAGAGCATCAAAGCATGATCGACTTTCCGGTCTCTGCAATAATTGTTGAGCATAATCGAATAAGTTACCACACCAGGCTTCAACCCCGAGCCAATCATTCTATCATGTAAAGCCCAACCTTTTTCGAACAATCCCAAGTTAAAGAAACCATGGATCAATGTATTGTAAGTGTATTTATCAGGTTCATATCCTAACTTCAGCATCCTCATAAACAACCTTATCGCCATCTTCATTTTCCGCGCCTTACAATACGAATTTATCAGCAAAGTGTACATGAATTCGTCCACTACAAAACCATGAGACTCGATTTCTGTACACAAAACCTCAGCCTCCATGACGCGACCCCATTTACACAAACCAATGATCAACGACTTGCAAATGTGAGCTGTAGGCGATATCCCGTGGTCAATCATTATATCGAAAATGTGAAGCCCCTCATCTAACAATCCCCTTCGGCAAAATCCATTCACAAGCCTATTATAACAACTAAACTCTAGAGTAATGTTTGAAGCTTCAATTATCTTACAAAAGCAATCATAAGCCTCCGAAATCCTATCATACTCAAGAAAGCACTTGATCATAGCGTTAATGGAGGTAGCCCAAGGTCTAATCCCTAATTCAATGAGCCTGTCAAAACATGATTTAGCTTCATCTAATTTCATAAGCTTGCAGTAACAAATAATCATCGAACTCAATAAATTAGGGCCAGGCTCAAGGCCTCTTCGCGCTATACAATCTACATACAGCGCCTCCGCCATACGAACATCGCCTGAAAGTACAAGTTTCGGGATAAGACTGCCGTAACAAGCCAAATTAAGCTCCATACCTCGTGAAAAGGCGAAATCGATTACTGCATTTGTTTCCGGAGTGGACAATGATTTCGCAATGAACCTCTGAATCACTTTCTGAGCCGACGAGATTAACCCCCGTCTTAGGAGATGATCCGCCAACGAAATGCACAAATCCGCGCGGGACGCTGAAGAAGAAATTGACGGCGCATTAGGATCCGACGGCAACGGGCAACTGCTGAAAAGTTGCCCTCTTACAAATTTGCTCAGGAGTCGGTTGCGCTTGATCATAATTGCTCAATTGGGAGAGCTCCCGGAGAAAAATTAGGGTTTTAAATGACTGAATTTTTTGTGTGGAAGAGATGAAAAGGGGGAAATTTTTGAAGGGTTTTAGCTAAACCCTGGAAGTCGAAGAACGGTGCTTGTAAGACCAGTCCACATGGCCGCCGGTCCGGTTTGTAATTTTAGAAAATGCTTAAAAGACCAGCGGCGGAAGAAGAGAAGGAAGAAGACGACGGGCCGCCGAAGCCTGTACATAATGATGTTTAAGATCCAAAGATATATTTTTTTTTCCTATAATTAATTATTAAGTTTTTTTTCGAAAATTTTGGTTGGACTTTGTGAATTTTAGATTTTATATAATAAATAAAATGCTAGAAGGAAAAAAATTAATTTTTGTTCCAATATAATTAAAATTAATTAATTTTGGTCCTAATATAACCAAAATTTATCAATTTTGGTCTCAATATAAAAAACTCATCAATTTTGGTTCAAATATAAATAATTTCAATCAATTTTGGTCTCATTATAAACAATTTTTATTAATTTTGGTCCCACCGTTAAAAAACTAACGGAAATTACTGATGTAGACATAACGAAGGTGACGTGGCAGTTGACCTGGAAAGTACATGGCCATGTACAATTATACACGGTCATGTTGTTACATGGTCATGTATATTTCAGTCTATAATTATACATGGTCACGTTGTTACACGGCCATGTACAATTATACACGACCATGTTACAGAGTCATGTATATTTGAGTGTATAACTATACATGGCCATGTTGTTACACGGCCATGTACAATTATACACGGCCATGTTGTTACATGACCATGTATATTTCAGTGTATAATTATACATGACCATGTTGTTACACGACCATGTATCTTTCTGTTTCGGTCTAAAATTTTAATTTTTTGTTATATTTTTTTTTTTATTTTTTTTGAATTTAGAATAGTTGATATAGTTAAAATGGAAAAAAATAATAATAATCATAATATAATTAAAATATATCAATTTTAGTTCAAATATAAGTATTTATCGATTATGTTCTTTTGGAAGATTTTGTCTAAAATTCTACTATTTAGCAAAAACAAAAATCTCTAATTAAAATTGATATATTTTAATTATATTATGATTATTATTTTTTTTCCATTTTAACTGTATCAACTATTCTAAATTAAAAAAAAATTAAAAATATAACAAAAAATTAAAATTTTAGACCGAAACAGAAAGATACACGGCCGTGTAGAATTATACATGCCCGTGTAACAACATGGTCATGTATAATTATACACTGAAATATACATGGTCATGTAACAACATGGCCGTGTATAATTGTACATGACCATGTCTAAATTAAAAAAAAAAATTAAAAATATAACAAAAAATTAAAATTTTAGACCGAAACAGAAAGATACACGGCCGTGTAGAATTATACATGCCCGTGTAACAACATGGTCATGTATAATTATACACTGAAATATACATGGTCATGTAACAACATGGCCGTGTATAATTGTACATGACCATGTATAATTATACACTGAAATATACATGGTCGTGTATAATTGTACATGACCGTGTAACAACATGGCCATGTATAATTATACACTGAAATATACATGGCCATGTAACAACATGACCGTGTACTTTTCAGGTCAACCTCCACGTCACCTCCGTTCATGTCCACGTCAGCAATTTCCGTTAGTTTTTTAACGATGAGACCAAAATTGATAAAAATTGTTTATAATGGGACCAAAATTGATTGAAATTGTTTATATTGGGACCAAAATTGATGAGTTTTTTATATTGTGACCAAAATTGATAAATTTTGGTTATATTGAGACCAAAATTATTTTTTTTTTTTTCTTTTATTGAAATTATTTTATCACAAAAAAAAAAAGGGTAAAAAGTAAACCCATCCTTTGATTTGGGCTGCTAAACCCAAAGGATAACAGTGGGCTACTCGTACATTGCACAATGTCTGCAGGCCTTCCATTAAATCGGACAAGAAACTAGTATTATTTTCTTTTGATGGGCTTTCTTTATCTATATTTTTAAATTGTTTTTTTTAATTATTTATTAATATAAATACAATATATAATAATAGTTTACACAGCACATATCATTGATTTTAGCCTATAATAATAATAATAATCACAACATATATATATATTTAATACACCTACAATTTATACCATTAATCAAAATTTAATCTTATGGCATCATATATATCCTGTCCCTAATATATAATAATATCTCCCATTAGAAATTTTATTATATTAGTACCAAATTTATATAATGTACAAAAATTTCAATAATTAGTTAATAGTTAGGAAGTAGTAATAATTTTATTCGCAAAGTAAATAAAACAATCAATAAATAATTGCAGCAGTATATCTTCAATAATCATTGTCAGCCGTGAGGGCATAATCGTCCTTTCGCTAGGGGTTTTGACTTGGGAAGCACCCAATAGCGACCTCGGTGTGGGACCCAAACTGCGTATGTAGAGGAGCAGATGAGGAGTAGGTAGGCCGTCGATGCTGATATCGTTATGGGACCCACACTATTTAGTACGGATGCCGCAACCTTATTGGTTGCTGCCGAATTCAGCCACTTAAATATCGACACGTCATGATGAGATATTGCGGGCCCACATCTGTTTAACCTCATTGAACAATTAATAAATAAATAATCAAAAACTATTTTTGTTTGCTACGAAATTAGTCCCTCTGTTGCTACATAATTCATAACAGTGTTTTTGACTTGATTTTCTAAACACTAGTATAATTTTTATAATCATTGACAATTCTATCTTTATTATTTAAAATGATTTTATCAACTGCATTTAGACAGTTTTTTTTTTCTTTAAATACAGTTTATAAATAAAGTAATTTTTAAAATATTGATATATTCAATATTAAAAGTGAAAGCAGATGGTAGTAGTACATTATATTTTAAATTATATAAAAGTTTTTTATTTTTTAAGATTGAATTAATCACTGTTAGGTTTTTTTCTTTAATTTTCCATGAAATTCTCTATAAAAATAAATTTTTTATTCTTATAAAATATTGCATTCTATAAGTGTTTAGATACACAATACAAATCAAACAAATTTAATTGTGGGATTAACAAATTTAATAGGGTTGATATGAAATTTCATCATCTTTTCACATTGGAATAATATATATATATATATATGTAAATATATTCCGAGCAATTAATGATTTTAGTTGTTGATTTCTCTTTCGAATTTAATTTTCTCCTTTATGGATAGAGCAAAGTGAATATTTAAATGTTGTTAGAATTTTTCCTAATACAAATTTATTTAAATCTAGGTGGAATTTATCTACTATTCCTAAGTGTCTATGTTATTTATGTAGGTTTTGATTAGGGTGTCGATTGATATTTTATCAATACTATACTGATTATTTCAATAAATATATGTAAAATAATATATAAGTAACACACAAAAATATAAAATATACATCACATGTTGTATAAAGTATATTAGTATGCGTTATAGTTCTATTTTATATGTGTACTATAAATTTATATCTAATATATTATACGTTACATATTATTGTACTGTCCTAATACTCTGTAATTGCTATCTATGTATGTATGTGTATATATATATATATGCCGCCATGCACATGAACAATGAGTATATATTTCCCTACATATAATAAACAATACATCTTTTTAATGATATCAAATGCCAAACAATAACTATGGTAAGTTATAATTATCAAAGATGAAATCTATCAAATTTTGGTGTTTAATCTTCATTTTAAAGTCGTTTTCTTGATTTTTAAGCATGATGCATCAAAGGGCCTTTCCGAATTCCAATAGTCTCGACTTTTGCTTTTTATTTTGCTTGATTTTATTATTGTTATTATGTTTTAAGAATGTAAATTTTCTCATTTGTTCATGTTGTGATCACTTTGTTTTTTTTTTATTTTTTATGATGTGGGATGATCGCTTTGTTCTTTTGTTGCTTTAGTTGTTACTATAAATTTCCCCCCTTAAATTTTGTTACATGCAATGTAACCCTAGCTCACAATATTAATTGTTAGGCTATATGTTTGAAATATATTTTGTAATTATAGTATTATACTTATTTATGTTGTTTGTAAAATTAACTATTAATGAATATGTATAATTTCTTTTGGTTTCGTATTCTAACATATATAATTCATCTCTTTTATTTAATTAGATTTGTGACAATTATCTCTCTTGTTAAGATACAATGGCATGTATACATACACATAATGTATATGTGAGTTAAATTGTGATATGAAATTTTTTACAACTTAAAAAATTAAAATGGAGATGGTTGTAGAATGAATTATTAATTAACTAGCAAATTGATTTTAAGAAGACAAAATAATAAAATGGGATGAAACTTGAAATTAAATTAGTAATTAGAATTAATGGAGCAAATGAATGTGATTATAACTATATAGATATACAAGTGTGTTTCATGCTAAAATAATTTTTGGTACAATAACTTGTTGAATTATGATTTTATTTACATAGATACTTTTAGAAAATTTGACATTATTTAGTAACTATATAACATTTTTATGACATCAAATATTTAATTTTGATTATATATTCCCAAAACCTCCAAAATTCTATTTAAATGATGAAACAATTAAATATCATTGACACAATAATATCAAATTTATTTTTTGAATTACATTATCTATACATACATTGTCAGATAGAAAGAAAAATCAATTCATTATAACCACTTAAGATACATTTACATATAGTGATGATCAAAAGTACATGATGATGACTTACATATATACATATATATATATATCGAAGAGACATATATCTATGTGTGTGTTACTGTGTGAGAGTGAGTGAGTGAGTGTTATATATATATATATATATGTTTATAATGATGAGAGTCGGTGGTGGTGTGAAGCTTATTGCTGACGATCCTAACATACCATATATCCTCAATCATTCAATATTTCACATTTCTCTCTCTCTCTCTCTCTCTAAAATTTTGTAGCCATGCTTTTAATTTGGGGTGGTTATTGAGCCAATATAAGTGTGACTAATGTAATGTAATTAAGAAATTATCATCTATCATATTTATAAATTGAGGGTTATAATTAAAATCGAGAGAGAGAGAGAGAGAGAGAGAGAGAGAGAGAGAGAGATGAGTAGTTTATATGTGGAGACCATGAGCAAACGTATGAAGACAAAAGATGGCCACCAAAAAACAAAACATGATCAAATTAAAATTACAAATATAAATATAAATGGGTGGAATAATGATGGTGGTAATAATTGAGATAGTTAACAAGCTAACCACTTGGAATTAATGACCACAAAATATTATATTATATTATATTCAACAATTAATATTGATATATATATATATATATTCTAATTAATTACAATGATTAACATATAACCAACAACACGCACCAAAGTTACAACCCCCCCTTTTTTCACCACCTTCCCTACCCTACATTTATTTTGTATTATTCATTTATTTAATTAAAAATATACTACTTGATATGATGGATGGGGAACACTTACTCGAGTGTGCAACGTGCGCATTTGGGGCCCACGTTAAAAATGGTAGGGCCCCACTTTTGCCTCATTAGGACAGATGGATTCTTGCCTTTACGACTTCGGGTTTGGTACATTCCATATATATAATATTATATATATATATATATTGTTACTTGCATTGTTTAAAAATAATTAATAGTACAACATATAATTAATTCAATTCAATTCAATTTAATACGATTGGATCATCATCTTATTTATCTAATTAATATTGATAATAACAATAATAATAAATAAATAAATAAAAATGTTGATTTAAGAATGAGAATAAGGTGAGGTACGAGACTGTTCCATTAAGTCATCATAGCCCTCAAAAAAAGGGGCTGTAAGAATAGTTTATTGGACACTTTTTGGTGTCTTGTGGGTGAGTCTATCCAACATACTTTTATTTATTTATTTATTCAATTAAAAAAAATAATAATTTTTCTGATATTGGCTATTTTTACATAAAACTAAAAATAATAAAGCTAATGTTTAAATGAAAATTGAATATTCGGTAAATTTGTTTAGTAGCTTGATTCTTGGGAGGTCCTGGGAGCGGAGCGCCGGATGATCCGTAACATTCTTGCTCCAAAAAAAAGCTTATATGGTGTGGATCCATCTGGTGCCGGAAGGTCCAGGACCTCTCAAGAAACACTTGCTTTTTGATGATGTCTCCCTTGCCCATATAATTCTAAAATTTGTTAACTTAATTTGAACCCTTAATACAATAATTAAATGGGATAACTATTAACTAACATCTTTTTATTACTTTCCTATCTCAAAAATAATGAAACAAATGATGTTTAGGGCAATGCTAGTAGACCCTAATTGCAATTGCAAAAAAGGAAAAAATGGTTAACACAAAGGCAAACAAAGAAATTGTTTGGAGACATCAAATTAGACTTGTTTTATAATCACCCCTACAAATTTTAAAACTAAATCAAACTATTCATCATTTCAGTTTCCCTAATTAAATCTAAATCTTAAATTTTTGAACTTTCTTTTACTCAAGGAATCGAATCATGTACCAAAACACAATCTTGGTAATTAATAAATCCGTAATTTAAAAATGTAGATATTACAAATATACTTTTTTAAATGTCATATAAAATATGTTTGAACTAAAACATATATTTCTTTCATCACATGAATACATATATATTTTACAATTTTCGTCTATATCGTAAGTAACAATATATAAATTTTATTTTTTAATATTGTGACCTTACTATTCAATACAATCTCTTTTTGTTTACATATTTACCATTATATAATTACAATACTTATACATGTATAATAATAATAATAATAATAATAATAATAAGTAAGGGCAATACATTTATATTATTTTTTAACTATCTATTATAATTAAAATATTTTTATTTTTTAACAAAAGTAATTGTATACTTACTGTCAGAGTATATATTTAACATATTGTAAATATTATATTCTACTACTATTTTGCTTTAGAGAGTTATAAATTAAAAATTACATATACAAATAGTTAAAACACACAATTAACAAACCCTAGTATGGAACCCCAATTGTGCTTGAAGCTTGGACATTGCACAAAAGTTCAAATTTGTAAGTCCCTCTCTCTATATTAATATATACATACATACAAATATATATATATAGAGAGAGAGAGAGAGAGAGAGAGAGAGAGAGAGAGAGAGAGGAAGGAGGAGGAGGGAGGGGTCTCAATCAGTGGCGGGTGGCGGAGGAGGTGGCGGTTACCCACACGCAGCTCCGACCTCTGGCTTCACTGCCATTTTTGCGCCACCACAAACCTTTCCCAACAATTCAGCTCACTATTGACAGTGAGATATATATATATATTATATGTGTGTGTAATTAAGAAATAATAATCATAATAATTTAACTTTTATATATATATTATTCAATACACATCCATCTCTAATTAATCAACCTACAACAGAATAACCCACCCTTTTAATCATTAGGGTTTCTTTCTCTCTCTCTCTCTCTCTCTCTCTCTCTCTCTCTCTCTCGAGATGTTTTAGGTTTGTGGGAGGCAGTAGAGTATATTTGTCATTATATATACACATCTCCATTCGTCTCCCATTCTTCCCTTGCTCCACTTTTCTACATTTCCTTCTTCTTAATTCCATAGCTCCCAATCTGATCCCACATATACATACATACATATATATATTCTCATCTTCTTCATTATAATCGAAGGCAAAATCAGAATCAGAATTCGAGCAGTTTAGGGATTGGAAGACAAATTTTATCTGTGCAGAAAGGAGGGGAGATCGATCGAACAATTGACCTCTCCTCGTTTGGACACATGCTGCTGCTGCTGCTGCTTGTCCTGTCGTGTCTTGTCTTGTCCTCTAGCTGTCTTGTTTCTTAGTACTTTCCCACAACTAGTTTTGGAATATTCTTGGGATTTGGGCCCTGCTTTATTATTGTTTTTGTTCCATCGATTCAAAAGGGGGGCTCTTTTTTTCTTTCTTTAAAAAAAAAAAAAATTATTTTACATTTCTCGACAAATCCGAAGTTGCTTCAGAAGAGCCAGATTCTTCTCCAGATTCAGCACAAATATTGTGGTTTCAAGGTTTGATTTTTTTAATTTTTTTTTCTCGTTGATTCTCCCTCAGCAATTTTACTTTAATTTCTCCTCATGTTAGCCTGCCTCTGTGAATAATTTTAAAAATAAATAAATTAGGGTTTTCTATATGTGTTTGTCTGTGTGTTTGCAATCTTGAAGCTAATTAATTCTTACATCGATGGAGGAGTGATAGATTAAAACCCAAAAAAAAAAAAAAAAAAAAAAGTTTGTGATCTGATCTGTTTGGATCCATCCAATCCAATGATGGCAGAAATATTTTCTTACAAGAAAAGGGATGTTTGTCTGCTAAACCCTTTTGCTTGCCTGAAATGTCACTGCAGCTAGCTAGCTCTCTTTTAGTGACACCTAAGAGTAGTCTATAGTGAGAAATTAAAACAATATGATATGATATGATCATATATCCACACTTTAATTAATAATTTACCATCATAATTAACTAGTTATATTAATAATAATAATAATATATATCACATGTCATAATTTCTGCCATTTATTATTTACATGACCCCATCGCCACTATCCCTAAATTAATGTCTTATCATTTTATTATATATGCAATCACACTGAATCATTCACTATAATTCCATGTTTTGCATGGGAAAATCTCTTTGTTTGTGGAATTTTATTTTATTTTATTTTATTTTATTCTCATTGAACATCTGGTTTAATTTTCTTCTCATGATTGCATGCTTCTCGACATCAATGATTGTGTTCGACAAGTTTCTAGACGAAGACTATACATCTAGTGAGACCTATCATATGTATATATTTATAAGTTGCCTTTTATTAATTAGGGTTTTGTTTTAGATTTTGATGCTGTATAGTGAAGAATTACATTTCACTGTGGTCTTTCACATTGTTTATTGGCAGACCACTAAAGATATCAATCATTTTGCTTTAGAATTTAAGGATTCTTGAAATCAATTGTAATATTTTGTCTGAAATCATTGATCCACACAACGTGTTTTGACATGTTTCGATCTAATTAATTCTAACAGTACACATCAATTTCTTCAACAAATTTATCTACAAATTACAATAGTCGATTAAATTTTTGCTCTTACGATTTACACATGATCAATTGTAGGTTTTAATCATATAAGAAGATTATGAATACGTTCACGCAAGTTCCTCCGGGCTTTCGATTCCATCCGACTGATGAAGAACTCGTCGATTACTATCTAAGAAGGAAGATCACCTCCCGATGCATCGAAATAGATGTAATAAAAGATGTCGATCTTTACAAAATCGAGCCGTGGGATCTTCAAGGTAAGTAGTATATATCTAATTAACTTCATTTTCATCGAACAAAATTGAATTAAACAAGATAGGAATGAAGGAATCATTCAAAGCTTTCATTTTTTCAATTTTTTTTTTGTTATTTTCGAAAATATTCGAAAGAGCTATGCAGAATAGGAACAGAAGAGCAAAATGAATGGTACTTTTTCAGCCATAAAGACAAGAAGTACCCGACAGGGACGCGCACGAATCGAGCGACGACAGCCGGGTTTTGGAAGGCGACGGGGAGGGACAAGGCGATCTACTCGAAGCACGACCTAATTGGGATGAGAAAGACTTTAGTGTTCTACAAAGGAAGGGCTCCGAACGGGCAGAAGTCCGACTGGATTATGCACGAGTATCGCCTTGAGACCGACGAAAATGGAACACCTCAGGCAAGTACTAATTAATGAAATTCTTGCATACTATTATTGTCCAAGAATCATCCAAAACTTCATTTTCATTCATTCACTAGTCGAATTGTCGATCGAATTTATTACTCGTTGAATACAATGGTCCTCCAACTAGCTATTTAAGGTCCATCCCATTTTAGGGCATGGCAAGGCTAGCTGTGAGAATCATTACATTCTTGTCTATTTGTAAGAAAATAAATTATATTCATAAAAATAGTCGATAAAAAAATTACTATTGACTAATAGTTAACTCTATATGGACATGTTAGGATGCAGAATTGGGATAATTAACACTGTGCTGATTACCTTACTCAGCACACCAAATACAATATAACAGCATATGTTGTATAGATTATTTGCATGCGTTGTGTTTTATCTATATATGTAATGTCTTAATATAAATTATGTGATAGAGATCGATTATAGTATGTATTGTGTTTTAATTAATGAAATGCTTTTGTTCTTGTCCAAATTAATGAAGAATTTTTTTGGACAGGAAGAAGGATGGGTTGTGTGTAGAGTGTTCAAGAAAAGAATCGCGACGATGAGGAAGCTAAGCGAGCATGATTCGCCAATATGGTACGACGATCATGTCTCGTTCATGCCCGAGATGGACTCTCCGAAGCACCACCACCACCACCACCACCACTCTCTTACCTACTCTCTTCCCTACTCATGTAAGAAGGAGATGTCGTCATCATCGTCATCGATGGACTTGCAATACCCCGTCCCGCCAGATCACTTCCTCCAGCTGCCCCTTCTAGAAAGCCCTAAAATGATTCATCATCATCATCAGCAGCAGCAGCAGCAACAACAGCAGCCAAGCCAAATGATGCCTTCTTACAACACTGTCCTAAATCTCACCAATGTGCACCACACAACGACAACATTGCTCGATCACGAATCGAGTTTCGCGGATCAGGTCACCGATTGGAGGGTTCTCGACAAGTTCGTCGCTTCGCAGCTCAGCCACGATGCGAATAAGGAGAGCGAAGCGTTCGATGACAATAAGGCGAATAATATCGACAACAATAATAACAATAACGTTAATAATAACGGTGCGGCGACGGCGGCGGCGTCGACTTCGTCCTCCATGGATTTGTGGAAGTGATGGAGTCTTTATATATATATATATATATATATATATTGTGTGGGAGGGAAGATTATTAATTTGGTGTTATTGTATATAATAAATATTGAAGAAACATATAATAACCTAACTATTGATCTGCTAAAAGAAATTAAGAAGAAGAAAAACAGCAATGTATAGGACGATGGATGGATGTTATTAATTAAATTAAGAGGAGAAGAAAACCCTAGTAGTTTGAGGATATACATACATTATACATACATACATACATACATACATACATACATACATATATATGTATGTATACAAATATGTGTATGTGGTGTAATTCTTGTGATCATATGATCGAGTTTCTATTACCACAACCACAGTGGTGTTTATTATGTTATAAACTGTGGGGTTAATTAATTATTTAATTAATATCAGATCATATCTTAGTATGGAATTGCCTTATTTTTAATATTCAAGATTTAGAAGCGGCTGTCCTAATTTTTTATTTGAAATTGAAATATATTATTTATGATGTATATAGTTTTAAATAAAAATATAGTAATATTTATTCCTATAAACTATTACAAAAATAAAAAAAAAAAAAAAATCAAATTAAAACTTGGTTTCAAATCACAACCAAAAAACCTTTTTATTTTTTTGTAATATCTTTGTTTAGGACATTTTGAAAATGAAGGAGTTTAGCTAAAATAGGGAAAAATGATTTAGAATTTGTGGATATTTATATATATATATATATATATGTGTGTATATCACTTGTTCCTACCTAGGACTAGGTAGATAGCTAGGGTTTATTATTGTCCTAAGAAATGTCATTTTCTGAGTAGGGTTTTGTAATGAATATATATACGCTGCTGGGTCACAGTTTTAATTCATCTCTGTGATAGTGATGTGATCGATGATGTTATACACATATATATATATATATATATTTCTCTTTACATCATCGTCTAACAAACAAACTTATATAGATATATATATGTATGTATGTATATATGACTTCACTTGAAAGGGTTGTATTTGCTGTAATGGAAGTTGGTGTGTATATACACACACATACAAATATAGATACATATATATATACATACAAATTAAAGTAAGAATGAATATGTATATATAATTAAATAAAAGGTTGTAATATTGAAAAAGGTGGCTCATGTCATGTGCAAAAGGGTTTTCTTATCCTTTACAAATAAGTAAACTTGATCGACGACCTCCTCCATTGTCATTCTTATAATAATAATTATACATACATATATATATATATGTTATGCTCCAAGGACATTTTTTGTTCCCACACAATAATATTACTTACTGTATGTTTCAAGTAGAATCATTTTCGAACTGATCTTGACTTACAAAATTAGGCATTGCTCGATTATTCGATTCAACATATTTTCACTTTGTTCTTTCACCCTTACACTATTTTCAACTATATATATATATATTCTTTTTTTTTTTTCTTAAAAAATATATTTCTATTTTCTTTAAAAAAATATTTTAAAATTAATAAAAAATAATTTTATCTAAAAGCAATCACAAATTTCAAAATACTTTTATAATTTCCAATGACTGACGACAAAAATTCCAACAAATCTTAAATACTAAAGAACAAACTATATATATAATGTAACACATTTTACATAATTCCATATTTAGTGTTTAATATGAGATTGTACAAAAATTTAGTACGTAGTTTGATCATATAATAATGAAATACATTATCTACACCTTTATATTAAAATATTTAGTGTGTGTTTGTTTGGTCCTTTTTAAAAGTCTTCTACTATTGAAAATATTTATTTATATGCAAAATATTTATTTATATTATATAAACAATGATGTAATTAATAATATAGAGTATATGTTGTTTGGGAAATGACTGAATACTGATGAGACAAATTATGAAATAGGTTGTGTCAATATATAAATTGAAAATTATTTATACATTTATTAATATAGAGTATTATTAATAAAAATTCTTAAATAATTACATTCAACGCTTTTCTTTTTTTTTTAACATTTTAAATAAGCTAAAATAAAAATACTATTTAAAAAAATATATACAATTAAAACTAAATCCCAAGTTCCAAAGCTAATTTTCCATTATTTACATACATTTTTCTTTTTTTTCTCTAAGAAATTTTCTAATTTCAATTTACTGAAATATTACAAATTCAAAAATAAAAAATATAATAAACAAGTATTCAGTAATTACCTGCATGCATTGGTCGACGCATCCTACAACTCGCCCCCATAATATATAATTCCTCTGTTTGTTTGTGTTTTTTATTGTGTAGAATATATTATAAACATACAATAATAAACAATATATATATATATATATATATATTAGAATGAATTTCCAACATATATCAGAAGCCAGAACAAACACTTCCCATTACGACCTACGACTATATATATACAGATGATCCTTAATCTCCGCAAACACTGATGCATTTATTGCATACCTCACACACACACACACACATATATATATATATATCCAATTGCATCTGCAATATTAATTTCTGCATGCGCAAAAAATAGATTGAGTACTAAGAAAGCATTACATGCATCCGATGCCGCATCATTATTAATTAATTAATTTTTGTTCGAAAAAATAAAATAAAATAAAATAAATCATATATTCTGCTTCATCTAAATTGTCAAATAATTAATAATGATAATAAATGCTTCATAAATAGATTAATTTTAAAATCATAATAATAATGCATACAGTTCTTCTTGTATTTTTATGTTTTCTTATAAAAAAATAATTAGTGTGAATACAAACAAAAAACAAATCCTCGAATGTGCAGTGATTAGTTTGCATGCTATAAATAAATAAATATATATTTTTTATATTAATAAATTAAATAATAAGTGTGGCAGCCACAAGGGAGACAGCGCATGCATGTCTCCCTACTTCCCATCACAGTATATACATACGATATATATATATATATATAATGTTCATCCCTTATCCATTCTATATTATATTGTGTTCTTTTTGTTCCATATTAATGTATTAATGTAAATTAATAAATATTAGTATCTCATGTATAATAATAGATAATACTTATAATAAAATAAATCAACAAAAGAATTTTATACAAAGTAGAAGAATTCACATTTATATATTCTCAATTTAAAACCAGACAAATGTTACCCAACAAGAATTTGACTCGAATCAGCCAGCCCTGTGCGAAAAAATCGGATCAATCCAAAATGGCAGGTTCTAATATTTTCACAATGTCTCACGGCAAAAATTCCTTAAATTATAAATAATAAATAAATAAATCAACATAATCTAGTCTAAGTTTGCAATAAATATTTAATAAAATGTTTTCAACATTTAGGATAGACTCACAGATCCTGACCCAATTTATTTAATTAAGATTGGGTTCACTTATTTGAATATAAAATCGGGTCTAATAAAATAAAAATATATATATATATTCGGGTTGGAGTGGGATCCTGGATTTTATGTTGTACCCGACCCACAAATATTTGGGTCCGCAGGTCAGGTCTTCATCAAATAGATCCAGTTGGGTCAACCTGATTTGAGTCTAGGATCTTACAAAATATTTGGGTGGGGTCTCAAATCTGGTAGGACCCGACCCATTATCGCTACCAACATTACGCCCCAATTCACCTCATAATTAAACTCATACTCTCAAATGCAAATGACAACTTTAGACCCAGTCAACATGGTATTAAATAAAAATGGAGTCTAGTATTTGATTTCGATACAAATATTAAAAAAGTGGGTGTTGCTGCTGCTACCTTCACAATTGACAAATAACATCTCGATCGAGTGTAAAACCAAAAAGGAAAAAAGAAAAGAATAACAATGGGGCTGGCCCATCCAAGAAATTGAATCGGATACCATCCATGTCCAAGAAAACAAAACCTAATCTAACCATAAACCACACACCCTAATTCAATCCAATCCAATCCAATCCAACCCAACGGTCCACATCAGATGCAACATACCCGACCAGACCAGACCATCTAAAAATGCAGAATCTGCATCACCATCAACGTAGCAATCGCCAACACGTTCCAGATTAAAGACAACCTCCACGATGACGATGTCAACAGTTTCTGAGGCCTGCAGTAAAACACAAATTAACAAATGATCAAATTAAACAAAGATCAGACTATATATATATATATATATATGATTAATACACACTTCTGCATCTTGCTCAGGGCGCCGCAGTAGAGAGCATTGTCCGGCGCCGGCAGCTCTGTTTTGAAGCCATCGTCTTCAGGGTTCACGATCCTCATGTACGTCTCTTGCCCCAGATACCACCGGTCAAGATTCTCCGTCCGAAGATTCCACACGCCCACGTTGTCTAAAGACACGAAAACTGCACTCCACCCTCCCGCAAACACCTGAACGGTCGACCGCGATATCGCATCCCATCTGTTATACGAACCCCTGCTGTTCTCCGACCAGACACCGGAGCCCATCCTACAATTCACAATCGATCGCATTAGAATAAAATAAATAACAATGCCGTAAGTATGTATGTCGTTCAACAAGTAGGAATGTACCCAACGATGAAGAACGAGTATCCGCCGAGGTGAAAGGTCTGGACGACGGTGTCATTGTTCTGCAATATTATTTCGATGAATCCCTTGTACGTAGCATTGATGATAGATCGGTCCATCCGGGGTGGCCTATCGAGCGGTTTACTAGGAAAATCGAGCTTGTAAGCGCCCTTCACTTTATACACATCTGCGAGCCGTATAGGCATATCGGGCTTTACGAAAGAAATACCGTTGTACGTTGCTCGTAGCTTCCCGTCAATCACTGCTGGCGGCAGACTTCGGAGGATGTAAACGTCAGTGACATTGATCGAACCGTAGTGGAACGAGCCCTGAGGGTTGGGACGAGCTCCGCTTGCAGTCACATTTTGCCTGATCGACATCGCCTGGTTTAGCGAATAAGATGCGTCATAAGCGTCGTTCGGAGGGTCAGGGAGAGGACCGACAGCCTTCCCTTTCGAGTTAGAATAATGCAGTATCGCAACGCCGGTGACCCTCTGCCAGAGAGATTCGTTCACAAAACGAGCAGAAGCAACGATGTAATAATCGGAGCTCGCATTCTGATCCATGGTGACAAGGAAACTGAACGACTGCCCCACATGGATGTCGAGGCTGGTGTAGTTCTGCTGTGATGTGTAATAGCCTTCTGTTTCTGCCAACAGCAAATTATGACTCTGGATTCGGAAATTCAAACAGGTTGAGACCCCAACATTGTGCACGCGAACACGATAAGTCATACCTGAAAGTTCACATAAGCTGTAAGAAAATAATGAAAGGCATCGACAACAACAAACAATGGTATCTTAGGTAGGAACTTTACCAGGATTAACATTAATGGTCTCATGTTCGATGCCCTCGGGGACAAGCGTGTCATTGTATCTATACGGTCCTTTTCCATTAATGAGAACTCCATTGGGCATGCCTAACAAGTTCCCATCGTCAAGAGCCTTCCGAAGATCCTAACATTTTTAAACACAGCGAAGATGAATTGCTGCATAGCTATCGAAACATGCCTTAGATGCAAAAACAAGAAATGGCCGAGCACCTTATGGTTACGAGTATACCAATCACCAATCATGATCACAATATCTGCATCAGGCATCTTGAAAGGAATAGGAATGATCTTACGGTTCGTTATAACAAAAGAACCGAATCCACCGGACGCCCTCTGCATATTCAATGATGGGAAGTAAAAGAAGCTCCCGATCTGATCCTTCACCTGGAATTGATAAGTCCAGTTCCATTTCGGAGGGATCGGACAATTTGTGCCTAAAACACCGTCTTGCCACGATGAACGACGCATCTGGATTCCGGACCTGCAGCATTTTACTCTGTTACAAATCACAACACTAACTGAGAAACATTTCGATTCCAATCGAGGCATGATCATACCATGTGATCAAGACATTCTCATCCAACTTGTTCTTCACATTTACCACAACATTGAAGTTAGTTGTCACGTTAATAACAGGACCTGGGAACTTCCCATTAACAGCTATAACCTGCAAAAAATGCAATCTCCATTAACAACAACATTTCTTTCACACCAACAAACTGAGCCAGAATCACTTCAAAGTTGAAAGAACAATCGAATGTAAACTGCTGAATCATAAATTGAAAAGCGATTAAGATTCCAGTCAAACGTGGGACCTTAACAAACCTTTCATCTAACAGATGGTGCGCAAATTTTACTGTTCTTCACGAACATTCAACAGCAAAAAGAAAAACCGCTAAAGACTTGGGTAAAGAACATTTACTTCATACGTTTCCATTATTCACAATCAAAGTAAACAGAAAAGTAGAATGGCGAAAAATTGGGAGAAAGGGCGGATTAAACCCTAAAGTGGGAAAAAAAAAACAAATCGGAACTTTAAAAATGACCGTAATCCAAATCAGATTCTCTCAATCGCATACAGAAACGACGAACAATCATCAATACCAACTACTACCATCACTGTTCCAAAAATTAATACAACTTTTGGGGGCGAATCATCTCACCTGTTGAGGAACACCCAATGGCGAAGCAGTAATATACGAGAGTTCCATATCGAAGTAGGCGTACGGATCGTCCCCAAAACAACCGCTCATGGCCAAACAAAAGCAAATCCAATACAGCAGACAAATCGCCCCCATCGTTCACTCTCTTTGTGAGGCAGAACAAGAAATTTAACACTGATCCAAACCCTAGACAACGATTCCGTATAAATGTGAAGAATCTCAAAGCTTTTCGATACGATTTGCTTTCCTAGTTTACATAATAACTGCACGGCCCTTTCCGAACTGAATTTGCTGCTGCTAACCTTCCCCGAATAAAGCGAGAACCTAACGAGCCATTGAAGAGCGGGACGAAATGCAGAGAGAGCGTGGGCGTGGTAAGGGTCCCAATTTTGAAAATCTCCATGCTCTATTATATTAGAAATCCATGGCGTGATGGACGCCGATGCTCTGTTTACCGGTCACTTGGTAAGTCAGTCGACTGGTGGCAAGACGATGAGAAAATTTATTGTAGTAACTTTTGAAATGCAACCGGCTAAACCGGTTACTGGTCTAAGAAGGTCAACATTAGCGCGGCTGCTGCAACGTTCAGTTTTGCTGCACTTGGCTCACATGCACAGATTGTGGGCCCCATCTCCGAAATAGTAAAATAAGCGGGAAATCATCGGTAAATGGGAAGGGATAATTAGTTACTAGTTTCTCAAAGGAAATATTTTTAATTGAAACAATTATTTAATTACATGCAAAAATTATTTATTGTTATATTGTGCAAATACATATATTGTATCTATTTGATCATATACAAATCTTAAGAAAAATGAATAAAAATTGTTGGTACGGAGCATCTTTTATATTTGGTAAATATATATTGTATCTTCTACCTTACGTTTGATAATTTATTTTATATTTTTTGGATAGTGTTTATTTGAAATAGGAGATATGTATTTTTAGTTAGCTTGATATATATATATTGTATCTAGGGGGAAAATGGACTGAGAGAAAGGGAATAAAAAAATTGAATTTTTTTAAATTTAAAATTTTTTATGGTATCATATTCATATGGCTAAAGAGAAATTGGGTTTTGTGTATAATCTATTGAACAATAACAATCAAGGACTACTGATCACTCATGTGCAATTGAAAGAGAATAATTTCGATGAATGAGAGGATGTACAGTCTAAAATACTCTCAAGGTCAAAAAAAAAATTAAGATTCATCAATGGAACCATAACCAAACCTGCAGAAGAAACGAATTCTAGGGACTTGGAGTAATGGGAACCCGTAAATGCGATTGCATGGATCTAAAATTAGATCGAAATGTATAAAAAAAGAATAACGAAAATATAATTGGATGACAAAGTGACTATAAATTTAAATGATGAAAGGAAAATAAATAGTATTAATATGATGTTTTATGAAAATAGTTTTAAGATTTTATATATTAAATAAAAACAAATATATAATTGATTATATTTTAAGAATATATATATATATATATATATTATCTAAAAAGGCTAGCGAACAAGCCCATAATTTTGGGCGTAATCAATGCGAAGATAAACACGGTTAGCTGAATGAATTCATTAATTGCGGGTAACTAAAATATTCTATATCTAAGACATGATTAGTTGCAATAATCCCATGTGGTCCCGCACATGCACATGACATCAAATCATTACTTTGACCATTAACATTAGCTATCTACATTTTGCCATTTCTTTCTTTTATTTCCTTCTACTAATTAATATTTATTTGTATATATATTTGTGACATATGCAAGAATTAAAAATGAAATATAGGAGCCGTGCATTGCACTTCTTGGATTCGTTTTTTTTTTTTTTTTTTTTTTGTTTCGCTTTCCGATATATTTTTTATTGATAAATTTGAATAAAGAATATAATAAAATAAGACATATACAGGCAGCCCCAAATCCGATGAAGGATTTCTGCAAAAAATTAAGGGAGAACAAATAATTAATTGTTAATTTTTTTAAAAAAAAAAAAAGCACATCCAAACAGGGACTTTCCACGTCAGCCCCACATGAGACCTGAATACATGATTTGTCTGTTTGTCTTGATTCTAACGGTCATAATGACACGTCATATTCTTGTGTTCTGTTTGGTGTCTACCTATGAAATTTTTTTATTTGATTAGGCTTTTTAAAGTTAAAATTAATATATTCTATATAGGGTCTGTTTATTTGGAAGTTTAAATTTTGAGTAAAATAGTAAAAATTTTGGTAAGGAGTTAAGGTGTCTCATATTCTTTTTCAGAAAAAAAAAATCAAAATATTATTATAGAATATTATCTTTTAAAAAATGAATAGAGACTTGTTTCGTTTGATAAAGTTGGCCTACTTGGATCCCCGACGACATTTAAGAAATATAAATATTCTATTAAAAATAAAATAAAAGTAAAAAGATAGTTTACTATATTTTTAATAATTGATAGTCCCTATTTATTATTTATGTATTGGGCTGGGCTTATTCCAACAGTTTAAGTAGGCCCAAGAGTTAAGCTTTTAACATTTGTTTATTTTTTTGGTTAACAATATTATTGACTTTTAAATTAAGTATTGATTAAGCAAAGTAAATAATTATGTTATGCACACTGAATATATTAAATTGAATCGTTTAAAATGGTGTCAGATGATATATTAATTAATTAACAAAAGAAAAGAAAAAAAACATTATATTATAATTTTTTAATTATTCGTAAAGCCATCCCAATTCTTTTGTATATAATTTAAATTTTGAGAGTACTAAAATTACAAGCATCCATAATAATAATAATAATAATAATAATCAATATTACAAGCACTTGTATTGAATTAAGAATAATGTACAAGTACATTCCAAACAAGACCCATGAAAATTGGGCCACTTATTTCAACTCCATCTCCATGTAATAATTTTTCATACAACACCCAATACATCAAAAATAATACACATAATAATGATCTAACCAAGAATATCTAAAATTATATATAAAAAATATATATATATATATATCTAAAAAATTGAAGATTGGATGGTGTAAAATAAATTTTCCACCACTCAATAATTGAGATCAAGAAAGAAGAAAGAAGGAAGCAATATAGTAACATGTTAATGATCACATCAAATTTTATCGAACGGAAAGCGCTGAATCTCCGCGGATTTCATTTTCCATACCTTTATCGACGCCGTGACCCTCGCGCGGGTCGCGTTATTGAATAGGTAAACGCGCGAGGCGTTCCCTATGGCATTTGTCGGATAGATCCTCGATGTGATCACTCTTCTCCCTCCTTGTGCAAAGCTCTCCACGATCGAGTGATCCACCTGATCGATCAGATGTAATTATATGTCAAATAAAAATTTAAATATTTGATATAATATTTTATAAAAAAAAACTATTTGATGCGATGTACATACCAATAATCTCATGGAAAACTTTTCCCCATCAAGAACCGGTACGTCGCTCCCATATACAATCTTTTGCACCTCCAATGCTTTCGATGATCTAAAAATACGACTCGAGCGAGGAATGGGTTAAAAAATCGAAAGACTAGTTGGCGGCGAAAACCCATCGACCGTTTAAAATAGTTGCGAGAAACTAACCTCAACTCGTCGGCGCAAAAGTGCGCCGTGGTCTTCCCATTAGACCCTTTGGACACGTAGAAATACACCGGCGTAAGCTCCGACAACGCTTTGTCTGCGAGCACTATAATTCCGAATGGCCCAAAAACTCCTCGAGTGGCGGCACCACCGCTCGTGGGGCACGCATAACCGTCGTTGTTTTCAATTGCCGCCTCGATTTCATCATCTTTCTCGATCTCGAAGGTAGCTTCTATGTCGAGCTACAATCGATTCGGATCAATGCAATGTTAATTGTTTGGAAGCTCGAATTGAATTTCAGAATGGACTATACTTACTTGTGACATAGTTTCGATAGTGACCGGAGTGATGGATCCCGGTCCGAGCCTTACATCCTTAAACTCAAAGCTCTCCGATCTCAAGCTCTCGACTTCCTCGACCGGCCATTGAAGGATATTCCTTCCCGTCTTTTGGTCAAACACGACGCTCCTCGGGATACACTGCAAGCACACACGCACGTGAGAATCGCGATCCATGCTCGTCTTGTACTAATTCTATGTGCTTATAATGTAGTGAAACGAATACCTGAACACCCGACCATCCTTTCATTACATCGACAACCTCGGCGTCGGTCTCCCTAATCCAACCCCATAGGATCCTCCTCTTTTTATCTTGGTCGTAAAACGTCTTCGAGGCATAGTACTTACCGTAGTCGTACCTCAGCCCGGTGCCCACGTCGTTTTCCGGGTCGTCGGGCGTCCATACATTCCGGATCGGGTCATACGTCCCGATCGCATAGTAATCATTCTTGTCATCGTCCAAGCTCGTCTTCATAACGTGCTTTATACCCGCCCCGTTTGCGGAGGTATCCAACCCGTTGACCCCGGTCAACGAGACCGGATAAAAGTCGATACACTCCCACATACCCGTACCCGGGACTTGATGCAAGTACCCGTCCAAGAGCTTATACTCAACAAAGTCCCGGGTCTCGTACACTATAGAGACACCCGTTTTGTTGACCTTCGACCCGATTGTTATCCGCCACGCATGCCCGTCGGGGGCGAGCCACGCGGTGGTCGGGTCACGGAAATCGTCGTTCTTGATCCCGGGCGGGGGGAGTAGGACCGGGTTGGCCGGGTCCTTGACCCATTCGAGGAGAAGCGGGTCGGATACATTGGCCGGGTGGGCCAAGCATTGGACCTGAACCAAGTCGGCCGTGTCACCGGTGTAGAGCATAACGATCCGGCCGTCCGGGAGGAGCGTGGCGGAGCCGGTCCAGACGCCGTTGATGTCGTACCATTGGTCCGGGACCATGGCAAATGGGAGGTGCAGCCAGTGGACCAGGTCCCGGGAGACGGCGTGGCCCCACACTATGTTACCCCACACGGCGGATTCGGGATTGTACTGGTAGAAGAGATGATACCACCCCTTGTGAAATAAGGGACCTGATTGAATAATCGGAATACTTTAGGGACTCCTTTGTCAAATTTTGAAGTTATAAGCATAATATAACACCTAAATTGAATATTTAGTTACCCAAATTCAATTCAAAGTTAAACTAGGGTGACAATTTTTGACACGTTACTGAAGTTCAAATTATTAAGATTGGAATAAAATTTGGTTGAAAAAGATAACGCAAATGTAAGCGTAGATCAGTCAATTAAATAAAATGTGCAGTGTGCAAATTATCTATATTTTAGGAAATAAAAAATGCAATAAAATATACAAATTGACAAATAAGAAAAGTGTAGCACGACAAGTAATGAAAGTGGTGGATTAGGCTGGCTTCAAATTAAATTAATAAATAATATTTTTATATCAAAATTTTGTGGTTATTAAAAATAATACATTTAAATATCTATTTCAGTTTAAAAATAATTTCCCATTTTGATTGAAATCATAACATTAAACAATTATATTTTATATTAATTATTATAATAATTATTTATTTTTATTTAAAATGTTGAAACTGGAAAAAAAAAATTATATGCATAGTATAATATTTATTTAATTATGATATTTTCTCAATTTTTGTGGGGTCCAGGGATCCGGCACCAGCCCCACAACATCCATACACGTAGATGTACGTGGATGCTGAGATCCCGGGACTCTCATGTTACATGTGATGATATCCATCCTATCTGATTGGCCTACAACTACAATCAAGAATTATTGCACCAATAATTGCATTAAAAATATTTAATAATAATTCCACATCAGCAATACTCTGAATAAAGCTTTTAATTTGAGCCACACACTGGACTCCCTAACTTACCGAAATCATGAAAAGGCATCAATAAATTATTACTTTTTCTATTAAATATTTTATAAAAAAAATAGAATTTGCCGTGTTATTTTATTAATTAGGTTAATTAAATTACCACAATAATATAAGCAAACACCTTTCACAAAAAAATAATTATTTAATCTAGTTTGGCAATAAAAATATTTAAATATTAAATTAAAATAACCACTTACCGTTTGGATCTGTTGCAGCAGAAGCCCACCAATTGGATCCACAACGAATTAAAAAATACCCCACAAAAAAAAAAAAAACAATAATCAGAACTTTAATTCATTTCAATAAAACAATATTATAAAAATAATTAAGAAAATAAGTAAATAGAGTCAACGTTCAAAAATGTGTACAAAATCGCTTTTTCGTCTCGGGAGCTCCCGGACATCGACCAGGACCAGTACAAATCCACCCGACGGACGGTTAGGATCTATCTGGAGGTCGAAGTCCAAGGACCTCCCAAAAAAAGACGAAATCATTACCGTTCATCCAATTCTTCTCTGGCTGAAAATGGAACGCCGTCCGCTGCCATGTCAGCATAGCATTGGTCCATCTGAAGCTGGAATTGCCGCCGGCGACCGACCGGAAAACCTTCTCCGACACCCCCTGGGCGGGCCCTCTCGACGGCGCCTCCGCTAGCGGCGTCGCCGGAGAGAATGAGGCGGTGCTATTTTTTAGGTTATTAGATCGAGAAGGGTCTTTCGTGATTTTTAAGGTCAAAAGGATTGCGGAAATTGAAAGAAAAAACAGTATCGGAGTGAATCGGAGGAGCTTTCTGGGCTTTGGTTGCTCCGCCTCTGGGCCACCGGGGATTGGGGCGTACCCGGCGGCGCGTTCGAGATCTTGCGGAGGCGCGTGGGAGGGGGCCATTGGTGGTTGGGGGTATTGATAGGAGTTTTAGTACAAGTCTCAAAGCTGTAAATATTTATATACATACATGTGCGAGTATGTATGTGAGGGACAGATGGACAATGAATTTTTAATGACATGTGATCCCATCTAAATTATAATTTCACTAATTAATTAATTGATTATTTTGGATTTTTTTATTCAACAATAATTAGAAGCAATAATATATTTGGGGTTTATTTGTCATATTTTTCGAAGCCAATCTTGGATTATTATGCGTTTATTATATTCTCGAATCAACGGGTCGGTGTTCTTATCCATTGCATTTTATGATTTTACTGTTTCAAATAAAAATAATGTTTTCTATCTTTAAGTTATAGACTTATTCTTTTTACGGAATTGATATAACATTTTTGTATCTAAAAATTATTTTATACACTATCACTAATTAATAAAATGTTACTAACATGTGTCATTATATTTAACATTAAAAATATTATAAGACACTAATAATTTCTTTTTTAATTTGTACTACGTTTTAATATAATAATTAATATTTAAATATTAACGCATAAAAAATAAATAGAGCCCAATAGTCGAATGGAAGTAGTATTATTTATGAATTTACTAAAAAAAAAAAAACACCAAAAGACTACCTTGAATTGAAATAAAGTAGGTGTAATTTTATTAAAAATGATAATATTAAATGGTGTTATTTTTAATTTGCAAACTCTTTTACTATATAACCTTATGTTTTTATTAATTTTTTTTTCTATCTTTTTTAAATATATGATTTTATCTTGTAAAAAAATCACATTTAATTTACTATTTAAATCAAAATTTATTTGCGTTGCATGTTGAAGCTACATATAAATTATTTATGATAATTACATATAAATAATTTTTTATATAAAAATAATTAATGTGCGTTTCATGTTGAAGATACAACCAAATATATATATATATATATTTCCTATCATGTTAGTATAATCTCAACTATTGATTTCGAAGTGATTAAATAAATGGGGTATGATCCAATAATGACATGGAATAAAGTTTTTCTTCTTTTCATTTTAATTATACAATTTTTAATCCGATTTATTGAAATAGTACTCTTTTATATATATATATATATAATAATAAAAAAATTATCAGCTTATCCTATACCTGATTATCTCTTACAGAATGATTTTACTACTGTTATATACTATTAATATATATTAAATTTAAAAGGATTTTTTTAATTTAAAATATTGTATTTTATTAGCCATTTCATTTAAAAATTAGTAATAAACATATAATTAAGTTGTGTTCACATATAATAAAAATATCTAAGTGACAATAAAAGTAAAAATAAAATAAAAATACACACACGCACAAAAATTAAAAATTAAAAATCAACAAAAACACATAAAAATATTATTTTTTTGCAATCTTTTAAGATTTCATATATATACCTCACAATAAAAATATCTAAAATTATAAATACTAAAAAAAAAAAATTAGATGTAGCAGGATTTTTGTTACTTATTTACAAGAAAATTGTAATATTTTGTTTAAAGTGGAATAATGTTAATTATTTTTTAGATATACTTAGTTGTTGCTGAAAAATTCAATGTGCGACCTACAAAGATATTGTTTAAAGAAGAATTGTAAAAATAACATAAATAAAGTATTTGAAATTTTTTTTTTTTTAGAGTGAAATTTCTCTGCCCTTTTCTCAATGAATTATTTATAGTCTAAGTAGTGGTTTGTAACTCTATTCAATAAATACTTTGAAATTCCATTTGGTATTATATGTCATATATTGTTGGATCTACTGTCACTTTATTACCATAAAATTTTCGATATCCCATAATTTTATCTGTTATAACAACTATGTATTTCAACATTACTATAAATTATATCACTGCACAGCTCGATTTCTATTTTCAAATTCAATTCTTGTTTTGAGATATGTTAAATATATATATAATCACGAGTAATTTTTATTTTTATTTTGTTAAAATAAAAGAACAAACCCACGCTCACTCAAAAATAAATAATTCAAACTATTTATTACAAATAGATGATTTTATTCTCTTTAATTTTTTAAAAATATATATACTCCTTGTCTCGAAAAAATGTATTTAATATATTATTTTTTAGTTTATTTCAAAATTTCAAATAACTGTTTCATGAGTGATTAGTACTTCCTCGTCCGTCCACTCAGAAAGTATACACATTTTTATTTTAGGGCGTCCAATTACAAAGTAAATATTTCATTAAATACCTTATTTTTTTTTTCATAAATACGTTTATTTTACATCACATGATTACTTTTATATCAAAAAAATAAGAGTAAAAATGTCATTACACTAGCCAAAAATAAATGTATAGTTTATCCGTGGAATGAGAGAGTTTTTTTTTTTTTTTTTTTTTTTTTTTTTTTTACGACAATGACAGCAATTTAAAACACAAAACTAGAAACAATCTATTTTTAAAATGTGGATAATTTTAGTAGATGATGCGAATCGTTTGGTAGGGAAGGGGACACGTTTCATTCAATGATTGGCCCAACTGGCTCAATTAGTAACATGCAATGAAATGGACAACCTTTTCATGTCTAGACCAATAAATTGTTGTTCAGATTATTTGTTTAGAGTTTGATAACACATTTTAAAATAATATAATTTTTATGATTTTATAAACAATTCAATAATATAACATTTAAGTTATTATTCAAATAGAAATACAACTCCAAAATAAACAAATCATCTGTCGTTTCAAATTGTTTTCCTATACATAATATATATATTTTATCCCTAACTTGTGAAATTTTCAATTTTAAAGATTTGTGTAGTTATCCTCTTACTACTGTTTTTATCCTAACTCACACACTTTGGGAAATAAAGTAAGTTATTTATTCATATATAAATAAATACTACTATATTTTAAAGATATTTTAAATATTAGTTTTTAATATTTAATATAATATTTTAAAATAATTTTTTTCTATTAATAACAAGATATGATATTTAAAAAACATAAAAAAATAGACTTTTAAAATTATTAGAAATAACGTGAAGTTAACCATTGAGAGTCAACTTGAGATTGTATATGCAAAAAATATATTCTTTATATTTTACATGAAAAAAAAAAGAGAAAAATAATTTGGGATTGCATTTTCTACAAGATTCTTGAACTTTGAATATTAAATATATATATATATATATTAATTTTCTTCGTTTTCTAATGTTCTAAGTGATATTTACATGTTTTTTTAGGTAATTAATTTTTTTGTTGTAAATTGACAAAATAACCGTTTATTTTGTGCATAGATATAAAAATGATAAATAAAGAGTAAAAAGGTAAATTTAATGTATAAAAAAATAGAAAGAGGACAATATTTTTGGACGTTCCAAATAAGAAAGTAGGACATTAATTTGTGGATGGAGGGGAGGATATACAATTCCTTCATTAAGGGTTATTCTTTGTGTAATTATATATCCAGTAGTAATAGTTTTAGTAACATACTGAAACAAACAAAACAGGAATTATATGCGTGGAAAGCAAATCTTACTATAGTTGGATTTAAATAAATTAATCTTTAATACGGGCATGTCATAATGATGAATTTTACCATTTCAAATAAGTGTGTTAAGAAACTTCACATAAAAAGTAATCTTCATTTGTAAAAACTAAAATAGTAATTAATTGATTGTCAGTGTATATATATATATATATATACTCCCCCGTCCTAGTGCAAAGTTGTCATTTACTTTTTGAACGTAGATTTTTTAATATTAGTATTATAATGGATTGTAGTAAAAAAGACAAAAATACCCCTATTAGTATTGTGTAATATAAATGTAATAGCATTTAGGTAATATAGTATAAGTTGGAAAGATATTTATTATATTACGTAGGTAGTACAATTACTAAATTAGGAAATAATAACCTTGTTTTGGGACGGACAAGAATGGAAAATGACAATCTTTCAATCGGACAGAGAGAGTATTATTCTTTTCAAAGATTTTGTCAAATTTTTACTATTCACTAAAAAATTTTATTTAAAAAAAAAATCCAATTTAATATTTATATTTTTTCAATTATATTAAAAATTAATATTATATTTAAAATATTATGTTATTACGCTTTAAATTAAAATTCTAAAGAAAAAATAGATATATATATATGTTTTAAAAAAAAAAACGATATAAAGAATGTATATGTTTTTTATTTACATATGCATTTATATTCTCATGAAAAAATAATTGTAAATAAATAAAAATATAAAAGTCAATTAAAGACAAGATGTACAAACATTAATGGAAAACCAAAAACTTGGGAAAGATGTACAGTGATTGATAAATAAACAAAAGGATTATTGTGCTGATTAGGATGTAGTTTTAATTTATTGGATTAGAGATTAATTAATTGTTATTAATCAGAAAAAAAAAATCATTGACAAATTATGACAATGCTTTAGAAAAAGGGACAATGAGAAGATCATAAAAATAAATAATAAATAATTCTGTGGAATTGAAATATATGAAAATTTTACTGCCACTATTTACTAATAGTATAGAATATTGCAAGAAAATAAATTTGTTGCGAAATCCGTTGCAGAACATTGCAAAATGTTGCTAATTGTATCATAAAATCCCGAGTAAAACTACTTCCATGCTTCTAATGTTCTACTCGTTTTTGTCTCTTTTTTAAAAAAAATTCTATAATATATTAAACAAATGATACTAATATTTAAAAAATTAAAAGAATAAAAATAAATGATACTATTTTTATGGGACAAACATAGTATCTAGTATTAGTACCATAATTAACTAAGAGACAAGGGAGGTAGCAAAGGCCATGGTTGATGAAGGTGAAAAGAGAAAATAAGAAAGACGTCCAGAAGAGGAAGATAAACAAACATAGAAAAAAAAAAAAAAAAAAAAAAAGGAAGTGAGAAATCCAAAAAAATGGTGTATTATTATTATTATTATTATTATCCACATCAAACTCTAACGAAATTTCCTTCAACTCAAGCACATACTATAAATAATATCCCTCCAAGAACTATTAATACATTCATTTTACCAAGATTGAGTTATCTATGATCAATGAATCCATTTATTAATTTAATAAAATTGTTTCTCGAATATAATATTTTTTATATTTAAATTAAAATTAAAATTACAATTATATTAGTCTCTATCAATTTTAATTTAAAGATAAGGTAATTGGTACATTCTTACATAATGTCCATAGTCTACATACAACAAATATGTAAATACATAAATAAATAATAAAAGAAAAACATGACTATGCTAGTTTACATTAATAAATAAATAAGAAACACCTAATCCCAACCATACATATTACTAATTTATTTCAGAATTACAACACACGCACACACACACACACATGACCTGCCAGAAAGTTTGCCTACTTTTTGCTACCTTTTTAAGTTTATGGGTAAACGTCTGCATCCATATCACTACTTTTATCATTGGTCACAATATATCAACTTAAACCAACCTATTTAACAAAAAATTTAAAATATAAATCTTGTGTATATATCTTTAGTAATAATTTATCTTTGACCCGTAAAAATTCAAAACGTTTACAAAAATATATTATTGGAAACGTTTCACAATTTTGACCATGTTATTCAAACAAAGGCCAAAACAGCAAACTTTTTTTCAACTTCTACAATTAAAATACAATTTGATATAAATAATACTCCCTGTCCCACATACCATGTTTACGTAATAATTAATTTCACTAATATATTTTTAATTATCACTAATTACACCCTTCTTAAAATAATGTGTATGGGACGAAGGGAGTATAATGTTTTGAATTTTAAATTATATTTTAATATAAAAATAAAAGGTATAAGCATTTAATTTGATATTTTTAGAAAAAAATTTAAAAAAAAAAATAACAAAACCCAAATCAAAACCCCACAAACAAATCCAGCTTAAATGCTTTCTAGCATATTATCTATGTCAATACACATGCCAACTTTTTCAGCAACTGGTAACAAAATATGACACTATTTTTATACACATGATCACATATGAGACTAACAAAACATTTATCCTCCAAGAAAAAGCAATAAAATGAATAAATTGCAATGAATTACAGGGAATATCACATTGATGGATCATAATGGGATGCTACTACAAAATAAATATACAGTACAGTTTAGACAATGTGTACCAAATCGAAGGGGATAACAATAACATAAATGAACAAATGAAACCTCCCTTAGGGAGGCTTACAAATTAATTAATACACATCGAAAAAACACTAATAAGATGGAGGAGGAGAAATTAAGGAATTAACAGCAAGTAGTACTTCTTAGTTCCGAAGCACTGGCCAAGTTAAAAACTCCGGTGACGCCCTCGAGAAGCTGTCATTTGGCACTTTCACTTAAAACCTGCGCCGCACCTATCTTATTACATCGCGAGAAATATATATATATATATGTATACGTAGCCTCCTCTATCATATACTATTGTATATGCATATAATCAAAGTGCAGCATTCCTTTACTCGGTTGCACAAGCATTATAGCGCGCGCTTCTTTTTCCAGGTAACTAAGGTCTTAAGGAACTTCATGACCTGTGCAAATTAACGGGTGTATATTGAGTGAGTTAGGCTCATTGGAATCAACACGAATCATTACAAGACCATAATAGGTCGAAGATAGGAAGTGCAGGGAAATACCTCGGAAGGATCTCTCAGGGAGTAAAAGGCGTTGCTTTCTTTGGGTACAGACGAGACAATGATGCCAAAACCGCGACCGTTATCTCTCAAAACCTGCAGCAATTAGCTTTATTTGAGTTTTCTTCTCATAGTAAATGTCATTGTGTATGTATGTATGTATATATGTTGTGTGCCTTTGAGGCTACCTTGAATGCATCTTCGTCCGTGCGATCATCTCCGACGTAGATGGGAAGAACATCATCACAGTTCATTAAACCTACAATTGTACATGCACAATGTTAGGAGCTAATAAAAGAAAGTCTGAGACGTAAACAAAGTATATCTCACTCACCAAGGGATTCGAGAAGAAATTCGACAGCTTTGCCCTTGTCCCAGTTGAGAACCGGACGGACTTCCAGAACCTAAATTAGATTATCACCACAATCAAGTAACTCGGAATAGAAATTGAAATGGAGTTATGGTACTGAGTAGAATGTGTTGGAATCAGTACCTTCCGACCATGTGTCAAACGTAATCGCGGGTAGTTTTTAAGAATCCCTTCAACAGATTGACCGACTGTAGTCCAACACTGTAAATACATATAGTAAGCCATGGAGGTTGAGGTCGGAATTCTAACGAGGAACTCAAAATTAACGGACTGGAGGCCATACCTGCTCTTCCACATTACGGTAGTGTACAGAGACACAGAACTTGTTGTTCTCAACTTTTGCGCCGGCAATATTTTTTGTAATCTCGACCAGAGATCGATATACCTGGACGGAAGCAAATAGCATACACATTACATGGTGCTGAATGAAAAGAGATGCTGTGTAAGAGTAAATATGCTGTGACTGATATGTACCTCATCGATCATTGGCAAAAATTCACTGGCAGGTTGGAATAGATTAACTTCTTTACCCTATGTAGCACAAGTAACAAGTTAAGAAATGATAGACTACGCAACAGTTGATAACCCTGGAATTAAGAGATACCTGCTTGTCAGTAGTCCTAATGCCATTTTTGTAGTCACTAGAAGAGGCTCGAACTGGACCCATAATGTCCATGCCATGACTTCCAGCATAATAAAGTTCAGTTAGTCCAACAAACTCATATACCTAAAAAGGAAGAAAAGCGTGGAAGGGAATTGAAAGATGATGATCAGATACTCATTCCTTATGAATCAAGAAGATGGCATTAACTTGGTAAAAATAAAACCATTGAATCACCTTGTCGCGACTTCTTCCACTAATTATAGCTGTTGGAAAATGCTTGGCCACATTGCGGACAGCACTACGCATCTGAAAAAATAGTAATCCGACTTCATAAATGACTAAAGGAAAACAAACGAAAGCATAGAGCTATACGATCCATTCTCACCTCATTTGACATGAAGGCATGCTCAGGAACATCCACTATAGGAGATAATGTCCCATCATAATCCAAGAACAAAGCTATTTTCTTTCCTTTTGCATTTTTTTCTATTTGCTCAAAAGATTCAAGTGCAGATGGATACTTGAGCTGCAGATTCAGTCATGCATTACAGCACAGTCTTATTTATACGAAGGATTTTAGTCTAGGAAGAAATTCAAAAGAGAGAGGGACAATACCAGCCAATTACGATAAGCAAGATCACCATCACTTAGTGCTACCCCCGTAGTGGATCCTTTTGTTAGTTTTTCATGTGTCGGGGATGATGATTTCATAGCATCAAACAGGCTGGATCGAACATCTTCGAGTATTCCAGGCCTTCTCCTTGGTATTGTTAAAAGTGTAGGAGAGAAAGAGCCATTGTGCGAGTAAGGCAGCATGCTGGACCGAATGCCTAACCTTGTGTTATTCATGGGAGCAGATTCAGTAAGAATAGGGGATGCATGGTTTGATGTCAGGTCCATTAGATCCAGAATTTTGGGAGGAAATATATCAATTGAAATTTCAGCAGAACAACTCTAGTGCAACCCGCTTTGTCCTAAAGTCTTGCACTCAATTTAACCAACCCCTTTTGTCAATATAAAACCACTTCTTGAGAGTATCTTTATCAGCGTCGCAGGGAAACAAATCCATTAAGCTGAAGACATCTGACAAACAAGAGTCCAAGAAGCTATTGATTAGATGAGAAGCATAGCAAAAAATGAAAATCGTCTTCAAGATTCTGGTCAAATCTTACCGGTGCATCTCTTTTCCCAGAAAGTGGTCACTCAAGGATTGTTATCAGCAACAAAACCAACTGCAGATTTCCAAGAGAGATGCTGTTAATGATGCATTTTTTAAATAAGTCCTTTATGAAGCTACAGGTCAACTTTCCATGTAAAAGGAGCAGAAAGTTGCAACATTTATATTGCATCAGGAAAAGAAAGTGAAAAACAAATAGAAAATCAAGATCTAGTTCAGTTTCTAGAAAGCATCAAAAAGTGCTTAAACAGAAAACACAACAAAAGCATACAAGAAAGTAGAACGTGAATGTTTCCTAGCTGTGAGGATGTCTTTGGTGGATTCCTACGACATGATACCATGGCACACAAGACTCCTTACCAGATTAGTGAAGTTGAGAGAAGAAGATATTGACAAAGAAACAGGCAGAGATCTACAGCCTATTCCTGTTTAATGAAATGAATTCAGAGTAATGGCAATATTGTTATAATAAAACCATTTGATGACACAAAAACAATGAAAAGCACAAATAGAACTTGAAATGCAACACAATCGCCAACATACATCCTTCACGTGGAAAAACTATTAAGGCAAAGCTAGCTTAATGACTGAAAATGAAATTCCCAAAAGTACTAGAACACAACGCAAGCTTCACACTGAAGAGGGAATACTTATATTAAAAGTTTAGCATGAGAAGAGCTATGGATGCGTTATTATATAACCAACATCATACATAAGGTCATATACAACCACATATTATGGTCCTGCAAAGCAGCATGGGTGAGCATTAAACGTATGGCCCCAGATCATTAAAAGTGAGAAATGCAAACAAAAACATGTCATTCATGAAAAGCATTTGAACATTCAGGTGTCCCCATAATTTTGCTGCTAGCAACATAAATGTAAGTGATGACCAGTGTGTTTTCAGGCATTAAGTTCATCGTTTGATCGTCTTCTTGTTATTCTTCTTTACGCTAATAGTATAGTTTTTGTCCAGTGCACTAAATAATGAAAACATATTACATCTCTATAATGAGTGCAAGACCACATATTTAACCTAAGAAAAGAAATAATACTGACAAGATGGATTCAAGCAATCATACAATGAACCAGCCGACAGCTTGAAAAAGACTGAATAAAAAATGGAGGCTAATACTAAAGAAACCTTCACAGCCGACATATCGGAAGCAAGATTCAAATTCTCTCTCTTACCGTTGGCAGAAACAGAAATAACAGAAATTCAACGCCGTTGAACAAAGACCACAAATTTATAATAACAGATTTAAGTGAAACATTAAAATTAAAATGACATATTCGGTTCCTTGGTAAAAGATGAATGTGGTAAAATAACAAACTTGCTGCATTAAAACCATCCATCTCAAGGGTTCGTAAAAGGGGAAAAAAAGCCCAAGAATATACCACATATGCATCATACACACTAGATATGTGCCTTCCGCATAAATGACCAGAAATCGCTATTAACTCTTTGCTAAAGCAAAAAAAGAAAAATAACCAAAGTCCCAAAGCAGGCACATAAACCGGCAAAAAAAAGGAAACAATATACCATAAGTAGACAGCACTTTATGTGGAAAATGAACACAAAAGATACAGCAGTAATCCAACAATTGAAAAGAAGGGAATAAACATATAGGCATTCGAATTTAGTCATGCACGTAAATCAACAAATGCAGCCACATACCTAAAAATTCGTCGAGCACAAGTAGAGAAACGTATCAAACAATTGAACGCTACACAATAGAATATCCACTCAAATGCGAATATGAATCTGTAAAAACAAAAACTTAATTAGCGTCAACGTACAGCAATGAGACAAACGCTTCGTCAACTCCACAAAAACCAAAGCTCGAAAAACCAAAGCCAAGCCTCACCTTTCGCAGCTAAATCAAAGCCAAGCCAACCACAAAACGCGGAAACCGAGAGGAAGATGAAGAACTGTTAATGAATGCACGAGAGAATTCCAGAAGAGGGAAAAAGGAGAAAGAAGGAAGCGTGCAGAACAGAGGTTTATATAGAGGCGCAGAAGACGTGTTGAACAAGGTGGGCACCGGAGAGAACCGCAGGGTTGGAACCGGAGAGAACTTCTCACACCGCACGCGATTTGACCGATCAAAGTAAGTCGACCAATCCTTCCTTCTCAATTTTTACTATTGCATTAGTTAATTCCAAATAGCCATTTGAAAATTAACAAAATAAAATTAAAAAAAATACACATTTATTATTAAATTATTATACTCCCATCAACACGGGCGCATTAACTCAATATTAACTTTAAAAAAAAAAAAAAAAAAACTCAATTTGTATTTTTTATTGTGATAATATATAAATCAAATAAGTGGGGCCCATCGAAGCGATGCCACGTGGAAGCCGCGTATAGACACCTCTGTTCTGTGTCAGGTATGACGTGGCCAGTTGCATCTGTGGGGCCCACGCCGGTGTTCTATTTTTCTACGACGTCGTTTTCTGTTGCCAGCTGGATTTACGCCTTTAGTTGGAGAGTAGCTGCAACTAACTATAGTAGCAGAATATTTATTTACTATACTTAGCAATAATTTAGAATTTAGGCTAAATTGTTAAAATTGATAAATATTTATATTTAATGTCACGTTCTTTGTAAAAGTACTTTATTTATTCTTTTATCCCTGGCCAATGTATCTATGTGTGCAATTTTTATTTAATTGGAGACAAAACTATGTAAAAATAAATAAGCGATCTTTGGATAGTTGAAAAGTCAGATAAAAATTGAAATAAAATTTTGGAAAAAAATAAAAATAAAAATGATAGCAACATGTCAATTGTAAAGGTTTATTAAATTTTGTCACATAGTGGGACACAACTCAACATGTATGCATGTCCTATACTCCTACTGAATAGTTATATTTGATTTTCGATTTCAATTAAATAATTAATTGACAAATGACCAACCTAGTGGGCCCAGTCTTAGATCCTCGAAGCTCGTGTGGGCTGGGCCTACTCCAGCCTGGCATGGGGCCCACTGGGCCAATTAGGTCAATGGTCTTTCACAGACTGACACACCCACAACTGAGATTCGTGTCACACACAGTAACTTACACCTAACCTTCTTACTTTTATTTTATTTTTTTTTTATCTGGGTTAAGATTATTTTTATAGTGTCAATTATCAATGTTATTGGTATTTTTTATTTTTCGTTTTTAATATATTCATCGACTACAAATTTTAATATATTTATTTATTAATATTATTAAGGAAGGACAATATATATAATATGATAATAGTGTGGGTATTGAATGATGGAAACAGAATATAAAAAATAAATAAATAAGCTAAAATAACATTAGGGTTTTGTTGATTTTTTTATATATTATTAACATATATTTTTATATTTTATATTTAAAAATTTTTAAATTAAAGTATTAAACAATATATATATATATAAATACCATATTTTTTTATATATCTTATGAACAATGGACGGTACTTTCAATAATTTTTCAGTCCTTTTAATTATTACTTCCTCCGTCCATTAAAATTAGTTCATTTGGATTCGGCACAAAAATTAAAAAAATAAATATTTTATTAAAAAAGTGATAGGTAATTTGGAGTATTTTTGGAAATTTAGTTAAAAAGTAAAGTAAACGAAGAGAAATAATGTAATAAAAGTTAGTGATATATTTATTGTAAATAAATGTTGAATGGATAGTAATAATTAAATGTTGATTTGTTGACTTTGCCAAAATTAGTAATGATATAAATTTAATGAACGGATTAAAAAGAAAAGTGAATAACTTTGACTGACGGAGGAGTAGTAGAAATTAGTTTTATTAAAAAATTAATTTGATATTTACCTATACACGTAGACATGTTTATTTATCTCTGAAATAAATAAAATTAGATAATTAATTATAAATAGGTGATATCTAATTCTTTTTGTTTTATTAATAGTAACAATAATAATATGTGGAAAGCTCTTAATAATTTTGTAAGGCATGTGAGCGTAATTAAAGGGACACTTTATAGCTATTATTATACGTGTGTTGTATGAAATTTATGTGCAATTTAATTATATAAACACACCTTTTCCACCGAAAGAATGATAACAAAATTGTCTGAGGGTTTATAATAATATTATGATATTTTTGTCATTTTTATTTATTCATATATTAATTGTATTAATAATAGTATATTTATAATTAATATAAAATTTATACTCCTACGTCCCATTCCAAAATGGTTATTTTGAGTTATAAAAAGATATTAAAAAATAATAATATTTTATTAATTAGTAGAAGTGAATAAATTTTTTTTGATATTTTATTTTTATATATTATTTATAAATTATTGTATTTTTATTATAATAAAAAATAAATAGCATCTTTTTAGTATGGCGATGAAAATAATAAAATAAATACTTTCGACTAGAATGAAATGAATAATTATTTTAATATTAATACATGATTATTTTTATTATAATAAAAATAAACATTTTTAATGGGACAAACGAAAAATATATATAGATATTTTAAATATGAAGAAAGAGAATATATAAACTTATGTTTATAATAAATACAAAAAACTTAGAGAAAATAAATAAATAAGTGGGGTTTTACAGATAATTCGTCTAACTTGTATTATTATTTTTTAAAACTTATATCATACCAAAATAATTTACATTGAGTCGCCAAAAATCCACTAATGCTCCTGCTGAGAAGTTTTTAGCCCGAAAATCAATTCTTTAAGCTAACAAAATCACTCCATGTTTGATTGTTAATTGATTATGGATACTTATATATTTTCAATTTTAATTATACAATATATAATATTAAAAACATTACATAAAATATTTATTTATTTGAAATTATATTAAAATAAATTGGGCCCAAAAAAAATTGAGAAGACTGGCTTTGTAGACAACATATGCAGTCCATAACAATGCCCTATTTATTGGATACCCAACATTGAAAATTATACTGGGCTTCTACAATTTCTGTAATAAATAAGGTTAAAATTAGTTTGGTCCAATTATGTGTGTGTTTCTTTGTGTTTGATTTTAAAAAATAATAATAATTTAAATTTTGTTTTAATTTTTTTTAAAAAAAATTTAGATAAAAAAATAATATACTTATATTGTAGATTATCTGTCTCCGATGCTCTGAATTTAAAATTATTATAACAATAACCGCGGCCAAACATGCCGTGATAGATTCCATAGAGAAGACAATACAAGAACAGGCGTACCCATACGCAAACCTCCCAGACCCGACCCGACCCAGATTGTCTCATGGTTCGTACCCAACTCAACACAAATGTCACATTAGAAATTGAAACGAAAAATGAACAAAACCAAAGACATAAACGAGGATCTAATAAGACTTAAAGACAGGCAGGCCTCCAGCTACTCTCTAGTCTGTCTCTCTATAATTCTACAACACAACACAACACAACCATCAAGAAGAAGAAGAAAACTGTGTCTTCTTCTAGAACCTTCAAGAAGTTTCCGAGCCATTAGCGTCCTCGTCGAGCATCCGCACGACCTGAGCCACCCCGGCCGCGAGCTCCTTGTTGATCACACCATCCGGCATGTCGAACGTCCTCCTCTTCATCTTCATCGAACCCGGCGGCTGAGGGTCCACCACGTCCAGCATCGCTTCCAGCTCGTCCACCATTGACTTCTTCGCCGCCCTAACCATAATATCCGCCCCCTGATCATCATCCAAACAACTCATCATCGTACATTTTCACCCAATCCAAAACACAAATTAATCAAATTCAAGACAACATCGATCTTCCCCCAGCTACCTCGACAGCATCCACTGTGAGAATCAAGACTATGATCCTCTCCGAGAATTTCTGCCGCTCCTCGGCGTCGCGGACCAGTCGGCGACGGTAAGTGAAGTTGTTGAAGAGGGCCCTGATCTCCTTCAGCTTCCCCTTCACAATGGCGAGCTCACGAAGGGCCCGGAGCGCCTGCGACCGCCGGGTGAGATACGCCCGGAAACTCCTCTGGATTAAGACAGCAGCCTCCGATGGAGACAGCTCTTTTCGCTTGCCGCGTCTCCTGTCGGCCCTCTTCGCGAATACCTGTCCCAAGATCATACAATTGACATAACAAATACAATCGTTTTGTCTCGACGCATTTGAAACTTTTATTGAAATGGAGCCCGAGTTCATGCAAATAATTTGGGGATTCTATATAGACCAACATATTCGATGGATCAAGAAGTATCTTATCTATGATTTAGTCGACTAATTCAAGTTGGATTTCTAAGACTCAAATAGCAATCACAAGATCTTGCAGTTCATTAAACGATGATTGAGTGATGCGATCGAGGAAATCCAAACCTGTCTGAGAACAATGCCGCCATTTTCGGAGGGTTCGTCGATCTCGACGATGCGAGGAGCGTTCTTCTTGTCCTTATTCTTATTCTTCTTCTTCTTATCGTCTTTGTCTTTGTCTTTCTCCTCGGATTTGTCGCCGCCGGTGGTTACCTTAAAGGTGTAGGTCTGCTCGACGGGGGAGTGATCGTAGCCGTTGGTTTTGCGCTTAATCTCGGCCGTCCATTTGTAACTCTTCTCCAACCCTGATTTCTTCTCGTTTTTTATCTCCGTTTCCCATTTGTACTTCCGATCCTTCTCCGGGCTCTTAATCTCCGCCGTCCACGTGTACTTCCGATCCCCAATCTTCTTCGTCCGCTCCTCTCTCAGCAGGCGCTCGAAACCAGACTCGAGAGCCGAAACTCGGTCACTCAGTGCTTCCAAGTAGAGCTCACCGAGTCCGACTCGGCGAGTCGAGAAAGTGCGGAATGGGAACTCGTCGATCTGGATCAGATCCGCGACGGCGTTGAACTCGTCGGAGAAAACAGACAGCGGCGTCGGGGCGGAGGTTAGAAGTTCCAGGGCGTCTTCGACAATGGAGAAACTAGGGTTTAGCAGAAGGCTGGACCTTCGAGGGGCGAAAATGGAGGTCTCTTTGAGGAGGAAGGAAGGGGGTTGCTCGATGATCTCGTACCTCCTGAATCGAGCCATTTTTTTGCAGATTCAACTCGCAGAAAAGCGAAAGTTATTCCTGCAGATTTCGAGATGGTGAGAGTGAGGACTCCAGAAAGGAAAGTCTAAAAAGGGGTGGAGATGAGGGGTCGTTTGGGGATTTCACTTGTCGCGGGTGGAGAATGAGGATGACAACGATGGGTGGGGATTTGGATTTTGGCACGTGGGGATTTTTGATTTGGTTCTCGACTCCTGCATGAATCTGCACCGTTCATTTATATTGGAGGGCTCAATTAATGGTGTGGATTTGTTTTGGAGTTGAGGTCCTGGGAGGTGTTAATGGAAAGTGTTGTGGGGGTAATTGTGTATGGACAAGATTTGGTAGGGGTAAATTAGGAATTTGGTTCGTAATAGTCGTGAAAGCAGCTGGCAATTGGATAAGATGGGAAATAAAATAAAGTAAATAGTTACTCTTGGTAAAAATGACTATGAAAACTAATACTAGCTGTTTATTTCTATTCTGGATTATTTTTACCATTGTTAAATATTGAAGAAAATAAATATTCGTTTTCTCCAAATAATTGAAACCTTTTGTATTTAAAATTACAATATTTAATTATTTAATAATAATTAATTATATTAATAATTTTAAAATAAATTTTATATGTAATTTTCAAAAGAATAGCAAATGTAAATTTTCATATAATAATAAAAAAAAAAAGTTGTGTAATGATTTTCTCGGTCACATTGTTAGCATATTATTGCAGTCTCGGAAGATACATTCGAAAAACAATAACTATAAATTTAAATATCATAAAGAAAAGATTCTGAGTATTTTTAATTCGTATAGAAATTTATTTTGATTTTAATTTTTTATTTGAATAATTACTTGGACGTAATATTTTGTTATAATTCCATATATTTTTGTAATTAAAAAAAATAAAAGTACAAAAAAATAAAATTATGATAGACGAAGAGCATCATTGATTAGTAGCTATTGAACTGTAGCTCCGGTATGACATAATTTGTCCAAATTCCCACTCAAATGCTACTACCCATGGCAAATTTGAAAGACATTTTTGGGCCTAACCAATAAGCAATTAGCCAATAAAGTGGGCCGATAAGCCCAATGGAGACACATATAAATAGATAGATATATAAAATAAACCCAAAATTTAAAGTAAATATAATATTTATTATTGATTCAATAGTGTAATATAGATATAAGTACTCCTCTAGTATCTGGATGTGGATGTGGTTTCTTATCCACCAATAATCTTCTTCTTCCTCCAATTTTCTTCTTTGCAGAGAGACTCCTCCATAACCATAACTGCTCCCCAATGAGCATCCTTCCCTGCCTGTCTCGTCTCAAGCTCTCTATCCCCAATCCTAACCCTAACCCTAAATTCCCATTCCTCTCCCATCCCCATCCCCACTTCCCCCTCCCCCCCAAACCCCTCAATTATCCCCTCCCCTGCGCCACCATCGACAGCCGCCCCTCCGAATTATCACCTCCGCCGGAGTACAGCGATTTCGACCAGGAAGAGACCTACGGCGAAGTCAGTCGGATAATCGGCAGCCGCGCCGTCGACAATGGCAGCGCCGGATACACAATGGAGTACCTGATCGAGTGGAAAGACGATCACTCCCCGACGTGGGTCCCCGCCGACTATGTCGCCAAAGACGTCGTCGCCGAGTACGAGACCCCCTGGTGGACCGCCGTCAAGAAGGCTGACGCTGCCGCACTCAGCCGGATCATCCAATCCGACGACGGCAGAGACGTCGACGCCGTCGACCAGGACAGCCGCACTGCCCTCCTATTCGTCTCCGGCCTCGGCTCCGAGCCCTGCATCAAGCTCCTAGCCGACGCCGGCGCCGACCTTGATCACAGGGACCGCGCCGGCCTGGCAGCCCTCCACATGGCCGCCGGCTACGTCCACCCCGGCGCAGCAAAGCTGCTGCTGGAGCTGGGGGCCGATCCGGAGGTCGGCGACGATCGGGGGAGGACGCCGATGCAGTTGGCGACCGAGATTTTAAATGCGACACCGCAGCTGCAATTCGCGAGGCGGCTGGCGCTGGAGAGCGTAGTGAGGGTGCTGGAAGGGGCGGTGTACGAATTCGCGGAGGTGGAGGCGCTGTTGGAGCGGCGGGGGAAGGGGAAGAATGTCGAGTATCTCGTGAGGTGGAAGGATGGCGACGACAACGAGTGGGTGAAGGCGGAGATGGTGGCGGAGGACCTCGTGAAGGATTTTGAGGCGGGGCTTGAGTATGCGGTGGCGGAGAGGGTGGTGGACAGCCGGAGGGGCGACGAGGGGAAGGAGTATCTGGTGAAGTGGGAGGACATACCGGAGATGACGTGGGAGCCGGAGGAGAACGTCGACCCGGAGCTGATCCGGGTTTTCGAGGAGGGGAAGGAAGAAGGATCACATAATAGGACCAAAACAAGCAATCAAGAAGTAAAAGAAGCGTAGTAACACATAATCAAAGACATGTTTTTTGCAACTGTTCTTTAGAGACCATGAAATGAGTCTATAGATCGATCCTATTCTTAAGACCTATGTTCTTGTTCCGGGGAGCATCGAGAGATATGTATCGACATTATCTGTATCTATAAGGTGGTTCACACTTCGTCTAGGCAACTTGTTGACACAACTTCTAGGGTGTAAACCTTGTAGATGTATGTATCTAAAGATCGAGAGAGTCCTATGAAAGAACAAAGTTCGATTTCTAATCCTACCTTTAAGCACATATTCTAGTTACATCTAATTGCATCCCCAACCTACCTGTAGTTTCCCTCTGAATCTTCGAGTATTCGTAAACAACATTGCAGCCAACTAATATTCAACATTATGTTACAAATAAGAAGCTTAACGTATCAAATGATTTATAATACCACTCGGTGGCTTTCAAGCCGACAGCATGAAGCTTCCTAACATATTTATGTCGACAACAAATTATTCTTATTACATCAGGGAGATGCTGTAGCCAAAATGTTCCTAAGAAACCACACATAATTGAGAACACATATGACAACCCGTCTAAAATCGCGAATAATTAATTACCCGTCATCTCCTTCAGCAAATGACAAAGTTTAGAAGAGAATTACTAGAGCAAGAGAAAGAAGGCTTCAAGTAAACTCTGAATCATGCCTTACTGTGTCGAATTCTGTTTTTCTGCAATATCTTTCAGTTTTTCCTTCAATTCACCCATCTGCAAGGAAAACAAGAATCTTAGACCCCTCTACATCGACAAAAATAGAGCCGCTATAAACAATTAGTTCACCTGATGCATGTTAAGAATGATATCAGATCCTCCAATAAATTCCCCTTTGATGAATATTTGAGGGAAAGTTGGCCAGTAGCTGCAATAAGAAGACTCCTCAAGTCAGCTTATCTAGCATAGGATTTTAATTATTATCTAGAGTAGTTTTTTAATCACATCTCATATAAAATAATTATATCTTTGGCAAATATGGTAATCATATTATCCTCAAAAGAAATTCAACACCGATCATCTTTGCATCTATTAAGATGCAATGAAAAGAATAAGTAACCTGAAAGCTGTTACCGCCTTCTTCAGCTCAACATCTTCTAATATATTTCTGGCACTTATAGGAACATCTGTAAAACACATACAATCAAAATCAAAATGTATTTAAAGTGGTTATTCATAGTTGAAAACAGAATACTTATTGAGCATTATCCATAATCTTTATTCAGACATAATAGTTCGTGTCATATAAATAAACCACCAATACATCACACTTCATCGACAGAGCAAAAGATAATGCAAAACAAACCATAATCAGATTCAACTCATCACTGAATTGGAATCTTAGACCCCAAGTTTTCCTAGCTATATCAATTTCGTTATGTAATACTTACTATATTCTTTCAAGACCCTCACAGCTAGTGCACTGAAGCCACATCGTGGCTGATCCGGCACCCCTTTCATGTATATCATCACAGGGTTTTCTTTAACATCCTGTAAAAGTGGAATAAGCCAACTGTTGTGAAGCCCGTTTGTCTACTAAACAATAGTTATTTAGTTTTTTGGTATCCCGGAATTAGACATCTAATAAGACAACCCATTTCAACAATACCAGACTTCACCTGCTCAACAACATCTTTCAAGGAGATGCCAGAGTTCTCAACTTTACTAGTTGGTCTGAAATCTTCATGCGTATCAGGATCATTAGGCACATTAGTGGATAAACGAAGTATGGCCTGGCTGAAGGATCCAGAAGCCTAGCAAAAACATGGCACCATATTAATTGGAAGTTGCAGGCAAAACTTTTATAGCATTACATAAGAAACCCATGCTTGATTTTGGAAATACAATCGACTGGAAAAGCAAGGATCAGACAGCACAACACCAACTCTCAGTAGATGTTTAAGCGTCAATGATATGAAATGCAAAACAGCTTTCCATGAACTACAGAAATATGCTTAGAAGATCCACTGTAGATACCTTTAGAAGTCAAAATTTAAACCACTCTACGTGCTTTTTCTTCATGTACAGAAGTCCATTTTGACACACCTTTGATTGTCATACCATTTTACAGTTCATAATGTCACGGTTTCTTTGACTCAAAATTCATACAATATTGCCATGACTATTCATACTTCAACACTATTAAGATAATATGTAATAATTAGCATAGGATTGTATGTAAGCGCATAAATCCTTCAAAAATATGAAAAGAAATATATCTCTCAGCAGCAGCCACATATGAACTTACAGTTGAGACAGTAGGGCGTGCCAAAACGCCTCTATGAATTAAATTGGCCAATGATCTCGCCATCATTTTTGCAATTAGCTGCATGCAAAATTTTAAAATAAATAAAATTAAAAATAACATGTCTTCAAACTAGCAACATTGCATAGAGAAAGTAGATAATCATTCAAGATAGCGATTGTAAAGACAACAGGCAACATTCAACAAAATCCAAACATTCACTATTAAATATGAACAAACCATGAGGTAACAGTAATAGCCGAGACTAGGTTCTTGAAACTTGGTTAGAAGGTAAAATTTTCAAGAGCAGTTGCATTAACAAAGCCCCTTGAGATGCATAGAGATCAAATTTCTGAGAGCTTTCAGTATACCAAACATGCAAGTGAAGCTCATAACATCGCATTATACACTGCCTAGTATGCAAACAAATCCAGCAGACAAATCTAAAAAGTGCAGGCAATAGGGGAATAATACTCAAATTCAACAATGAAAATCACAAAGAATCACAACAAAACTATTACTTTCAAAATTAATCCTATAAACCATTGACAGTAAAACGAAAAAAGGAACTAAAATAAATATTGGAAAAAAAAATTACAATTTAGCGACACAACTCGAAACCTAATTTCCGGCAAGGAATTCACAGAATACGGCTTCGTGGATTTCCAAATTGCGTAATCAGCGATTGAAACTCACAGTAATCCGATTGTTAGGGCAAGTCGGAGGGCGTGGAGGACATGAATGGAATGGAATGGAATGGAGAGTATAGGGTTTTTTCGTCTTTGAGCAATTCAGAGAGTGTGGTCGGTCAGACGGTCACGCACGTTGGTTACATCGACATCCTCAACCGATTTTGAACCGGTTCAAACCGGACAGTTCACGATTCAAACCAGAACTAGTCCTCACCTAAAGAATGTCTCACCGATGTACAAAAAATTTGACTTGTGAGTTGATAGTTAAGGCAATAAAATTTAATAACTACTTAGTAACTTTAATAATAAATTAACATATATATAATTAAAATCTTTACAAAAATATATTTATTGTTTATAATATTGTGTAGAAAATAAAATTTTATATACTAAAATAAATAAAGAATATCTATTTATTTTTTATGTTAATATAAATTAATTTTATGAACAAAATAGAGAATTTTAAAATTATTTATTTGTTGAAGAGAAATTTAAGTGTAAAAATTTTGAGTGGATACACTTATGAATTTAATTTAACTAATTTATATTTATTAAATATATTTTATATGAATATATTTTACTAAAAATAAAATATAAATTGTTATAAGATGAATAAAATATTTTTTTATTAATATATTTATAATTAAAAATTAGATATCATTATAATTATATTTTCTTAAAAAAAAAAAGAAAAATAACAATAAGATTATTGATTAAATAAATAACTATTAGTAAAATAGAAAGAGAAACTTGCTATAGTAATTATATATATTTATATTTTATAATTTTTTCATTATACAATATTTTTTATATAATTCTAAGATATCAATATTTTTATAAATTGTTTATTTGTTTGAAATAATTAATTTAATCTAACTATTTCATTTGTCAATTTATTTCATCATATCACAAGCTAATAAAATCTTATTACTATAATTACTAAAAAAAGACAATTCTCGTCCAAGTAAATTTAACAAAATAAGAACTTCTTTGAACTTAAAACTCAATTCTATATTTGAATTATTATATATATATATATATATATATATAAAAACAAAAAATAATTGAACAAAGTAAAGCATTGTTAGAATAATACTTTCAATTTATAATTTCATAAAACAATCAAATATGGTTTATAATAATTTGATACATTCTTGAAATTTATAATAGTAATACTTATTTTGTTATAAGTATTTATCTTATATTCTTGAATTATACGTAAGTGATATACTTATATCATAATTCAATAAAATAATTTGATGTAAAACATAGAAAATTGTATAAATTATATATATATATATATATATAAATATAACCAGCCTGTAGCTCCAGCCTCGATGAGAATTTCACGCCCACTTTTAACAGTATTTATGTGCAGTACTGTCATAATAATAATAATAATAATACCATTTATTATTAATAATATGTGTTAGAAATAGGGCTTTACACGGGGAGGATGATAAATAGTAAATACGAATCATGTAATGTAGAAGTTGCAATTAAGCAGGAAAGATAAGAGAGGCATCATCAAAGACACTACATGTACAACTACTACTACTACGATAAGGCTAAATACAACAACATGCACAACACCTTAGATTAGGACCTTCTTAATTAACAACAATAATACACACACCAATTTTCGGGATCTAACCTATACCAAATGGAGTGTCTCTTTATTAATTATCACCATTATTATCATTATTATTAGTAATTATGCTGCATGTATATACATACATATACACAATATATATATATATATATAGTAAAGCTTGCGAGAATTGGGAACAAAATTGCTCCCGATACCTGTTCCTGTTCGCATTTCGAACCCTCTGACATGCCTTTGGCCATCAAATGAGAAAGGTCTTTAACACCGGAACCGTCACATTTGCAGAAGATTATTAACAGTGACCATCACAGAATTTGTCCGCTGCAAATCCTGCATATTCGCCGAAAAGGAAATTTACGAAGAACAAGAGAATGCATAATAATGTTTTAATCACTATTTGAGCTATAATCATATATCAGAAAAGTTTATCGTGAATATCAGAAACAACCGAAGATGTACAGTACCTGGAAGATTATGTCATCAGGGATGTGGGGAAGAACTTCCCGAACTGTTTCAGCCATGGCGATTATATTTGCTATGTTGTCATTTCCAGAATGTGATGTTGACCTGACATGCAGACCCCCAGTGTCTCGAGCTTGCCTCATTGAACCGTGCGGGGGCATGGCTGCCCTGGATGTCCCAGCTTGAGAGGGGTTAGGAGGGAATAGACCCCACGCTGCATCTTCGAGAGCAGTCTGAGCATAAGTTTCTCCTACAGCTGCGAGTTGTCTCATTACCATCTGAACTCGACCAAATCCGGAAGGTCCAGCTCCATCCAAGCCCAGCCAACTTGGATCAAGTCCAGTTCTATGAGGAAGACAAAAGGAAAATCCAGTTGGATTACAAATTTTGAATGCAAAGGTACTTAGCATACAGTTTAAATCGAACACCATAAATTATCAGAACAATAAACAAGGAAAAAACAAGATAAACATGTCACAGCATCCATATCCACAACTCAAACAGGGAGATTCGAGCAACAGAATCCCAAAAAAGCATGATTTGAAGTCATATTACGTGATTGGTAGCCGGGGTGCTCAATGAAAGACTAACCTAGCATAAACAAGCTTCCTCATACAATGAATATTATAATCTTGAGAACTAGATGCATCCAATGTGGAATGTGAAGTATTCAAATTTCAATAAAATACCATACCTCCAATCGCCAGTTTCCGCATTCTGTGACTGGTTTGAAAATTCTCCAGGGTGTGGATTGTGGCCAGGAATATTTGGCCTATCAAGTCCAGTACTCATCTGACGAGCAAGCTGCTCATCTCTTGAAATTTCTGCAGCTCTGGCATTCCCTACATTCTCAGGTCTGCCAGAAAAAAGTGGCTTCCGGCAAGTTGGGCACGAGTAACTCTCACTTAAGCCTTGGTCCAACCTGTGATCAAATCAATCCAAATATCACACTTACAATTAACAAGTGACAAAGGAATAGAATTTTGCAAAACTTTAATCTCAAGCTTACCAAGATCTCAAGCATGCCAGATGGAAGAGGTGTTTACAAGATAGCTTCTTAGCTTTTGCCATTGGTTCCTGCCAATTTGTAGTGTATCATGTATATGCAGACATTGAATGAATCATGTGAGATTCAAAACACTAGCTAAAATTACCCTACAAATTGCACACTCATCATCGTATGCTCGGAGCTCTTCAGATGTAGCATTAGGAAGGGCTCCATGAAGAGTTCCTAAAGCTATTCGCAGTTTGATGAAACCTTTAGCACGCTTCACAATTGCACTTAAAAGGGCCTAAAGGGGAAAAGCATGTTTGCCAAATGAGGACATTGTATAAATTATAACAGCATATTGAAGGAGTGCATGGTAAATGTGCCAGCCAAAAATCAAAACATTTACACGGATGTTCAAGAAAAGGACGGCATCTACAAGATGAAATGCCATGCCATGAAGCCACCAAATATGCAAATAATGAGCTAGAGCCATTAGCATTGTCATCATGTCAAGGAAAAAACCCATATTCCGGATGAGGATGCCTTTCCACTCTCCTAAAGAACCTAAGATACCAAAATCACAGATTATTAGTATATACATGACAAAAGATTTGTATCAAAACATTCACTAAAGATCAACAATTATTCACACACATATATATAGTGGGAGAGAGAAAGAGAATATCCTAAGCATAAAAGTATACTAAGGCGAATACATAAAAGGAAAGGCAAAAATACCTACACTAAAATGTTGAAGAATATAAGTTTGCAACTCACCTGCAGGGGATAAATCAAAGATTTTAGACAATCGACAATTTTTAGCGTCACCAGCAGAGTGATGCAACCAAATTTCAAGCAACTGAAACCCATGGACTACAATAGCCTGCGGATTAGATTTAGTAAACTGTCAGCCAAAATTTGGAGGTCCATACAATAGCAATTGTAGTTGTGAAAGCATGAGATTACCTGCAATGTCTCAAAAGCAATGCTTAAAGGCTCAAAAAATAACAACAAAAGCATTGATGACCTAGCTGTATTGTATACTGTCAGACACAGCAATATCCTACAATAAAAGACCAATAATTATTAATCGCAAACTTGGGGTGAGATCAGAAAAATCAAGAAGATCCTAGATGATTAATTCAAAAAGTCCAATTAATAAATAGATACATACCCTATGCCAAACATAAATTCTAGTGATTATTGACTGACAATGCACAGTTTCCATCGACATTCACTTCACTTACTTAAGCTTTAAGATTATCTTGCCGGTAAGGTTCGAATTAATAGTACTCTATTACATTCAGACTGAAAAAAAGCTCAACACTTACTAAACTTTCAAATTCAATAATGTGGAACAGATGCATGCAATGCAGATTAAATTATCTCACTGGACCACAGGGCATGTCAGTGCAAGTAACCTAGCAATAAAAGGAAATTTTAGCGGTGGGAAACAGAAGATTGGCCAAACAAAAATAAAATCGGTCTGCCCCAAAGAAGACCACATCTTCAAGGAAAGTAATGCACTAATGCAAACAGGTGTGTCTTGAAGAAGAAAATTAGGGAAGAGTGAGAAAAGAAAACAACAATTTTCCAACTTTGTAGATCACACTGACTTCAAATTCAAAGCCCTATATGTTGAAAACTAAGAGAAATATATGCAACAAGATATTTGTGGAGAAGTCCTCTAAAAAATTCCACAGTGGCTCGAACTTGTGTTTTTTCCGTACTTTACAGGGGAAGGAAGGACTAGCACATCTAGTAGATGAAGCTGCTTAAAAAGACCAAACCAAATTGCAGTCTCCAAGCAAGAGTTGACACAGAATATGGTAATGTTTTAGAAATTATATTAGCTCAAAACTATAGAATGAACAGCCATTAAATGTATTTTGACTCAAGATTGACTCTTACAAAAAAAATTATCCTATTTCTAGTAGTGACGGAAAGAAAATGAAACATAAATAATTGTAGAAAATACCAGAGGACATCAACGGAGAAAACAAGCAACAATGCAGAATATACACGGAAGTATGTCCATGGAGTAGCAGAGGGAGAAGCATTCAATCGCTCTAGCCGTTCTCTAGCCAATGCTTGAAACATCTGCTCAACATAGTTTTATTAATTCCACCAAATATATGAAACATGTGAACACACAACAATATCGAGTACATCATATAATTTAAGTGAATACCTTCAAGAAACAAAGCACACCGAGCCAAAGAGACCACAGGCCCATTTGAAATGCTGTTGGTGGGACTACTAATGGAAGAAAAGTTCCCTGTCAAAGGTATGTTAGTCACCAAACCCACAGCACAGAGAGAAAAAGAGACCAAAAAAATCTACATTTGCAAATCATCCAGAGGCCAACAACATACAAATATATCCTTATCTAGGTCAAATGGCCTTTTATCATACAACCACACTAAAAAAAATCATTGTAAAAAAATGAGCTTAAGAATTGAACATAAGACACCAGTCGACTATTAAGTATTAAGATCTGGGTAACAAGCACATGTATAAGAAAGATTGGAGGCAAATTATTTTCTAAATCAACAGATCAATCAAAATAAAAGACAGTATGAAAGAAAGGGAAAAAGGGAAAGACAAGGAATTTATTAACATATAAATGTGAGATGAAGAATGAAAGAAATGAGAGACAGCAAATCTTTCGTGCCACTCAAAATGGATTACAGTTTGCTTGAAATGCAGTTAGCAAATTGGCCTGGTTTAATAAATCTAATCTGAGTCAAAATATAAGCAATCAATGATAGTATCACCGGTTCCATTTGTTCAAAAAGTGTCCATGCCAAGTTAGGTATCAGCAGCAGCAGAAGAAAACGTCGTAAAGTTCAAATATAATGTGACAGATGGCTAATTTTACCTTGTAGATAATATAATTAATGAGCCGCTCAAGCATTTTTCGAATCTCAGGTGAATGTAACTCTGAAAAGAATATCGTCTGCAATTAAGCAATAACACAACATGATCAACCCATTAAAAATTATCATTGTTTGATAATGATATTATTATTTTAATCCAATTTGGAACAACAGAATAATATTTTGAACACATTCCTGAGCAACTGAGGCAATTCCATAGCCCCTACAACAAAATTGGCTTTACAGCAGAAAATGCTGTAACTTGCATCTCTTGAGAGAGGAAAATATTGAAAATAGAGTCATCCAGTAGACGGGAGAAGTTTACCTTCAGGCCTAAAATTATCATGACAACTACATTAAGGGCAAAACTGGCCACCAATACAAAAGTGGTGTATGAACCCAAAAGCAGCTCCAAGACACGGCTTGCATCTTCCAAGTTAATAAAATCATCAACAATCAGGCCATCTGATTTATATCTTTCAAGGGACAATTCTGTCCAATACAGGAGGCCAGCAAGACTGAGAGTGGTACAAACCACAGAAACAGACAAGAGGTTCACACCCATGGAAAATAAATGGAACCGTTCCACCAAAACCAAAGCCCAAAGTTTTCATGAGAACAAACTCGGCATTATCATTTCCCCAAAGGACAACCCATCATCACACATAGCTCAGTACTACCAAGCCTATATTGGTTTTCAAAGTTTAACAAAATCCTTCAAACAATCAGGATATATCTTGTAAGCTTCAAGAGATCCTACAAAATCAACAATATATAGCAAGATCAGGTACAGAACAAAAACTTAACCATGAATCATTAAACACTCCATAAACAACATGTCACCTTTATAACTCCATCAATCCTAACATATCATAAGTAGATGTAAGCCCCAACGATCCACTTCAACTCTGCACCAATACACAGACACACACTTGGTCTAAGAGAACCACACTGATCAACCTCCATCTCTAACGTTGTAAACAATTTGTGCACGATGGCAGTAAAGACGTAACAAAATCACAATTGAATGCATGCATCCAAAGGAAATAAATAAACAAAACGATAGAGAACAATAATTCCACCAAACATCCACAGAATTAAATGTGTGAATCCGTCGCCGCACGAGAATCAATCCCCATTCAAAGACAGTCAAAGGGCAGCACGCAAGTCAAACCCTAGAAAGGCACCGAAAATTTTCCCAAACGCAAAAACATCCAATCAAAAACAACAAAAGCATCACGCCAACAGATTCTTTTATTTAACAAAAATTAAAAGCAGGGGAATCGAATCCAATCGAACCCCAGAAATCAAACAGCAACCACAGTAATCGATCATCACGCAGCTCGGAATTGAGTAAATCCCTGGATACATAACAATTGCCCTAAATTTAAACAACCAGAATGAACAAAAGAAAAATTACGAAGGATAATCTGAAGGCGTCGGCAAATCAGTAGAAATCCGCGCGACTTTCCCCTCCTTTCCGACGAATCGCGGCTAAAAATCGATAATATTTATATATATAGAAGGAAATTTAAAATGAAAATAGATTGAGGTAGATATTATTATTGATAATGTACCTCGTTTGAAAATAATAATAATAATAAAATAAATAAATAAATAAATAGTCCCGTTTGGGAAGCTTCTAATCTCCTCCCCCTCTATGGTTAAGTACTAATAACAATAAAATAGTCCCGTCATTGGTTAAAATAATTTTTTTATATAATGTATAAAAATAATAAATATTCGTAATATATTAATTTTTTAAAAAATATATATTAAAAAAATTTTAAGTAAAAGAATAAAATCTAATACTTTAAGATGTTTGTTATATTTTTATTGATTCGAAAATAATTATTTTTTAATGTGATAGAGATCAAAATATAAGAAGATACTTTCAATGCTATTTTAATATAAAAGTAATATAAATAAAAAGATAAAGTATGATATTACAAAAAAATTTATTAAATAGTTAATAAAACAATAATTAGATAGAAAAATAATGACCGGACATTTTGGGCTTCCTACCTTCTTTTTGGGCCACTGATCTGATTTCTTGCCAATGAATTATCAGACAACATACGGTATTACTACAAATATATTTAATATATTTTTATAGGATATAATAAGTCTTTATTTCATATAGAATAAACATATGCATTATATATATATATTATATATATACATGTTAGAAAAAAATTGATTAGTAAATAAAATATATGTTTAAGACAAACCATTAGTAATTATGCCGCTTAGATAGGTTGATTGTTTAGGTTTGTTTTAGAAAGAATCTAACTAGATGGAAATTTTCGAGTGGAAATTTCTTAAAAGAACATAATATAAATTAATTCAAGAAATAAACGAAAGTGATAGGGGCATTTTGGTTTTTATTTAAAATAAAAGTTACTGTTATTATTTATTTAATTAGTATCGTTTTTAATAAAAATATAATTTTTTTTTATAAATATATTATTTAATTAGTACGGTTTTTAAAATGTTTTTGATTTGAAATTTAAAATTGTTATATTTAAAATATAATCATTCAAATGAAAATAAATTACAAATGGATTATTGTAAATACAAAATAAAAATTTTATGTATTTATCATTTGATATGTCTTAATTTTTGTAATTTTTTTAGTTACACACAAAATTTGGTTTTTTATCACTGTATATATAATTAACTAAATAAATCTCTATGGAAGAATGTGACTCAATTATACAAATAAATGCAATTTTTTATTTTTTTAATATTATATACATAACAATATACATATGTGAAATCCCCCTTTCGGAGGGACCGTGCATGGGCCTCATTCATGCAAAAGCCCATCACTTCAGGAAAATTATTACTCCCTCCATCCCTTAATAATCCATCCATTTTTTCATTTTGATCCGTCCCTTAACAATCTATTAATTTTTCTATTTTGGTCCGTCTCATAACAAAGTATCCGTTTCCTTTTTTAGTAATTGTACTATCTACCTAACATTACAAATACCCTTCTAATTTACAATATATTACACAAATGTCATTACTTGTATATCATACAATACTAATAGGGTTAATTTAGTTTTTTTACCTTTATTTCTATTTTATCCCAATATAATATTAATACTTCTAAAACTCCGTGCAAAAAACAAATTGATAGATAGATTGAGGACGGAGGGATTATTATTTTAGTTAAAATAAAACGCTCAAAAAATATTATTTGTCTTTAAAGACAAAATAAAAAAAATAAAAAATAAATAAAAATATGATCTACTAACATATACTCTTTTCTTCCCTAACAATTTATCTATTTATCTATTTTTTTTATTTTGGTCCGTCCATAATAAAGTATTTATTTTATTTTTAGTAACTGCATTATCTACTTAATATTACAAATATTTTTTTCCAATTTATAATATATTATACAAATATGATTACATTTATATCATATAATACTAATAAGAATAGTTTATTATTTTTGCCTTTATTTTTACTATATTTTAATATAATACTAATATTTATAAAACTTCGTATAAAAAGTAAACGAATAGATAAATACGAGACGAATGGAATAATATTTAAAAATCAGCTTTAGCACTATTTTTTAATACTATTATCTAGAAACTTATTGCATAAAATATTTTTTTTACATAATATTATTATAAAATGTAGTATTATACTTCATCCGTTCACTAATAAACCTTTTGTACGTAATTAAGATAAATGAGTATTTTATAGATATACAGTGTAATGAAGTAATGTAATATTTATTTTACACTTGAAAAATAATTTAAAACAAATATATATATATATTTGGTATTTAATTGAAAGTTATTTTTATTTAAAAAAAAAAATGAAATTTTGATTTTGACATACTAAAATGACAAAATAAAAAATTTATTCATTGAGAATATCAAATATTGTTTTTTCATTTTCACAAAATATCACACTAAATACTAAATTTTTAATATTATGAAAAAATTTAAATACTCTAAAATTTCTATGTAAATGATGCCTTAATTAATTTTTTACTATACCCCCAAAAGCTTCCAAAAATCATATGGAGATTTAACATATTCGAAAATCCAATAATGTGATCAGTAAATCTTTCTCTTTAAATAGAGTCTGACATTAAATTCATATGTGGTATGGAATAATACTAACAAATACAATATTACTATTATTTTTGAGGTAATGTTTTGGTTCCATTAGAGTATATGTCGCGGCCAAATATATAACCCATGCTTACTTTCACTTTTCTCATCTACTATCTATAAAATTTTTACGTGGCAGGTGACTTGAGGCGTCGGGATTTGAACCTATGATTTCATTGTTACAAGTCCAACTCCAAACCACCAGACCATCGCTTACGGGATTTTTTAATTATTTTTGTTTGTACCAAGAGTATCAATTTCTTATTATAATAATAGTAATTAAACATTAATATTAAATTATTCTTAATTTATTTATATATATATATATCTTACAAATATAGTATTATATATACATAAAATACAAATAGTAAAAATATCAAAATTATTTTAAAGATTTTTATTAATCAATAAAATCATGGGTGTGTTTGGGTTTTGATTTTCAATAGTAAAATTTTGAATTGAAATAGTTGTTTGATGTGATATAATGTGTTGATGTGATGTTTTGAATGTAAAATTAGATTTTACTGTAATAAAATACTCCCTCCGTCTAGCTAGAAAGTATACATGATTTTATTTTGGGACGTCCAATTACAAAGTAAACATTTCATTAAATACCTTACTTTTTTTTTTCCACAAATATCCTTACTTTACATCACATCATTACTTTTACACTAAAAAGTAAGGGCAAAAATGTCATTACACTACTTTTAACTACCAACTGTAATTAAAATACTATTATTTCTTAAACACCGCGCTAAAAATAATTGTATATTTTTTTTTTAGACGAAGAAAGTAAATAAAAATTGTGTGTTTGATTTTATATTTTTGAAAAAAAAAATAAAAAATTAAAATCAGATGTAAAATCTGACAAATAAACACCTTCATTGTTATTTTTCTTTTGTTTATTACAAAATTTCAAATTGTTAATTTGGACTGTAAATAGACAATAAGAATTGCACTGGTGCAAATGGACAAGTTGAGTTCTGAGAACTAGACATGGATGAGTGGATGCCACCATGCTCATCATCATCATGCATGAAAAGGACAATGCGGATCTGAATGTTTTCTTTTACATTTTGATTTTTATTTAATTTAAATGATGGTCTAGGTACAATGTTAAAAGGAGATAAAAGTAATACTCCCTCTATCCAACCTACTATGTTCACGTTGTTATTTTTGTCTATCCAATCTACTATGTTCACGTTGTTATTTTTGTTTGTCCACGTACCATGTTAATTATTTTTAAAAAAAATATTATACACTTTAATTTTATTTTAATTTTTTTTAAATTTTAATTAATTTATCTTAATCTTAATTTATAATTATTTATATTATAATATAATTATTTTCGCTAATATATTTTTAATTATCTACTGATTACACTCTTCTAAAATACCGTATTTATAACATAGCAGACACGGACGGAGCAAGTATATTTTATAAACAATCGCAATAATTATGTAGTACAAATTAAAATAAAATTTTAAGAAAGCATTTGGTAGAATTGCACTGAAATGATAAAGTTAATAATTTAAAATTATGATGATCGATAAAAAATTGTCAGAAAATTCTATCATCAATTGGCACAAATTTTCAATTTTGTTGGATGATACAACGATGATGATGTGACGGAGACGGAGTGCAGACTTCGAGAAAAAAAAAAAAAAAAGGGGCAGAATCAAAAGCTGTTCAGAGAAAAAAAATTATGTGTTATTTTTTTTTCTGCTATTTTCGTCATATAATTAAATATTTATTTATTATTATTATTTTTTTTTATTTTTTTATATAATTTTAAAAATATTAATATTATATTAAGATAGAATAAAAATAAAATGTAAATGACTAAAATAAATTTATTAGTATGTATGATACAAAGACAATAACATCTGTGTAATATATTTTAAGTTTTTTTTATCCAAATACAAAATACTCATTTCCGTCTCAAACATTGTTATTCGATACTAGAATTTAGACGAAAAATATTAAGTAAAGTATTTAAGATAATTTTGATATTAAGTAATACGATTGAAAAGAAAAATGATTATTTATTTTATGTATATTAATATATATATATAAATATAATTATTTATTTTTTAAATTTAAAAATGTTACAGTAAATTTTTTTAAAAAAAATGTTATAGAGTGTTTTTGAAAGAAGGAAGTAGTATAATACATTTCCGAAGAAGAAAGAAACCAAAAAAAATACTGAGACAGACGATATACAATCACCACCCCCCTCTCTATAATGGAAAAAAAGAATGTCACACATATATAATCATACACAAAACACTACTACGCCGTTGTTCCGGCGGCAGTGGCGGCGGCGGCGAGGAGGCATATACAAATTACAACGCTTCCCTCTGCCGCCGCAAACGCTTTAAAATTAAGCGCCGCGACGAATATATATATATATAACATAAGCAGAAATGTTCCCCGATCAGACTTCTTCCGTCGCCGGAGGTCTCGAGCCGGGAAGGTCTTGAGACGTCGTCGTAGTCGTCAGCCGATGGATCTTGTCAGCCACCTCAGCCACGACGAGCCTCGTCAGTAGCAGACCCGCGATCAGGGCTGCCACCATTAGCATCGTGAATACGGCGCTCCAGCTCTTGGCTGAAATGTATCCCGTCAGCAACGGCCCAATGGCAGCCCCGATGGAGCCTGTGCCGTCTATGATGGCAGTGACCGTCGCCAGTGCGCGCGCATTGCCTTTAAGCGAGCTGTGCGTGCCCAAGTCAGCCGAGACGGCCGTGGTAATCAGGGCGTAGGGTCCGTTGACAAACATTCCCGTGATCAGCATCAGCACGATGCTGAGAGTCATCGATACGTGCCCGTAGCTTCTGAAGAAGAAGAGAGCTGGAATGGCGCAGTACATGAAGCTAGCAGCCGTTATCGCCCTCGCGTCGAGGCGATCCGAGATGTGGCCGGCGAGGATCCCTCCGACGACGCCTCCGACATCGAACAGCGTCGAGAGGTTTCCAGCCTCTTCATTCGACAGATACCGACCCTCGATGGCTGCACGGAGCAAACAACACGTTAATCAAGCTTACACGGCAAATCGAAGATGAAAAGCTAGGGAGATTTTCGCTTTCGCGTACCGTTGTGGCTAATGTAGAACGGAAGCCAGTAGAGGAACGTATACGCGACTAATTTGGCGAAGAAGAGGCACAGAGCGAACGGGGCAACCCCGGGGATTCTCCACGCCTCAAGGAATCCAACAGCATCCTTTTCCTCCGATTTTGTTCTCAAGAGAGGCTCTGTCGTTTCATCCCCTTCTTTCCTCGGCGACAGCCATTCATCATTGTCAATAGTAGCTCCGACAGATTCAGGGCTTACAGGCAGGAGCAAGAACAACGCAAGGCCAACAAGCGCAATTCCGAAACCGGGGACGACCATCGACCAGCCCCAGCCATACTTCAACAACGCAGAAGCAACGACAGAGCCAGTTATGTTGCCAAGAGAAGTGTGAGCATTCCAAATGCCCATGATTAGCCCTCTCTTCTTTTTGCCGAACCAATTGCCAACAACTGCGACAACCGAAGGCCATCCAGTGGATTGGAACAATCCCGCAAGCATTTGGACGACCAGATAGTAATAAAAGCTGTGGATGCTCAGCCAGTATCCAACTCCAAAGAGGGCAGTGAACAACCCAGTTCCAATCATCCCAATTGTTAGAAATATTCTCAGATTCATACGATCTCCCACGTGTCCGGAGAAGTACATCCCTGTAGCATATACGAAAAGGAAAGACACGTCGAGCTCACCGAGCAATGCAGTTCCATCGACGCCGTTGAATGGTGCCCAACCGGAGCCCAGCACCCATGAGCCCCGGGTGGTTTCTAAGGGCTTTTGTGCATAGAACCTTGTCCATGAGATGGAAGATTTCAATTCTGTATCAGGGGATTGGGGATCAAGAGCACTTTTGACGACACTGGTGGTTTTCCTAGTGGCATGGTACGTCAAGTATGCAAAGAACGTTACTATTAGCACAATGGCTTGATATGTCTTGTAGGAAATGGCAGATTTTTTTAGATGTTCTATGAATCGGATTGCTGGAGGTCTGCTGCAATTTGGTTTCCCCTCTGATTCGCCAGTTGACCCCATCAACAACTCCCAAACAATTTCCCTTCTAAGCAGAAAAGAGAGATCGTGATTCGAAACCTAAAACAGGAGAAAAATGACGAGTTAGATGAAATTATTCATAAAAAGGTATAGAATGAATATCCTTACAAATCTCGGCCATGTTAGCAGGCAACATATGATCTTAGCTTTTGTTTGTATTTTCTTTCACTTCAATTCAATCCAGAAGTTAATTTAGACTAACAAACTACAAAAACACAAACAAAAGCCACGGCTAGCAAAAAAGAGTAAAGTGAGGTTAACGGCAGATGAACGGAATAAATATCGTGCGATCTCAATTCAATCAATGGAATAACTATTTTGGTCAATGGATGACTGAAACTTTCTTAGCTCTAAATGCTGTAGGGTATACAATTCCGGTTGCAAGTCAAAAGATTCCCGTTTAAGGGAAATTCTTTGGCTCGCCGGCCTTCTTTACTAAAAAGGCTTAACAGCAAATCGACTGCACACATGCGCAAAAGTGAATATAGGTAAATACACTAGTTCTTCCATATTATCTAACATAGATTAAGCCAAAGAGAGAAGAATGGGTGGATTCTTCTGTAGAAATAGTCCGGCATATTTTTCAAATGACGAAAACTTCAATGACAAGAAAATCGTCCAAAATTCAAAGTAAATGAACAATGGGACCAAAATCTAGCCAATCAAATCCTCCATCGCCGGTTAAGCAGATAAACAAATTGAAAATTGCGCCAGGATTGCCTAATAAAAAAAAAGAAGGGAAGAGGAACAACTTGAATCTAAGCGCAGCAGGTTGTTTATCCTAACAACCACGACCAAATCGATTCAGAACGGCAGTTTAAAATCCGATTTCCCCAAAACACTCCATAGACTCCAGAACGACGCCGCAACTCCAACCAATACGTAACCATAAAAACGAAATCCGATGAAACACAAATTACCTTTCAACGTTGAAAAAGTAAAACATAAAAAATCGTGCAGTTTCTGGTATGAAATCCACCAAAAACTAAAATTGCAACGTAATCAATCAACACGTAAGAACACGTCGATCGGAGAAACTCCAAAATCAAATTTACATTAAATGCTTGCTCACCTGATATTCCCCGAGCGTTTCACTTCTCTTCGAAGCAAATTCCGCCTTCCCTTCAACCCCTTCCGAAGTAAATCCGCTCACGTTTCTCTTGAGTAGGCTTGCAAGGAGAGACAATTGCACGTCAAGTCTTACGAGTTCTTCATTCATTTAAAGCTGAGGATGCACGCGTGAAATTCCCAAATTGTCCTCACCAGTTTCATCTACCCACCAATCCTCAATTTTTACCTTTTGACAATTATACCCCTCTTGTGTACGGTCAATCCCTCACGTTTCACGCCTTTACTGCCGACTTACATTAATGGGACACGGAAGGCAATTTCAAAAACTTAAAACCCCTGAGTGTTAAATCATTAAAATATATATTTAGAATCTATTTCTTTACCCAATTTTTTTAAATTTTACTACTTCAAATCTGTATTTTTTTATAAAAAAAAAAAAAAAATTCTCTCAAAATATCTTATCAAATCGTTATTTTAATACCAAATTCAAACTAAAATTTTCTAAATTCAATCAAAAGAAACACACCATTAATGCTCACTTAATGTCTTTTCTTATTTTGCTCTAAATTTATATTGTATTTATAATAATTAATTTATTATATTATATTTTATATATTTTTTTAATAATTTTTTCATAATATTCTACATAAGTTTTACCTATTATATTTTTATCTTAAAATAATACCCTTTATTTTTTTTAGTTTCGTGCCAAAATAGATGACATAAGAAGTATTATTTTCTTTATCCAATTTTATTTGTCTATTATTATTATTATTTTCAGTTTTCTTTTACACATTTTTTTTAAAAAAATAAAAATCATAAACCCATCGTAACATACTTTTAATGTTAAGTTCACTAAAATTCTTAATATAATCTTAATCATTGAACAATCATTAAAAATCAAAGAATTAGACTATTTTCAAGTGAAAATAAATGTCGCATTCTCTGTAATTTACTTGGGTGAGAAAAAAGAAGAGAATAGACTAGCTTTTGTTTGGTTGCGTTTCCACACAATTATATTTAAAATAGTAATTTAGGCTTTATTTAATGGAAGACCATTTTTAAGTTTTTTTAGTATACAATTTAATATTTTTTATAATAAATTATTTTACTCCACATTAATAATATTTAAATTATTATGCAAATTGATAATCCGAAATAAATTTTTCTTTAAAGAAAAAAAACATCTAAATAAATATGTCTTTTCAATTTTTTTAAAAAATAAATCAAATATTCATTTTTCGTCCCACTTGTATTGTCTCATTAGTATTTGGGGTTTTCCTACCTATATAACTCATATTTATTTATAGTTTATATAGTCCTTATTCAATAATCAATTTATTAAACTAAAAAGTACCATTTTGATACGGGGATTGGATTTTAAATACACTATTCATCCAATTTTTTTTTTCAAAAATATTAAATCAAATACTTATTTTTTATTTTTTATAATATGTTAAAAATCAATATATAAAAAATCAATTTTACATTCAAAATATCACATCAACACCTATTTATATCACATCATACAACTATTCAAATTCAAAATTTTTATTATTCAAATCCCAACTCAAAATCCAAACACACATTTTAGATCTTTTTATTTTGAACAAATTCATTTATTAATATAATTCTATTTCCGTCCTACCTATCTTGTAATATATTTATTTTGGTACATTTTACATATTTTGCAATATTTCTAAAATGTTAATAATTAACTATATTTAATCACATCACATCACCTAAAGAAAAAGATACTGTATATATATATATATTTTTCTCTTTCATTACATTAAATTTTTTCACCATGCGTGAAACAAAGAAAATATTTTTTTTTATATATTTATTACAAAAGTATTTTGGGATAATACACATGGAACAATTAAACAAATATTTGAATTTAAAATTTATACTTACAAAAAACACAAACAAACAATCCATGGCGTTGATAATAATGACTCAAAAAATTATTTGCACCATGAATTTTACACTCCACTTTGGTATCATAAAAAGAGATGTTCTTTTGGCCTTTCTCATATCACTTCAATAACTGTTTTTACAATCAGCAATTAATGTGTGGATAATACATACAAATAAATAAATAAATAAATATTTTTTTTTATCAATTTTGAATTTCATGGCCACAAGAAATTAATATTGGGACCAATATCAATTTTGAATTTTGAATGGCTGTAGATAGCCTGGAAGTTTCTTGCCAAGTCCTGGGACCGGAAGTCCTCTACAACGACATCGTATTGAAATTGCTGCACCTCATCGGTTGGATATTTCGGTAGATCTGAACCGTTCGTGGGTAGTTATCAATGGTAGAGATTAATCTGGATTCGAAGTCCCGGGAACTTTTTGACACTCTCTCATTGATTTCCTTCTACCACATTCTTTTTCTCCAAATAATTAAAATGGAGGATGACAATAATTGAAGCACAGTATTATTAGTTAATTTTAATCACAATTTCTTTAGGGCAGCCGTAGACGTCAAGCAAAACCCCCTTATTTTCACATCCAACACCAAAATATAGTATTATTGCAATTTTTTTTAGTTACATAAAATTTCGACTATTATCCAAATAAATTAAATATTGTTTAAAGAATGTCGCACCGTAAAACCTTCAGGGGCAAAAATGTCAATCGACGGGGATGCGGCTTAAAGGGAGGAGGGCGGCAGGGGGCCAGACAGGGGCAATATTGTCAATGTACATGACGCTCAATCATGGTTGGCAGAAAGCATATTCGCATAAGTAGGAGCATAATTCCTTAAGCGGGAGTGAATATTCCTCCTCCTCCGAGGCGGACCGCACTTGGCATCCTACGTGGAAATCTGTGGGCTGACGTGGAATTTCTGTTGGACTACAGTGATTGGTCCACGTGGCCACTGGACTGCACTCTTGGCTCTCCTCGAGTCGCTTGTCCGAATCAAATGCTGCTATAAAAAATTTCCTCTATTTAAATTGCGAATCAAATGCTGTTTACTGATTTTTTTAGTATATGTTTTAAATTTAATCTCACAGACCCGACAGACCGGGTCGGGTTTTGTATTTTAGTAAATAGAACAATAGTATAATATTTTTATTTTTATTTTGTTTATATTTCTTAAGATAATGAGTATAAAAAATTACTCATTAATATATGCAGTTAAAACATCTAAAAATTATTATACTAAAATTAATGATAGATATTTTGGGAAATGCCCAATATACTAAAAATATAAAAAAATACTGAAAATTATATATATAAAAAAATATATATATAATTACATTGATATTTTCATCTATTTTTTTTATAACTTTTTAATAAAATTATACTCTTATATCTTGCAGAATATCGTATTTAAATTACTACGGAAAAAAAAAAATAAAAAAAAATCAATCAAACACATCTATAATTTTACATTATGAGAAAGAGTGAATGAATTATTTAGGGGTTGAGGGGGCAATGGAAGATTGGAGAAAATGTGTCCGGAAACTTAAAGGAAGTTTCGTGTCTTGGCGACATCCAAATCAAATGTCACATATTTTATCCATTCGACATTTCTTTTAATAATAATTCAAGAAATAATAAACTCAATTTTAAATCATTTCACACTCCAGATAAAATGATAATTTTTTTAATTTCCCATCTTCATTTCATTTCATTTATTTATTTATCAAATTTTTTATTATTTATATTGCCAGGTGTACAGTGTTGAATATTTATAAATAACCATGCCTGTCCAGGCCAATGGACACATATATATCATTGATTGACATTTAACTTAATCTTACTCGTTGATTATATCTAGCCCAAAATATATTTATTAGTATGTAATAATTATATCCAGAAAATGTAATAATAAAAGATAAAGCATATATCAACCAAGTGCTAAAATGAAAGACAAATCAAGAGTTGTAACGGGTGTGTTATTCTTAAATTTGATTTGATTTATTTATTTTTAATAATGAGATTAAATTTTTGAATATATGAATTCACGGTTACGAATTACTAGTTGAGTTTTGATTTCATTTTCATTTAAATACTCTATATGTCCCTTAAATAAATAGTATTTGGTTATTTTTTACACATAAATTTTTTAATATTAATATAATATTTTAATATAGTACAAATTTTAAAATATATAAATAACACTATTAACATTACATGATATACGTATAATAATATTTATGTAATATATTACAAATTATAAAATATTTTTAATATTAATTAGATAATACAATTACTAAAATTAATAACATGTTAAGAAAGGGAGAAAGTATAATATTTTATAAAATAAAATAAAATATTTTTATAAAAATTCACAACAATTCTGTAATAAAAAAGTGAAAAAAGATTGTTACTATTTACTAATAGTTTATATTTATGAGTGTTTTGTACAAATATTAAGAGAAATTATAATATGTGTTATAGTGTTATATTACATGTACTGTCAATTTATATATTATATTAGTATAAATCTTGTATAGTTGTTTTACATTTTATATGATATTTGCTTCTATTCATATCTTATCAACACGGTAACAGACGTACATAATAATAAATAGAGTTAGAATATATTTTTTTTTGTCTCAATTTAAATGAATTTTTTGAAATTTTGTAGGTATTAAAAAATAACATTATAGGTTAATGAAAGTGTGTAAAATAATATTGTTATTTGTATTTATAACAATATATTTATAATTTATATAGAATTAACAGATGTTTTGATATTAAGATATAATTATTTATATTATAATAAAAAGTAAATATTTTTGAACAAAACAAAAATAATAAAAACTGTGAAAACAATATTTTATAAAAAGAATGAGATTATAAAGTAGTTGAAAATATTAAATAATTTAATTAATCAAAGCCTTAGCAACCTTATTCAACCCAATTTATGATGTCTGGGCAAAGAAGCCCAATACTTGAATAACTTACCTTGAAATTTTAAAAAGGAATTTTGAAAGTTTTGGATTTTTTGAAAATGTTAAAGAAATAATAAAAATTAATATATAATGTGATATTTTTTGAAATAAAATATTATTTTTAAAAAAATTATTGTTGAAAATTAATATTTTTCAAATTGAAGAAATAACATTATAAATAATTAAAAATATGTTAATAAAATTAGTTATAGTATAATAGTACAATAATTATAAATTTAAATTAATATATTGATATGATAATATATTGCGGTAATTAATGTACGACGAACTTACACTTTATCTAGAAATATAAGTTTTGAGTTGCTTGTAATATAAATATAATAATATTACACTAATTTTAATTATTACATCATTAAAATATCGAACAACATAAAATAAAATAATATTATATTAAATACGAATATCCTAATATAAAATAAAATAAATAATAAATATTTATAAATATTAAAATACAGCTACATTACCTCTCATAAGCAAATCAAATACATCATTTATAGTCCATAAGAGATGACCGGTCCGGTGGTGTAGGGGTTGGCTCAAGTCCGACGCCTCAAGTCACCTGGCACAGAAGTCTCTCGTTTAGCATGGCAGCAGATAACTATCACCTTTTATACACATTAATGTGGAACCAAATCCAAACGTAATAACCCAATGGGGCTGTAATTCACATAACAAATATACAGTGAGTGAGATCACCTTCAAACCAATTTCAGATATACTCATAAAACATACTCACAAATATAAACAAACAACCCTTACAATTTATGACTAAGTCTGAGTGAATACAACTGAGTGAGGCAGAGAGCAAAAAACAAACTCATACTCCAAGCAAAATACCCCAAAAAGAGGAATAAATATGACATTTTCTTGAACATGGAACACAGCTTGCATTACAAAAGAACAAGAAAATTGCCAGGCATGAAACAGAGTAAATAACAATTGAACTCCTAGCAATGGAAAAAGTTAAAATAAACTGCTAAAATTTAGACAACAAACAAAACAATAATTATCTTCAAACCATATAAATACAGTTTTGAATTGAATAATTTTTTCCCCCCCTTTTTTTCCTCCCTTTTTTCTGTTCTTTTCAGATTTTTTGTCCTATATTTTCAGTCAACATCCTGATTACATCTTCATACACCTTCTAGTTTGCGAGAGTTTGCAATGAATAAAGCCATCCACACCATGATTGCAAACATTTGACCATCAAGATATGCAAAATTAGATAAGAGACATTAGGTGATGGTAAAACATCAAACTAATTAGATGGTTGTATAGTTATATACCTCACGGTCTTTCCTAATGTTACAGACAATGAGCTCCACCAAGCCTTTAATGTTCATGAGGAAACCAAGGGCTAGTGCTTCATTGTCATGTATTTTACATAAAAGAGAAACCACAATTATGTCACCAACTTACCAAACAAGCTGTAAATTCGATCCCATCCTTTGATGATTCTAGAATAACAACCCTTTAAAAGAAGAAAAAATAATAATAAATAAATAAAGGGCGATGCATTGTACTACTATAACACATCAAAGAAGAAAAATAAACATTTTAAGAACTACCAAAGATTGCATAGAGTTAGGCCAAGGTAGACTTCTCTTTTCCTTCCTTTTTCTTCTTCTCTTTCCATGATCTTTTTGATTTTTTCAGAACTTTCTTGGTGCTTTTCTGTTTTTTCTTTTTCTTCTTGACATTTTTTTTTTTTTTTTCCTTTCTTTTCTCTCTTTGTCCTGTTTTCCTCGTTTTTTTTTTTCTTATGAGTCAACATGTCTTGTATCCCCTCTTCACCTCTTCTCATATCATAAGCTTTCCAAAGAAGAAAGCATAAAAATATAAGAGTGATGCATAACACTTCAAGAAAGAAAATATGAAGATTTTGGAGAAAACTTACCGAGATTGGGCGTGAGTTGACCAAGTAAGTTGCAAACCCACATTATTAGTCTTAACTCAATCCCATCTTTTGTCACTTTTCAAATAATAATCCTTCCAAAGAAGAAAAAATTAAAATATAAAGGATGATTCATTCTATAACTATAACAAATCAAAGAAAAAATAATATAAGTTCGAATAGGACTTACAAAGATTGTGGTACTGCCAAGAGAGTTGCAAAAATAATGGCTATCCATGATGCCCTTGTCATCTTATTTGCATCAAATCCTTAAGTGTGTGTTCGATTGTGTATATCAACTCAAGTTCCAGAATCTCGAACTTAGATCAACATCATACGCGAAGAAAAAATAGCATCATAGGCTCAGAGTACTCACATAGTCACATGGGCTATAGAAAGTTTAAGCTCGGCATAATTATCATTCAATTTCACTAAGTAGCCATTTGGGGATGATGCATTACTGATATATAAAAAGAGAGAAAATAAAATTTGGGGATAACTTACGGTGGCATGGAGTAATCGAATTAGGGTTCCCGGCCTCCTCTCTTTCAACAAGAAGAACCATAAACTCTGAGCAAGAATGGCGTTCGATTTGAACCTGCGAAACCGAAGGCTTAAAAAACTGAAGCAATCGACAAAAATAATTGGAAAATAAAACCAATTCGCTTATTCTGTCGTGAACCGGAAATGGATGAACGGCCATGAAAAACGACAAACAACAGCCATGGAAAATGTTTTCCCCCCTCTCTCTCCCTCTCCACTCTGCTCGCTCTAGAAGTGTGTCCTCTCCTCTCCGATGAAAAATGTGAAAGATGGGTAAAGCTGCAGAGATATTAAATTCCATATGACCGTTAGCTCCATCCATCCTCCACCGTTGGATCTATCAGATTAATCTAGCACCATTAGATTACTATTAATATTAATTAGCTTTATTGTGTATTAATTATTAATTAAGATCTAATTTAAAATTTGAATGATTATATAAATGTTATTATTGATTTCTCTTTAATTAAATGATAATAAATAAATAATTTATTTTATTATTATTATTACGGTTGAATAATTTGATTGTATAATTATATTTTCAATAACACTTTTTAAATTTGAAATAACTTTGTCAATACAATACAAATAATTGTATGTTTACTTATGATTTTAAATATATTGATATTAATTTGTAAATAATTATAAATAATTTTAAAACAATTAAAAAAATTATAACATTTCTCACTCAAACGACTAGTATTATATATTTATATAACTATCAAATAATTATTTTAATTTAAAATCTTATCATTCAAAACCTAAATTCAAAATCAATAAAACAAAATCTTGCAACTAATCAAAGTAGAAGTTGTGTCGGATTATTAATTAATTAATTTATGTTTATGAATGAAATGGTGAGCATCCCCACACTCACAGCAGGTAGGGGTAACTAAAGAGCAAATTAAACACCACAAAATTAAAACAGCTAGCTAGCTAGCAAGCATGATATCTGGTTGGTGCCTGGTGGGTGTCGGTGTCCCCACCCCACCCCACCCATGGTGAGAGCCCCAGGAACAACATACAATACAAGAGAGAGATTCGTTCCTCCCAACAATTTACTACTTTACATACTAGTACAAATTAATCAATTAATTAATTAATTAATGAAGAAGAAGAAGAAGCACAGTCCAGAATACAGAATACAGAATATAGATTACAGATTACAGAACAGTAGAATTAAAAAAGCACAGGGAAGGAGGAGGCAAGTATAGGTAGCTAGCCAGTGTAGATGTGGACGCCAATGGCAATGAGAAAGATAGTGAGAAGACCGAAAAAGATAATTGTGTGGACCAGAATGGAAAGACCGCTTGTCTGCATATTGCCGAACTCCACGACCCGGTTTCGACCCGGCACCTGCAATAGGAGCCCCGGGCTCAGCAACACGAACAGCACCACTGCAATCACCACCGGCCCCCAATCAGCCATATCTCTCTATCGATCTCTTTCTTCTTACTTCCTGCGCCCGATCGATTCGATTGTCAATTCTATCTTAATTCGATCCAAGGAGCTGGAGAGCCGCGGCGGAGAGACTCTTACAATGTCTATGTCTATATCTGTCTGTGTGTCTATGTGATGTGGAAGTGGAATTAATTGAAGAAATCAAGCAAGGTAGCTCCGGTCACGTGGACGCGTACGTCTCTTCGCTCGTGAACACGTGTTGTGTATTGTAACGTAACAGCTACCGTTACCGAGAAAATAAAATTAAAAAAGTATGTGTGCATCGTCATTAATGGAAATCTTATCTTCTTTGCTTTCATCATCCTTACCCTAATATCCTCCTCATCACATACTATTATTATATGAAAATATTATCTTTTTTATATCAAATATATTACATACAATACAATGCTAATTCATATTTGGTTGGATATCTAATTTTTACTTTCTAAATTTTGCATTTAAAAAAAGAATAAAAAATAAAAAAAACTAAGCCAGTGAAGATCCAATTAAACCTCCCAATCATAAACCCGTGACTTTACTTATGCTTTTTAATTTTGACGGCATGTTGATAATGGAAAGAAAAATGTATGCAATCTTAATTTAACAATATTGAAGAATTTTACTATAATAGAAATAATCTTGATTACAAATGTACTAATAGATTGATTTTAATAATTTTCATTGGTAGGATTACCAAATAAGAGTTCTATGATTTATATAATTTTATTTTATTTTATTTTATTTATTTAGTTTTTATTTGAACATTTAAATATAATTTTTTTTAAAGTTAATATATAAATTTCTTATAGGAAATTATTATTGTTATAGTCATAACAAAACTAAACACACATATAATTGATATAAATAATCAGTATTGGGCCGTTGTGGGCCACCCCAAAACAACTATAATCTTAAAGCCCAGTTGTCACATGGCCCACCAACTTCAATAATTGAGACTCATTACGGCCACGTATCGGACAGATATCGTCGCTTTGTTTCTCTCACTGACTGGCCTTCAAGTGTGGGCGATTTTTTCAGGGTATCGGTGGTGGTGTTAGATTCATGGCGACTCAAGGTCAAGTGATCACTTGCAAAGGTATAACCATGCTCTTCTTTATGCGTATATATGATTTGAGCTGTTGAGTGAGTAATTGGCGTTTTTTTGTATACATTTCTGGGGATTTAGCGGCCGTTGCCTGGGAACCAAACAAGCCACTGGTAATTGAGGATGTGCAGGTGGCGCCGCCTCAAGCAGGCGAAGTTAGGGTGAAAATTTTGTTCGCTGCTCTCTGCCACACCGATGCCTACACTTGGAGCGGCAAGGTATGCAGATGTTTGTGAAATGCGAGTGAAGAAGCTTATAATGATTTTGCTACAACATTAAAATGGAATAGATTGTTAGCGAAATTTGGATGGTTTTGGATTTTTCACGTTGGGATCTGTCAACCTTAACTTCCTCCGACTACAACCTATAGTGGATGAATGTAAATGATTTAAGTAAAGGGAAGAACGAATCGATGTGTTGTTTTTGTCCTTTCAAAGATCGGAACTATATGTACACCATTTATTGATATTTATTTTATGTCTTGAATGAAGGATCCGGAAGGACTTTTCCCATGTATTCTCGGACATGAAGCTGCAGGGTATGTATATACTATCTTAACATCTAAAGGAATGAGTAGTACCATCTATTTTGTATTCTTTTGTTCTATGAAAATGCAATATGTTCTTGTTATGCGTGTTTATGCGTGTGTTTTTAATAACATTGAAATCTCAGAATTGTAGAAAGTGTTGGAGAAGGTGTGACTGAAGTTCAGCCTGGAGACCAAGTTATCCCTTGCTACCAGGCAGAATGTAAGGAATGCAAGTTTTGCAAATCCGGAAAGACGAATCTCTGTGGAAAAGTAAGGGTAGCTACTGGTGCTGGAGTTATGTTGAGTGATCGCAAAAGCCGTTTTTCGATCAATGGAAAGCCCATCTACCATTTCATGGGAACATCAACATTCAGTCAGTACACTGTTGTACATGATGTTAGCGTTGCAAAGATTGACCCTGTTGCACCTCTGGACAAAGTTTGCCTGCTAGGCTGCGGTGTTCCAACAGGTGGGCAGCCTTCAATTCCTCTCGATGCACCTAAATAGATACTTTTTATTTTTTGCTGTTTGGATATTTAGCATTTCCAATCTGTTTTCTGATTAATGGTGTTAGTTGAGGAATACTAGCATTTCCAATTGTCATTCTAATGTAATGTTCTTTTGCAAATCTTGCTGTTTGCATGGTGAAAATTAGCAGGTTTGTGAATATTTAGCACTTCCAACCTTGTTTGTTTGATGCCTCATCTGGATTCATTTGTCAAATCTTTCCTAGGAAGTTGTTTTGATTGGATTTGTGCTTGTGATAATGTATTTAGTGTTTAGTCACTTCTGTCTTAGTTCATTTAAATAAAACTACACACAGCCTGAAATGACTATTTAAAATAAGAGTCTTTAGAAGCTTATCAATGAATATTTTGCTCTTTCTCAAAGCTTACACCTTTTCGACTCTTGCTGGTAGGTCTTGGAGCTGTTTGGAATACAGCAAAAGTAGAACCAGGCTCCATTGTGGCTGTTTTTGGCCTCGGAACAGTTGGACTTGCTGTAAGTTATCTTCAGGATGATGTGATGTTTTACTATGACTGCTCCCAGATATTGATTAGTAATATTGATTCAGGTGGCAGAGGGTGCTAAAGCGGCCGGTGCTTCACGAATAATTGGAATCGACATTGACAGCAAAAAGTTTGAGCTAGGTTTGCGCAGCTCACACTATCCTCAAACAACCAATACCTTGTATCATTTTTGTTACATTTGCTAGATTCACTACGACACTGCATAGTGATCATCTGAGTTTGAGATTCCTGGTCCTTCTCTTGTGCATAATAGATTGTTTCAGCGGATACATAACCACTTTTGGTGCAAAATTTTGACACACAGCAAAGAATTTTGGCGTGACTGAATTCATCAACCCGAGAGATCATGACAAACCAATCCAGCAAGTCATTGTGGATTCAACTGATGGCGGGGTTGATTACAGCTTTGAGTGCATTGGGAATGTCTCTGTTATGAGGGCTGCTTTGGAGTGTTGCCATAAGGTAGGCTTTAACCAGTTTCTGTTTACGATATCGTAAATATCATCACACTCAGGGCGTGTGAATTCATTTGTAGGGTTGGGGAACATCTGTTATTGTGGGTGTAGCTGCCTCTGGTCAGGAGATCTCGACACGCCCATTTCAGCTAGTGACAGGCCGGGTATGGAAGGGTACAGCGTTTGGTGGGTTCAAGAGCCGTTCCCAAGTGCCTTGGCTAGTGGACAAGTATATGAAGAAAGTAAGCAATTTCAGTTTCTTGTTTCAACTTTTTTTCTATTTAGGCTGTACCCCTTGTAGATATTCGACCAAAACAAGTTAGTTCTCCTTTATCCAAACGAATTGATTGCTGTACATGTTTACAGGAAATCAAGGTGGATGAATATATCACCCACAATTCGATCCTGGCGGACATAAACCAAGCTTTTGATCTGATGCATGATGGGCTCTGCCTTCGCGTCGTGCTCAGCATGAATGCATGATGGGCTGTAAGCTACATTAGTATCGTATGGAAGAATGCTATATTGAGTTTTACTTTTTCTTCACTCCCCTCATGGTTGAATTCTCCTGTTTGGCAATAAATTATCACTTGTTTTGGTTGAAGAACTGATTTGAAGAAAAAAGTTAATATATATATTTATATGATGTCTCTGCTCTTCTTTGAGTAAATTTTTGGTGGAAGTTAACTCGGTGGCCACCAAGGAAGTAAACAAACAGTTCATAAGGGTAGGGTGGCTTTTCTTTCTTTGATCTTTTATATTTGGTTGTCTTTTGATTCTCAATTTAATTATACCTTTTAGTGATCTACAATCAGCATCAAAATTAGTAATTTTTTTTTAAAAAAAGAAATCCAAAATACATAAAAGCAAATTATGTTCAGGAATGAAATATGGGTTCAAAGAAAAGGATGGGCCCTTTTGGGCTTCGCTGATAAATTCGGGCTTTTTATTCACAAACGACTTTGCCAGCCCAGCCCAGCCCATATCTTAATCAATCAATAATGTATGTGAAAAAGATTTATGTCGCATTTCTGGTGTTGCGACTCTGAGTCCGAATATAGAATTCAGAAAGACTTCCGGAAACCCATTCTTCCCCTCTTCCTAGCAGAGCACCACTCAGCCCCCAAGAGAAACGAGGATGCAAGCCGTTCGCCGGCAATTGGGGCACCAATACATCGTGCAATCGCGCACTGGAGTCTCTTCTTTCAGGTCAATTTACCCGATTTCCGATCACTGTAAGTGCTCTATCGAAGTGTGGGATGCCTGATTAAATGACTGAGGTCGTCGTTTTGTGTGTTTGAGCAAGTCTTTTTAGTTGGATGTGGTTAATGACAATGATGATCGTGTGGTTTCAGTTTATGGAGTGGAGAATGCGAGGCTGTCTTCTACTCTTGCCACCAAAGGCGTGGGGCATCTCGTTCGCAAGGGCACCGGTGGCAGATCATCTGTGAGGTAATTGAGAAAATTTTTTAAATCCGTGATCTCGTTTTAATCCACTACTTCGTTTAGTGATTGACATTTTGTGTGTGTGTTTTGGCGTTAATTGTTTATGTTTGATTCATTGTAGTTTTCTGTCTGTAGAGTATAAACATTTGCCATGGAAGCGTTTCGCGATTTTTATTTCTACTGTAGGGTTTTAGTTTCTAGATTAAGATTTTTGGCTCTTGTGTCTGGGAACTCGGTTGACATTCTGTTGAATGTATTTATAATTTCATTTCCAAACTTGTTTTGCAGTGGCATCATTGCAACGGTGTTTGGGGCTACCGGTTTCCTGGGAAGATATTTGGTGCAGCAACTAGGTGCCTTACCCTCTTGCTTTGCCTAATGGTTGTTTAGTTGAAATTTACTGCACTATACGCCTATCCTTGCTGCATCTGAGGAGACAACTTGAAGTTGTGTGTATGTATATTAATTCATTTGATTTGTTTTCTATTATTCTTTAGCTAAGATGGGTTCTCAAGTGTTGGTTCCGTTTCGAGGCTCAGAAGATTCCCATCGCCACCTTAAATTGATGGGAGATTTGGGTCAGGTGAATAATACTGTGGACATACACATATACTTTTAGTATATTGAGTGTAATGTTCATTATATAGTTATAGACCATATACTTTGGGTTGGTTGTTAACGATTCCACCTTGCAGATTGTTCCCATGAAATATAACCCCAGAGATGAAAACTCCATCAGGGCTGTTATGGCAAAAGCTAATGTTGTTATTAATCTCATTGGTATGATGCTACTAAACATTTTACTGTTTTTTTTTTGGATACCTTGTACCAGTGATTGATGTAATGATATGACCCATAAAACAGGAAGGGAATATGAGACCAGAAATTATAGTTTTGAGGAAGTTAACCATCAAATGGCTGAACAACTTGCTGTGGTATGAATCTATTGCTACTTTTCATCTACTCTAATGCTTTCTAATTTACTTTATTGAAGTATTGAACCATGCATTACTTTCCCTATTACATGTTGATAAGCTTGGGCATGTGATGCAATGCATGAAAAGTGTCATGATTGAGCTTCTAACATCACAGTGATGTTGGTCCTGATTCATGTGTAATTTTATTGATTTTTGTGAAAATAAATGCTCTACTTTCAGGTGCCAGACCAACAAAATACCTGTTTCCTGTATATATGTTTGATGTCATGGAGCCATTTCCATTACTTTGTAATCATCAAAGACAATGATTTAGGTTGCATATTCCTTATGTGCTCTTCGTTGCGAACTTTTACATGTTTCTAGATGTACCTTATCAGATTGCCAAAGAACACGGAGGCATTATGAGGTTTATTCAAGTTTCATGCTTGGGGGCATCTTCTTCGTCTCCATCCAAAATGCTCAAAACTAAAGCGGCTGCAGAAGATGCTATTCTAAGAGAAATTCCAGAGGTAAAATATACATCACCCTTTCCTCCTGACTTTGATCTGAAGTTGGTTTCATTCTGAACTTTTCCATAAATACTCTGCTTGTGCTTAGTATCTGTCATCTATTTCTGGCTTGCTTCCACACTTTGAAAATTTAGCAACAATATGACTTTATACTCTTTTGTGTTGCTCATGACTTGTGTTTAGCCCCTCTTACCTTTCTCATTATAGTTGTTTCTCAGATATTTGTAAAATTATCCTGGTTGGGCCTTATGTGCTTTTCATGCCTGCATGCTTCCCGATCTATCAATGTATTGTATTGCATCAAACTTTGAGGTGTATCCAATTAAATAAAGGAATCATCTATGTCTATCTATTTTCAGGCCACGGTTATGAGACCTGCTGTTATGGTTGGCACAGAGGATCGAATTTTAAATCCCTGGGCACACTTTGCTAAAAAATACGGGTTTATCCCACTCTTTGGAGGTGGATCAACCAAGTATGACTTCTCTCCATAATAAAGTATCTGAACATTGTTTTTTATTACTATTGAGCATATTATCTTTTGTAATCTCCCTTCAGGATTCAGCCTGTGTATGTTGTTGATGTTGCTTCAGCAATTGTTTCGGCCTTAAAAGATGATGGGACCAGCATGGGAAAAGTTTATGAACTTGGTGGACCAGATGTTTATACTGTTCATGAATTAGTAACTCCTGATTTAACCAACTTATTATCTGTCATTGATTTTTTATCAAATTTTGTTGGAGATATATGGCAATGAGGAAGTTTCTTTGTCATATAGGGGGAACTTATGTTTGATATGATCCGCGAGTGGCCTCGATATGTGAATGTTCCTTTCCCTATTGCAAAGGCAAGTCCTTTTCACACACAGTTCCATTTTTACATTCCTCCACAATGTGTTGGCGGTTTAGCATGTAGCACATGCCATTAGATTGATATTAGTAAATGCAAATGATAAAAAGTAGGCTCGCGATGTCTTAGGGCATCTGTAATTTGACCAAATATCTCTAACCAGAGCAAACTATTAGCACATTGTTGATTGATGATAGATTTTAAATATTTTTGGATCTTAGATTTCTTCTATGTGATAGCTGATCATGTCCGTTGGACCAAAAGCATTGGAATGTTACATATTACCTTTAGAACCAGGCATGGACGTGGTTTTTACTGTTTTGGTGTGTTTGGTTTCAGGCTATTGCATCACCGCGAGAATTTTTTCTCAAAAAGGTTCCTGCCCCTATGCCTACCCCTACGATATTCAATCTGGATCTAATTGAAGCTCTTTCCTCTGATACGCTGGTTTCTCCTAATGGTATGAATCTTTTATGAAAAATGATACAATGCCCTGCCTGGTATCCAGTTTTTGTACACTACAGAGTTTATATACCCTTGCTTTCATTACCCAGCTTTTACATTCGAGGATCTTGGGGTTGCACCTCATAAGCTGAAGGGATATCCAGTCGAGTTTCTGATACAGTATCGTAAAGGGGGACCTCAATATGGTTCAACAGCCAGTGAGAAGGTGTCTCCGCGATCAATGTAGCAGGCAGCATTGTCCTTTTGAATTCTAGTTGGGAGAATCAAGGTATGCATGCATTCCTTACTATACTGCTGCACTTGTTGTTGATTGAGTTTTTAACTAATAAACAAACGAAATGAATAGGCTCCACCTTCAAAAGTTGAGAAGGCAAATTTTCTATGGAGGATTCATTTTCATGGATCCCATGATTGTTGGCTTTGCTTGTATTATGATATATGCTGATTCTGATTGGTTTTCATGCTTTTTTTTTTTTTTTTTTTTTTTTTTTTTAGCGAATAAAGATTGTTGGGCTACTCATATTTATGCCTGTTGAACTTGATTTATAATCACTGCAATCTTTGAGAGAGAGAGAGCCACTGTTAAGTTCACCAATGAAGAAGTCTGTTGTTGACAACCCATGGGCTATGAATTAAATAACAATCTATGTAATTTATGGCTAATCAGCACCACGATTAGCCATAAATTACATATATAGCCCATCCCAATAGGGGTATTGGCTGAATCTTGTCTTCAAATTATATTGTTGTTATTATTATTATTATTATTAGTATTACAGCCTGTCTGCCGGTATGTGGGTGGATCTTAAAATGTATGACAATAGCAGCAGCTGTTTATAGTTTTCCAAGAAAGTTGTTCTTTGTTGGATCCACGCCGTCGGTGATAAGATGGACGGACGATGTGGATGCTGGGACCATTCTTGACTTATTTCTACTAATAATAATAAGTTGGTCGCCATCAATTAAATTAATTAATTATCCAACTTGTGATTAATTAATTAATTATAACTTCACATCTACGGCGGGCGTACAAGGTTGACATCCTGTAGAAGCCCCAGGAATTGGACTACCGGCCCAATCCCCACTTGCACTTGCCACGGCGTACGATCAGGACTTGAGATCCACCACTTCCCGATCCCGATCACGATCTATATATTAATTAATTATTTAAAGTAATAGCTGCTGTATGCTACTCCCATTCTTCATCCCAACGGTAAATCCAACGATACCTGCCTGCCTGCCTGTTCAAATCCAAATCCAAAACATCTCACGAGAATCCATCCCATTCCATCTCATCGAAGCTCCGTTGACGCTCTCGTCCTCGCCGCCGCCGTGCTTTTTCACTTTTTGGTAGGTAGGTAGTTAGGTAGGTGAAGTTACGCGGATTCGTCCTCCCGCTATTTTGGACTTGCTGAGCTGAGCTGAGGTGAGGCAGACAACATTCCAAATCCTCCAACGAAGAAGCGTCTTCTGCAATCAATCGACTCACACACACGAAGACGAAGTCGATGGAGAAGGAGAAGAGGAAGAAGCTGCAGCAGCTCTACCCTACCGCCTTCTTTTTCTAATATAGACCGACCGACAGACAGACATATTCAGCAGTCAGTTGCATAAGGATTTCCAGGGTAATGGGGAGCTTGAAGGTGGAGGAGAGATCATTGGACGAAGGCGGCATCGCGAAGAGGCTGTGGAACAAGCTGGAGACCGAGAGAGCTTCGGCTCTCTATAGCCCCTATGTGCTCTCTTTGGCCGCTGGGGATTTGCACCCTAATTCCTTCCTCCATTGCATCTCCCAGGATGTTTACTTTCTTCAGGCTTTTGCTCAGGCGTAAGTTTCAAGTTAACACCTCTCTCTCTCTCTCTCTCTATATATATATATATATATATACATTATGCTTTTAATTTTGGATTGTAGGTATGAATTAGCGGAGGAATATGCAGATGACGAGGAGGACAAGGAAGCCATCGCCGAGTTGCGGAAGCGTGTCTTGAACCGGTTACGGAATCAAGATGCTCTTATTTCGGTATTCACTTCTTTCTATCATCGTCGTCTTCTTCTTCAGAAGCTCTTCAGTCATGTACATGTGTAGTAGTTATCTTCTGTGAATCTGTGATTCCTTTTGTTTCTTTCTCATCCGCTTACTTGTGATTTGCGTTTACTCTTGGATTGGGATTGTGTAGTTGGTTACTTCTGATATACATCTTTGATTTACAATCTTTTGTAAGAGTTAGTAGTTACAAATAACTACCAGCATCTCTGGATTTACTAACTCCATAGACATCTTTGATGTACACTCTTCTGTGTGTCATATACTTGAAGCTATCCTTCATTGTCCAATCATTCATTCCTCAATCAATGTTGTAGGAATGGGGCTTCAACCCATCTAAAGAGACTTCTTGTGACGATGCTACAGCTAAATACACAGAGTTTTTGATGGAAACAGCCTCTGGGAAAGTTGGGGGCGAAAAATTATCTGTCAACATTGTTACGCCTTTTGAGAAGACAAAATTAGCTGCTTATACACTTAGTGCAATTTCACCCTGCATGAGGCTATATAGTTTCATTAGCAAGGAGATTGTCGCACTTCTCGATTCCAATGAAACTGACCACATCTATAAGAAATGGCTCAGCAGCCTTTCCTCTCCAAAATTCGAGGTTCACTTCTATACTTAGCTACTCTATACTTCTTGCTTTTAACTAGAATAAGATTACGAAGTTTAAATTATATAATGGATGTTATGTTATTTTGATGAAGGTATTACCAAATAACCAAACTCTCCCACTTCTGGATATCTTTGAATTTAGGCATCAGCAATGAGAATTGAAGAGCTACTGGATAAATTGAGCGTATCTCTGACCGGTGAAGAACTAGATGTTGTAGAAAGGCTATATCATCGAGCCATGAAACTTGAATTGGAATTTATCTGGTCTCAGTCTGTTCATCAGAGAACTGTGGTTCCCTTTTTGAGGCTGCATGACAACTCTGACAACAGATTTGTCATATTTTCTGGATTTGATGTTACGTGTACTTCTATCGATTCCTCTGCACTTCTTGCCGAGCTTGCAGTAGTAGCAGCAGCTGCCAATGCTTCAGAATCTCAGCTTTTGGAGACACCGGCTGCTGACACCCGAGCGATGTGGAACAATCTTTTCAGCCAGTATGCGGAAGAGTATCAACAGTGTATAGAAGGCATCATACCAGGTCAAGCAGGCACTGAGAAAACTCTCCAAGGTTCGTTATACTTTATACGACTAACACATCCATACTTTAGTCCAATAAAAAGGTTGAACACTGGTTAGCCGCAATGTTCGCTTCTTTTGTTTATCCATTTGATTTGATACATTTGTGCTCTGAATATATTTAATAATGCATTGAGTATATGATATGATTGAATGTTGCAAGGAAGATATTTGAGTAACAATTAGTTTTATGATGTGAGTGTATTGTTGAGTTTAATTCAATTTAGATGATTGGGTAGAACTTGAACTTTTGAATGTTTTTGTTGTTGCTGTGCCAGTTGTTCTTTTGAAATACTGAATGTTAATAATGACTGGACTTGCAGAGGGATACGATTACGATGGCCTATGCAAAACCCTGGAGCAAATATCCAACGTTGAGAAGATGGCTACAGAAAGAGTGATCAATTCTAATGTATTAAGTGGATTAAATCTAGAGGACATAAAAAGGGCCGGTGAGCGCCTCACTTTACAAGATGGTTGTGAGAAATTTGTTCATGATGTCACACAAAGTGAATCTTCCGCACCAGAAGTTCATATCCTTTCTTACTGTTGGTGTGGAGATCTAATCTGGTCTGCATTCTCATCAGGTATGCCTGTGTTTTTGCTTGAATAATAGGTATAACCATATGTTTCTAACTCCAAGCAGTAAAAATATCATAGGTTTTTCCTTGATTATCTATATTACCTAATCGGTGAAACTTATGTGCTCACTAATTCAACTTTTTTTAGTTCATTCGAACTAAATAATCCCTCTTTCTCTGGCAGTGGAACAAACCAAGTTGAACATACACTCGAACGACTTAGAATACAAAGAGTCCATTTCCACTGGCAAAATGATAACGAATATGTTGTCCCCAACAGACAAGCTTGATGCATTCAACAATATCACCAACAACATGAATGGCTCCAAGCTCACAACAGTTTACATTGGAGGCTCAGTAGGTGATTTGCTATGTCTATTAGAAGCAGATATTGGCATAGTCATTGGCTCAGACGCCTCCTTAACGAATCTAGCTACTCAATTTGGCATTATGTTGGTTCCATTGTTCTCCGGCCTTGTAAGTAAACAGAGAGAAGTTACGGAAGGTGGCTATACAGCTTGCAAGAGCAAGGATAAGGGTGCGCCTAATATTCTTTATACGGTTTCTAACTGGGACGAGATATACATGTTCGTCTTGGGCCGGTAGATTTCCACTACATGGATTGATTACTACTTTGGATGGAGGCTGCAGGTAAGTTCCCTTGACCTGTTTTTAGGTGTTGAGGAATGATCTGCCTGTGGCAAGTTTTTATAATTTATTGTGTGTGGATTGACTGATTGATTTCTTCATCATGTAGTGTGAAATAATGCTACTTACTAATTTGTGATATAGGGAGTTGAGAATAATCATCCATCATCATACACTTGAAGAAGTATGTATAGAATTTCTCTGTAATTCTTGTGCTGTTGTACACTGGTTAAGGAATTTGTGTTTTCCATTACCAACTGTGACTCTTACGCCTATAATTTGTTTACCTTTCTCATAAATGAATGCATCAAATGCAGGATGGGTAAGTCTTGGCCATAAAGAAATTGGAAAACAGCGTGAGCTGTGCTCCAACCAAATCTAATAGGAAGAGAGGCCCAATGCTAGCCTAAACAGTTTCACCGCTAGCCCATTAAATGGGCTGTAGAGAACGCTACTTCGATTCAAACATAGTGGAGATCTCGCTGCAATAAATTTGTGGACAACTCTAATTCGATTGAACTTTTAAAGTATTTCATTTAAATAAATTGGACGTAGTTGTTTAGTGGAGAAAAGTATATTGTGATTTTCATTCAAATTTAAAACCGGGGGATATGGTAAACCAAGGAATTCCGGGCCAAAAAAATATATGTACTATTCGCTTTAGAAAAAGTTGGAAATGACGGATGACAAAAGGCAACCACATATCTGTTATGATTTCAAGTGTACATAATATACAAACGTAATTCCACTTAATCAACTGCTTACGTCTTTTCTTGTTGAAATAGACAGACACCTCTTAGAATTTCAACCGAAAGTGAACATAGTGCAGTGAAGTGCAGTATAGAGATGATTGAATGAAAGAACACCTGACTGTGAAAGAAAAGCTTAAATACCAATCAAATATTGCAAAATATCACAAGCATTAACCTATAACATAGTCAAACACTGTTAGGAATCAAGACCTAAGTTATTTTCAAGAGATTTACTTATTACTGATATCAATTATCCTGGTAAGTAAACTTGAATGGATCCCAAAAGGTCATGGCTTAATCATGATAACTAGTGACATTCAGAATAACAGAATTAATTAACATATGTGTAAATATATAAGTTTTCAAAAAGTAATAATTTAAGAGTAATTTTTACTGAACATACTTAATAAAGGTACTAAACTGTATCAAGTGGAGCCTGCACTCAAGATTCTTCAATATATGGCACGTTTGGGAGGAAGGAAATGAGACTAATATGTATGATTAACATAAGATGTGTTGAATAATGAGATAAAGTTGGGATTATTTAATCATTGCGTGTCATAACTTAAATAATACTGTACCATCCAATCTTTGGTACTAAACACACATTAAGTTATTAACATTAAATCTTGAATGTGATTTCTAAAGGAGATAGCTCCTACCTAGAAGGTGGCTGTTACCCAAAAACCAAACCAAACCAAACCAAATGCCTACTAATGCGATTGCTTGCCCAAATCAACAACTATAGAATAACTTGTGTAGATAATGTGTGTGGACATAAATATACATAAACATACATATATACCATATACAAAGATGATTGAATCAAAGTTTAATAAATGAATGTGCACTGACCTGATCTAATTATTAACCACCCAATTTGGAAGTATGATAAGTCTTCTTGTTGAAAACTGATCTTGTGAACAGCAAACAGGCCAGTACCAGTCCCACTCCCACAAGCCCTCCCAGCACTACCGCAATTGTCTTTTCTGTACCCCATCCTGCATTCCATTCAACCCATTTTTAATTTAATTGCCTTGTATAACTTCAATTGAAATCAAACCATTTTTATTCTAAACTACCTTCCCCGAATGTCCACCTATACAAGAAAAATGCCTTCTTCATTATAAATCCAAAAACAGTACACATAGTATGTAGTGTAACCCGTAAGATCCCGAATAAACACTGTTTTTGGATGGTATTTATGTTCTTTAAGACCTGAATTTAGGTTAAATATGCCCATCTCCACAAAATCCTGTACTCTAAACTAACAAAGTAATAATTGGTTGTAACTCACAAACCAATTATTATATAATATTGTATGCATAACAATACAAATATGATGAAACATATATATATACACACACACACACACGTACGTACGTATGTATTTAAAAAAATCAATAAAAAATAGAGTTGAATACTATGTTATGGAGTACTTAATATATAACAAAGAGAGTTATTCATTTCTGTAGGAAGGATGTGCAGACACGTTTAGAGGTGTGAACATGCAATATAACATAAACAAGCATTAGGTAATGCAATTAATGTCTGCGCGGCACTTGTATCTGGGAGCCATGGACACAGACAGAGACATTCAACCAATTACATCTCTTTGACAGCTATACTATAAAGGCCAAAGCATTAAATCACATCATTTTGAAAATTTTGAATTCTATTTTACTCAGTGGTCTACGGACCCAAATCAACAATTGTACAATGACAGATACACTTCAGAAATACAGGTTTGTATTTTAGACGTTAGTTTCACAATTTTTTCTACGGATTTTCTTTAAATTAAACGTACTTTTCAGAAAAGTAATTATAGGTGTATATCCACCATATTACATATACTTTATCAATGTTTGATGTGTGCGTGTGCGTATCATAATTTTATGGAATAATGAATACCTGATGATGATAATGATCTCTGGTCGTCGGAAGCACCGTTGGGATGATACGTGTAGCTGATGTAACATTCCTGAAGATACACCTGTGCAGAAACTGAACCGGCGCATTCAGATTTAGCCTTCTCAATGGCGGCTTTCACGCAGTTCACACAATCACCGCTCCCCAAATCGCCTTCACACTGACCCAATGTGTACACCGACTGATACCCGCCCTCGTAGAATCCGCCGCCGACACCCTTCGGTATCTCCCCCAACGCCGCGTCCAAACTCTCCTGGAACCCAGTGTTACTCCCCCGAGTCGAGTCACACACCTTGTACAGCAGCTCAGTCGCCTCACTCGCTGGCCTGAACCAGGAGATCTCGTATCTCAGATAACATCCGTTCAGCTGAACTCTCGCGGCCATTGCTTCTCCACACAGCTTCGGCGCCATGGATCGAGCTTTTTCTACGCACTTACCGCAGTCGCCACCAGTCAAATCGCCTCGGCATTGGAACAAACCGTTGATGGCGGTCGCGCCGTCGCCGGAGGTGGTATTGTAGAATCTCGACGAGAAGGATCGGGAAATTAAGGAATCGAATAAAATCTCCCGCGCTCGCTCGTAGTATCCGTTGGAATTAGGAAATTTTTGATCCGCGCATCCTTTGAACACTAAATCGGTGTAGTCAGAGGCGTCGCCATACTCGGAGACGAAGAACAGAGCAAGCGGCAAAAGGAGAAATCGCCATGACTTCATATCTCGACTACTTAACTAACTACAAAACCGCACACCGCATCGAAAACGTGAATATCACACAGACACACATAAAAATATATATATATATATATGCTGCACAAAAACCGAGGGGAATTTTGTGGGGGTCCGTCCTCCTGAGTAGAAATGTTTCTAGATAGTGTTTGCCGGATACTTTAAAACGACACCGTCCCACACGCGTAAGATTATTGTTAATAAATAATTTTGTATTTATAATATAAACACATATTATTATTAATCTATTACAGCATGATTTGTTAGGAGATAGTAATATTTTTAATAGAAGTTAATTGGTGCTATTTTTATTTTTATGAGTTAATTACAATAATTATTATTTTTGGTTTATGACGGGCCCGATAGTTTTTTTAAAGGCCCATAGAAGCCCAAAAATTACAGCCCAAAGTCTATTGGAAAAACCCTACAAACCACAGTATATAATGCCGCTGCTCTCATCTGCCGCCTTCTGATTTCACGAAAGCAAGAATGTCGAAGCGAGGTAGAAACCAGCATTATTCTGCATTGGAATCTCGGTTTTGTTGTTTTTAATGAGATTGTTGTGATGGTGGTTTGCTTGTTTGGCCGCAGGGCGAGGAGGATCGGCGGGAAATAAATTCCGGATGTCGCTGGGTCTGCCGGTGGCGGCGACGGTGAACTGCGCCGACAATACCGGCGCTAAGAATCTCTACATCATATCGGTGAAGGGGATCAAAGGACGGCTGAATAGGCTACCTTCGGCTTGCGTCGGGGATATGGTTATGGCCACTGTGAAGAAGGGGAAGCCCGATCTCCGTAAGAAGGTCCTTCCAGCTGTCATCGTCCGACAACGCAAGCCATGGCGCAGAAAGGACGGTGTCTACATGTACTTCGAAGGTATCATTTTGTTTTTTGCTTGAATTTCCTACCTTCAAATGATTCATTAAGCTTTAGTAGTACTTTTGTATAGAGATGCATATTATTTCATATTGCATTGGCTCTCGATTCCCAAATTTTCATCTAGTTTTGTGCATTGCTACTCTATGCAATGTATCCTCTGGATTATTATTGTTAACTGATCGCAGCTTCCAATCTGTACGGTCTTTTAATTTCTAGTGCTTTCGTGGATCGTATGCTGAATGCCATCCTATTTCTAACTTCACATTCCATGCCTGTTAAATTCGATACTGACGTATGTTGCAATACAATCATGTAAAATTATGGATTTTGTGCGATTATTAGATGTTAACCGTGTGAATCTTCAGGGCTATTAGATGTCCAAGTGATTCTATATCTCTATATCTTTAGTACATTCCTTTTTGATATTTTGCCTCTTTTGTCCAGAGCATCTGTTATTAACCTTTGAAGATGAGCATTTACAAAATAGGCCTTTTTTTGTGAAAAGATTGTACCTTTATGTGAAGCTGTACATATTCATCATTATCTATGAAAAATTGTGCTTCTCTGTGTAGCTTTTCGTCCATACAACATTGTGAGTTTGCCTTTTTGTGATTGTCATTCTGAGGGGCTGTTTATTTTCTTGTTTGGTTACAAATATTGAAATATTGCATTTCTTGTCCTTTTCAGATAATGCTGGAGTCATTGTGAATCCTAAAGGTGAAATGAAAGGTAAATACTTCAATATGCAACTACATTTCTTTGTAGGTGTGTTTAAGAAATTGTTAATAAACAGATGTATTTGTTTGATTCTTGATTGGATTGTGTTGTGGTGCTGTTTAGGATCTGCCATTACTGGTCCTATTGGAAAGGAGTGTGCTGATCTTTGGCCCAGGATTGCCAGTGCTGCCAATGCTATCGTTTAGAAGTATTGAGTTTCTTTCAATTTTCTAGTTCTTGTTGGTTTTAAATTGGAGCTCAACTTCAGGATATGATCATTTTTGTAAGGATTGCTTTATAAAATTTTAAAAATTTGATTTGATTTGTGTTTTTGTTTATATATTTATGCATAGTGGTTTGATGGTGATATGATTTTGAGGAAATTGTGTTTTCTTAGGGAGAGATAGACAAGAGTTTAAGAAACTTGAGAGATATTGGTTGTGTTCATTCAATTAAATTTTTTGAAATACTTTCAAATTAAAATTGAGATTGAGATCATCTTCCACTCTTTCTCAAAAATAATAATTAATATTTATATTAAATATTTGATGTTATTTCTAACTTTAATTTTTTTTTTATAAAATAATATGTAAATGGAGTAATATTTTGACTCTTGCAAAAATAAAAGAGATGATTAAAAATAAATTATTTAAAAGATCATGTAAAAAATAAAGTTAGGTTGGAGATGGAAGCATTAGTTAAGGGTGTACTTTAAAATGCTTAGTTGACCTTAATAATCTGACAATTATTTAAATTTAGTCAAAAGTATTTCATTGTTATAGCTTTTAACTAATTGCATGTGTTGGTGTTGTTTTTCGAAATTTATTAATCAAAATATTCTATTGTCATAACCTGTAACTAACTACTAGTAATTTATTTTTTTACAGTTATTTATTATATTGTCTCAATTTTATTATACACTTTTATCTAAAAGTAAAATAAATTTAGTCTTTATACTATTATATTGATCAATTATTATAAAAATATTAATATTTTTTAATCTGTGTATAAATAGTAAATATAAATATTAGAACTGGACATAAAATACTATATGAGTGAAGTATTGAAAGCGCCCGGTGGTCAACTATGTGTCCGAATATTGCAACGGATTCCATCACTCATATTCTACTATGGAGGCCCTCCTCTAAGTGCGTTGTCCGGGCTTATAATGGTGAGTTTATGGGTTCACACCTTCGATGTTGCAGGTTACCTGTTATATATAGTTCGCCTATTGTGATTTTTCTGTCGGGTCTGATTTACATTTATAGAGTATTAGATTTGACAAAAAAAAATAGTATAAGATTATCATTTTAATATATTGTATATAAACAATAGTTAAACATATATTTTTTTAAAAGATGTTAAAAATATTTGTAACGGGTTTATTTGTTTTGTTTCAAAACCCCATATTTTATTATTTGAATTGTGTTTTTAAAAAAAATATATACTCCTCCCGTCTCATAACAAAGTATCTATTTTTCCATTTTAGTCCGTCCCATAACAAAATATCTATTTTTTTTTTTTTTTCAGTAACCGTACTTTTTATCTAATATTACAAATTCCTTTACGACTTATAATATATTAAACAAATGTCATCACCTTTATATCACACATACTAATAAAATTATTTTAGTCATTTCTACTTTATTTCTACTATATCCCAATATAATATTAATATTTTTAAAACTACGTGTAAAAAACAAATGGATACTTAGTTTCGGAACGGAAGGAGTATATATTTTTTTCATAAAATATTTCATTATACATTATTTTAATATGAAATACAAACTAAATTTCTTTCAAACCTTTTAATATATATATATTTTTTCATAATATATTTCATTATACTTTATTTAAAAAAAAAAATTCAAACCAATTTTTTTTTTTAAACCCATTAAAAAAACATACATGTGTATATCTGTATCCATATAAGTAGTTTTTATATTCATATTTTATTTATGCTAAAGTACAAATATACTGAAACTTCTTACAATGACATGTGGGATCAGCCATACTGCCACACATTATGACACATACAATACGCATACGTTTATTTATATTTTCATTTATATATATATATTAATTTATATTCCTCATTTATTCTTTTTATCATCTTTTCTGCCGCGTTTTTTTCAAAAAAATTAATACAATACATATATTCATTATTTTTATATTCTCTACACATTTTTTATATTTCACAATAATTTTTTTTTTTTTTTTATTTTTAACAACTTACAAAACAAACACGCATTCTTCCTGTGGTCGACTGAAAATTATATATATTTGTATTTATTAGATTATTAAATAATAATATTTTATTAATAAATAAAAATATATAAAATAATTTAGATATTTTTTCCCTGAAAATATAAAAATTAAATATGTTTATAAAAATTTGAATTATTTTGACATATATATAATTATTTTTATTATAATTAATAATATATATTTAAACAAAAATAGTAAAAATAACATAAATTAAATTAAAATAAAATAAGTATATATTATTTTTTTATTATTCAAGATTCAATTTTAAAATATATTTTACATAAAAATTACTTTAAATTCAAAATATCCTAAAAAGTGGAAACTCTATTATCTATACTTATATATATATATTTTATTTTATTTTATTTTTTCTTGCGACAAGTATTAAACATTAGTTATATACCTTTTAATATTTATAATTTTAAATATTGCTTAAAATACAAGGATTGTGAATGTATGGCAAAAAATTATATTTTATCATTTGTTTTTGTTAATTTTTATTATTACCTATGTATAATATATTCTTTCAATCCAATAAATTTATGTTGGTTTTTTTTAATGTATACTAAATTTATGTAGAGTAGATAATTTTATCTATTTATAATTTTATTAATTTTACTTTAATAAAAATAATCAAATTTGCTATTATTAATTTTACTTTAATAAAAAATAATCAAATTTATTTATATAAACTGTAGGTATTATATAGACTATAAATGAAAAATTTTAAGTAATAAGTTAAACAATGTAAGTGAAAAGGAATGATTATGCTAAGGCTGAAATCAATTAATGTGTTTGTTTATAATTTTAATTTTAAATATATATATAATTTATGTAAGATATAGAAAATTGTATTGATAATATAAAAAATAATAATATGTTAATAAAATATTTATTTTTTGAGAAAATAAAGTATATATTATATATATTATACTCTATGAGTTCTGTGTAAAGGTATAATTTTTTTTTTTATTTTTTATTTTTGTCCGTCTCAAATAATATATATATTTGTTTTTAGTTATTGTGAATATTACTATTTCTTATAAATACTCTAACTTTTTTTTTTTCCATTTTTATCTTTATACCTTCACATTTAGGGTTCCAACGATATTAAAAAATAATAATAAAAGACAAAAATATTTTTATATTATTTTTTATTATCCACTATAATTAAATTGATGATATTGTTGTAATAATATATAAAATGTAAGAAAAATTTCTTATTTCAATGGAACTACAAATATTGAAAAAACTAATAATTTTGATTTGTAACAGAAAGAATATACTCCCTCCGGTCCTTTTCATTTTGGTCCATCTATAACAAAATATCTATTTTTATTTTTATTTAGTAATGGTACTGTCTACCTAACATTACAAATATTCTTCCTTCTAATTTACAATATATTACACAAATGTCATTACCTTTGTATCATACAATATTAAATGATTAATTTAGTCATTTTACTTTTATTTTTACTTTATCTCAATATAATACTAATATTTTTAAAACTCCGTGCAAAATGCAAATGAATATATAAATATGAGACTAAAGGAATATCGCTCCAGTTATAAAATTATTTTTTAGAATATTTAACACTATTTATTTATATTACTATATTTTGAATAAATATTATTAAAAAATCATATGACAAAATTGTAAGTCAAATTTTTATACTTTTAAAATTTCATCAATTCTCTCGTATTTTCATAAATTTTATATCTCATTTCTCGATTGTCTTTATTATTGAAGGATTAGATGCATAATTTATAAAAATACACTAAAATTTAACACAATTTTAAAAATATAGAAATTTACGGCAACTTCGTATAACAATTTATAAATTTTGTATAATTTCATCAAAAAAATATTTATCTCACAAAATATCATAGTATTACAAAACTTGATTAAAGTTCTCTCTCTCTATAGATACAGATATGATGTGCACATGTAGCTACGCCTACAGTAATACTATTAAGTCATAAAAATTAATAAAATATTATATATTATTTATACAATATATCATCCACTACTGCATATATGATCCCGACCCACCCACCTCACCCCAAACCCGTCTCCTCCCTAACCTTTTCTTCCCTCAGAAACCTTCTCTTCTCTTCTCTTCTGTGAGCAGAGAGAGAGAGAGGCATGAGGATTCGCAGAAGCGCCAACCGTTCCCTTCTCCATACGACGTCGTCTGCACCGCCCATCATCTGCCAACTCAACCAGAATCCATGGGATGTCGCAGACTTCTCTCCTCCGTCCTCTCCTCCTCCTCCTCCTCCGCCGCCGCCGCCGCCGTCTCCACCTCAGGTACCTTAGCTTACCAATTCTATTTCCGCCGGAGACACAGATCTGCTCCTATTCGTCTCCTTTTCTTCTCAAACGCTTCCTCATTTCCACCTATTTCTTTTTCTATTTCTTCATCTAGGTTTTTATTTCGTTTTTCAACTCCACCGCTAGGGTTCGATAGGATCCGTTGATTCATCTGTTTCTGCGTTGCGTTTAGTCTCAGGATCTTGAATTTGTTCCCAGATTCGTTCATTTTCGAATAATTTCTGCTGCGATGCTCGCATTTATCAGTTATCGATAATTTTTATGCAGTTCGATGTGAGCAGCTTCTCCGCCGGAAATGGAAGCTCACCGGCCGGCAATCTCCTTTCCCAGAGGTAATCTTCACTGTTCCTTCAAATTAAACGCTTTCCGATCACGTCTCTTCAAAGCAACCCCCAAAATAATTTTAGGGTTTATCGATTTCTCTCCACCCCCTATCGTTTCCAAAATCCATTTCAGCAACGATTCATTTGATTAACAAATTCAGCAATAGCATGCGGTGATTACCACGATCAGAGCATTTCAATTACATTCGTATGATAACATAGGGAAATCAACCTTGGTTGCATTCTACAAAACTCCATTGGAGACAGGGAGATCAAGCAGGAGCTGAAAAGGCCGCTGCAGCACAGCAAGAGAGCACCTGGTAAGATTGTAATGTGCAACAAAACTGATGGTAAGAAATGGAAATGCCGCCGGGAAGCCGTTGAATCCCATACCTTGTGCGAGCATCATCTATCCTTGTCAAAAAACAGCAGCAGCAGCCGCGCCGCCGGAAAGAGCCTGCCGGAGAAGAACAAGAAGGCGGCGGCGCCGGAGAGCAGCAACACATCCAAAGCACCACCAGCTCCTCCCTCCGACTATTACTACTACTCAGGTTTCGGGCCGAGATGGGGCAAGAATAGGGCCGAAATCGCGCAGCCGGAGCAGCAGCAGCAGCAGCCTCCCAACGAGGAAGATGATCAGATGGAAGTAGACAGCAGTTCTGATGATGAGGAGAATGAGAAGAGGAGAAAGAGAGGTCGGAAGCCCGTCAAAGCAAGGTCGCTTAAGTCTCTTATGTAGACGACGACGACGACGACGACGTCGACCATATCTGTATATCGTTGCCTGTTTTCGTAAGTTTTTTTAATTATGAATAAATGTTATGTGAGGGAGAGGGACATAAATAATATACATACATGACTGCTGTGTGTATACATATGTTATGTGTTTGTGTGTATTTGCTTGTTTTGTTTAATTACTATGGATTCCGCCATGTTCGAAAGCCTAGTCTTCTTCCCGAGCTGATAAAAGGGTAAATTCGTCATTTCAACACATCGTGCAATTGCTTTATATAGAAATAGAAACAGAAGTGATAAGTTCTTGTACTGTCGGGAAAACATAGTATTTAAATTAACGTTAAGAGTATCAAATGGCGGGCAACCTTCTCCGCTTCTACAGTGCCCTTGTCTCAAATCTACTTCATTAATTACTTGAGAGAGTCGCGATTATTAAAATCGCTACTCGCACTGGATCAAACCGAAAGTTAAAAGATCCTGTTCGAGCTTGGTACAGTTATGTGCAATTCTAAGTAGAGAATGTTGGTATTTTTTTTGTGTCCAACTGTACATTTCAGATAATGTGTCTAAATTCTTACTCCTAATAATCAAGAACCAACTAGCATTGGTTATTTGAGCTCTATCTCATATGCAAATTAAATACTAGCTAGGCAACAGGGTGAATTATAATTCATATATATAAATGAACATTTTCGTACAATATTGTGTATGTATTAATTGTGTCGAGGTTAGATCGAATTCCTTTTGTGGCCGGGGAGAAATGCGCGAGGATATTAAGGCTTTTCGATTCTTCTAGATCTATACGAAATCACTAAGTAAGGTGTAGTGTGGTGCGAGTGAATGAGTGAAGCCAAGCCGAGAAAATGCGGAGTTCAATTCTAGGCCGGATATTTTGTGGAGAAGGATCGAGAGAATGGAAAAGGACAAGAGACTTACGCCAGATCGAAAAATGTCAGAATGTATTTTTATAATCGAAAACGAACAAAAGACTGACGAGAAATTTCATCATATAACGCAAGTATTAAATAAAATTAATTTTAATATATTTTGCCGATAAAAATAAACAGAGACCTAAAAAAAAGATAGTAGAATCTCCATCTCATTATTGCCCTCGTCCCGCACAAAAATAATTAAATATTACTATTCGAGTTTTGGGCTACAATAGCACAGAATAAAAGAATCAATAAAATGAAATATCCTGTATTGAAAAAAAATTAAATCTAAGGTAAAAGAAAAAATCGTTTATCAATTTATTTTATGTAAAGATTGATATTTTTTTACATGAAACGATAAGATTACATAATGAAATAAAATGTTAAAAATTTAGAAAGAATATAATCTTATTGTTTAAATATTTTAATCGTATAATGTTATTACGATTCGTAATTTTTGTAATAATATTATATAAAAAGAAAATTTATATATATGATATTTTAAGTAATATTTCGTATAAATTTTATTCCGTTTTTACAATAATGCAATTAAAAAACATACTCATAATATTTAGAATATATTCCCTCGTACTAGAAAAAAGATATTTTCATTTAATTTTTATACGTTAAATTAAAAAATAATAATATTTAATATGCAAAAGTAATTGTATTAGATGAAAAAGATAAAATTGTCCTTATCTAATATATAAGTATTTTCTAGAAAAAGAATATTGAATGATAATTGTAAATATGTTGAATTAGGGAGAGATATTATTTATAAGAAATGGATAAACGATATAATTGATTTATTTATTATTTTTTAAAATTTATTTAAGGGACGACTGAATTAAACAAATAGATACTTTTTTTGAATAATGAAGTATATATATTTAATTCGATATATGTATCGTTTTAAGAATTTTAATTATTACACGTGGTGAAATATACAATAATACATATATATTAACTAAAATGTAAGTGGTGCTTTTGCAATTTACCTTATAAATAGTTATTTGCATGCATGTATAATTTATCTTTGATAAAATAATTATATACTCTATATAAGTTTTATATATCACTGCTTCAATTATATTTATAAATAGATGTATAGGGGTATATAGGTCTTTTTCATTACGCATATATACATAGATACATGTCATTATAAGATATATGGATATTGATTTATTAAAACGTTTTGGCGTATCTATAGGTGTATTTATTTAAAAATTTACAGGAAAAATATTCATAGGAAGTGGTGCATGTTGATTCTTTAATTTTTAGTTATATTTATAAATTTGAAATTCAGCCTCACTATATATTATATATATATATATAAATAAATGTGTGTGGTGGCTGGTGGGGTAGTCTGTAACTGAACAGACAAAGATCCAAAGGAAGAAAGATAATTAAAATAATTATTAAATATATAATACATTATTTTATATATTTTCTTAATGTTTATATATATTTATGATGCAATAACGGTACGATTGTGGGCGCAATATTATAGATTTCGCAAAAACTGATTTGATACGACAACTTGACACGATTTGATACAAAATAATTGAGTTTTGGTTAAAAATTTCATTCCGATTATGTATATGGGTCGACACGAATCCGACAGGATAATAAACGGGTCGGATTAGGATCGAAACTTTCAACTCGAACCCGATACGACAATTCGATTATAATATATTAAATATTGATTAATATATTTATTATATATGTAAAATAATCATAATTTATTAATTTTCTCATAAATTAATTTAAACTAAATTCAATTTTAAATAATGCAACCTAATTTAAGCTAAAACCAATAAAAACTAACATAACACGACAACACAATAAAAAATTATTTAATTTGAATCAAGAAATTCGACTTAATTATGTATACGAGTCAACCCGAACCCGACATGATAATAAACGGGCCAACACGAACCCAACACGATAATAAACGGATCAACACGAACCCGACACGATAATAAACGAATTGAATAATTTAACTCATTTAAAATATTTAACCCGACACGAATCGATCCATTGCCAACTCCGTAACAGTGGAATAGTCGCGTTACATTTTTCATATTTTCAATAATAATAATAATAATAAAATAACTAAAATGGCAACATGTCACTATATATATAAATACTGCTTTATGATGCACTGATTATGTGTTATTTTGTGAGTTTGTTTTGTTTGTTTTAAGGTGATTGTTTGGAGGATTTTACCCTAAATATACTATTTATTCAAATTTTTTCCCTAAAAAATATCAAATCAAATATTTATTTTTTATTTTTTATAATATACTAAAAATAAATTGTATATTCAAAACATCAAATCAACACCCATTTATATCACATAATACAATTATTCAAATTCAAAATTTTTACTATTTAAATCTCAACTCAAAATCCAAACCCCCAAACAAACACACCCTTAAAGAACTTTTGAGGTAGAATAATGGTTTGATTTGATATCTTGCTTAAAAAATAAAGGTTGAATGTAGTATTGTTTTAAAAAATAAAAATGAAAATATTGAATATATAATAGTGGAATTTTTTGTTTAATATTTTATTTTGAGATTTTTTTATTTTTTTTTATTTTTGTAACGTACGAAGAAGCATGCATATAGTATAATAATAATATATTTTTTAAAATTATTGACTATTCTTAAAAAATAAAATATCAATATTATATATATTGGAAAATATATTTTTTAAAAAAATTAATTGAATGAACAACCACATTATTTTGTCTAAAAATATCTACAACTACTAATCAAACAATTAGAAAAATAAACCATCAATGCCATTTAAATTTTATACTTTTTATTTCTAGGCAATACAAAATTATACCCAGTTACATGATTCCTATAAAGTTTTATAAGAAATTCCACCTAATTTCTTGAACAAAATAGAAAAATAAATTCTTGAAATTATCTATTTTATTTCTTTCATTAAATAAGGTAATGTTATCATTTTCACAATATTTATTTATTTCAATTTAAAAACTTTATATATATATATATGTTCAATGCAAATTTTATAGTAACATACGAATTTTTTACATAATTAATAAAATACTCCCTACGTCCTAAAACTATAGTCTGGATTGTGTTTGACACAAGATTTAAGGAATATTGATATTATATTAGTAGAAAAACTTTTTTGCCCTTGGGAATGTATTAGTGTAAAAAGTAGTGACAATTGTGTAATAATAATGAAAAAGTATGGATAATTTTATAGTGATATGATTATTTATGGAAATGAGACTATTGTTTTGGGATGGACAAAAATGGTAACCAAGACTATTGTATTGAGACGGAGTGGGTATATAATATTGAGCATTTTTTTATAAAACACACATGTATATTATACAATTTGCCTTATAAAATTCTATACAAATAACCCTAAATTTGATTACTTCTTCAAGCCTATGCCAATCTTAACTTGATTTGAACAACCTTTTTTGGATAATTTGTGAAATTTATGGAATTAGTTTTTTGAATAATTTGTGAAATTTATGGAATTAGATTTAATTGATGTAAATGTTTATGCATGATATGTCTCTATAATTTTATATCAAATAAGATAAATGTGTTGCTTTATATGAAGAACACAAAGAATGTTCTAGAACTTGGCACTAAACATGAAGAAATTTGTATTAACTTAAGAGGTACATTATCACATGAATTCAAAGGTATTTTGAAAATGATTATTTGTCAAAATTGATCAATTTTAATGAAAATAGGAGGATGCTATTATATTAGAAATAGTCCACAAATTATAAATTATGATAAAAAAATTTAATATGTTCTAAAAGAACACTATATATTACACCAATCAATTATATAAGGAATACAAAGAAATTACTATAAATATATATATACACATAATCAATATATCAATTTTATTATTAATACATTTGATTTTTAATTTAGTAAATGCCATCTTCATACAAATACTAAAATATTATCTAAAATTACCTACAATATATATATATATTTATATAAAAATGGAGTATAATATATCCATTTAGAAAAAATAGAAAGTTAATCCAAAATATTACTCCCTCAAATTCACTTAATTTGTCAACTCTTTCTATTTTTGTCTGTCCCACATAATTTATCATTTTTTTAAAAAAAATTTAATTATACACTTTAATTACATCTTAAAATTCATAATTTATAATTTTTGTATTTTAAGTGAACCATTTAGATATATTAATTTTAATTTATAATTATTTTAACTAAATTATAATTACTTTTACTAATACATTTTTTAATTACTTACTAATTAGTCAATACCT